AAAAAAAAAAAAAAAAAAAAAGAGACAAGGAATAACAGGATGTTTTATAAGGATCGGAGGATTTCCATCTCCAGCATATTTATTCATCGATCGGAAATGCTCTGCAAGGATGAACTCGTGAGTGAGGTATCCATTCACCTCCTGCGCTCAGGTCGTCAATAGTTCATTCGTGTTCTGACGAACGCAGCGAAAATGGGATTGTTGATTGATCATTTCCATGGTTGGATTGAATTGCAGCTTCCGGGGAAAGCAAAAGCCAAAGTTTCACTGCAAACGTCGTTGGTACTGCCCTTTCCGTCATTCCCAGGTCCTTACTACTGCTACGACGACTACTACAACTACTACTAATAAAATTAAAATTAAAATTAACTAGAGAGAGAGATAGAGAAAGAAGGAAAGATTGGGCTTCTTCTTATCCCCAATAGTCTCATCCTTACCGTGACCAAGGGGGCGTTTTGAAGGGCACACTATTGCTTCTTAGTCCCAATCCGGTAATCAAGGCCTCTTCTTCTCTTTTGAATAAAAACACATCTCTATTACTGGAATCTATCCACAACCATGAAATAGATCATAATCACTCAATTCTCCCTCGCGCCACCGCTATGCAAGTATCCAAGTCTAGCGGATTCAAACCATGATATCTGTACAAATCTTACATAACCAACGTCAAAAAACTTAAAAGACAAAGCGAAAAAAAAAGATAAGAAAAGAAAAGACAAGTCAAGAGAAAGAAAAATGGAAAATTAACAAAGAATTCGTTATACACATACATAGTCAACATTAGTCTCAAAAAACTTCATCACAACATGACTCATACCCCCATCACCCAAAACTCCATCTTTCAGCTATCCCGTCGTCGACGCTGGGTGAAGCTCCGACGGATACTTTCACCCCAGACAGAGTCATCCAGCGATTGCATCACGTCCTGCGCACTCATAACACTGTTCTGCCGGGATCGCCCGGGAGCCAGAGACGACTCGTCATGCAGATCTGGCCCATCTCCATATGATGAAGTCGTATTCGCTCGAGCACGATTCGGCGAGAGAGACGGGCTGATGCTGGACCATTCGGTTGGGGAATGCGTCGCCGACATCCGCCCAGCTAGAGCAGTGTCAATCCGGGGTAGGTGACCGGGCTGCGATGGCGGGCCACCTTCCCCTCGTGTGGGTGAGAGGGGTGACAGCATGGGCTGGGACGACGATCCCTCATGATCATCATCGGCTGCTGGCACCATCGCCCTCACCTCTTCTTCAGGATGGTCGTCCTGGGATCCATCGTCCACAAAAATCTCGGGCACCGTGAAGTTAGGCACCGCGGTCATCCGAGCAGATCGACTACGCTCGACTTGTCGGCGGAATTCCCGAGACCAGTAGAGGGTGTCGAAGAACCCAATGACCGTCTGTCGACGAACGGCTTCCTCGACGCGTTGGAGTCTCGCTCGTCGGCGCAAGAACTCTTCAAGCTTCAAGCTCTTGCTGTCATTGATCACGTTGTAATGTGCGAGAATCATGAGGCATGAGTGGAATGAAATGCCGCGCACGGGGTCCGCGGAAACCTTGACTTCCTCATAGAAAGTGTTGAGTCGTTGCCGGCGCTCACGGACATCGTCAACTGGGATACGTCGCAGAATCTTAGCCATCTTCTCAAGGTCTACCCCGTCGACCACCCTTCGGTGCCCGATCAGTGAGTCTCTTCTATCGACTCTACATTCCTCCAAGATGCGTCCGATCGTGAATTCATCGTCATATATGCGCATCGAAAAAACACCTGAGAGCTCCTGTAAACCATTTAGTGAGTCGGTCGAGGCATACGAGACATGGAGAAGAATCAAAGAATGAAGGGGCAAAGGACATATAACTTACCCCCAGTAGTCGTGGGAATTGCTCTTTAGAGATATACCCGGTCCCGTCAGGGTCATACGTCGCCCAGGCTTGCTTGAAGCGGCGAATTTCCTCACGACTGATTGCATAGAGCCCGCTGCTTCTCTGATACACATACGAGAAGCTCTCAAAGATCAGCGACACGAACAGCGAGACGAAGATATACATGCTAATAATGTTCCACGCAATGAAAAGCGTTCGAGCCCATGCCGCACTGCCGCAGTCGTCTTGTAAGAAGTCGTCGTTAGACGTACAGATCGGAGGTACCATTGTGGCAAAATCTTCCATAACTTGATTCCATCCTTCGCCGCAGCTCATGCGGAAGAGTAGAATGAGCGACCTTGGGATATCTCGAAAATTGACGTTGTTGTTTCCCTCTCCCCCGAATTTGGTAAGACCAAACGTTTGGTTCAATGCAATTGCGAAGACAAGGAAAAGGACCAACCAGGTCGCAAGGAGGTTACCAATTGCCGTCAAACTAGCTGCGGCTGTCTTGAAAAGTTGATCAAGTTGGTTGTTCCTTGGGATAATTAAGAGGGTAACAGCCACAAGGAAGAGCTTGCTTAGCTCCACGATGACTTGCCGGTCCGACAAAAAATTCAGGATTGTCATCACGATAGTACCAGGGATTACAAGCAACGAATAAAGGTCCCAGGAGCTTCTACTAAATCGATGCCAGCCCAATCCTAACAGCCGGATAATGAGATTCGCGGCGTAGAAAAAGTTGAATATGAGAAACAATACGTCTGGGAGGCAGGCATCAAGTCAGTAATGTAAAGGGTCTTCCCGGACATCTCGTCAAGCCACTCACCTCTGCAAAACTCGAAGATAATGGGCTCCGGGTAGTATTCCAAAACCAGCAAGAGAATATGAAGCACTAGAATCGTGGATACACATCTTGCCCATCGCCCATGTTTCTTAACGGCGATCCGATAACACCACATCTTCCACTTGTGGCTCTGTTTATCAAACGAGCGCTTGGAAGGCGATACCTGCTTCAGAAGTTTCCTCAATTCCAGCCAAGATCGTTGCTCGGCAGTAAGATACGCAACACCAGTCTGCTCTGTGTAGTTCCGCATGAAGACAGATACGAAAAGCGTCAGCACGAAAACTGCACCAAGTAAGTTGAATACAACGAAGAAAAGCCCGTTCTCCGTGGCAACCGAATCCTGCGGCTGCATGCCGACTCCAGTGATACTCATTGCGCTTGACTGCACATCCGTCCAACCTTCTTGAGATACAATCTGGAAGAGGATAAAGAGAGAGTTAAAGAAATTGTCAAAGTCATAGTATGGGTTCGATGCGGCCCGAGGTGCGAGTACATCCCAGTTGTACGGTGAGCTAGAATACTCATTGATACAGTCGTCCAAACTGCCTGTCACGCCTTTATCATTGCACTTAACCATTTGACCGGCAAACAAATTGACACCGTATATAGCAAATGGTATCAAAAAGCTCATCGAAACAGCAGCTGCCTCTATGACCTTCCATCCACCGACTATGATAACTGAATGGAATGTATCTTTGGCGCTGTCACTGACATTCAACAGTCTAAGCGCTCTAAGGGCTTTGACAGCTCCGACAGATCGCGAGACAGCCCAATCTTCAAACATTGCACCCCCAACGTTGATCCAGAGGGTGATAAGTACAATGCCATCAATAAACCCCCACGAACCGCGGAAGTAGGCATTTGGTGTCCAGAAAAACCCATCCGCGATAACCTTGATAAGGGCTTCAAGTGTAAACAAAATCGCAAAGCCCATATCGGTGTAAACGAACCACAGTTTTCGTGTAGGATAGTTCTCGCGTTGATAAATCGGCGTGGTGATGCAAGCAATAAGAACCATAGCAATAATGGCTGCATATACGAACGCAGAGAATGCATACCAGACAGGTTTATAAGGGTCCACACCCTCGATGCGCTGGTGGCCACGCCCAGGACCCACAATACGTTGGCATAACCTTCGGATAGGGTTATCTGGCGCAAAGATGAATAGAGATTTGTTATAGTTCGGGTGCCTCATGAGATACTCCCTCTGTGCTCGCTTCCTTTGTTCAGTGGCCGATACGACTTCCTTAGCCATTTCCCTCGGATCTAGCTCTTCATTTGCCCGGGAGAATTTGTTCAAGTTAGTATAGAATGGATTCGGCTCTCTGCGCATGATTGATGTTGAGATGGCAGTCCACATGCGCGAAAATTTGCCAGGCTGATCCGTCTCTTCTGTCACTGTTGTTTCCGCAGGTCCACTTTCTCTCCGTTGATGTTCGGCAGGCGCTTGCTGCTCGTCGAGGAACTCCTGCACAACAGCATCCTTTAGCAACATTTCTAGTGCCGCCGGTCCATAGTCTAGGGGCTCCTTGTAACGGTCTGAATTCCGGCCCAACCGAAGGATTTTTGAAAGCGATAGGTTTCCTTGTGAAGATCCATTGAGGTGCTTTTGCTTCAAGAATGCCCGTACTTGCTGGAGTCGTTTCTCATCCTCCGACACATCAAAGCTCTCTTGGATAACGGCAATGAACATGTTTAGAACGATGAAGTTTGCCACAATAAACCACAAAATCACAAAGGTCGCAGATATCCAGGCTGTGCTGTAGGGATAAGTGTATGTAGTTAGGTTGTATAAAATCTCCGTCCAATTCTCGCTGGATAATATCTGATACATCCCAAGAAACGAATTATATATGTTGTTGAAATTGGTAGCAACGCCTTCATCTTCAGGAATTGAGCCCCGAAAAAGCTGGGTTGCGAAAATAGACGCAATAAATGTGATCATGAACAAGAAAGCGATCAGGTTTAGTAAACCAACAGTGTTCCGGAAGACAACTGTAATGAGGTCCCTGGTGATAGGGATCGCCAGCACCACGCGATACACCCGAAGAATTTGAAACATGGTGAGAACGGTATATGTTCGCCCCGAGTCTCTAATAGGTGGAAGCTGGATGATACAGGTGATGATCACGAGCCCTAGATCGACCCAGTTACGACGCTTCTTGTGGAATCTGCGCCAATCAGAAGCGAAACGCAAGATAATTTCGGCTAGAAGAATAAGCGTCACAATGGTTTCCGTATTGTCGATGAAGTTTTTGCGATTAGGGGACATGGTGGAAGTCCTAAGTGCTTGGACAACTAGATCGAAAATGATGACGCAAACCCAGAGCCACTCAGTCTTATCGTAGAAACGTTTGAGAGTGCTTCTCTTTCGAGAGTCAAGGTTTTCTTTTTCGACATTTTCCAGCTTCTGAACAGCGAAAGCGCTCCGTTTACTCTCTTCTCTGATAACTTGAAAAGTATGTGTGATGACAGCAACTAACAAGTTCACTAACCACAGACTCAAGATGATGAAGCCACATACGAAGAAAAGAGCAGCCGCAAGATAATCAGTGTCAGTGGTATAGTAAAGAAGGTCCGTGAACGTGTTTGAGCTCATGATCACGAACACAAGCTCCAGCGAATTCAGAATGTTATCGAAGTTCATAGTGCCTTTGTAAGGCATGTCATTTTCGATGCATATAGACCCCGCAGGACAGAGGTAGCCTTTGGCCGAAGGTGGGGATTGTGGGTTATCAGATTGTGGAATCCAAGGGTGTTCCTTGCCAGTGGTTGCATTAATATAACCCCCGCAAAATTGAATGGCCCCATCGGGATCATTTAAAGTGAAATTCTCCTGACCATCTTTACCAATCCATTGACAAGTTCTTTGGAAGCTTGACTTAAAACTCTGGATACCCACAATTGCAAAAAGGAGCCAGAAAAACCCAATAAGAAAGGCAACATGGGCCAACAGTGGAGCTGCCTTCTTGAGACTGCGAAGAATCACCTATCAACTTATCAGCAGACGTTCGGAAAGGAATGAGGTGATTACGACTGACAGAGGTGCCATTGGTCAGTGCGAGAAGACGTAAAAGCCGAAGACAGCTTAGCATGCGAAAGACATAGAGCTGCTGGCGACTCTCAACCCCTTCTATAGCAAGAAAGAAAGCTATCCAATAGGCGACTACGGCCACAAAGTCGAGCCGATTGAAAGAATGTCGGAGAAAAGCTCGGTGAGCGAGACGCACACGACGTTTCTGGGCAGGATCATCGGCTATTTGCCGATCCAGTTGGTTTAAGCCGCCAGTAAAGGTTCGTATAATTGATGCTTGCGGCTGTTCCGGAACAGCCGACGGTCTCCTCGTAGAGAACTGGCGTTGCGGGGTAATGAGGTTCTTTCCTTTCTCCACAAATGCTTTCCTAAACCCCAGGGATCGGTCTATGGTACTATATTCGGCCGGATTGAGGATAAGCCCGGATACCAAGATTTTGGCGATAAGTTCAAGGGTGTAAATTATGAAGATGACAAAGTAAGGATAGTCCATGGGATTTCGTCCCCATCGCTCTGACCTTGTAAACTCGGGACGTGCCGTCTCGATGGTCAGTAAGATCATTTGGATGACAATTACTATCAAGATGAATGGTTCTGTAAATGAATGGACAAGCAGATCACACAACCTCACCCGAATAGGGTTACTAGGGCCCAGAATTCCGAGAGCCTTCCCCCTCAACGGATTGTTATGATCTCTCCATTTTGCTTGGCTATCCAGCGACAAAGTAGATGGCGCATCGTGTGCATATCCCGGTAGCGAAGGGAGAGACGGGGGTGCATCTAGTCGCGCACTCCTGTGTGATTCTTCTCGTAGGATCGACTGCTCAACAACTTCGGGTTCATTACTCAGATTGACGACACGCTGAGACATGGACTTCATCATTGAACTAGCGCGTTGCAAAGCAGAGCCCGACGCTGACGGGGACAGCGAGCGAGCCCTGTCAGTAGCACTGCTGCCGCCGCGACGCCTCCCACTGAAGCCGCCCTCCAAGTCATCACCCAGGTGTGACCCAGTGTTGGTCGTAGGAAAGTGTACGGTTCGCGCACTACTTCGGTCATCTAGCGGAAGGCTAAGAGAACTGGACGCCGCACCGCTTATAGGCTGGACGTTTCGGGCGTCTGTTAACGGCGTGGTATCGGTGAATGTGTTCGGGGATAGGTAATGCGCTGCCTCTTGCTGCCCAAAACCATCCAAGTGTACGATGTCGAAGTTGGAGCTGGTCTCATCACGGCTATACCTTGCTGAAGTCCTTGGGCTTGCTGGACCATCGAAGCTGAGTCCGACTGAAGACATTGCCTGGGCAAATGCCTCTGGATTGTCCACCGGCGCGGCATCGGACCCTCGCCGCTGGCGTGCATTTTGTGTCGCAGTCGGGCCTTCAACGGGGGAGTCCACGGCTACCCTCTCATAGTTGCTTCCGCGCCTGGTCAGCGACCGCCCCGGACGGAAGCTGCTTCCAACCGTGGCTGCTCCACCATGCGACAACGATCCGGAGAGGTCTTGCAAGGGTATTGAGTGTTCGGTAGGATGACTGTCATCGTTGGTGCCGCGGTCATGGCTATTCGAAGCCATCGTAGGCAGGGTCGGTCCGCTAACCGAAGGCAGACATCGCAGACCGCCAGTACAGAAGTGTCTGATACGTCGTGTGTCCCAGTGCGTTAAATCGCGCTGGAAACTTACACCTGGTGGGACTGTTTATAAGCGCGCTGACGGACTTTTTCTTTAATTTATTTTGTGAAAAAAGAAGGTACGGGCTGCAGGGGCTCCCGGATGAAACGTCAATAATAAAGCCCAATCAACCACAGGTCCTCATCAGCGTAATGGACCTAACAGAAACAAAGAAGTAAGACTAGTAAGGTACTGGACAAGTGGTCGACTCCAGGTTCCAATTGCACAGCATGCGCGGCGGAGCTCCGGCTTGACTCGTTGTGCCCAAGCGGCCAAACTGGGGCCAGGGTGGGCGCCCAGTGGTGATTGGTTAGAAGCACGAACTGCGCATTAAACGTCCGAGCCTTATAGGATGTACTGCGTAAAAAGTCCCTCAGAATATGGTCCCCAGCCACACTTTCTATTCGCAGAACCAGACTTGATCAAAATTTAGGTATATGGAGTTGTAACACTTTGTTCTTCTATATTTTCTTAATTTATGTAACTCAATTCATAGGTATTATTATTCTGATTATCCCATTTTCTATCCTTCAATTACAACTGCCTTCTAACACTTTTTTTCTCATCAGGGCCATAAATACCGTACCTGACGAATACCGACCTGGAGGAAGAGAGGGGGGGAAACAAAATTACGTTGCCTAGCTGAAGTGAGCACACTGAGTGGTCCCGCCATGTCCAAAAATAACTCTAATGCAAGATGTAACTGCTATTATTAATCTTCGGTATTATGAGATGATCATCATTTTCCTTCACTCTACAAAATACTTGGTAGGTATCTACTTCGTAATTCTCGAAAACAAAAAGAACAATGGGGCAAATTCCCCTTGGCATGCTTCAACATCTATTCAATTCAATGCAATTCAATCGGTTTCCATCTGGTTTTCCTGATCCGAGTCTTTTACATGATTCCGAACGCCTTGGAGAAAAGCCTCAACAGCATCACCACCGCCTAATGGGACTCCTCCTCTACGCATAAATCCTCCATTCTCAACTGGGATCTTGAGGGCTTCACTAATGCTCGGCAATCCACCATCTCTGATAGCCACCGTTAAACTTGCAAGGCTTTGGGTGAATTGGGGCGAATGCAGGACTTTTCTCAGAATATTCTTCTTTTGTGAGAGGTCAAGAGATGCCATGACGGCTTCCATAAGTTCAGGGTCATCAACAGAAGACACTTCCTCTACATCTTGTGCCAGGAGGAGCAATGCAGGCGGTAAGAAGCTCAAGAGATTATCAACAGTTTTATCATCTGCAGACTCTAGGAAAGGAAGCGTAGCGGCCGGGGGTAGAAGATCTTGCAGGGTGGTAAACGGTCTGTCGGGGTCCTGAGACTGGGTCGAATTCCTTTGTAAAGACTGCAAAAAGCTCTGCACGACAGAGGAGGGATCTGAATCAGCAGCCGCCCTGTAAGATCACCAGCGAGTCAGCCAACAGTCAAGACCCACAAGTCTAAAGGGGAAGCTAGTATAGAGAAAGAAAAAGATAGAGAAGAGCGCGCGCATTATATAAAGGGGTAGCTTATATCCCAGGGAACAGGTCAAGCCGACGGGCAATATGCTCAGAAAATGTAAACGCAGAAATATGTACCTACGCTCTTCCACCGTCAGCACCACCCTCCCTCGATTCCTCGCCTTCTTCTCTAATATCTCCCCCAGTTGCATCCGGTCCGGCACCTCCACTGTTGCCACCATGGTTATGGCTGGGGTTATGGTCCACACCCTCGACATCCTCCATAGTCTCATCATCACCATCAGACGGACCTCTAGGGAGGTTGGCAATTTCGTGTTCCACATCTACATCCTCGCCTTGAAGTAGCGTGTTGACAATGTCTCCAAGCTTGAGATCCCTGGGGCTGAACCAGCTAGGGTCTTCGCCTTCGTGTTGAGACTTGGACTGTAGCCAGAAGAGATACCGTTGAGAGCTGGAAGAGAATTTCAACACGTAGATCCGACCGTTCGTAGGATTCGCATTTCCGGCTGGCTTATAGGGCGTGAAGGTTCCATCGGATGGAACCATCACCAGGTCCAATTCGGGCTCTGTGTGGGGAGCAGTCCGAGGGCGCCAACAGAAGTGTACTAGCTCATCTTCGGAATAGAGATAAATGTAACCGGGCGTAGACTTTGGCTTAACTGTAGAGCTATCACCGGATATCTACCAAGCCACATACAGTAAGTAAAAGGAAAAAAGTAAGGGAATGAGTGGGGAGGTGTTGGAGAGTGATGCTAAAAGTTGAAGCTTAGGAAACTCACATCCAAGTCACAGATACCCGCTTTAAACGTGATGATCGGAGTTATAGACATGATTGAAGAACGGGTCAAGATAAGTAGGCGGCGTGTTTAGAGAAGACAAATGGGTTTGGTTTTCGTCTTGAGATGAGAATCTCAACGGGGGAACGTGGAATGCGGACGAAGTCAGATCGAAGCAAGATACGTCAGTTACCAGAGGAGGTGGTTGAGGTGCCCCAGGCGGTAAAGGCAACTCGAGGTAAGCTCCATTACGCCTTGGGTCTCTCTGGGACACCGCAGGTTACTAAGGCACTGAACACCTCAGGCAGAAAGGCGGTGGCCAAGTCGGAGAAGATCTTAAAAAATTGGCCCAATTCGGCACTAGTGGCTTTCGGCTCGAGCCCTAACGCACACACTCTCCCTTCGCACTTTCCTGCCTAGGCCGCGAGTAGTCTCATCAACTCCAACAACCACCCGCCGTCGACAACCACCACCACCCCCTCCCTTCATTCTTTTCAGTCTCCTTCGTCCCAGCAGCCAATATGTCGGAGACGAAGCAGTTTGGAAAGGGCCAGAGGACCGTGCCGGCTCAGAAGGCCCAGAAATGGTACCCCGTTGATGACGAGTCGCAGCCCAAGAAAGTCAGTACACCCTTGTGCAAAAAAATACAAAAAGTGAATAGTGATGGAGATGCGGTTTCTTATGAACGAGTGCGACGATTGCGCCGGTCAATGAGCCATTTCGTGGTTGGAACAAGACCAGTGAATACGGAACTTTTGTTGATAAGGAAATCGCATCTTTGGCACTATCTACAACTCGGAAATTGCATGTTTGTGGAAATATAAGAACAAGCGTTCTGACATGGTTATTTTTCTATCCAAACAGGTCCGCAAGGCTGTTCGTCCCACCAAGCTCCGGGAGAGCCTCAAGCCCGGTACTATCCTGATCCTCCTCGCCGGTCGCTTCCGTGGCAAGCGTGTTGTTCTCCTCAAGCACCTTGAGCAGGGTGTCCTCCTCGTCACCGGCCCCTTCAAGATCAACGGTGTTCCCCTTCGCCGTGTCAACGCCCGCTATGTGATCGCCACCAGCACCAGCATCGACATCAGCGGCGTCGACGCTCAGACCGTCGAGAAGGTCTCCACTCCCGACTACTTCACCAAGGAGAAGAAGGCCGAGAAGAAGACCGAGGAGGCTTTCTTCAAGCAGGGAGAGAAGCCCGAGGTACGTGTACCGCGTCATTTGACCTGGATATATATATATGATAGATCTGGGCCGATGACCGCTCGGTAAGATGGTTTGTGGGTTGCTAATTCGAGAAACAACAACAGAAGAAGAAGGTTGCCAGCGCCCGCGCCAGCGACCAGAAGGCCATTGACCAGTCCATCCTGGCCTCCGTTAAGAAGGAGAACTTCCTTGGCAGCTACCTCGCCAGCACTTTCAGCCTCCGGAACGGTGACAAGCCCCACGAGATGAAGTGGTAAACGTGCGACGCGGCGGCCGCGGGTTCGGTAGTTATTGTGGAGGAATTCATGTGAGGGGCGGCTTGAATGCGGATTGGCATTCCCAATATGGGAAGCGCTTGCAGCGCAGGAGGAACAGCTCATGAAATATGTAACTCGAGTCGGGCTCCGTCTTTGCTCATTAGGATTACGGTCAATTCGGAAAACCGGTTGTTATTTATGTTTCACGATCAGTCCCTCCTGCGTCGCCAATTTGCAGGACCTATAAATGAGCCGAAATGAAAAGAAAAAAAAAGAATAATACCTTTTCCAGCTGTTATATGATCCCCCTTTAACGTGCGGCTGGGAGTTTGTCATGTCTAGTATGATACGTCATCGATTTCCAGGTTCGGGTGACAATCTAAAATTGGGAATTCAAGTTTCTGTTAAGATTCACTATACCAGCATTTCAGATGCCGCTCCTATCTGTAGGGATTTACGATTGACTATGTTTTGTGCCTGTGGACTCTCCAGCGCCCTATGTGACTCCGATACGATATGTTCAATACAATATGTGCAACCCGCGGTCTACCCATGATCAAGACTTTATAATTGATTTTGTATCCTAAAGACTCCAGCTCCCGTCGCGCCATACGCAGAACAAAAATTCGTAACCGGAAGACATCACTCATCGGTTAGGGCACATACCCCAACCTTCTAGATCATGACCATCATACATCACATTGCATCAGCAACCCTAATAATCATTCCTCCGCCTTCTCAACTTATACCGTTCATCCCTCCTCTTCCTTGTAGACTCTTCAATCGCCCGTCTAATCTGCTCGTCAATCATCTCCTTTTCACTCAGAGCCTCCTCCAACTCCTCCTCATCCTCGTCTCCTCCCACAGTAGTCCCACAAATCCAATCGAGGATCCCCCACGGGCCGAAATTCCCTTCCGCCCCACTGAGCAAATGCATATCCATCCTACGTGCGATCCCGCCCAGGAAGAAGCTCGTCGGCATAACAGAGTAGCCGGAGAAGGCGAATGTCTCCTCGATGGATATCACGGTAAGGTAGAGGAGGTAGGAGAGCATGTGGAAGCGGAAGAACATGGCAGGCAGGTAGGTAGGGGTGAAGTTGGAAAGGAGGTAGGCAAATGGGTGGTCGTAGTGTGCTGTGAGGGGAAAGGGAGCTCGTAGCGAATGGTACCATTTTCGATGGTATTTGGAAACTTGGTAGTCTGGGGAGTGGAGGATGAAGCGGTGGATGTTGTAGGTTAGGATCTAGTTTATCATTTCAACAATTAAATGTTAGCTAATCTGGCACTCTTTACTTGGTCTTGGAGGTTTTCGATTTGGTTCTCTTCAATATATTCATGGTTCATGTATGTCTGGATTAAATTGGAATACACCCAACTCACCTCTCTTGCGAACAATCCTCGCAATAGATCTTTCACCATCTCCCAGGGCATTGGTAACTTCATCGACACTCTTAATGCACTCCGCATCCCGAACAGCTCTGTCCGGACTTCCTCTATCGCTGCCTGTGCCGCGAAGCTCAACCCAATGTTGAGCATAGCCCATCCCGCAACCTTGAGATCCTTCATTCTGACTTTTCCCCGTTTACTTCCTGCCGGGAGACCAGCTTCACCCTGCGCCTTTACAACAACAGCAGCGGATGGGGTCAGGATATCAAAGAGGAAGAACAGAAGCGACGGAAGTAAAAAGAACAGGAGTCGCACGGCTGCGGTGCCGAATAGTTCGACTCGGAGCGGAGGATGCGACAGCACGAGAGTCGTCCATGTCATGTAAAAGAAGATTATATTGAGACTCGTGCTATATGAGGAGATCGTGGGAACTAGGAATAGAGAAAGCACTGGCAATGAGAGGAGCGCGTCCATTGTGTGCTGTGCGTTGCTATGTTGACCGTAATTTTGATCGCAGGTACTTATCTTTTATGTCTCTGATTTATATGTTCGGCTTCGTATGCATTTTTTAGTAGGTATGTGAAAGGGGAAAAGGAAACAGACAGTATAATAAACGGCTGGGGTATTCAAAAATATGAACAAACAAGTCCCAGGCTATGTCATTGTCGCAAATGGAGGTCATGAGCATACTATGTGGTGGTGGATTTGGGTAAGAAATCCGTTTGCAGCCTTAGCGGCTGAGCGACACGACGTCACACTCATGATCCACATGCCAACATGTTGTTGTTCTGCCCTAAGCTTGCCCGACGTTGCCTAAGATAGTGCTACCACTTAACTTTATTCTATAGCATTTCACTGGGATATACAGAGCACAACCAGACAATTCATTCCTTCATTCATAATTAATTTCTTACCACGTGCCAGCCCCTGGTCTCCTAAAGAGCTCCTAAAGAGAGGACCAAAAGAAAGTAAGGTTAAAATCCTTGAAAAAAGGCGAGAACGTAATACTAATATATTTCATATACTTGTACGAATTATGAATCTTACTTTCATCCAGCCTGCTGGGCATCATTTAGACAAAGGTTTCATACCAGGGAAAAGACATCAAACACTCGTATGGCACGTGTTTAGCGTGGGTCTAATGTAGGTACGGCTCAATAACACCTAATAGGACAACTCATAGACAGGAACACCAATAGTAGGTACGGATTTAAGGATAAGCGAATAAGGATGCCTAAGGATGTTTCATGGGTATCTAACCATATACCGGACAACAGAACATGCCAATTCCCAACACCATTGCGCTTTACTCCGACGTCCGGGACGACGGAATGCCGTTCTTCATACCCCAGTTCCAGGCCTGCTTTCGGAGATCAGGAACTACTTGCAAGAATGCCAAGCTACTGAGCCAGCTGGTCAATGTATCGCGGACAGTAGAGTTCCTTGGGCTGCCTCCCATGGCGCTTCCCTTCATTACATGACCAACAAACATAGTTGTGATAAGGTATTCGCCTCTTTCCAGTGCCGCAATCGCTATTCTCGCAACCTCGTCAGGAGTCTGTGGCTTGTCGGCAGCCTCCAGTTGTTTTGTCAACTCAGGTTTCAGCTTCTGTTCGTTGTCAAAGCCAGGGCTAAGAATTCCCATCGGGAAAACTGTGTGGACCTTGACGTCGGCAGGAGTAGCATTGATTTGTGATTTTGATTGACGAGTGCCGTTATACATTTCAATCTCTTGATTGAGGGTGTCGGATAAAGAACGAATTGCGGCCTTTGCAGGAGAATAAGGCCCGTACCCGGCGATCGGTACAAAAGCTAGTGTGGAACATGTAAAGATAAGATGTCTTCGCGGGTTTGTCGTCTGTTCGCTTGGAGGGACAGGTACTAGCCACTTTCTAAGGGTCGCATGGGCGGTGTTCGCCGCGGTCCAATAGACCGTGTCCATTTGATCTCTAAGCGTTTGGACTGGAGTGTCGACGAAAAACCCAGGGTTGCAGTAACCTGCGCAGCACCAGACGACGTCAGGAGGAAGACCACAATTCCACTCCGTGACCTCTTCAATGATCTGCTCGCATTGCGTGGCGTTTGTAAGATCGGCACTGATATAATGGAACCTTTGCCTGTTCAAATTCGCAGCCGACGCCTAAGAAAGGTAAGTATCTTTTAGCGTAGTCACACATAGCGGGTTTACCTTAACATTATCAAGCGCATCTTGAAGCTTCTTGACTGTTCGTGCAACGAGGACAACGTTCGCACCCTTTGCGGCAAGCTGGCAGGCGACAGCCTTGCCCATACCCTCAGAACCACCCGTAATCACCACGGTCTATAAGAAGGATAGGCATGATCAATAGTTTGTTTACGGGAAAGAGAGAGATTATATCGCATACCCTGCCCTCCACTATGAACTCGTTTGGTTGAGATCCGAAACCCAACACCTTCAAGCTGGGAAATATCCTGGAAACCATCTTGGTAAATGTGTATAGGAAGAACCCGCAAAGAATGACGGAAACCCCCAACTTGGTGGGAGATTGGTCGTTAGGGATGAAGGATAGTATTTGATGCATGGGGGAAAAGAAAGATTATGAGGATCTCAGGGAGAAAATGTGAAGGACCTGACCAGACAACAAAGTTAGTCCGTTGAGGAAGGTCAATTGGTCCTGCTGCTTCCTCTTCAGTCGAAGTTCAGATGCCGATCATCAAGATGGTTTGGAAGCCTTTTAGGAGCTTCCGTACATAAAGCATACAGTGGGGCCTTCTGATTTGGTGGCATTCCGCCTGTAACAACCTGTATCGCCAATGAAACACTCCAAACGCTGCCTATAAGAGACTAGCGTCGTTAAGGCGGTAAGCGTCCCGCCCAAAATTTTATCGCGGAGGTTTATCGATTCCGCAGATTTGGCCTGGATTAGATCAATTTTTTCTAATTCATCCGGAAGTCAAGCCATGGGGAAAAGAAAGGCGAGTGGTCGCCCGGCGGCCAGGAAAGAGTCCGCCCCAGAACGTACAAAATTCAACATCGAGGAGAGGTTTGACGACTCCGAAGATGACTTCCAGACTGGTCGGGATCAAGTCCTGCTGGAGGAAGAACCGGAGGCGAAGAGACGCCGGAAGGTGACCCAGGAAGGTTAGTTTAGGCGGTTCATCGTGGCTGTGATTGTTTTCTGACAGGGCGATTTTTTAGAGGAAATGCTCCAACCTTCTGATGAAGAAATCATGGGTTACGAGTCGGTCGACGAAGACGACTTGGAAGACGACGAGGACATGGACGAGGTGGATGATTACGGGCAAGAGGAGGAGATAGACGACGAAGAACTCTTACATCCAAGAACAAAGCGCGGTGGTGCTGCGGGGTCTGATTCCGAGGACGAGGACGAGGATGGCATTGCTGCTTGGGGTTCATCGAAGAAAGATCTTTACAATGCCGATCAAATAGAAACGGAAGCGGATGCTCTCGAGGAAGAGGAGGAAGCTAAGAGACTTCAACAGAAGCATTTGCAAGCGATGAATGAGGCAGACTTTGGCTTTGACGAAACCGAATGGGTCGAATCTGGCAAAGGGCAAGAAGATGGGGAAGGTGATGCTGGAGAAGTCACGGAGGTTCTCCCGCAGTTGGAAATCACAGACGATATGAGCACAGAGGAGAAACTGAAAATTTTGAAGTCGAGATATCCCGAATTCGAGCCATTGGCAAAGGATTTCATCGACCTTCAGACAACACATCGCACGCTTGCAGAAGCCGCCGAGGCTGCCAAGACCACCAAAGATGAAGCCCCGGAAGTTGCCCCAGTTGCTGTCATTAAATTCCGTGCCCTGTCGGCTTATCTTGGTACCTTTACTATGTATCTTCTGCTTTTAACATCATCTCGTGATCCCTCTGGGAATCCGGCTCCCTTGTCCCCGGCTCAGCTTCGATCACACCCCGTCATGGGTGCTCTAGTGAAGTTCCGCAAGCTTTGGGAGTCTGTCAAAGACCTTACTGCTCCCGAAGTGTCGGATGTCGAGGAGGATATGGACAGCGAAGAGGAGGTATCTGATGCACCCGTCTCCAAGAAGCAGAGCGAAAATAAGGAGGTGCAAATTCCCAAGAAGAAGAAGTCGAAGGTCTCGAAAGCACAACGCGCCGCTGAAGCAGCACAGGCAGAGGCAGAAGCTCGTAGGGCACAGAGACTACGGGAGACAGAGGCTAATCTTGCGGATCTCTCGAATCTCGTCACCAAGTCTGACAAGAAGAGAGCCACTCAAAAGGCTAAACAAACTTCTAAGGCTGCTGATGACTCCGACTTCGGTGATGAAGATGCTCTTACTGCTAAGGAGGCCGAGGAGAAAGCCAAGCAGAAGCGTTCTCTCCGTTTCTATACTTCCCAACTCGCACAGAAGGCTAACAAGCGCACTGCTGCTGGTCGCGATGCTGGTGGTGATGCGGATATACCTTATCGTGAACGTTTGAAGGATCGCCAGGCTCGCTTGAACGCTGAAGCTGAGAAGCGTGGTAGACAGAAGCCTAAGGAGTCCGAGCAACTGGGTGGCGATAGCGACGACGAAGACCATCGGGTTGCCAATGAGCTTAGAGGGGACCAGGGCGGATCAGATGATGACGATTATTACGATATGATTGCTGCGCGCTCCAAGCAACGTAAGGATGATAAGAAGGCGCGTGCCGAAGCCTACGCTGCTGCTGCCCGTGAAGGAGGCGAGGTGGCCATCCAGGAGGAAATTGGACCAGACGGCAAACGAGCCATTACATACCAAATCGAGAAGAACAAGGGTCTTGCGCCCAAGCGGAGCAAGGACTCCCGCAATCCCCGTGTCAAGAAGAGGAAGAAGTTCGAAGAGAAGAAGAAGAAGCTGGGTAGTATCCGCCAGTTATACAAGGGTGGCGAAGGTCGTGGTGGTTATGGTGGTGAACTTACTGGTATCAAGAAGAACCTGGTCAAAAGTGTCAAGCTATAGAATTTTACCCTTTGTTGTTTCTTTGCGGTATGAGTGGATACTTAAAGCTCGGGCGTTCGATCTCGTGATATCAAAAAGGATTTGTGTGTACATATATAATTCATATGATAAAACCCCCGTTCGAGACCCCTTTCCTTCTCAGACTGGTTTAAAAACATGCACATTCTGGTAACAAAACAAATTTCCTTGCTGAACAGTGAAACTATACTTCCCCATTGGTTTCTCCAACAAGCATGCTTAGCATATCACTCACAGCTTCGTCGTTTCCTGTTGACAGATCTAAACCTAGAAATTTTCTCGCAAGCATGTCCTTCGATCATGTCAGTCTCTTATGTGTTACACAAAAGCCAGAAGACAATAAGTATTGCCCTACCGCTTCTTCCAAAGCGTGCATATTCTCAGCTGACAACATGGCACAAGCTGCTGTCAAATTTTCACCACGAACAGCGAGTGATGCCAGCTCATTTGCCCGTTCTACGATTGTCTCGTTGATTCCGTTCAGCGCCGCACAACTATCTCATCCATGCAAGTTAGATATAAGACCAAGACATCCTGCGCGTACGTGAAACCCACATCGGTCCATAGCTCTTATCGCTCCGGCCTAGATGGAAGCTATGTCAAGATTTTGTTATCAGATCAAGTTCGTTTTATGTAAATGAAGCTTCGGAACGGACTTATAGAGATATGTGATCCGGTCTTCCGCGTTGCAGGATTCTTCGCAAACCTGAACCTCCATATGACCGAGCAGCAGTCGGGGCCCTGGCTTGAGAAACTCATTCTCGAGCATCTCGTGGAAGTGTGTTGCAGCAATAACCTTCGGCGCATTCTCGACTATGAGTAAGTGGTTAAGGATTCCGCAGATTAACCCAATACCATCTATAGCAAATATTTTAGTGTTTGACATGGAGAATAGATTAAGTGAAAGAAACGGACCGCTCTCGCTGGTACCCTTGCCAAACTCATCTATTATCAATAAGCTGCGCTCGGTCATCTGCCTCAAGTCAAACGATATCTGCTGCAGATCGTTCATGAATGTGCTCTGAATCTGGAGCGGCATTAGCCTTATCTCTCAGTGAACATAAGTTGATTGCTATCACCTGGGACACACTGTCTTGGCTATTAGATTTGACCAGTATCTTGTCTGTTATCCCTATTTCGACGCTTTCTGCTGGAACGAAGCTACTGTATTCAGTTGCATGTAGTTAGCATGACCAGGTGATTCACTGCCTTACATACCTTCCCACTTGTGCCAGATAAATGATCAAAGCAACCTGATGTTCATTACAAGGTGAATACCTTTGTGGAAATTATTGTTCTTACCTGCTTCATATAAACGCTCTTTCCAGAGTAATTCGGGCCTGTTAATAGCAACGTGCTTGGTGTACCCCATGTTTCGAGCGCTGTTTGGGATTTAAACGAAGAGCATGGAGCCCATGCACCTAGCTTCCCACCAACTAACAGGGTATCGTTCGGCACATATGACGAGACAGTCAATTCTTGGATAATATGTCTGTCGAAATGTCAGCCCGCGCTGATAAGACTTTCCCTCGTTTAGTTTACCGTCCTCCTTTGATGCTGATGACATTCTCTCGCACTAATTTCGGGCAGGTCAGCCTATAGAAGCTTGCTGCCTGTGACATGGCAAGGAGGCTGCGAGAAATCAGTCTATGTCTGTCAAGAGGACGTTGAGAACGCTTGCCTATCAAGGTGACCACATATATCTGATACCTCGAGGAGTACTTTCTCATATTCAAGCACTTTCTGTGCTAGCTCGTAGACAATCTCAATTTCTTTTTCTTATAAACAAACAAAGAATTAGTATAATATGCAGAGAACATATAACTTAATACGTACCACATATCAGCCCATATATATCACCCAATTTCTCATCCATCTCCCTCATTCTAAAGTCTTTAAAGTATGCCCGGTTCTCGGTGACAAAAATGAGCTCCCAATCATCATCGGAGCCAGCGAAGGCTGCCTCACCCCTATTGTTCAGCGGGATCGCGATATTAAAGCCAAGCTGAGGGAAGTATATCACATTCACATCAATATCAAGGCTTTCCGGAATGGTACTCGCAATATCTATTGCAACTTGCTTCAACAAACTGCTCAAACCATCATATCTGTCTTTCAGCTTATCAAGTTCTCTGTCTAGTCCCGGCTTTACCACCGTCCTACCCTGCTCCTCGGTGCTATCAATATCGACCTATTATCTCTTAGTCGAGGCTTCTATAGGTAGGCTTAGGTTCCTTACTATCTCTTGGATCATTTGTCCAACCCTGTATAACTGAGCGGCTTCCAAAACTCGAAGGGCCTGGAAATGTCAGTGTACACATAGTGGTCAGAGTGTTATACTTACCTTTTGAAGCAAAGCTAGTTCATTCCCGGAAGCAGTTTCCTTGAGGGCATCATGAATATCAATACCGTAGAAGGCAAACTAAGAAATTTTTAGTAGATTGCTATATATAGTCTTACCCTGCTTGACATACGGCTAGCAAGGTGGCCCATACTGTGGTCTTGAAGCCTGTTATTTTGCCACTTCCGGTACTTATTCCTTTTCGAAGGTTGACCATAACGGGACGGAGGTTTTTGATATGTTTGAGACTCCTGGTAAGCTTACTTAGCGAATTGTTATTATCTGGCCGTAAATATACGCTAATAAATGCATGGCGTTCGCATATGATATCTGTGTCTATACTTGGGCGGAGAAAAATTTGCCTAAGTCGGTGCCGTCCTTGGGGGCTATAGGCAAAGCGTTGGAATAAACCGTATACCGAAAGACCCTCCTTTGAGGACGATGACTTTCTTCCTGGCCCTTGATTGACCATACTTGGATGAGACTCCGACTCCAGGATTTGAAGTGCCAGCAATGTCCTTCCACTCAGGAACCTAGTTCATGTCAAGATCCTTATTCTTGATATTTGTCAAGTAACTAACACACATGGTTCCTTGTAAGCTGAGCATTTTGATAGCGCGCACCTGGAAGTATGATGAAGTCTCATCACTGGAAATAGATATAGTTGCCCTTCGCCTTTGAAGGTAAGTGAGAACAGCACCTGCGCAGCCAATTGTCACTTTATTCTCCAAGTCGATCGAACCGGGCATATGTAAGAACCTGCCATCTTGTAACGTAAAGTCCAGACTCTCAGTGTCCATCTGCTCCGGATCAATTAGTCCATTGTGGGGTACTAGAAACCTGATGCGTTGCTCGTGTTCCGAGGATATCTCCAATGCCGCCAGTTTATTCTTCGCGTTGAGGTAACTGAATTCCTGGGACGGACGAACATCGAGCTGATAGGGAAAGTAAGATTGACTACCTATTCATCTATTTATCAACCTCTAATTCTTAACTATTAGACACCCCTGAAGCTTACAATATCCTTTTCTAGACTCGTCTGTGTCCTGTGAACCGAGATAGTCGACTCGCGGTGAAAGTAGGAGTACTGTAGGCTTAGTTTGAATGACAACTAGGGCTTGATTAGTATCTTTGAAACGATGAAATGGATTGCTTAACGAACGACTATCGAGGATCTCAGTGCCAGCTGATTGCATGTCTCCTAACAAATATATTGTCTCTTCCTGTGCCGAATAGTATGAACAACCTATAGTGCCGGATTCTCTGATGTCAATGGCTACCATTACTTGCTCAAGATAATCATCTGTGAGCTGTTGTATCGGACCACCGGATAGATAGTCTCGGGACTCATTGGATAATGGTTGCCTCAGTACGGGAAATTTTTGCGAGCTGGAAGGAGGATTGTATGAGGTACTAGACTGTGTACCTCTATGGCTAAGTCTAGAATGGGAAGAATGTGATGTGGCGTATGAGTGATATGTTGTTCGTCTTTTCTTTGATCGACTCTCCATAGTGTTCGGTCAAAGATGGTGCTCAAGTGAACTCTTGTGATTGCGACTATTGTCCAAGGAAGGCAAATGTGGTCGAAACCTACTAATATCCTAAAATGAGGAACTTGGGGCCTGAGGCCCGAACATCTGACCTGGTTTGCTTATATGAAATTCTAGAAGCTAATAACGAGGATTCTCATAAAAAGGAAATTCATATACATATGTGTCTAAGTAACACTGTAGTAATGTGCACACAAAAGTGGCGATCTCGTTAATATACATAGGCATCATTAAGAGTGAAGACGTTCTGAACACCATTTTCCCAACCTACCGAACCTGCTTGGGTTATCCAACTCCAGTGAAGAAAAAAAAAATTAAAAGTTCATCTCAACAAATTTATGGGTTTTCGGTCTCTGTCGGGTAAGTTGCGTTTGTTGCATCTTCAGTCTTTGATCCTTCTGCAGTAACTTCAAGCCCGCTCTTGTCGGCGTTGAATGAAACATGGGCGGTTTGTCCGGAGGTGACTTCACCACGAATGATTTTATCGGCCAGCCTGTTGCCGATTTCCTTTGCGATCAGACGGTTGAGGGGACGAGCACCATATCTAGGGTCGTATCCTTTTTCGCAAAGCCAGTCCTTAATCTCTCCGTCCACCTGCAGAGTCATCCTTCGATCGTCGAGCCTTGATTGAAGCTCTTTGAGTCTGATATCGACAATGTCTCTAAGAGCTTCTCGAGAGAGTCTCTTGAAAATAATAAATTCATCAATCCGATTGAGGAACTCTGGGGGATAGGCATGTTGCACCACATCCATGACCGCTTTCTTGGTATCAGGGGAAACCTCGTCCTGATCGGTCTGCTTGAGAGTATGCAGGGGATCCGAGCCCACAAGGATATCGGCCCCGAGGTTAGAAGTGAGGACAATAAGGGTATTCCTGAAATCAACTTTGTGTCCCTGAGCATCCGTGAGGAAGCCCTCATCCAAAACTTGAAGCAGCAAGGCAGATATATCACGATGAGCTTTTTCAAATTCATCGAACAAAAGGACCGCATACGGCTTTCGTCTGACGGCTTCTGTGAGCTGGCCGGCATCGTCGTAGCCCACGTAACCGGCGGGAGAACCGATTAAGCGACTGATCGTGTGTTTTTCCTGGAATTCGCTCATGTCAAATCTCACAACGGCTGTCTCGGTGGAAAATAAGAACTCGGCCATTTTCTTGCAGAGTTCGGTCTTTCCAACACCTGTAGGACCGAGGAACATAAACGATGCCAGTGGCCGATTTTCTCCACTGAGACCTGCTCTCTGCATACGGACTGCGTTGGCTACTGCCGAGAGCGCTTCGTCCTGGCCACGAACAGACCGTCGCAGAGTGTCCTCCATCCGTATCAGTTTTTCAACTTCTCCGGCCATGAGCTTATTGACTGGAATACCGGTGGTACGCGAAACAACGTTCGCAATGTCGTCCGCCGTGACAGAGTCATGAATCAGACTCTGAGATCCTGCAACCTGCTCTTCACCTTCCTTAGGCAGCTTGGCCTCGAGACTTGGGATGGTGGAGTACCTCAACTCGCCGGCTTTTGCAAAATTCCCTTCTCTCTGAGCCTGCTCAAGTTCGAAACGAGCACGCTCTAGGTCCTCTTTGGTACGCTTGAGAGTTTCGATTTCAGCCTTCTCTTTCTCCCAAGTCTCCGTCAATTTGGCGGCTTCTTCTTGTTTGGCTTTTAAGTCTTCCTGTAGTTTTTCTCGTCTCTCACGGCTGCTGACATCGGTTTCCTTGCGCAGGGATTCGAGCTCGATCTGGATAGTGGTGATGTCTCGATCCAGTTCACGAATTACATCTGGCTTTGATTCTTGCTGCAGTCGTAGGGCTGAGGCGGCCTCATCCACTAGATCAATAGCTTTGTCCGGAAGGAAACGGTCGGTGATATAACGGTTACTGTAAGTTGCTGCGGCTACTAAAGAGCCGTCTGTGATCCGTACACCGTGATGGACTTCGTACTTGTTCTTTATACCACGCAAGATCGATATTGTGGCAGCCACGGAGGGCTCTCCGACCATGATCGGCTGGAACCGTCTCGCCAGGGCGACATCCTTTTCGATCAATCTGTATTCATTTAGAGTGGTAGCGCCACAGCACTGGAGCTCGCCCCTTGACAAGGCCGGTTTCAGAAGGTTACTAGCATCGATGCTGCCCTCTGCCTTTCCGAGACCAAGTAAAGTGTGCAGCTCGTCAATGAATAGAATCACACCGCCTTGTGCCTCTTCGACCTCTTTGAGGACAGTTTTCAAGCGTTCTTCGAAATCACCTCTGAATTTCGCACCAGCTATAAGCGCACCTAGATCTAGAGAGATGACACGTTTGTCCTTGACACTCTCCGGGACATCTCCTTGGACAATCCTTTGGGCCAAACCTTCCAAGACCGCTGTTTTCCCGGTACCAGCGGCACCTATCAGTACCGGGTTATTTTTCGTTCTCCTTGACAAAACTTGGATGGTTCGATGAATTTCAGCATCTCGCCCGATGACGGGGTCCAGCTTGCCGGCCTTCGCCTTTGCGGTAAGATCAACTCCATATTGTTCTAAAGCTGACTTCTCCGGCTCACCTCCCAAATTCATGCGGTGAGTACCGCCAGGGGGATGAGGGCGTCCACTCGCATAATTGCGAGCCGGGAATATAGGCTGGAATAGATGTGTCCTATTTGCGATAGAAGGAAGGATCCGGGCGTGCGAAGGTAAACGTAGTTGAGTAGGACGGAATATACGGTTTGGCGATGATAGTGCTGGGGAGCGCAGCAGTCGACCTCGAGCGAGCTGCAACCTTGAAGCCATGGCTAGCTAGAATCTGGCAATGGGTTCAAGATTGAGAAGTCCGATTCAAATGTTAATCGAGGTCATCCATGCGAGAGACTATGACATGCCTATATACCCTGGCAACCCAAAGCATCGTGACGCTTCTCGAAAGCTCCACCGCGGCGGCAACGGTGAGTGGCGGAAGCTCTCCTAGATGGCCGACGAGCTCCGTCCGCGGTCACGTGCGGATCCATCGAGGGGCTATTTGGCCTCCGTCGAAAATTTCACACCTCGAGTGGATCTGGTGCCGAAAAAAATTGGTTTCGAACACCTTCCCCCTCCTAGTACCCTCCTATATATTACTCCTCTTCCCCCCCCTTACTTCCCACACCAACCACATCTCTTTCACACATAAATCACTCGTCACAATGGGTTTCACCGACTTGGTTTCTGACGCTGGCCTCACTGGTGCGTTTCTTCTTCTTCTCCTTTCTTCTCCTTCGTCTCTGCTTCATTGCTTGGGTTTTCCTGAAAGCTAATGTTACCCCTCAGTTGCCAACAACTGGTTCGCCACCAGGAGCTACGTTATTGGGTAAGTTCTTTGGCATCATTTTCTTTTTCTTATTTCGAATTATTTCCTATCCGATATGATGAAAACAAATTGGTCCGTGTTTATGAGGCGGCTTAAGACCCCGCTGCAAGATTACACAACTTTGCGAGAAATCGCGTTTCTGATTACCAGGAAAAAAATATTTTTCCCTTCTGCGATATGTTGCCTGTCTTTATACTTTCTTGAAGGCCACTACATGGGTGTCTTGAATTCTCTTAACTGACTGGCAACCAGCGATGCTCCTTCTCAGGCCGATGTCGTGACCTTCAAGGCATTCTCCAGCGCCCCTGACGCTGAGAAGTACCCTCACGCCGCCCGTTGGTACAAGCACATTGCTTCCTACGAGGCTGAGTTCGGCTCCCTCCCTGGTGATGCCTCTAAGGCCTACACCACCTACGGCCCCGAATCCACCGAGCTCCCCACGAATCCTAAGGACAAGCCCGCCGATGATGATGATGACGACGTGGACCTCTTCGGCAGTGACAGCGAGGAGGAGGACCCTGAGGTCGCCAAGAAGCACGCAGAGAATCTTGCTGCGTACAGGGCGAAGAAGGCGGCCAAGCCTCAGGCCGTTCACAAGTCCCTTGTCACTCTTGAAGTCAAGCCTTGGGGTATGTATCCTATGCCTGATGCTCCCTGAGGAAGCCACATATGTTAACCATTCTGCAGATGACGAGACCCCCCTTGACCAGTTGCTGGCGAACGTCAAGGCAATTGAGAAGGATGGCCTTGTCTGGGGTGCCCACAAGTGGGTTGAGGTTGGCTTCGGTATCAAGAAGCTCCAGATCAGTCTTGTCGTTGAGGACGACAAGATCTCCCTTGACGAACTCCAAGAGGAGATCCAGGAGGACGAGGACCATGTCCAGTCCACCGATATTGCTGCTATGTCGAAGCTGTAAATGAAACGTTTATGAAGAGAAACGGTGTGATGAAGGAACTTTCATGTTATTGAACGGAAACTAAAGTCATGAATCTAAGCAAATAACTAGCACTCGATCGGTATTGTCCGATTGTTTTGATGAAAAAAATGAAAAAATACCCCAATAATAACACATCGTTGTCTCTTTAGCTCCAGTAAACGTATACCATTCTAGGATATGTTCTTGTCACATGGTGCTTAACTGTACCTATTCAATGTTCATTCAGGGGTGAGCTGGACTACAATGGTGGAATGGTGCCCAACCTTGCTTGATTTGGGCTTTAGGATAAGTGGAGGAGGGGTTTGTGGGAAGAAATCGGGACGTACATGCACAAGTGGTTTCCTTAGTCCACCGTAGAAGCTAGATTGCCCTGGAACATCGTTCCTAAGCTTTGCTCGCCCAGTCACTTCACAACCATCTGAGGATTCGAGCATTTCTGTGGCACAAGCAGACAGAAAATTGTCGAGTCTAGATAGCTCATTTTCTTTCAATTGATCAGGTTACATTGGATGGCTATGGGGTTCATCTCACGTTTGGTGACGTTCTTCGGACTCGTCCTCCTCGCCCATGCGTGAGTACCGCGATTTGCCTTACGAATTAAACCATCCTGTTCTTTTTGCAACAGAATTGCTTACCAAAATTATCGGGAAAACAGGGGTTACTCCGCACATGAGCATACGGTCTTGTACAGCAATGCCCGCCTCTCAGCGTCTACTGCTCTCCCCCAGGATATCGTCATCGAAGCTCTAGTATCCCTCGTTCTCGTTTCAGTGGGCCTAGTATTGGGCGCGCCCAGATTGAAGCCGATTAGCTGGAGCCAGTGGGCTGGGGAGATCGAGAAGGAGGGTGGTGGCAGAAACCCCTACCGGAGGCTGGAGGAGAGGTATAACTTCTGGGACGTGCGGGTACGTGCTATATACCTTTTCCGATGGAGTCTGGTCTCTGAGGATACGCTTCTGACTGTACTAGGCCAAACGGAAAGAATTTGCGGATTGGATCAAGGGCGAGAATCCTCTAAAGGAGTGATGCATGCTTTGCTATAGGAAGCTGTCTGGGATATTACCTTTATGTACAGTTATATCAGTCAAAATTAATGAAGAAGTGGTTGCTCCTGGGTCTGCGTTGCTATTCCTATTGCGTTGCTTTGGGTTTGATAGTTTGGAGGCCTGTTACCAGCTGAGTGTGTGTGTGGAGTACACATATAGTGTGATGCAGTTACAGGGTGTCTGGTGTCATGAACTCGGAAGATGCTGTCGTTTGCTGTTGATTTTTTTGAATCGATGCCCTGGCCCTACTAAGGAGCCATTCCGTCATACCTTCCAGTATTATGAGGACAACATGAATAGCCGACTGATGATTTCAATGTACTGCCTGAGTCCACCTCAGGTATTGGCAGTGTCTCTGACCTGTTCAAGCCCCAAAAAACAAGTATTGCATCTTTGGTTCTCCATGACTCCTTTAACGCTTTCACCAGCTAAACCCACAGCTCTTAAAAGACAACCATAGAACATACGTTAGCCCAACAATGCCATGAGTATCTCCCAAACACCACCCTCCTAATTACATCCCAACGCTAAACACTGTCAAGAATGGATACTTCCATCCCAGACAAAAACCTTACATCGAATCCCCTACATGAACACCCCATCCGCACACAATAGATCAGAACGCCCCTCAAAAACCACTAGATACCAACTCCCCCCTCCAAAGGGCGGCACAAACCGCAAGCAAATGGAGCATGTCTCAAATCCCCCAACCCACGTTACCACCAGCACAAGAATAGAAGGCTAACCGAGCTCCTCCGAAGCTCCATAAACATGTCAATTTGCCATGTGATCTAGCTCCATAGCACACAAGCTGGTCACCGTCAACAACGTGGGCCTAGTGGGAGACTTTTGATATTCTACGTTCTACGAAGACGCTATATCTTCCGACCAGCAGGGTCGGTTTCACTCTGGGACGTGGACCGTTGTCCCCCTCCCCCGTTTCTTGGATGATAGATTGAAGGCAATTGACTTTGCTGTTGTGGGCTTGTGGGTGAAGCTGCGATGTTTATGATATCGGGGGGGTCTTTAAGGGCCTTTGGGGCTTGTTTGGATGATGAGGGATCATCTGTGGGTGTGTGGATGTGTGCTATGTCGAGGAAATTTCTTGGGATCTATTTGAATAAAGCTAAGTGAGCTGTTGCAAATATGGTGGCTCGGTGTGGCTGCGTTTTTCCTCTACGTTGCGATCTGCGGTGGTTTCTCGCCCAGGCTCTGAACTGTGAGGACCTGAGCGTTTTCAGTTGATGCCGAGATGGAATTAGTGCTGACGCTGATGGGTAGTTCTTCACAAAAGCAAGAATAGGGAATACTCCAGTAGATAACAAACCAAGCCAATGGGGATGGAAGGAGGAAGTGCAGCATCGTAGGATGAGATGGGATTAACCCCGAAGTTCTATAAATCTACAACGGGAGGATGGATGCAAGACTATGCCTATCACTGTCGATACTCTATTTCCACCCTACCGGGTCCTACTAGGATGTATTGAGATCGTTGAGATATCAACGTTGCAATGACAGACGCCGGGTCTGAGAAACAAACACGAACCCAACCCCATGATGTGGAACCCATTCCAAGCCGCACGAGCTGAGTAACAAAGATAGAAAGACATTGACAAAGTCGCATGAGTGGTAGATTATGGGGTACGTGTGACAGTGTGTTCCCACATACCTCTTCTCACACCCATAGAAGGAAAGCACCAGTCCCCATAATAATATTATCACATAAATTGCCAGACTCCACTTATGCGGCAGATTAATGGGGACAACATGGACGGAGGACAAACCCTAACATTTTGCCATCATCCTGTTCCAGAATCGAAGAAAGAGGGGGGGGGGGAAGTTCCATTATTTTAAAGGGCAAGAAAAAGAGAAGATGGAACCTTGGTTTTCATCATTTAGGCTTGTTTGGGATATCTGTGGATATAATGACCCTTTTTCTCTTCATTAACCGAGATTTATTGTGACATACTGTTATCCTTGCATTTGCCGTTGGCGCAATGGAGAGTCTGGCCATTTACTTGGCACCCTCTTTTTTTGCTTTTTTGGGGTTTTTTTTTTTTTTTTTTTTTTTTTTTTTTTTTCTTTTTTTTTTTTTTTTTTTTTTTTTTTTTTTTTTTTTTTTTATTTTTTACCTTTTCCCACACAAGGGGGCTTTTTGGTTCTGACTTGTGAGTAGTCCAAAGGTTGTTCGTATTACAACGCCCTGCGTGTACTGGTTGGTACCTTACGGGAGGTAAAAGAACTTTGGTTCTGGCCCTTGTTGCAATCCATGTCTTGGATGGAATGTGTCGATCGGCACTGTCAATGGTTGCTGCATACGTGGACAGGTAGACTAATTTTAATTGTTCTGTACGAGGTACTGGATGTAGAGATAATTCTCTCTCCTCTTGGGTAAGATTTGGTCATTAAAGTCAAGGTACCTTGTACATATTTCGGCAACGAACAAAGCGATGGCAAATGTTGCCAGTGGGAGTGAAACTCTGCCAACCTGATCCATTAAATGAACATGTGTCGACGGTCATACAGGCAAAAGGTGTTAGGACAGTAAGGTTTGAATCGGTGGCGGTACTGGGCAAGATCGAGGCTTGAGCCTCGAACGTACTGGAACCTGTATACGTACGTATGGTACTAGGTATCCCCATCGCGCCATCCAATCCCCCATTCCCGACGAGAGACAAGTAGTGGTGGCTTGATTCAGGTTGAAGGACGTAGACACGGGAGGCTGAGACCAGGCCCCGGGTGACTAAACCGATTTAGGGATAAAGTAGATTATCCATTCGGTTGTCCCGTTTCTTGGTCCATGCGGATCAGACATAGGACATATGCATCGGCCGGTCGTCTTTGGGAGAAGTCTTGTTTGTCACTAGTAAGGGAAGAAGTCGTCCAACAATCTCTCCCCTATGGATATCCTCCTCGTAATTTGGTTTCCTCCGTTTTTCCCAAGGGCTAAAATAGAAGAATTGACTCATTACGTGTGCTGTTGATGACGAGTGAAGGATCTTACTATTAGTTCTTGGGAGGGGATCTATTGGTACCTACGTGGATAGGTATTCTAAACGGATTTGAATACCTAGTATGTACTCCATACACTGTACTTCGGGTTACATCTTGTTCGTTTCTGATAGTCAGAAAGTCAATAAAGAGAATGGACGAGAAGTAAAACGCGAAAAAAGAAAATAAGAAATTCTGAGACAGGGAAACAAACAAACAAAAAAAAAAAAAAAAAAAAAAAAAAAAAAAAAAAAAAAAAAAAAAAAAAAAAAAAAAAAAAAAAAAAAAGGAAATTAAAGAAAATTAAAAACAAAAGGAACTAGAGCTTCGCCTGATTCTACCTTCTTTGATGGGACAGTACAGTTAGAATTGTATAGAAACTGAGATTTAATTGGTCACGGGCCGGCAAGACAGTGGATCCCCCAGCTGATGTGTTGCGGTGGTCACCAAAAATAGTATGGAGCATACGCAACCTCCAAACCTTTCGAGATGTGTATGCGGAGGAATTTTCTTTAATAACAGGGATTCTTGATGGATTCTCATTACCCGATGGATATATTTCTAGTGACAGGGCTTAGATCAAGGACGTCCCTCAGTGTCTGGACTCTGGCCTCACAAAATTTCCAACTAGGAGGCTGGTCGGGAATGATGCTTTGAATTGTGATTTTCTCTGGGCTCAGCACCCGTACCTTTTCGACTAAGCCCTTCTTTAGAACAAGTGGATCCCGAGATGCAGATACGATTGCCACTAAAGATGCAGACAGGGCTGACGGGGAGGGCGACTTGACACCTAATAGATCCTTAGTTTGGAGTCAAGTATTCACATGGGGTGACTGTATTATAGTTGTTATTATTTATTTTTTCTTTTCTTTTCCCATTTTTTTTTTTTTTTTTTTTTTTTTCAAAAAGCAATCCATTTGATTGACTTACCTATTATTAGTCTTCATGGATAATCCATTTTTTCCCCTTCCTTATTAATTTTGGATTATTATTATTATTATTATTAGTAGTATTTATATTATTTATTACCCCGTCCTTCTTGTCTATTTAAAGACACCCCCTGCGCCCTGTCACTCTTTGTTTGACCCTTTCTTTCCCGGAGTAATATAAAGGAACCATACACTCGTTTCCTATTCCTTCCAACAATTACACTCGCTTGCCTTCCTCTGCGTGTCATCGTCTGATCATCTCCGCCCTCAGTTCACTGCTAACTAATTGATCAACGGATCTACTCCAAACATCAAAATGCGTGCTACTTTCATCCTCGCTGCCTTCGCTGCTGTGGCTGCTGCCCAGTCTTCTTCTGCGATTGTAAGACCATACTTCGTTTCATCAATGCTTTCTACCATTCCATAGTGCTAACTTGGATCTCACTCTAGCCTGAGACTGCCTCTGATGTCGAGACCACTGGCGCAGCTGAGACGGGCACTGCCACTCCCACTGGTGGCGCTGAGACCGGCTCTACTGTCATTCCCACCGTCACCTCTCAGCCTGTGATCCCCTCTGGAACGGCCACCGAAGCCCCCACTACTCCCACCGCTAGCGGTGCTGAGTCCTCCGGTGCTGTGACCGGATCCAGCTCTGCTGGTTCCTCTACCCTCGTTACCAAGTCTAGCAGCGCTGCGAAGAGCTCCTCTGCCACTGCGACTGAGACCTCCACCAAGACCAAGTCGACCGACGAGTCCACCAGCACCAAGAGCTCTTCCAAGTCTAGCTCCGCTGCCTCCAGCACCTCCGAGGGCGCTGCCGTCCCCATGGCCACTGCTGGCCCTCTCGGTCTCATTGCCGGTGCTGCCATCGCTGCTCTCCTGTAAATGGACTGCTCGTGACCCATTAGACGTTTGGTCGATTGACAATATCGCTTCCGTTCTCAAGCATCAGTGTGCTTCCACAAGCGGACTTGTGCTTCATGGACCTCCCCCTTCCGACCGTCCCAGCTACCGGGGATGGTGGAACGATAAGAGATGAGGCATACGGATACCGAGGTTCATCTCTATATTCCATATGTATCATTGCCGGGAAGGGCTTTTTTTTTCCAATTTCCTTTCTTTTCTCGTCTGACTTTCAAGTCGCCGCTGTTACACAAGACACGCTTAATATTCGACGCGCACATATCAAACTTGTCTTTCTTGAAAGTTTAATCATAATACCATAATGATGCTACGCTACAGGTAAATAGGAACTCCATGTCCTGAGGAAACCCGTGATGATGATTTGTTTTGTTGTACTACGCTTGATATCACCTGTAGATCTTTTATGTAGTGTTAAACTTTGTTGACAAGTCTGCTCAAACGCAGACGCAATATCAGATCAGTTATTCTCAATTGAACAACAATCGGCCGGTTTCCTAAAAGAAGATCGAATAACGCGGTCCAGCATATGCATATCAGCTCTTCAAACTGAAAATGTTACCCCGTAACTCAAAGAGCGAAGCCAGGAGAAACAACAAGGCTAGGAAGGAGAGGTGGGCCCGTCAGGTAGACCAGATTTACATGAAGCGTACTATGTTATTAAGCAGCATACTTTATGGGAATTGTTATTTGGACCTCACGTTAAGCCTATATAGAGAAGTCAAGCGAGCCATACAATTAAAAAACACACTAGTCAAGCCCTTTCAAATTCAGCTTATATGATATACTATAAATCAATAACTAACTATGGATTAGTATATTACAAAAAAATACTTAAACTAAAATATTGTTTTTTTTAAACACTTCTACTGTCAACAGTATACTGGTTTATAGCTCAGAATCTCTCTATTCATTACCTAGATTAGGTAGGTAGCAAGGTTGCTATATAATATTGAAAAGATAATAGATATAGACACTGATATTGCCCTTAGAGAGAGGGCCCGGGGAGGTAAGAAGGGGAGTTCTATATTCCTATTCAAGAATAGTCCCGCTTAACTAGCAGTATTACCAATACATAGTATCATGCTTTCCTATGTAGGCTTAATGTGAGGTCCTAATAACAATTCCCTACTTTATTCTAGAACGACGATCTCTCCAAAGGGGATAGGCAAATCACTAAAGCGACACACAAAGTGACTCGCCATGTCTCTATATAAGCCATTGAAGTCTCGACTTTTCACACTATACATAACATCTCAACAACACTGTACTGTGCTTAGGGGTAAGCTACAGTGTACGGAGTACATACCTTTTGTTATGACAAGTGTTTGCATGTATACCTGCTATATCTATCTAGACTATCAGAAATGCCAAGGACGCCCTAATTCAAGCAAAGCAGGCGTTCGTGTGTTAAACATGATGTATACCCAAATTGAGAGATCATAAAGCAGGTATGTACATATGTACATACACGGACATACATACATATATACATACATACATACATACATATCTATATATCATAGCCGTCAACTTGAACTATCACTTAATCTCAATGAGCATTGCATCGGATAAATTCCGACGCAGGTCCCATTCCGGAGCGGTTTAGGTTGAAACTTGAGGCTTCCAATCCCCTATCAAAAACCATCCAGACAACCTTTAATGACAAAAGTGAAACCCAAGAATGTGTCAAACCACTAGTCAATCCCTTGTAGATTCACAACCAAAATCTAACCAAGACTGCCAGAGTAGATAATATAGCAGGTCTACATGTACCATCCTCCGTACCAAATCAGGAAACCAACTGAGCCAATAACACTTCCTAAAACGCGCAAACGACGCGTCAGTCACATGATTATCGCGTTTGTTTGTGGAGCATGGAACAAACCGTATCGGGTCTAGTGCCGTCAGCTTCACATCATCAAAACAAAAGAGGGCTGTTGGGGGCAACCAAAGTTTGGGTCCATAGCCGCAATTCGTTAAAACAGGTTCAGCATTCTTGTCTTTTCTTTGGGGGAAGCTGTGGTTAATCCGGTTGCCATTTCCTATAGACAAGGGTATCCCTTCACTGGTCTATATTTGATTAGGGGGAAGTATAGTTGGTTACAAACATCTGTTCTCAAGTGAACACTTCTACAACAGAATTCAAGTCTGTGAACTTAGTGACAAAACAAAAAACAAAGAAATGGTGATTTACTAGTGCCAGTCCCTAACAGTTGATCTGCAGAACACTAACTGTGCATAAAACGCCCAGGTTTCGGGTTTAAAACGTCTCGCTGCGGACCACGCCGCATTGCATGATGACCTGCCCCCGAATTATCTCTTCCCATCGGAGGACTCGTCGAGCGATGACCTCACTCAACTTACGACCTTGCTGGCTGGTCCGCAGGGAACACCATATTCACAAGGCCTATGGTGCGTACACTTGAAGATGCCAGATGACTATCCTAAAAGTCCACCGAAGGCGACCTTCAAAACCCGCATATGGCATCCCAATGTGGAGGAGTTGACGGGTGCGGTGTGCGTCGATACACTGAAGCGGGACTGGAAGGCGACTCTGACGTTGAAGGATGTTTTAGTTGTGAGTGTGCACGATCTCTATGAGAGGTATAATTGGACAGAGAGGCTAATAAATTGCGGCGCGCGTACAGACAATTTCATGCCTGCTTATTTACCCGAACCCGGATTCTGCGTTGAATTCTGCGGCCGGGGCACTACTTCAGGAGAATTACGAGGCTTTTGCGCGACAGGCTAAACTAATGACGTCCATTCATGCGCCGGTGCCGACGGACTTGAAAAGTGCAGCAGCTGAGGCAAAGACCAAGGGAGAAGATGTCGGGACAACGATCCCGGAGCAAGAAGAGCCTCGCTTGTTGCGTTCAAGGAAGGGAACTAGGGTTCAATCCGTGACTATGAAGAAGAAGAATACTCGGAAGAACGGAGAGCGGGCATCATCACGCTCACAGCGTCAATCCAATAGTCCGGAGACAGAAAACCTTGCCGAGGAGCAACAATTAGAGATTCACCATGAAGCCGATTCAATACTCTCAGACGACGAGTCTGAGAGCCTCTCCAACGCCAGCAAAGAGAACGACCCAGCGCTATCGCCGTCCCCGGTCAAATTTGCTCCACCGAGCCCCAGGAAAAACGCCCTCGGAAAACGTCCGCTATCCGTCCTAACGCTGCCTCTAGATACAGACCCCTTTGCAATGGATCCAGACGACAGTGACCTGGAGGGCATGACGGCGTCTGAGAAGAACATCGCAGCAAACAATTACGGTGACAGCTCAGAACGCGATCCTTCTCCACAGAGAAAGTCGCCAAAGTTGTCCGTCCGTAGTAAAGGGGTCAACTCATCCGGGCGCATACGGGAAGAAGTCAAGATATTCGAAGACGCTCCAGAACCGCTTGACTTGGACCGCTGTCATAGCGGGGACGGCAAAGAGAACCATGGCTCCCTGGCCGGCCCGAAAGGGCTTGGTCTTGCTTCCAAGAAAGCCCTTCCCACTTGCCCTCCGACTTCACTCGCCCCGCCCTCCATGTCTGCCCCGTCCAGCTCAAAAGCCTCTAAGGCAGTCTCTGGTACGCGAAAAGTGTCGGGTTCCAATCTGAAGAAGGCGAAACCACGTATAGGCATTCGCAGGTTATAATTGGACTCATGACGGAACGTCGTAATCTGTTTTTCTTGATACATGTTTGTTTGATTTCTTGATGCATTAAGGCAAAGGATTGGACCTGGCGTTTGGGTTAAATGGGTCAGCGGTGTTGGCCACATCTGTCTTTCTAGAACTCGGGGAGGGATTTTGCATACTCATTGAAGAACTTGTTCCGGAATCCTTTAATTGTTCATTCAAGATACATAATAACTATGGCCGTGTGAAATCACAGCACGGGCGTCACTTTTGAATATCTAATAGACCGTCGTGGACATGCAAGATGGCAAGCGCAACTGTTTCGAGGAGTTCTATTGACTATGGACGTTACTACGACTACTTTCTTTGCCCTCAACTTATAGGTGAGGAGCGGAGAGACTCTTACGCGAAGCCGCTTGTTTCGAAATAAATCATGCAAACATCTAAAACGAATAGTCAAATTTTTCCTTGAGCCTCCTTACGATCGAGTTTTCGATCCATACTAAGAATAATGAAGACCCCTTTCTCATACCATCAGGCCCCCCGGGTCCCTATTGTCGGGAACCTTTGGCTCTTGAAATGGTTCCTCGCGCGAGGAATAGTATACTTCCCCCATGCGTAATGCTGTGACTGATATAAACGACACACAACAACCGGTGCAGTGGAACATTCCTGCAAGTTTGGAAGGCTCATAGCCATTATAATGGAGATAACAAACTAACACGCTAGACTGATTAAAGCAATATTACCAGAAGAAGGAAGAAACCACAACGGTCCACCGTTTGACATCTGGCGGTAGCAAATACGATGGTACTGTATGACAGCCAATGTATATCAATATACGACCGTTGTGATAGGTCTGCCAACCAGGCCAAAATCGGCTTTCGTAAGCATGTAGACACATGTTCGACGGCGCGGTGTTGAGACTTGGGCTTCTACAGAGCGTAGGGGTTCACAGAGCGGATAGTAAGACAACTAAGACAAGGATTAGTAGATGCGTAAACCAGAGACAAACTAGGAAGCACATACGGAGGGCTCTTGGACAAATCGGTCTTCAGGATGATGGGGACCCTGGTCATCTCGGTGACATCTTGGATATACTCGCCGTCCTCTTCCCTGAGCTTGAAGAGCTGTAGGTACTTCTCCTTGTTGGTCAATTTCGCCTCGGGAGCATCGCCGCCGATCGTTGCAATCTTCGGATCTGAACGGGTTCTGTGGGGCGACTGCTGAAGATGACCATTGCGAGTTGGGGAGGGCGGCATGCTCTGAGTCGAGCGATCAGCAGATGAGTTTAATGACACGCCTGCAGCCATCTCAGTGACCTCGGAGACGTCATCATCGTCATCGTCGAACAGGGCATCCACGTCGTTGGTGGAGATCGTTCCAGTCTCAGTCTGCTTTCGCATAGCCTCCTCCCTCTCACGGGCGCGCTCTCTGGCAGCTTCTGCCTCACGCGCAGCTGCCGCAGCCTGAGCAGCACGGGAGTTCCCGGGTTTGGGACGTTCATCCTCAGGAATGTATGCCGAGGACGGGACACCCTTCTCCCAATAGAGCTCCAAGACACGGGAGTCTTTGCGGAACTCGGCCTTCTTCAGGGGCAATTGGTCACAGTGGACACGCTTCTCAAATCCAAATTCCGGAATGAGGACATCAAAAGCAGACTCATAGACGCAAAGGACAATACCCTCGCTAATAAGGTCACCGCCAATCTCCTGTCTCTTCTTGTCCATGTTGCGGCACGCTTCGATGTGAACACTTTGCTCCTGAGCATTGTGGGCAGAGTCCTTCTTGTTGTTGCAAACGTCCGCAGCCTTGTTCAGGGTTTCGACATCATCAGAGAACTCAATGGCACCGTTAGATAGAATGGCTTCCAATTGGCGATGAACGATGATATCGGCATAACGGCGAGATGGATTGGTGAAATGGGTGTAGACTGGAAGGTTGAGAGTGTAATGATGACGCTGCTCGTCCTGAACGCTGCTGGCGACATAGTATTTGGCACGCTGCATAGCCTTAACCAAGAGTGTTTCCATACCCTAAGCGACGTTAGTAGGGCTGTGTTATAAGAATAAAAAGACATTTCCCGAAGAGGTATCTACTCCTCATCGGTGTACGAGGGAAGCGAACCCACCTTACGCAAATCATCGTCCTGGACCTTGCAAAGACTGCTCTGCAATGTACCACTGCTTGTCGGGTCCAAGTCAAACCCAAGCCTGTTCATCCGATCAATGAACAAGTGGAGGCGGCGCACATTGGGCGATGGCTGACGACGGAGGAACGCCTTTTCAGGTAAAGCGGCTACTAATTTACGCGCAACGAAAAAGTCTGCTTTGTGACTCAATTCCTCCACAATGTCCCGCACAGGGGAGGAGTTGAAGATATTGTATTCAACGGGGACGTTCTCATCATCCATCTGATGGAGCAGTCGCAGAGGAGGGATATGCGCGACTCGGTTGCCGAATCTCGCTTCGCGGAACTTGGAGGCAACGGCCTACAATACTGTTAGTCAGGAAAAGGAACCGCCTGCCGGACGGGTGAGCATTAAATACTTACATATAGTGCTCGAAGAGTGTCAGCCTTTATTTCAGGCACAGAAAGATCCGAAGCTCCCTGGACCACGGCGTCAACCTCCTCGTAGCTCAATCTGCCGGCACTCTTGATAATGCCCTTGCCGATCCAAATATCGTCGTCAATAGCGCCCGTCTCCGGATTAGCCTTTAGCACGACGCTAACTGTGAGGCGGTCCTCTCCAGGAAGCAAAGAGCAAAGCTCGGTGGAGATGCGCCGCGGCAGCAGGTTGACTAGTCGATCGACAAGATAGACAGCGGTGCCTCGTTTCTTTGCCTCACGATCAACAAGAGAATTGCCTTTTACGAAGTGAGCAATGTCAGTGACATGAATTCCAATTTCCACGTTGCCATCTCCAAGAGGCTTGAAATGGTAGGCATTTTCAAGCTCTTTGGTTCCACTGGGAACGACGCTGAAGGTCGTTTCCTGACGGAAATCCCGACGAGAGGCAAGGAGAGCTTCGCCCTGACTGGAAACGGACCAGTCCTCCCAGCCAATGCTCTTGAGGACAGCATCAGAGAACTCATCAGACCCAAAATTGTTGTCACGGAGGAGCGCCTCGGTTTCTACCTTGAGGTCGCCCATTTCACCCAACTGCTCAACAAGGGTTCCGAAAGGATGCAAAGACGTGATAGGCCACCGCTTGATGCAAGCAACAAAGATGCGGTTGGCGTAGTCCTGGTGCTTCTCGACGAAATCGCGGGGTGCCTGTTCCGTAGGGATGGCAATCAGAGGAACACGCTTGTCCGTGGGCTTAAACCAGACAATCTTCGGCTTGTCCTGCTGACGCTCATGTTGCGAACGGCCGTGAGGGCCATCTCTGGCCAGCCGTTCGGCCTCTTGCTTCTCCTTCGTCGCCTGGCTACTGGGACGGAGGAGTCCTAGAGTGCCCGAAAACATCTGTCCGGCGATGCGTTCAATCACAGCAACAACATGGCCCGCGAACAGCGGCTTCTGTTCATCGCTGATCTCGTCTTCCTCGACCAAAAGTAGACTCTGGCCCTCCACTTCGACATCATCATTCTTCTTTTGCGTTGGGCGTTGACGGAGACTGCCACGGCGGCGAATACTGCCATCAGGGCCGACCTCCTGGCGATCTCCATTTGCGCCAGAATCAGCACGGGAGAGTTTATCAGTTCCAGCGTTGCTACCAGCCCGGGCGTCTGTAATGTCTTTGCGCTTTTTCTTCTCTTCTTTCTCTCTTTTTTGAGACCAGACTTCATCCACATCCAGGAGTTCCACGGCTACGTAGTCACCCTCAAGAGCACGGTTTCTATCTTTGCTACCACAGATGAAGATATCGGCATCCAAATCAGGACTTGTGACATACGCATCGGAACGATTTTTCTTGTTGACCCGCAGAATACCGGCCACGAGCTGGCCATTGCTCAACAAAGCGGGCAGGTTAGCCTGTGGCAGGTATGGGGTGAACAATGTCTTCCGCTGTTGTTGTTGCTGCTGTTGTTGTTGCTGAGCAGACAACTGAGGAGGGGCGTGCTGGCTAGCCTGAAGACCAAGTCCTTGGCCGTTAAGCTGGCCATTTTGCTGAAGAGCCTGGAGCTGTGCAAGCTGCAACGGGTTCAGCTGCTGGCCGCCGCCAAACATCTGCGGCGGGGCCATGACAACCTGTCCCTGAGGTAACTGAATGAGCTGTGGCTGTCCAGGATACTGGAACGAACCAATAGAGCCGATGGACTGATTCATCGATGCACGTGCACGGTGGCCGGGCTGGAAGCCACTGCCCTGTTGTCCGAAACTCTTCTGTTGATCCTGAGCCTGATTCTGGTTGTTTGGTTGGCGCCAGTTGCCATCGAAATTCCTAGATGAAGTACGAGCATGGCCGCTACCACGGCGTGGGTTCTCTGAATCGTTTGACGGTGGAAATTGGAATCCACCAGCACCGCGGCCAGAAAGCGAGCCTCGATTGCTGCCCACAGCCATAGATTGGCTCCGACCATGACCGCCAGCTCGAATGTTGCCAGCCCGGTGAAGTCCCAGGCCTTGAGGGCCCGGTGTCGTAGAAGCGGGGGACTTATCGTCCGAACCTGCGGCATTATCGGATGACTCAGCTCCAGCACCGGGGGCAGGGAATTGGAACCCAGACGCCGTTCTCTTCTGCTGAGCGAGTTCTGCGGCCTTCTTAGCTTCAGGCAGTGCAAGTGAGTGACGTCGCTGGTGGCCACCACCCGGAGGCCCCCCTCGACCACGACCGTGACCACCATTGTCGTTCTTTGGCTGGTTGCCTTGCGGCTGGTTGTAGTCAGAATACCCTGAAGCGCCGGAGGACGGTGCTGGAGGGGGTCCCATGCCCAAGCCAGGGAGAGCTGATTGGTTGCGGCGATGCGAGTGTTGACCGGGGCTGTTCATCGGGACACCGAGCTGCTGCTGCTGGGCAATTTGGGGGAATTGGAAGGCATTAATCTGAGGGGAGACTCCGCCCATGGACGCACCCCCTTGGAGTGAAGGAGAGAACGCTGAAACCTGGCCCAACTGTTGAGGCTGTAAGAGTCCCATATTAACATACTGTTGGTGAGTAGCAGCGATTTGTTGTTGTTGCTGTTGAAGTAGCTCAATCTGTTGCTGAATCGCTAATTGTTCCACTATTACCACGGTCGTTAGCGAGCCGGCCTGGAGTCACGAAGCGGGTGAAAGCTTCGGTTTTGTTCAAACGTACTCATGAGGGGAGTTAGCTCCGATGGACTCCTCCGATGAGCTATATGAAGCTTGCGGCCAGCGGGGCCGGGAACTCCGGACTGACCCTGTTGATCCATCTTCCCAGATAAATAGAGAACGGATTATATGTATGGAGATGGATTCCCTGCGTCGAAGACAAGAGAGTGTTCAAGGATGACTCGTAACGCGGCTGTCTACCACGCAAGCCGACCGGGGGAAAAGCTTTGGAATGGAGACAAAGGTTTACTGAGTAGTATACTAGACAGAAAAAAGATAGGTCAGTAGGTGCGGGGCGATCAAAGGAGCAGCACGAGGGGGGCCGAGGGCGAACGAGAGAAGATCATAGCATGTTTAATGAAAGGAGAGCGGAAGAGGGAGTAGAGGGGCTGGTGGAAGCTGCGATGGTGCCATGGCAGTTGCCTGGGCCCAAGATAGGATCTCTGTAAGAAGCAACAGAACGAGAGGAAAGAGGCAATGCCAGAATGTCGGTGAATAGGAGGTCGTCCATGAGCACGATGAGTTCCTTCAGAATTCTTACCTGTTAAATGATCGTCCAACTTAGGAATGTCGCTGTATGACGTCTTTTTCTGTGTCGCCTCCTTTCCCCTTTTCACACGAAGCGGGAATTGCTTTTTTATACAAGTAAAACAGTGAACCCGCAAAAAAAAAAAAAAGGGTAAAAGTAAAAAAGGGATTCAATGCCGAAAGAATCCACAAGAAGAAACAAAATATATTCAATCAAAAAACGATGTTGGGGCTGGCGATTGCCGGAGGAATAGCCTCTGAATCAAGAGACCGAAGGAAAGGATGAAGCTTGACGAATGGGGGGGTTTGGGGGAAGGAAGCAGAGAGGGGAACCGAATAAGCGGATGGGAAAGCTGACGGTTGACCCCCAATTGCCATACAGGCCACACCACGGTCTGAAAACCCCCAAAAAAAAACTTCAACGAAACAACCTCGAGAATTTCCTGAATTTTTTTTTTTTTAATTCTCTCCTTGTGCAATTTCTGACTTTATCGTTTGTTTTGTCTTTTTGGATTAGACACGTTTTCTTCACTGATGTGAAATGTATGGAAGAGATCGGGGTCTCTCCTAAATAGTCCAGAGATGATGAAAAGGGGGGGGCAGCTCAGTCTGAAGATCAAAGGCTGTTGAGTTGGCGTCTTTCAGTTATGAGGACGATACGTTCATCCCCTAATCGAAAGATTGATACGGTCAAGTAACCTTTTCTCGTAGTGGACCAAAATATACGAGGCAGAAGTACGAAGTATCTGACCACGGAGAGGGAATGACACAGACAAATGATCTGATAGAATCGAAAGGTGAACAATAATTGACAGTCCTGAAGGAATGATCGGAGAAGTTGCTATCAGAGGAAAGAGGGAGGGGTGAAATCAAAGAAGAGAAGGAGGGAGATGAAGGGAAGAAGAGAGTAGAGGAGAAAGAAGATGCAGATTCACGAGAGAATGAAAGAAAGAAAGATGGAGCTTAGTGTATGAGTTTCCTTCTTAGTAGTGGTGGTGGTGTTGGTAATGGTATAATGGGAATCAATCAGATCAAGTGAACAATACCACCCATACAGTAGGTACACCCTATAGAAGTACCCCAAATGGTGATGTGGGGGAAAATACGACAAGACCAAAAAAACAGCAAAAACCGTTGAAGAGGGTAATCAAAACAAGTTGTTCATTCATCGTTACATCTCAGCTATATAGACAAATAGATTGCGGAGAATAGATTTATAGTTTCATCTCGGAAAGAAGGATACTGTCTGTTTTCTCTTTTCTGTCTGGTCTATTTGTTAACGAGATTCCCCATCACAATCGTTGGTTACAATGGATGATAAGGGTAAGAGGCAAAAAAAGAGAGAACTAAGTCGTAGACTTGAGCTACTTGCTTTAGCTTGTCATTAGGTATTAAGACAAAGTTACCAGAACTGCAATACCTAAGGTCTGTCCAATGGTTCAGAAGTGGTTGTATCTTGGTTTCGCTCCTGTCGCTGGATCTGTTCTTTTCATTTTTTTTTCCCTATTTCCGTCTGCAGAGTCCCTTTATAACAAATTGAACCTGGAGCAAAATTGGTAATTTATGTACCCGAGGAAACATAGCACATGGGGAATGAGAGAACATTTAAGCATAACTATTCTCATCCTTCTAAAATTTAAATTCTCCCCTTACAACGAGCAGCTTAGGTGCATCTTCCTCCAAGTCAAGTCAGGAGACCGTTGTATTACTACCTATTCATAGCATATCACTAACTAGGGTAGGGTACCTTGGGTGATCTCCGGCCTTTGCTCACTAACCTCAGAACAGCCTAGCAAAGCCTGTATCGGGGTATTACCTTAGTACCGGCCTACCAGAACGTTCATGCGGGTATAGTTTGTATCCATCGGTACTGATAATCCTTGCCTACGCTGCGACCGGCCCAATGATTGCCTCCTTCTTGGTTCCAAAAGACCCATAATAGCTGTTGGCGGGGCTCCGAATAAGACTGAGATTGGACAACTGTGGTACTCAGTGTGTGTTTTCGTTGTTCGGATTGTGAGAGACAGATTAATGTTCAATCTAACACCGAAACCTGAAGGCGAAGATGTCTCTGATCGGATGGCGAAAGTTCTTGGTCAACTGACCGAGCGCATGGCTTGACTTCTTGAAGCTTACTTTCTTCAACAACGCTCGTGGTGTTCATGATGATGCAAAGGGCCCCATTCCCGCCCTTCAAACCGAGGAACGGGGGGCCGAACTAATGGACAATCATTCGAGTACTAGTCCAATGATGGTGACGATGAGGCTGTTGGTTTGAATTGTTTGGCGGTCTTTAGCTCCTAGATTCTAAGGCTCCTGCACACCTTCGTACGGCTACCCATGACGGCCAAATGTGTAGTTATTTTTCTCCCGTGCTGACTAATCATCATGTGGTTCATTCCAAAATTATGACTAAGTCACACTTGATTTGACGAAGCATTCGACTGCAAACAAAGGTCGCGTACTCCGTACAGCTAATTCCATCGGACTTACCAAACTCCCTCGTGAGGCTGTTTGTTGACAGTTATTACGTGGTCAAACTCCTTTCCGGTTTCTGTATATCCTCATCCCGCATATCGCGCGAGTGTTCACCTCGATTTTCCAATCGTTTACTAGGATCTTCGGGTAGCGCACTCGGTGACTACTCGAAGTCCGAGGCCTGCCCCCATTTTATCGGAGACACCGAGCTAACCGCTTCGACTCCTTGCCATTGATTGTTGCTATAACTACTGCGCGAGTCCCTTTGTCATACGAGACTGACGGCTCCATAAAACGTCACGGTCCAATTGCTCGGAATATAAGTATCTCCGATTGAGTGCAGAGTCATTGGATAACGAATTGAGATTTCTTCTGCTCATTGTGTACAAGCTATGTTCTAAAACTTACATTGCACAATTGGTTGGAAGTCTTCTGTAGGGAATTCTTTTGGAGCCTCCCTTGACACTTTTGATCCTTTCCCTAGCCCTGGAAAGGTATTTCGGGATCCACAACACTTTTATAAAAAAGCCTTCCTACCACGTCCACAATCTGCGAGATGGGGCGCTTAAGTTACCCTCAAGAGCTGGACAGTCCGTCCCGGCAACTCGTGCTAGACTTGGCTCGAGATCTAGAGCAACTCCGCGTTCACAATACCGAATTGAAGAAAGTCAAAGCCTATGAACGCCGATCCTTCTACGAGTCTCTTGATCGGATCGATAGTGAACTAGAAGCCCAACACAATGAAGCCCTTGATAAAGTTGCTAAACTACATGACCAAGTGCTGGAAGAAGCCGAAGAAACTTTGCGAGTGCATCAGCGAGCGGTAGAGGAGGAGAATCGCCGCAAGGAGGCAGAAGCCCGCCGGGAGGCGGAACGCATCGAGCGTGAGAAAGCGGAAAGGCAACGCCGCGAGCAGGAAGAAGCTGCACGCCGAGAGGCTGAGCGAAAGGCGGTAGAAGAAGCCAGAAAGAAGGCTGAAGCAGAGGCGGAAAGGCAACGACGGGCAGCGCAAGAGGAAAAGGAACGGAAAGAGCGGGAGCGATTGGAGGAAGAGAACCGCAAGCGTCAAGCAGAGGCACAGAAAGCGGAGCAAGAAGCGGCAAGGCTGAAGGCTGAAGCTGCACAAAAATCACGGGAAGAGCAGCAGAAGAAGGTCGGTGGGGCGCGACTGACGGAGGAAGAGATCAGTGTGCAAGCACGCTATGTAGAGCTGCACCAGCATCTCAAGAAGTTTAGACAATACCTGAAGGATGAAGGAAAATCCAACGTGGTGGTCAAACAAAACATGGGTGACATGCGTCGATCGATCAAGAAATGTGTTGGCCAGCTACGAGAAGGAAAAGGGACTAACAAGGGCCAGGTACGTTTGTTCACAAAGGGGTAAAAGGGCAGGAGAGAATAGTAAGCTAACCAAATCATTCCTTCTAGCTTCAAGAAATTCGCGCGACCCTTGAGAAAGCCGCTTCGATCCCCGATCCATCTGTCGATATCCGACAATTCATGGCCTTTCCGCCAGAGGACATTGCCAATTCCGAAGACAACAAGGTGCCGGCTCTGTTAATCTACGCCCTGAATATATTCTCGAAATCTTTAATCTCGTCTCTGATCGCGGAAGCTTCTATCAATCCCGGCCACGCAGAACCAGTTGGCATTGTAGCTGCGCAGATCTTCTCAACGGACGCCTTTGTTTATAAAGGTCATCATATGATTGACATACTCTGGGCCAAGTATCGCGTCGTCTGTCCTGCACTCTGGGGATTCTACGGCAGCGAAAAGACCGAAGCCGGCAGGCGTGCCTTAGGATGGTGGCGAGAAGCACCTGGAGGTCCTTTCATCAGTGAACAGGGCCATATGGACCGAATGACAGCCCTTGGTGCTGGGTTTGCGGCACTAACTCTGCGCAATTTTGGAAAAACCCCACGGAAGAATCCATTTCCCAACCACATGTTTTGGCTTGCGATGCATAGGATTTTGATGATTCCCCCGAGCGAGATTCAGGAGACACACGTTATCCTGCTTTCGGCAATGCTCAAATCTTCTGCGGAAAGGATCGTCGGCTTCTTTGGCCATATTGGCCTGGCTTTGATGAGGAAGGCCATAGTTGATTTACCAAACAGCGTTCCTCGCCAGAGTATGGGCGTTAATCAGCTGAAACTTCTGAAAGACTTATACAAGCGAGAGAAGAACATTATCATCTGAGAAAGTATGACCGGATATAGTTCCTGTCGGCGCAGCGGAATCCGGCTAGGGGCTTATTGCGAGTTGTCCATTCTTGAACCTTACCGAAGGACAAATGGAAGTGTGCAAATATTAAATGTCGCACGATAAGTCGATAAGCCCCGACATAACCCCGAAGCCGACCGTAGCATCACCGCCAGACCTCTGGCTCAGGGCCTTAGTGAGGCTGATGGGAATCTGATAAATATGCGGTCAACGAAAAATAGTCGGATCTTCGTGTCTAGCCGGATTACACGGTGCGAACGGTTGTCACTGTTTGCGTACGCTGACCAATTGAGGCACTCTCTTCCGTCATATTCAGGATCTAAATACTGGGATTATGTGTAGCCTACTAGCCATACCGCCAATTCCCGCATGGCGCTTGAAGAGGGTGAACACGGGTTCTATTGTACAACATCAACTGGGGCGGTGTTGGCAACCAAACCAAGCGTCTCTCAATCATCGTTGTTATAAGGTTGAGTTTCGTGTACACGGCTTTCGGATCACGGCAGGTGTTCTTCGCTGTCGGGAATTATATTTGGTTTATCACCAGTTCCGATCGGCCCACCATCACGCGACTACGGGACTGCCGAGTCTATCATTCGTCCGTCACTTGCACTAACTTGATATCGATACCGCGATACATATGGATGATATCCTGGTTTTATCTTGAAATGAATCATACGTTCACGCATCAGATGCCGATCCTTTATTCAGGAGCATCCTTAACAGCTATCACTACATTTGACTCATCTTTATATTCGGCGCCTTTCTCACCGGCGAAAGTAAACCATAGAGGTAGAATAATAATGAGCTATATACACTTTACATGTCATCATCCATCACTGCTGAGCAGTCTCAATTTTAATATATCTTTCAGTATAGATACGTGATGCTTCCTCTTCCTCTTCATCATATCTCGCAAGCAATGGCTGCGTATCTCCCTTTAGAGATCGTCCAGTCCATCCTTCTCCACCTCGATGTGGAAACATATATTGCCGCACGGCAGACGTGTCGCTCCTGGCGATGTGCGGCGTCGGTACCCTACATGTTCAGGAAAGCTCTACAGCAAGTCCCGGTCTCATTGCCTCCAACGATAAGCACCTTGACTCAAGATCAATGGACCGCATACTTCGCGCAAATCACCCGCTTGAATCTACTACACTGCCGACAGGATATTCAAAAGTCAGTGACCCAACGGGACCTCCCCCAGGAATGCTCCCCTACCACTGTGGTGGACACCTCAACTGATGGACGGAAACTGGTGAGCCTGAAAGGAGGGCGGGCGACCGTATACGAGCGTGTAAACCTGACGAATCCATGGGAGTACTCCCGCGGTATAACACTTTGCTCGCAGTGGACCTCTGTCGCTCGTGCCATGCTAGAAGGGGGAACCGCAGGCTGCATGTCCATCAACCAGCGATACACAAAACAAAGTATTGCTGTTTCCTCTCAAGGGGACTTTATCGCCGTAGGGCTGGGGAGAACCATCCAAATCTACTGCCTTCGCAAGGATCAAAATCTTCTCTCTCCTGCAGAATATGTACTAGGCCAGAATAACTCCTTAGCCAGTACCACACGAGGCCATTACGAGGACACAGACGGCGTCGTCGATTCCCTAGAGTTTGCTGACAACGACACTCTCCTCCGTGTCTCTATCAACAAAGAAACAACTATTCACCAGCCCACTCGAGTGCGGTACTTGGGCTGCCCAGACCTCGCACACAACCTACCCGACCTCAACTACTGGCGAGCAAACATCAACCGGATCTACCTCGACTCAGCAGCTTTATCAGTGGCGCTTGCAGGACAGGACGAATACCGACTGATCTTCCGAGGCCTACGGCTCCTCCCCCCATCATTCTTCGCAACCCAGCAGCAAGAACAAGAAGACCAGCAAACGTCTCCTCTAACGCCACGCTACTTTGTCGCATCACTACAATCAGGCGTCATCCACAGCTACTGCATCGGCCTCGCAACCCCCCTCACAGCCAACTCCCCACAAACCGTGAAGGTACACCGACTCCTCCCATCCGCCTATTTCCGCCCCGGAGATGGCATCACAGGCACCCGCACTGAAGAACTTCCACCACTTAACCCACCCCTCCCAGCCAGCTGCTGCGACGAGCAACACATAACATACAACCTCCTAGACACAGTCTCCCGGTGGAACGCAGCCAACCTCCCATCCGCAACCTTCGCATCCCCGCTCCTATCCATCTCCACCGACCACAAAGTCCTCGCCCTCTACGAACCAAGCGGCAACTACTTCCCTGCCATTGTCTCCGGCGGCTCATTATACTTATACTGCCTCGAAAACTGCCACCCCGTATACCAACCAGGCCCGCAGAGATTCAAACAGCCAACTCAGAAGACCTCCCTCCCTCATCAGTGGGCTAATAGCCCCGACGACAAATTCAGCGTCGATGCCAGATATCCGCCCCCGGACATCGTTCCCTCTTGGCCATTCCTTCTTGACAAAGTGCCTGTTGATATTGACAGTCTTGAAGTGAAACGATCGACCCAAGACGATGGTGTTGTCTATTCGAAGAGTTGTGCATATACTGTTACCGCGCGTTCAGGCGGTCAGGTCCTGGAGTGGCGGATGAGTTCTTAGGTTGTTACGAGTCTCAGAGATCGTTTCCTTTGCTTTCCTTTTTGGGGTTCTTTTTATTCGGATGGATTGGTGTTTCATGGGATTATATTTAATGGGATAGATCCGGACAGAATGGTATCCTAATGCCCACTTGTACAAGTTATACTTTGATAGATTAGGGAATACTGTACGAACGGTCCGTGCAACCTCAACCTTGTGTTATTACTGTATGTTCAATTAATTGATAACGGGTATCTACATATACTAACAGCCAAGGTTGGTAGCAAAATGGACCACATGGAGGGGAAAGGGTAAATAGATGCATATGCTTGGAATATCTTCTGTAGGAACGTGACTCGCAAGGCAAACATGTCACTATCGGGCAAATGGAAACGAAGGTGGGGAGAGTGTTAAGATAACGAGCGAGAGGTCAACTCCACTATAAACATTTAGAAGTCAAAGAATTGTACAAAAGATTGCCGCAAACTCATACAGATGGTATTGGTATCAGAGGAGGAAAGACAGAGACCAAAACGGAAAAAGAGGCGTGGAAGCGAAAGAAAAAGATCGTAATCCCACTGCCATTAGAAATAAGAGAAGCTTAATCGCGAATACACAACGCAAAAGATTAAAAGAGAGCAAGCTAGTATGCAGCATAATGTCACATGTAAAAATACTGGCCTGGAATGAAGTGCTCATCAGCTATCAATCCAGGGTGAGGGATAGAAAAGAGATATAAACAATCTAAGACGTTATCTGCGGTCCAAATGGACCATCGCCGGTCTCTTTAGGTGACGCAGAGACGAGACCATCAGCCGTGCTTTCGTTTTCTTCTGCCCAAGAGCCCTCTCCATAGTCGGTAGGCTCGGCATCATGGTCATAGCTTGACCTTCGCAGCAGAGGGGGAGTTCTTGGTAATTCTTGCATTCTGCTCACACGTGCAGACGTTTGTCTTGGGGTAGTATCAAAGCTTCTGTAGGGGCGACTCTCTGATGGTCGTCTCCAACCTCCTGTAGCAGGAGCAGTCGGGGTTGAAGTGGCTTGTCGGACGTTAGAACCAGGAGGAGTCAAAAGTCCGGATAGGAAAGCAGTCGCATTACTCGGCTTGGACGGTGTTTGTTCAGAGGTGCCGGGATTTTGGGTTTCTTTCCCCCTGCGCCAGTTGCCCCATGCGGCAGCGGCAGCGAGAGGTAAAGAGCGCGGTGAGGCAGTCAACTCGGAAAGGGAAGGGAAGCTGGGGAAACTCTGTCCCGACAGAGCCCTCTCCTTTTCTTGCTGCTGCATTTGCAGATTGGCCTTCAAACGGATGGCAGCATCACGCACAGCGTTGTGATCAAACGATGGCTGTGACAAAGTCCTGATAATATCCTGTAGATCGTCGATACGGACTCCAAGAAGCTCACGTAGCCAGGTGATTTCTGTATCCTTCTCTTTGAGCTTATTGGGCGCATCCTTGTCGAAAGAAGCAACCTCTTGCTCCAGTTCCTCGATGCGGGTTTCGCGCTGCTGAAGTTGGTCCTGTAGAACAAGAATTGACTCACGTAAGGCCTGGGGAGAGATCTTCTCAGGAACCATAGTTCCCTTGCTGAATGATAAGGATGGGGATGTAGAGTGTGTCGAAGACGAGGCCATAGGAGCTGCCCTGGCTGCCTGAGCGGCTTCAGCGGCAGCACGAGCAGCGGACTGAGCGATTTCGAGTCTCTCTTCTAGATGATTGACACGATCCTGAAGGTGCTTAGCTTTATCTTCCGACAGTTCCAAGCGTTCCGTCAAATGAGATTCTGCGCGCTGTCTATCCTCAGATGCATTGTGCAAGGCGCGGGCATGGCGCTCGCGAAGATCATTGAGGACGCGCTCATGCAGTTTGCGCTGCTCCTCCATAGCAAGCTCGTGGGTGTTAGTCATCGAGGCCACAGCACTGGCCTTGGTTTCATTGGCCTCCTCCAGCAGCATCTCATAGCGCTGTTGTGCAGTATCACTATCGAGCCGAACACTATCCAGTTGACCCTGGAGGCGCAGGATTTGTGCTTCTAGTTCCGCACGGACAATGTTGACCTGGCTGTTAGCAGCCTCAACATCTGTCTCCAACGAAGATCTGGTACGCTGGATTTCAACCCTACTGCTCTCCCGTGCCTCGTTAAACTCGCGCTCAAAGCGAGCCGCCTTTATCTCTAGGTCGTGGTTCTCAATTCTGAGGTTTGCCACTAGCTCTTCCAACCTGGCATTCTCTTGTTGAGACTGACCAAAGATGAACTTCAGCTTCGCCGCTTCTCGCTCCTGCTGTTCGAGCTCGTTGATATCAACCTCAAGTTTCTCACGAAGTTTCACTTCACGGTTGTAAGCAGCCTGAAGTTCGTTATACCTGGCTACTTGCTCTTCTTGCCGTCTGCGCCAGGATGCTTGGTCACGGGTAATGTCTCGAGTCACAGTCGCCATCTCGTCTTGGAGGCGGTCGAATTTTTCGCTTAGATTTTGTCGTACACTCAACCCATCTTCGATCCGCGACTTCATATGGTCGATAGTGACACGTAGTTCCTTGTTTTCAGTTTTCATTTCTTCGATCTGGGCCTTTGACTGTTCGCTCTCCTGCTTCCAGTGATCACTAGAGAATCTGTATTCGTCCAAGGTACCTTCGAGGGAGATGTTCTTCGAAGAAATTTCGGCTAGAGTTAATTTGAGTTTTGCATGTTCTTGCTCAAGTGCATCGGATCTTGACTGGATCTGTTCGAAATAAGGGATCTTTTCTTCCTTGAACTGGAGCAGGCGAGTTTCAGCTGATTCGGCAGCCTCACTATGGCGAGCAGCATTGTCCTCAGAAACCTTCAGAAGATGCTGAAGCTCTACAACAGAGTCCTGCGCTTCCCTACGCTTCTTGTACTCCTCCTCAGCACGCTCATCGCTTACCCTTAGCATTTCTTTCAGGCCATCAATCTGAAGCATGAGGCTATCAGCTCCGATCTCCTCGGCTTCAGAGGCGCGAGGCTTCTGCTGGCTAAACTGGGCTGAGACAACCTCTTCAATCATTTCTCTCAAATCGGTTGTAGAGTCTTGAGAGAGTTTCTTCAATGTCAAAGCCTGTAGGTCTGTAACACTTTGTTGAAGTTGCGCGAATTCGGAATTGACAGGCTTCTCTGTTGCATGCTGAGCTTCACGACTCGCTAATGCTTCGAGGATCACATTCTTTAATTTGTCAAGCTTTCGATCTCTCTGGCGAACGGAGGACCTATCTCTGTAGGATGCGTCCTCCTCATATTCTTCTTCATCGTCGGCATCACTTTCCTCACCCTCGACAGAGGCACTCCATGACCATTTGTTCTGAGATCCTCCGAAGGTCATGGTAGAGATGGAGTTCTCAATAGCTATCAATGCACGCTCAAGCGGAGAGAGGCGCTCCTCAACAACAGAGCCAACAAGCTCATGAATGCGGCGATCGAAAAATCTGCTCCGATTTGCCAGCTTCTCGTCTTCGCCCGATGAGATAACATCGTCCCAGTCACTGATGTGATCGTTTCGGCTAACCAACTGTCGAATGGGCGAGTGCATAGCGGAGGCGAAGTTCTTCGAGGGGGTAGCGGAGAACTGGGACTGGGCATCAAAGTCAAGTTTGGGCACATTCAATGCTTGGGATATATGACCCCTTCCTGGACTGGGGCTCGGAGCTTCACTTCTGATCTCTGCGTGGACATGTCGCTTTTCTTTTGACGGCCCTAGAACCGATTCAGGGAATCGGTTTGTAGGGTGAGGTGTGCTTAACCTCTCAATTCCTACATCCGAGTCTTCATTCAACTGTTCCATAACAGCATTCAGTTCCTCATCATCCATGGACTCCTCAGACTCACGTCCTACGCCTTGTTCAGATTGAGGAGCGCCCGTTCTCAGCTCATCGTCCGTTGGACCTGTTCCTGATTGCGTCAACTCAACTGGCACCAAGCCTTCCTTGGGTGCAGCTGGTGAGCTTGCGACAGCATTTTGTGAAGCCATGATGTCGCCTTTCTCGACAACGTCGTCAGGATCTGTTTTTGGCTGTTCAACCACAACGGGGACGAACTCAGCCACTGCTGGTTTGAATTCGAATGGCTTTGCATCTGGCGAAAGCAATGAGCCGTTCAATCGAGTATTGGTAGTTTCCTGCATGGGTTGTTCTTTCTCTTTGAGACCAGTAGAGGGTGTACCTGCCTCGACTACTGGTAATTGCTTCGAGTCTGCTTTCTCGTCACCAACTGCTTCCGGCCCGGGCTGTGTTGCCGCCGTCTGGTTCTGTTCTAATGCTTCTGCATGTGCGTCTGCGCTCTCATCTTTCGTATCAGAAGGCATCCAAGTCGACGCTTCACTAACAGGCGTGTTCTTTCGCTCCTGTGGTTTGCGGTCCTGGGATGGAACGACATCCCTCTCCACTGGATTGACACCGCCCTTATCAGGCGAAGTATTCTCCTTGCCTCCTGCAGATACATGAGTTGTATTAGATGATTGGGTTGCTTGAGCATTAATGTTTTCTGACAGAGCATGAGACACGCTAATCTGAGCTTCTCCACCAGGGCCCTCAAGACTACGGCGGGCACGTTTGTGGCGATCTGTAGGAGCAGCAGACCGGCCATTCTCATTCTCTGCCTCCTCTTCATTGTAATGGTTAGCTTCGTTGTCATCCGGGCGTACAATGGGAATAGCCTTCGACTTTTTGGTAAGCTTCTCTGTTTGGGACAAGTCGACATCACCAAATATCTTAGTCCTGCCGCCCGAAGACTGTTCAGGGCCTGCCGAGTAGTGGCTACTGGTTGGGTTGAAAACCGGGGCAGCGACATTGAAAGAGCCTGGCGTGAAGGAAGGAGCGGTCACATTGAAAGAATCTGCCGGCTGCTTGAAGCCCGCACCAGAGCCAAAGGCAAACATAGGATGGCCCGCTGTCGGGAATTGGAAGGAACTATCCTGATATTGGAAGGCCTGTGAAGAAGGCGCCGTCGGGTCAAATTCCTTCGCATCGACATTCAAAGTAGAAGACGAAAGCTTCGAGCGGTGCCCGCCGCCGTATGACCCAGCGCTGGTTTTGGGTTCATGCCAAGATATATGGTTCGCAAGCGGTCCATGAGGTGTGCCAGAAAGACTGGGGTTAGTATCGATATCTGAGCCTTCTTGTGCATTATCTCCAGGGTATGCTCCGCCGTAATACTGATGCACATGTTGAGGCAAATGTTGAATGTCGTGGTTGTTATTCTCTGGTAAAGCCCACTGAGACTTCAATATATCTGAACCATTGTAACCGTGAGGTTCGCGGTCACCTTCATCCAATTGTCTATTTATCGACTCCTCCAAGTGGTACTCAGACTGCGCATACTGGTCAAGGCCTTTCTGAAGTGTCTCACTCAGATTGTGACCACGACTATGGCCACGAGGCGTGGGGTGGGCGATCTCAACTGTCGAGGCATGGAAGTTATCCGGGTTTTCGGTAGGGGTGCGTATAGGACGCAGTAGTTGACCTTCCATCATGTTATCCGGCATGTCATAAGCCATATGATCGCCGAAGGTTTCTTTCGGTAGTCCGGCTTGTTCGTTCAGGCCAGGGTGGAACGCATTCTGTTCATTCAACGGAGAGACCGGTGATAGTACAGAGGTCAAATTTGGCAGTGTGCCAGCAAGGGTAGACGCCGCGCCTGCTTGGCGTGCATTGAAGAAACTCTGGGGGGTCAAAGTACCCTGGGCAGGAGGTGTAGGTTGGAAGGGAATATGATATCCCGGAAGAAGGTTCTGATCAACCCCCAGAAAGGGTGTCTGTACACCAAACTGCGAAGCAGGAGAAGCCAAAGAACCTATACCATTGCGGGCATTTGTGGATTGACTCAACTGGGGCGAGAACGGGTGAGACAGCGATAGTGGGTTACTAGCCGCAGACGCTGTGGGGATTGGTGGTGAGGAGACAAGACCAGGGAACGGTGCCATCTGGCTCATGGCGGCCGATGCGGGTGAAACTGAAGGTTGTACTTCATCGTCACCCAAAAATACACCCAGAGCTCGTAACTTCTCTTCCTGAAGCAAGTTTACATATGCATCCCATACGGCTTTATCGGGAAAGCAAACGGTATAGCTCCGGGAATTCCATTCTTCCTGGACTTTAGTAGCATCAGGCCAGGTGGGACGACTAAGGCCGCCCAGTTCTGTATTCAAATAATCCTCTGATGCACCGACGCTAAATCCGCGCACATCGTAACCTTTCTCCTCCCATGATTTTAGGCGCATGTTGACATCTTCGGCTGTCAATAACCGGAACCCAGACTCTTCGCTGCCTCGCTTGTCTTCCGGTGGAAGCCCGACAAAGCATGCTTTTCCGCGCCACGCAACTTTTTTTCTAATTCGTTGTACAGGCTTGTCTGAAACTGGTGTCTTCACAGCCTTGGCTTCCGTGTTTAGCGTGCTATTTAAAGCCAAAGGGCTCTCGTTCAATGCATCTGCTGGGGGAGGAGGAAGCGGCTTTTCAACTGAAGGCGGCGCCTTGGCCCCCGGTTCAGCGGGGAGCTGGACCTCCTTAGTATCCGTCATAGTGATGGGTTGGGGATCTTTATCGTAGGCGAAGCCCCAGAAATCTTCCTGTCGTAGTGTCTCCGCTCTCCTGTGCAAATATTCTTTAGTCCTCTGACGAGCTGCGCTACCTTCGCCGTTACCAGCTCCCGCTCTTCGGTTCGCAAAATCTGCCAACGTTGGAGTTCTAAGTAAGTCTTCTTCGCGCTTATCTTGTTCGAAACCAAGCCAGTCGTCAGAGAGGTCGTCTGCAAAATGATTTTGAGCTGTAAAAAACGATGGGGCCTCGCTGCCAGAGTCGTCGCTTAGCCAGTTGCTGCGTTCGGTCCTCGGCTGGCCGGAGAGGTATTGGTTGATCCAATCCTGCGTGAAATCTTTGATCGACTTCCCTCCTCTTCTACCAAATATATCTCTTCCTGGAGAACGGTTGCGAATACTGTCGTGCAGCTGGGTAGTCGTGTCTTCGGGGGCGGACGTTAAGACCAATTCGGGGTTATTTGTTTCGGACCCGTCGTAGATACCACTACGCATCGAAGTCGGGGAGCTATCTCTAGAGCCTCGGCCGATTCCGGCGTGCTGACTCAATGACCACGAGAGTCTCCGAGGGCTAGGTGGAGCATACGGGGAGCCCCAGGCTGTCGTATAGTAGACGCTGCTTTCAGCTTTTCTGTTCTCTGGGGACGAAGTGGACGAATCCCAAGCAGCCCGATACTTCGGCAACGTGGGGAGAGTGGACGGCGGATTTGAGGTTATGCTGGTACCTCTAAAGGAGTTTCGACGGCCAGGAGAACCAGTGGTCGAGAGACTCGACGCACCTGGCGATGTGAAGGATGATGTCAATGGAGCAGCCAAAAGGGAATCGTCGCGCAGATGAGAGGAATCGGTGGGATGCAACGGCGGAGAATGCGCCGAATTGGCGGAAGATACGACCGGGTCTAGATCTAGAGGCATTGAACATTTGACAATTTAGTCCCTGATGCAGTGCTATTGGTGAAGAGGGAAAGAACAGCTAGAAAGCCGATTGAAATTGTCCATAAGGAGGACTCCAAATGTGTAGCCACGGGACCACATGCACAAACACACACCTTCCGTGTCGACTGCTGCAGCAAGCACTTGCTTGCTGCTCTCCTTATCGCCCAGAATGTTGAAGCATGGAAATTAAACGACCGAGTCCGAATCCACCTCGCAGATTACCTCCGATCGGCACACGTACGAGGGCAACGAGGGGAGTTGAAGGTTGAGGCCGAACCGCGACGGTGAGACGTGTTTTGGGGTAGAGCGAGAGGATCCTCTTCAGGGGTTAAAAAAAGAAGGAATGAATAACAGATCACAGGAACCTAGGGTATGCGAAAATATTGGACATGGCGCATACACGAAGGACTCGGCTGGATCGAAGTTGGACTATGAAAAGAATGAAATCGGGAGCTAAGGGGAAGAAGGATGAAAGACGAGAGAGAGACGATAATCAGTTCTCTTACTTTTTTTTTTTTTGGTTCTAATCTTTGGACTTAGACCATGACACGATCAGCCAAAAGAACTAAACTTCCCCGTTCAGACTTAAAGCGGCCGAGGAAGAATATCATAGGCGGAGAGACCTCAAAAAGCCGGGCCGTTGGGGAAAAGTAAAGTATTTTACAGTCAGAATATACCGGAGGTTCAAGTGACTACTTTACTAGCCTTACTACTAGTAGTACTACTATTTGACTTGACCGCCATCTCGACAATACACACCTACGCTGTACGTATGTACCAAGTGGGTGATACATACATCCATACTCCGTACATCCCAACCATCCATACATACATTCATACATTCCTACCAACTCCAATGATGCACATACCAAGGATCGGTATGTGGTCAGTCTAACCTCTCACTCTTCCTGGAAAGGTATCTGATTATCTATGGACACTAACTAATAGTCCGAGATAAGTTGGTGGGTGATCCGACTATCCTGTGGAAACACGTATGGAGTTCGGATCTACTAATTACTGTTGGTCGCTTCGCTATTGCTTACATATGTAGGTACTACTAGGTACTCCGTATGAGTTGCACCTTTTCTGGAACATATAGAGTCCACAGAGACCGTCAGCAAAGGCAATAGGCCAGCCCCTGAGTGATGTTCGACCCCATAAGCAAATAAACACATCTCTTTGGTTCGTGCCCTCCATTCAGGGGTAAATTCCACCATGGACCGCGGAAACCACGGTTCTTTCGGTCAAGTCATTACCATACATACCATACCAGTACACAGATACCTGCTCCGTATCACTGGAGGTATTGTCATAACTAACTTACGTAGTATTAATTATGTAAGCAAGTACCACCTTTCACGTGGTCTTACGGTTTTGGCGGCTCTAATAGGGTATCCATACTATTGTTGGGTTGATAAAGCAAGAACCAGGTTACTTAGTACTCTCATAGAACTATTGTCACAGTTGAAGTTATAACAGATGCTTTTACTTTTACATGATTCATAGTAAAATAGTGCGCCAAATAAAGTTCAAGATATTGGCATAAATATGCACCATCTGTTCCTCGCCTGTTGAGGTAGGGCTTGAATATATGATACAGGAGAATCTTAAAGTGAACAACGGCGGCCGCACACCCCGTCGAGGCCAGAAAGAATGAAAGTGTGTTTAGTTAGGGCAAGTCAAGTCAAACTTGGCCTTGCGGTCGGCAGTGAAAAGACCCCAGTGGGTCTCGTCCTTCTCCTCGCCGTTGTCACCAATGCTCGTGGGCTTCCAGGATTCGTCGAAAGCCTCAAAGTAGAAAACATCGACGCCCCATTTCAGCATACCGCAGACAGCGTCCTTCCAGTACCTTTCAGCATTCTTAGTGCCAGCCTTGGCAGCTTGATAATCAGAACCGCCATCGGTGGGCCAACCAGTCTCGCCGTTTCCGAAGATAATCTTGTCCTTGTTGTCGCCAGCAACTGTCTCAATATGCTTCTGCGCAAGCGTCGTGTCATTCCAATAAGTCGTGGTGGCATGGTCGATGTCCGCTCCTTGCCAATAGGCGAAGCCATTGGCCAAGCTATGAGGAGGTTAGTTAGGGTAGAAAATATGAAACGACACCGATTTTAGACAACGTACAAGTAAGTGACACCTCCCTGGATGATGGGATCGGCAGTACCATCGTAAAAAATGTTCCAGCTATCTACCGTACCAACGGGTATCTTGGGGAACGCATTCTGGACCGTACGAATCTTGTCCAGGAGCTGCTGGGCAGTAAGGCCTTTGCGGTAAAGAGTTTCAGAACCGACAGTGATGGAATGAATAACACCTTCATTTCCGGGAATAGTCTGCTTCAAGACATTCAAGTCATTGTTGAAGGATTCGTCATAATCGGCCCTAACGAAACAAGCGACGTTAATACCCGAAGACCCCAGCAACTATATCATGTGTAACGTACCAAACACCCAACACGACCTTGAACTGCTTGTTCTTGGCTGCAGGAACGATATTTACAGCAGTGTTGCAATCATTGGCAGAGTATGTGCGGACGAGAGTAGTCAGGTCCTTGAGCGCGTCAAAGTCGGCCTCATAGTCGCTAGTGGACTTGCAGGTGCCGTCAGGATTCTTATTACCCAGCGCAAGACCGAGGGTACCCCGCTTCGCGGTAACAGCGGGAATCGCTGCGAGTAAAAGAGAAAGAAGACCAGCGGCACGCATCTTCGGAGATTTAGTCGCTCGGTCAATAAAAGAAAGGATGGGTTACGAGTAGAGAACGCGAAGGAGAAGGGAATAAATGCCCTCTGCCTACAGTATTTGTAACGAGAGAAAAAAGAGAAGAAAAGGAGGTCTGGACAAGTACAAACAAAAAAAGAAAGAAAGGGATTGGAATAAGACCAAAATAACAACAACAATATAGGGAAAGGGAAGGAGGGTAGGAAGGATCGACTGAGGAATATATAAGAATAGAAGCTGTACGTTAAGAAAAGAAAGTGTGGAGTTGGATTGGGTAAGAATTGCCTCCTGAAGCACACAGTCACAGCAAATCTCTTGGGGTGAATGGAAGTGAACAATCAAAGAGAACGATGTCTTGGCCAATCATAAAATTAGGAAAAGTCTATAGCTGGCCCACCAGCGCCAGGGCCCACCCAAATCATCCAATCTACAATCACATTGAAAAGAGTCGAACCCTTCCAGACCCTTGGGGTCCCACCAGCTGTCGACCAACGCTTCCCTTATTGCTTAGTGGTACGTAGACGCAAAGTGACCCGGCGATCCCTATAAGCCGAAGCTATTCCTGGGTTCTTGACTGAAACCTCCACTAAACTTGAGACAGTTAAGACCTGGCCCACAGCGATTAGTACTACGGAGTACGGAGTACTGTTACTGACTTGGGGTCTGCAGGGTTTCAGGGTCTGGAATCAAGTTCGCTATCAACTTGCTGTCCGCTGTAGACATAATATACCATGACTGACTCAGATTGCCTTTAGGTACTCCCGTACTACTGTTAATAATCATACTGCTCCTTACAGCATCAATTTTGGCGTCCCGAGTCGGTACCGACCAAAGCCCGAGTCTCACTCAACGTGTGGCGTTATCGAATAATTTTTTTCATCAGGTCGGAGGCGGATGCTTCATCCTGTTTGTTCTCGGCCTTCGCCGTCTCTCTCAAGAAACATGGGAAAGTTTTATGGAAACCTCGGTCCAACTGTGTGGCTACCTACTCATCCCTAACTGACACTCGTTGACCGACGTCATGATGTCACAAACAGACCCTTGAACGCGAATTCCTAATCCACCCGACCCTTTGGTAAGGAAGCTGCGGGTAGAGTCAAAGGCGCATCGAGAACCAGAAGGCCCGAAAAATAAGATAAAAAAAAAAAAAAAAGAAAGGATCACGCAACGACGTTCACATTCTTAATTTGACACGTCCACCTAACCTACCTATTCCGGGCAAATACTCGAGTCATCAAGCATTCCATGAGCCGACCTCATGGTATTTCCGGTTGCCGAAAACCCCCGGCACGGGTCTTCAAAGATCAAGGTTGTTTTAGGTTCTCCAATAACAATGGGGATCCCAGACTCCTTCAGGATCAATTACCGATTTGGCCTCGTCTGGGGTAATACTGCGCCCGGTCCTGTCATTGAAATGGGTACTAACAGCCAACCATTTATCTCTTTCCCAATTGGCAGCAATTGTATGTAGGAGCAGCACGTCCTCCAAATCAAAATTTTCATCGGTATAGAGCACATGTTTGACTTTTGATGGTCGAGAGTCAATAAGATGGTCATCAGTCTACCGGGATGACCTGTCAGAAACAGAGGAAACCAGTAGCCAAGCTAAACTCGTAGAGTGAATGTACTGACATTGTCATTCGTGGCCAAGGGATCTGAGAAAGACACATTCCGCTCAACTTTCCGACCTTCCGGTAGTTCACAGATGAAATGCATCTCATTAGTATACTTTATCGGTTCTGCAACGATCTCTCGCGTGATGCCCTCTCGGAGATTCGACCATCGCTCTTTGAGATCTTCGACGGGTTTATTATTCATCGCAGCAGATATATACTTCCATGGGGTATTGCAGTTTCTAAGGTCCTGAAGGGTCATATCATCTTGGGGAGACCACCGGGTGTTTCTAGGAGCTTCGGGCGTAGCTTTCACACGCTGCATATATCACCGTTAGCATTTGGAAAGTATTGAGCTCAGATTTTTTTTTTCCGTGTAAAATTCAAACTAATGCTTCTCACAATTTTAGCATCATAGGTGAGCCATCTTTCATTGGTGGTTCTGTAACCTCTGGAGAATGGCATGAATGGTACTCGATAACTTTCACCATCCACTATAAGTACAGGCATAGTAGTCTTTCGTGGGAGCCAGACACTTTATGGTCACTCAGAGAGACGATTTAATGAATAGATTATGGGATGACTGATATTCCTGTTGGGGATTTATGTATGAGGGCACGGCGAGGAAACATGAAGGGACGAGGGCCACAAGCATGATGGCAAAGATGGGAGCAGACAGTGGCTTCCTAAAAAGGAAGATGAGGGGGTGGTTGAATTTAAGGCGGACAATACTCCGTATGCCCTGTGGAAGTGCAACTATATGTTCCGATGACAATTCAATATCGTCCCCTATAAGGGATCATCTTATGTTTACCTTCCTTTACCTGACATATCACTGTATACCAGTGGTTTAAGAGATATACGGTCAGCTACTTTGCAGAAAGCTAATACCCGTATGCCACAGGTATATATGCAAATGTCAGCCACTCAGCATAGTTAGTATGTAGGGATCAGAACGCTTCACTTATTCACTATATTGAAAAGCGTCTAGTGCGACGGTTTAGATATATCATTAGAAACAAATTACTACTTGAACGAGCAAGCTTTGCATAGACTGAGTAATCCTCGTGTTTGTCCTAATATAGCAATACCTAGCCAATCATTCATAGAAATTGCTCCATTGATTGCTTGTTTGTATGGTTGGCATAAGCTTCACAATGTGACACCTGAGGCCACACACAATTCTCAGGTGGTCCGAGCGCCTTCAACTTCCCAGACGGAATGAGAGAAGACCACCTTGCGCGTCGTCGGGAATATCGACTGTCAGGCCGCAATCGTTCACCACCCCACCTCAACCTACTTTCCTTCGAAGGTTTATTACTATTCCCTCGGTCGAAAACCACGATTGCAGGCAAGGAACCACACTCCCACCATGCGATTTTCCGCAACAACCCTCCTGATCACCGCGCTGGGGTGGATCACCGCTGTAACCGCACACACCATCCAGCTTAAGGCTCACTCGAGAGAATGCTACCACGAATCGCTGCACAAAGATGACAAAATGACGGTCAGCTTTCAAGTCGGTGATCGGGAATTCGGAGGCAGTGGCAATCTGGAGATCGACTTCTGGGTATGGCTCTTCCCTTTTATTATGCTGCTTGGGAATGCGGAATGGGCCTCGGTCAATGCCGGCTTACATTCAATAAGAATCAACAGCTGGATATATGGACTGATTGGAGTTGATTGGACTGAGTGCTGACGCTTTCCTTTTCTTGTCACTAGGTTGAGGACCCCTTGAACAACCGTCAGTACTATAAACAAGCTATCTCCTCCGAGGATTACTCGTTTGTTGCTCATGCGGACGGTAAATATGTCTACTGCTTCAGCAACGAGGGATGGACTTCGAACTCTAAGGAGGTATCTTTCAATGTTCATGGAATTGTCTACGTCCCCGAATCGGAAATGCCCCAGGATCCTTTGGAAGTGGAAGGTATGAATGAAAGCACAACTTGCGCTCGGGACGCTCCAGCAGCTAATCGTTTCCCGCTCAATAGTTCGCCGTCTTTCGGAGGCATTGGCCCAGGTTAAGGATGAGCAGTCTTATATTGTGGTGAGAGAGCGGGTGCACCGGAACACTGCCGAGAGCACAAATGCTAGAGTGAAGTGGTGGAGTATCTTCCAGCTTGCGGTGCTCATCGGAGAGGGCATCTTCCAGGTGTGGTGGTTGAAGAGATTTTTTGAGGTGAGTTATATGGGACACAAGCTCCTCGTTTCCGTTTGCCTGTCTTTTCCCCTTGGACCCCTTTTTCTGGGCGATAACTGACTAATCCGACAGGTCAAACGTGTGGTTTAATTTATGTTTCTGGGCATTCCATAGGGATTTTCTAGGCATTTGTGCAATGGAGCGTGTCCTATATCAAAATCAAAGACTTCGAGTATGTCGTAGTGACGAGGTCAAATATATGAATTTATGTGCACAGTCACGAGTATATTTTAGTCATCTACAATCAATTCCATTCAGTTGAAGAAGTGTTACCTATCTACACACTTCCGGTTCTCTACAGCTTCGGGCTCCAAGACGAAGCCAATCGGGCGGTCCCGTAAAGTACCACTATTTAAGCTACTGAACCTGGACTAGACCTCATTCTTACGAAAGGTACCTCTGATCTCTAGTATAAAGGGTATGTAACCTAACCTTAACCCGCAGCTGCCCCGCACACATCAAACATATCATGCGATATCAAACCTCGTAATGCCGGTAGTCTAGAATTCCTCCTACCCTCATTCTAGGGCATGAACGAAGCACACAGATTACAGTCTACAATCAATTGTTCCATCCCCCCTTCGAGCCCCGAAACTCAACCACAATCTGGGCCATGGACCCGAATACGTCATACCCTCTCCAAACAAACGATCCGCTCTTTTACCTCTGCTGGCGCAGACAATTTTGCGGATGGTGTTTGCAAGGCGATGCCCCTTGTAGCTGGTGTTCAGTGGTACGTTAATATCGCCTTTTCCACCCACACCCACACACACACACACACACACACACACTCTCTCTCTCTCTCTCTCTCTCTCTCTCTTTTAAACATAGCCTCTGCCCTCTTTCTAAAAGTCAACCTAACAGACTTCAACCTGCGTGCCCAATCCCACTCGTTTCCCTATCTTGGCTCCTCTTAGCTCCTCAAATATCTGTCCTTTGGGGTCCAAGGAGCGATGGGAACTCCGCGCTATGCCATTCGGGTGCAATGTTAGTACCTTTACCTTCTTAACAGCCGTAGTTTCTGTTCTGGGGACATTGGCTACTATTGCATTGGGGTATTTCGTGTTATGGGCTGCAAAGAGACTGAGGCGGTCCTGGGGACAGGGCAAACTTAGGGGTGGGTTTACTGATTGGAGTGCTTCGACAGGGCGAGGGGTTTTCCGTCGGCGCGGAGTCCGTACGGCGGGGGATGTGGAAGGGAACCGGAATGGGAACTCTGAGAGGACACCGTTACTGGATGGAGATTGAAAGCTTGGTATGCATGTAGTAAGCCATCGCATTACTACTTTGTAATCCAGTCTACGAAAATAGTCTGTGGAAATCGAGAGCATGTTTAACATTTCGCTTGGAGTGGGTACATCGATTGTGGTTCATTATACCGGGGCAATTGTATAAAATATTGCGAAAGAATCTGACTTAGCCATGGAGAACCTGGCTGACTCTATACTCGACGACCGGCTTGCCGCTCTCGATGTTGAAGCGTCCCTGACCGACGAAAACACGGTTCTCGAGGTCCTTGTAGCGCTCGTCGCCGGTCTTTTTTTATGTTAATAAGGTATTGCCTTTGGGGGTATGGATAGGGGATTATCTTGCCTCGAAGGTAAAATGGGTGACTGGTGCTACTGTTAGACATGGTTCTGGCATGGATGGCCCGGTGATGTACTCACAGAGATTGCCGAAAGGCGTTGAGCCCTCTGGGGCGGTACCGGCGAAGACCGCTTGCTCTGTGGGGGTGAGGGTGACGACACCGGTGTAGTTCAAGTAAAGAAGCTGTCGGAACAGTTAATTAAGCGTCTTGTTTTCTATCCCCATGTTCTTGTGCGTGCATATTAGAATAACCTACAGCATCATCCTTGGTCCTGGATAACGACGATAGTTAGAACACAATTCTGTTCATAGGAAGGCAGGGAATGAAAGAAATGGCGAAGGAGCAAAAAAGGAAGAAGCCTACTTAAGCACTCCATGCGCGTTCAATCGCAGGTGCTTGCCATCGGCATCAGCGTGGATGTAGTCATTGCCCACTCCGACGAATTCGGCGTCGAGCGCGGGGGAGAAACCAGAGTCACCCTTGACGGTACCTCCGATCATAGGCTTTTGTCCGTCAAAAAAGTATAATTAGATTCCCTCCTGTCTACATGTTACGTAGAGATGTGACGGATAGGTTGACATACCACAACCTGCAGAGGGTTGGATCGAGAGGCGCTGCCTATGCATATAGTTAGCGGTCCACCGCTCTTTGATATTGAAGGCTCAGAGATACGACCCACCAACTGCTAGAGGAGCATCTATGTTCACCTAGTTCAAAGTCAGAATTCAACAACATGAGGCAAGTCTTGGTAATGGTCAGCACACGCACCCGAACTGTGAAGGCAGGCTTAAGAGTGGGAAATCCGGACATGATAGCTTGCTAGTAATGAACTAAGAACAGTGATAGTAAAAAAAAGAATTATATGAAGGAAATGAATTGTTAGGAAGTAAAACGAGTCTAGAATTTGGCGATGTACCTAGTGACCGCAGTTTTCGACTGGCGTAATTGAACCCCGCACTAGTGGAGTGATTACGATGAGGGGCTTTTATCCTACAACAACATCGATATATTAACTGCTGCCGAGATTCCTCTCCAGTATCCTTTCTGTTCACCAGTGTTATGTGAATTCGTGCCGTATGTAGGATTCGTGCTTGCAATACACCGTGCACATTGTACGCCGGCGACTCATGTTGCTCAAACATCCATTTTAGAATTAGGTGATCACGTTCTCAGCCATATATTTGTACTGTGCTCTGTCTCTGTTGGAGGTCATATAACAAGAACAAGGAGAAAACATTCAAGGATATCCTTCCCTTAATCTCGGCTGTCCTTGTCTATGGGTGTTTGCTCGTGTTCTCTACCCTATAAATCCATTTGCTATTTTTCACCCAGGAAGAGCTCTCCTAAGGACGATGACAGGGCTACATTCAGCGTTCTCATTGGCATACGCTATGGATTAATGGGGCCACTTAAGTCATGACGCTTGGGAAATTTCGATAAATCCAAATTCAATCAACTTGAACTTCCGCCAGCATTAATAGACGGGTCACTGCATACTAAACATTCTAAGACGCACATCGGCAATTTCCCAAATTAACGGTGTGGCTCCATTGCGGACAATTTTCACTGCACTGAGACAATTGGATATACATGAGCGAATGAATTTTGGGTATGAATAAGGCCCTATGACCGGCTATCTTTTTGTGAAGTTGTGAGGGAAACAAATATACTCGTTTTGCCCGAATCGCTTCGAAGTTCCAGCTTTGACGTTGTTTTTCTGCCTGCAGCTATAACTTAGCCCCGAGATTGTGGGTTATTCTTAGGTGTGCCAATTACGGCATTTTTTGTGCGTCGGTCATTTTAAGGCCCCAAGTTGAATTGTTAAGGAGACATATGTAAGCCATCCGGTGGATCAATAATTTGACAGATGCCGGCCATATCATTGGGCCTAATAGACCGTAATAATCTGTGCACTGAGCTTACAGATGCTTTCCATGACGACGCCAATCACCTTGCTACTAGGCAATGTCAGTCTTTTCGGAAGGCTGCATAGACCCCTTGAAACAACACCGTGGCGGTCTACTGTAAGATAGGTTATACCTACAGAAGAATCAAAGACAAAAGTGAATGATATACTAGGACTACTACTCCATAGTAGATGGTGTGTTGAAATAATTATAAGTCACGAGACATGATCTGCGGACGATGGGTTGGTCGGATCTGATATCTTAAGCCTTCGCGCTAGTGAATTCGACTGGCTCAACCCTTGATGGTGCCCTATCACGATTTTCCGTTTGCATCGACCATGGAACCCACAACAATAGCCCGTGCTCACAAGGTCTCCAGGTCTCCCACACTCATAAATGGGTCATGTTACTCAGGTTAACACCCAGTCGAGCAAACCAGCTGCTCCCTGGCACCCACGTGGGGACTCCCGAAGACAGGAGAGGCTCTGTCTGGCATTTGGTTGGGTAGAAGTTAGAGGATTCGCACTGCGGGTCGCTGCATAGGCAGTGCTGTACCCGCACATATACTCTGATAGAGAGTCAGTAGTAGACATCTCCATAGAGAAATTTGACCACCTGAGCATGGAGTATGACCCCTCCTTCGGATCGCATAAAGGCCTGTGCATTTGTCCCTCTATCTTTAGCTAAGGGTATGATGTTTGAATACTAAAAAGACATTCCAAGAAATCCGACTCGAAAGTTTGGTCCAGCACGGTACTCGGCAGGCTAAACCTAATCGGTCTCCGGATCCCGTCCATCAAACTAAACGGTAGTGACGTTAACTCATTCATAATTTTTTTTAATTCTTTAACTCTCGCTTCCTCAACTTCGCACGTCGCGTGTCCGCTTCCTGTTTTCATGTTTGGGATTGCTGGTAGAGGCTAAACTATTCTTTTGCCGCCTGGTTGGGGCTTCTCATGGTTGGAAAGGAGTACCAATGCTTCCCATTCTGATTCTCCCGATTATCTCTACCCTGATCGGCAGTGTCCCCGCCATACCCATATCAGACCAACAACCGTTGGGCGATCAGCTTTTGCATTCAAATGGCGACCTTTATAGCATTGACAAGCCATCGGGCTCCTCTTCTAGCCGAGGACTCACCGGCCGCTTTTTGCATATCACAGGTATGGAATCGTTTATCCCAGCAAACGGAGAAGTACGCTAATCTTTGTAGACATACATCCAGACTCGCACTACAAGGCCGGGAGATCCGTGGACGAGGATGACGCATGCCATCGGGGAAAGGGCCCTGCGGGATACTTTGGAGCGGAAGGGAGTGAATGCGACGCGCCTCTCACCCTTATAAACGAAACATTCCGCTGGATAGAAAAGAACCTCAAAGGCGATATCGACTTTGTTATATGGACTGGTGACTCTGCTCGTCATGATAATGATGAGAAAATCCCTCGAACGGAGGAGGAAGTGTCTGCCTTGAACGAGATAATTGCTGGCAAATTCATTGACACTTTCAAGGAGGGTTCCAGTAATTCCCCTTCTATTCCAATCGTTCCTACGCTGGGAAACAACGACTTCATGCCACACAACATATTTAACGATGGCCCAAACCGATGGACTAAGAAGTTTGTCGATATATGGGCAAAGTTCATCCCGGAGCATCAGCGCCACACCTTCGTGGAAGGCGGCTGGTTTACGTCGGAGGTGATTCCCAACAAGTTGACAGTCATTAGCTTGAACACGATGTATTTCTTTGACTCCAACTCTGCGGTCGACGGTTGTAAAGCCAAATCACAGCCAGGATTTGAACATATGGAGTGGCTGCGTGTGCAACTAAAGTTGCTGCGGTCACGCGACATGAAAGCAATCCTGATAGGGCATGTCCCGCCGGCGAGGTCTGGATCCAAGCGAAGCTGGGATGAGACGTGTTGGCAGAAATACACTCTTTGGGTCCATCAGTATCGTGACATTATTGTTGGTACTGCCTATGGGCATATGAACATCGACCATTTTATGCTCCAGGACAGCCATAAAGTGAACATTCTTGATGCCAGCAAGAGCTCGGCTTCTTCAGCCGTATCTGGCGATACATCTCCCTTGGTCTCTGTTCAGTCCCGCCAAAGTTATCTTGTCGATCTCAGGAAAGATTGGTCTAAAATGCCGTCACCACCCGCAGGAATGTCAGCCCTACATGAATTATTTGAGGATGGTTCCACCGAACATGCCGAAGATGCTGATCCTGAGGTTCTGATGGCAAACAAAAAGAGGCGCAAGTTTCTGAAGAAGATTGGTGGTCCCTGGGCTGAGCGATACAGCGTATCATTGGTATCTCCCAGTGTAGTTCCCAATTACTTTCCATCGCTTCGGGTCGTTGAGTATAACATCTCTGGCTTGGCCGATGCCACGACTTGGGCCGAGTCTTTGGAACAAGGTACTGCAATAGCCTTACCTTCCTCGGAGATGATAGACGATGATGCATCTATCGAGAAAAAGAAGAAGGGGAAGAAGAAGAAGAAGCAGCCCCACTTCAAGGTCCCCAAACCACCGTCATCATCTACTCCACCAGGACCGGCGTACTCGAACCAACCGTTTACATGGCTGGGTTACACTCAATATTTTGCAAACCTAACCAAAATCAACGAGCACGTGACCAATAGCAGAGAACTTGCGAGTGGCTCCGTCAATCCTACCGACACCGAGGTTAACGAGGTTCGTGAAACGAGCCGTGGCGACGATGCCTTCGTTTTTGAGGTTGAATACGATACTAGAAATGATCCAGTTTACATGATGAAGGATCTCACAGTGCGCAGTTTCTTTGAACTAGCGACTCGAATTGCGAAGGAATCCTCAAAAAAGAATGATTTATTGGCGGACAGTACAAATGTCGACGGTCTGCCTGCCAGCGAGACTGGCGCAGTCGATGATTATGATGACGATGACTTTGAACGCCAAATGAAAAAGAAAAAGAAAAAACCCCAGAACAAAGTATGGCGGACGTTCTTTGAACGCGCGTTTGTAGGATTTCTGGACATTGATGACCTTGACGACATGTCAGAATGATAAAGTTTTCTTTTCTGCGATAGAGTGGGGCTTAAGAATATATATTAGACTGACAAGGGATGGGTTTTATTTCTTGACACTTGTTTTATAATTTCCAAAGAGCCAGCATTGCTATATGTATATAGTAGTCTTTTAGCTCATAATGCTGGTGTTGCTGAAAGGTAGCTTCGGATGTGCGGATGCATGTCGAAAAGGAATTGCACTCTGATCTGTGTTAGACATAAGGGATAGTAACACACGCTGAATTTAGTTATTTCATACTAGTAGCTTAACCTCGATTGTCTTTATTGTATATGCTGTATACAAATGTATATGTACATGGACAAGGGTGGCTGACAAGATACCTTAAGCGGTCAATAGGGCGGTGGGTCTTTGCCATGTGTTGGAACGTTAAATTGGCTCTTTGTTTCTATCCTCGCATGGAGACTGACTGACTACACTTACAGGACTCAACTGCAGTTCATGAAGTAAGGGGACCAGTAATACTGGTTTTCATTCAAAGAAGACAGTGCCACCTTGTTGCAAGCTGATGTCTCACAGCCCCCGCCAACCCATCGAGTATGTCGGTGCCACGCTGGCAGATGCCTGCCAACTGTCATGCTTGCGCCCCGTCCGAGTTAATTTCTGCCGCCATCCCAATGCTAACAAGCGCGCGGACGCTGAGCTCCAACGCTTGTGGTTTAGTCTATGAGACGGACTTCGCGACGGAGTGGCCCAGGCACAGAGATCATGCCTTTTTTGAACTGACCGTCCTATAATGATATTATCTGCAGTCTGCAGCACTATCTGTGGCCTAAGTGCTACTTATTTCAGCCGGACGATAGGCGATCCACCGTACTAATCCTATCTCATCAATCGACTGGATCAAAAGCTGCAAGGCAGCGAAAATCAGCACTCGGATTCTGACACGTATCGAACTAAACGATGCGTTGTCCTCCCGCGTCATGCTTGGACTTTGGGGGACGGCAGCAGTCAAATTTCGCCACTTTTTTTTTTTTTCTTTTCCCCCGTAATTGCTTATGACGATTATCTTTGATTGTGGATGATTTGTATGGCTGCCCGACTGTTCCCGTGTTTTGGGAATTAAAAAAGAAGGGAAATATTTTTTTTCTTAAAAAAAGGGAAAAAAAAATTAATCTCCCCCACACAATGGAGGATAGCAAGATCGGATGAGGCGACAGTGAGGTTCAATGCATATGACGGCATTGCAATATTGAAAGAAACAACAGGACATCATATACATTAAGACAGAGCTCACCCATACAGTATTGCCGCGGCTCCATCCACCTCCATACTGGGTCAGGGGAAATCCCGACCGCATAGGTACTAATTTTCCTTGCATCATCCGTTTCTCATTACGACCTTATTATTTCAGCTCCTTCTCCCAATACACGGGCAGCAGTGGCCGGGCTGTCCACTTCTTTTGTCAATTGTGGCTGATACCGCTCTTTGGACCAAATCCACCTTGTCGAGCAATCGCAATATCTAAGCCGCTTCCCCTCCATCCAACGACTAATTCTAGGGCTTGTTCAATGTTCATATCTCTTATTGTTTTTTGACTGTGGCCCCCCATCCTCACTGCCAGCAACCGCTGGCTGAGAAGCACAGACTACCGCCTTACCACGCCAGTTGCGCACGATGCATCGAAGCTGCCTCCTACCTCATAACCACGAGCTCCTTGCCCTTCAATATTTTGCCATTGACAATCATCCCCTTCCGTGTGCCTTGCGTTGCTAATTATTTCCCTATATCGACCGAGTATTTTGATATTTCCAGTTCTTGCATACTGCCCCGGCTATCGAAAAGCCGTCGCAGCAGTTAACGTCCTTTGATTGGAAACACCGCCCTGTTTTTCTAGCTCCCTTTGTGGCATTGTACAGTCTACACCAAAAATTCTTGCATATCACGAAAAGTTTCAAGGCCTTCAGTACTTGGTCTGTTTGTAACATATACATCTCACGGTTCAATCGGTGGCTTTGTGATTCTAGCGCTTCGCTTTGTCGTTTAGTGCCTAATTTCCTGATTCTCCGGTACAATTCAAAAGCAACTTCTGAAGAACAGACGCAAAGGGGTATCTCAGCACACGGTCGAAGCAAGCTTCGGAGTGACAGTACGCAAAAGAAATTCTCGCTTTAGTGCCGACAGTGCATATCGGCAAACCTTAAAAAAAGAAGTGCATCCAGCTTAAGCTCCTGACATGGGCAGCGAACTGTACCGCTTCTGAATAAACTGGGTTGATTCTACCGTTCGCTTGTGCGCGCCTCCGAGGTAAGATGACAAGCTCTTTAGCACTCTTTCTGTTCCATATTTTCCACTGCATTTCACTGTCGCATTCAAAATATACTCGAACGACGAAGCCTTCTATTTCTCCTTGTGCATTTGACAGCTCAATTGAGTGCGAATTGGCCTAGGCCATCATTAGTAGCACTTCGATTGTTTTGGAGACAATCATTTCGCTAACATGGCACAATATGCAATGCACATGGCTAATATCTGCGGCGGCTTCTCTATCATAGACCCGAATCTTCTGGCTTTGTGGATGGCTTCCTCCGAGGTAGACCAGAAGGCTTTGGGCAATTTTGCGGCCTTAACCAGCCTCGAAAACCCCTTCCTGTCCGCAATGCTCTATAGAGTTCTAGGCCTTTCGGTCATGCTTTCGAAGAAGCTACTTCGTGCACGACGACTACGGCGACTGGATCCTAGCCGAGAAACTAAGTCACTCCAATTATATCATCATATCTTATGGCTCTCCCGTGAAGGACTACTGATTTTGGAAGAGTTCGTTCTTCCGATGGTTGAGGGATATGTGGAGCTGAAGATCCTAGCCTATAAACTTCGAGCATCCTTTTACCACATATTTGTACTTTTTCACAATCAGCCCGCAGTTCACTGTCCGGGCATCACCAGTTTTCCGAGCAATGGTACTAAACCAAACGACGCACCCAAGGCCGAATCACCTACTAAAGAACCGGGGTCGAGATTCTCATTTAGATCGAACGCAGAATCAATAACAGTCCCTGAACATCCAGCTTACAGCTCGGGGAACGTCTCTCGGTACACTGCTATCCAAGTTCCTCCTGGACTTGCACCCGTTCAACCGCCCAAGGCATCGTCCTTTCTTCTGCCTGCTCTCGATTACACCCCTACGGCGACGGCATGCTTCAATCACGCAGCTCTCTTGGCTGAACGTTTTCTTCCTGGCTCTCACCCTTTACGTCTGTCTATTAAGCTTGAATATGCGGCGTATCTTTACGACTGTCTCCATGATTCTAATGCTTGTCGGCGGGTGGCCAAACAAGCTATAGCAGATGTTTATAAAGCTCAAGAAGCTATGGATGATGAAAGCTTCGCGGACGCCGCTGAGATCGTTGGAATCTTGGGAAAGATGGTTAAGCGTGGGGGCAAGACTAGCAGCACTGAAGGTAGTAGCACGGCCTCTGCGACTCTTCGAGACGGGAGCTCGAGAAGTGAATTTGGCGATACACCGGCAACAGTCACACCAGTGCCACCGGTAACAGAACCGCCAAAGACTAGCAATGACTTGCCTCCGGCCGTTCCTGACCCTACCATGATGAACCCAATCTAATACCACCACAAACACGAGTGCTGATGAATAATTGTGGCTATTGTCGCTACGATTGTACATGATGGCCAAACGTGCTGCAGTGTGGGTGTTTGATGAAATTCAAAGATCTCCGTTGTGGCACTGGTCTTGTCTTCTGTCTTTTTACTTTGTTTATAGCGACTTTGATGTATTCTTTTGTCTTTTATTGGTTTCTAGGCGCTTATACCTCTAATGCGGCAATTCTACATAGTCGTTCTGTATTATCCAACCCCACAATGTTAGCAAAAAGAAGCGATATGCTGGGATGTACATTGTTTTTGCTTGCCTTTCAACTTCAGTAGTGATATGGCTGGTGAATAGAAAGCTTGGAATCACTCTTTATGATATCATAACGTGTTATTATCGAATATAGTGGGCATTATCTGCTTCCCCATGGAGAAAGACCTGGTAATTCCGACTTTGCTAGAGGAAATAAACGGCACTCTAATCTACTACAACAGCTGAGAAGGATCAATTCTCCTAACATTCCAGGTATGGAATATCAATCGATGAACCGGCTTTGTCAGATAACGGCATATATACCGTACTTTAATATTCTGCTGTATATCACGCAAGCTTGAATGCATCGATATGTACGCCGGCTTGTCTCGTCCCTGGGTTTTGGATTTGACTTGGCAATGACAAGGCAATCGAGGATTCCGCAGTCAGCTACAACGAATACGTGGTGCATTTGCATTCTCACTGGTCCCTTAATTAGCGGACTGTTTCTAGTATTTGAACCCGTTTCTAAGCGCCTAGACAACGTTGTGTTCCCTGGCATGGATTCCTTCAACTACCCTTTATCAGTTTTCGACTCAGCATCACCACGGAGCTACCCAGCCTTTCTTCTCTTCCTTCACTCTACAATCCAGAGGCAAGACTTCAGGCATTAGAAAATGGGGTAGCCAAGCTAATTCAACGATTTCCATTCCTCGCTGGGGATACTAACCTACTCTCCCGCGACCGACCTTATGAAGAACAGATACAACCTTCGTTCTGCTGCGGCGCAGAGTGGACTAGTAGTTTCCAGCACAACGAAGCCAGAGCAGTGTGCGCTGGCCATGAATCTGCGTCTGAGGCTCCGGAAAGTCGGTGCTGAAAAGTATTTCGGTAGTTGTATGACCACTGTCCAGACTAGTTCGATACAGAAGGATGTTTACCCCTGAGTGGGAAATTCTGATCATTGGAGATTTGCCCTGCTGCATCTCACGAGATTGGCCTTAAACCTTCGTCAGAAGGTCACTGCCGTTACCTCTGAATATGCGCATGAGTTAGGCTCCCATTTGAGAGAGCAGAAGGATATCCAGCTCACCACTACGCTTGCAGAATCCCGTATAACTGAGATGAGACCGCTGAGAATATACAGTCTTGTCGTTGGGGGGGCAGTTGGGTATCGTTGACTACCTGTAGCACCCGTTGGAGCCCGTCGATGGAACGTGTGCTATCATGCAAGCGCGTATCAAAAATCATAATCTTTATGGGAGCAAGGTACAGGGTTCATGGGAATTTTTGATCACACTGAGCTGAATGTTCTCGACACTTTGGAGAAGGATCCGCTGTTGAGCATTTTTGGTGGAAAAGAAGGAGCAGCTGATCGGGTCCAATTCAGACCTTGGTGTTCATGCCCGCTTATAGTAGTGCTTCAAGCACCAATACCTCACATTAAAGTGACTGTGAAGATCAGACTCCTATGTGGAGAATACCCAAAGTCTATCTATATGGAGAGATGAAGAAGGGCGAATGTTGACATTCAAACCAGCACTTTTCTTTTCTTGGCTGAGTGAATACTTATTAGTGAGTCTGTCTTCAGATCAGTCTGAAAACCCTTTGCTGCAATTCGTATTACTGTGGTAATAGTGAGTGTACTAAGGAGTGATACAAGGGCCAAACCAAAGATAGCATTATGGAAAGTTGCTTGCTGAGAGTAAAAGAAGACATTGGTTCAAACAAAGAAACTAGAAGTCGATGTAGTATTGGGCGAAGTAGTCTTAATCCTGCCTTTGTCTTTGAAGGAAGTAAACTAGTGTCAGTTTGTTAGAATAACTGTAAAGGAAATGGATGATGATCACACTTCGATCATGAACCAAGGAAGAAGAAGAAGGACCTGTCTATAGTGTTGCAACATAAGGCAACATTTGGGTCGCCTCAGGCAGACGACGCTAACCGATGCTACGGTAAAATAACCCAGAGCGGTACGGCGGGAACAAAAAAAAAAAAGCCTCAATAAGGGAAAGACAACGTGCAGATCGGCCACAGGACTAGTGAAAAGGCTATTGACTTTGTGCCAATCGAACTACCAAAAGGCCTCTGCCAAAAATAATCACCGGTCATACCTGCATGCTTAGGGGGTTGGATGCTGCTCTGATTCGACCTCATTGTTGTTGTCCCTCCTCACTGACCCTGGAGTGACCTTCTTTCTCTCCCAGCTTGTTCCCCACGGGCACTCATCCTTGGCCTCTATCGACTTGGCAACATCCGCTTGCGACCGCACGTTACGTTGCGTCCACCACGTCCTTTACGTCATTCAGTAGCGATCGATTCCTGCAAAACTTCTGCCCGACATAGAATAAACATCCCGAGCCGATTTAAAGCCCTATCCTCTTCTCCTCATCTGGCGTCATCCCCACCATTGCGTGTTGTGCCTATCTCGTTGCCGGGGCTCCATTTCCCAAGTTACTTTCGCGAGGTACCGGCCGACTGACCGACGCCCCCGACAAAAGTCGAAAAAAAAAAAAAAAAGAAAGAAAGAGGAAGCCACCGAAAAGAGATATAAGTGCACATGGAAAAAATAGTATAAACCTGGAGGCTATTCCGCATATACCGTTCGGTTCGTGATTTAATTTCCAGCTTATTCGTCAATCCCGTATGCAATGAAGTTGCCTGATCCTGAAAGCTCTTCAAGCACGCAGGAACTCTGTTGACTCTGGAAATTCGCCTTCTCGAGGATCGCCAGCGTGGACGAGAAGTCTATGAACGTGTATGATGCGGTCAGGCTTCCACAAACCTGGTGCCATCTCCTTTCTCGCTCTTCTTGTTTTCTCATTGCTCAGCTTGGTGTCCTTGGCAAAGGAGTGGGACTTGTATAATCTGCGCTTCGGGTATATTGGTTACCATCATAACGATGTTCGGCGTAAGTGTCTCTTATCCCGCTGTGATTGTTTAGCTATAACATTGATCTCACATTACGTGGAACATAGAACCTTCCCGTGTTAGAGATGGTCCAGTCGACGTCCGGTCGAGAATACGGACGACTGGCAGTCAGTGTAAGTCGTGGGCGATAAATGGTTACTGCCTGTCAGACCTGGACCGTGTCCATCGCCCGCGGCGCTCCGTGCCAGACACCCCACACAGCTCGTTCGAGGCTGCTACTGTCTTTGACACCGATTCGATAGTATACTTTACCGAAGAACCATCAACTTTCGCGCGAGGTGTACTCGCCTTCAAATCGCTTTTCATGAAACAGACGGGTGACAGCCAAATATCTATCTCGCTTGCCACAGGGGCCGCCTCTTCTGTGGCCTCAGCACCTAGCTCTCTCACCTCGAATGTATCCAACTTAGCTGTTATCAGCGCCTCTCCTACCACTGAAGCACCCCTTCCCAAGTCGTACGGCAGCAATGTCACGGCAACGGCGCGAGAAGTTCATTCACAAAGCCCCCAGTACCCTCGTTCTCATCTACGTGAATTATTGCAGCAGGCCTGCCATGCTACGAGGGTCTATCTCGAGAACTGGACTGTTCCGCATACTTTCTCAAGAGAACGACTACCGCCCGGTTCTGAAGAGACCACCGAAGGGAAATTGCAATTGTCGGAACAGACTGATCAACACATTGAAGAAAAGGTTGCACCCAAGGTGCTCCCATCGAATGGCAGCAATGCCGCATGTTCGACCTCGTCGCCCACATCTCCGCTATCGCCTGCTAAGCCAACTGATATCCCTGATTTGCCCGTAGGAGCTGAAGAGCGGCCTAAGGGCGTTGGACATGGACCGAATTCACAGCCTGCACGCGGTAGTTGCATGGCTATTGTCATAGGCCTAGTTGTCGGTGTCATGTGGTTCTGAGTAATCATTGTGCACCTGCAACATTCTCAGCAGGTATCAGCCAACTTATATGCATTTCTGCTATCGATGCGGCTTAATCCAGCCGTATAATAACAGTAACTGATGCCCCCAACTACTGCAATGATTGAAACATGAACAGGCATTATTGACATGGTTCTTTATTTTGTTTTCCTCGATTGCCGCACAATCTGGCATCCACTGCTTTGCGGAATGCGGACCTGGCATTTCTTTATCTACGTTTTATTCCTTTTCAGTCGGTGTGCAACTGGCTGCTGGTAAACCGTTTGTTCGTCCTTGTGGACCACTAATTTCCCCGTCACCGTGCACGGGGCTGGTTTTGATTCTCTGCAGCAATATTGACACATTCTATGTATGGACAACTTCAACTGTTTTGTGTATATCCCTCGGCCTGGGATGCCATGTTTGATGTCTTACGAGATTTGATCGTTTGGTTGATAGATATGACCTGGATGGCTCTGATAGCTGTCCGCAGGCTGTGCTTCATACCTACGTTTGCCATTTGGTAACTCGGAACTGGCCTAATGGATGGTCTTGTACAGTACCTAATAATATTTAATCGTTGATGACCATTTCTATGTGCTCGACCGGTAGCGAGGCCTATATGGGGCGCGACCCTTAGTTGCTAATAAGCGCTAACGGTTCAATCGCTGGGATCCTAGCACACCGTCATACTATTGGGGTGGGAAAAGATAGATAGAAAGAAACTATAAATTGGTGAGATAGGTCATGGTTTGTTTTGAGTTGATCTACGGACATTGTTTACCTGGAATTCGATACGTCTAGCGCACGGACCATATATAAGAATCGCCCTCCCGTGACCAGGGTTCCATTACCTTTTCACCTATCCGTTTGTTCACCATCTCTCATACCCCATTATCAGCACCATCCGTACTTATTGACAATTATACGTACTGCTGTCTATTTTACTTGATTCTATATCACAATAGTGTGAAGAAAGATATCATCGGTCTGAGCTTACCAGAAGCGGGGCCTAAGCTTCCTATATACATTGTTAACATATCTAAGTAACCAGCTGTATAACTAAGTATCCAAACAAGCTACCCCTTAGTGTATCAGGGCCTAGAAGAAACGTATTGATACTGAAAGTTGAACTGACAGGGTTTCAAGCAATATACAATCTCCACGCTGCAGGATGCGCAACGTGAGGAGACTTCCTGATCCTCCTTGTTGTGTATGTCGCCGCAAGAAAAGGGGATGTGACAGACAGAAACCAAGTATGCTTTCGTTAAATCTCACTGCATAAGTTTCCTATCCGCCACTTGCGCCCCTATAGCAAGCGATAAAATCACTAACAAGTACTGTGTATAGTATGTGGAGGATGTCGGCAAAAGGGCCAGTCACATGAATGTTCCTATAGACCCCAGGATATGCCTCCTCCGTATGACTCCAAATCTGATGTGATTGAATCCTGCTAACGTCGGTCAAAGTAACCGCCCGAGGCAACGTATGACTACCCAGGCGTTCCCTGAGCTAGAGGTTGTTATTATCTCGCCTCCAGACAATGAAAGACGCCTACGAGGCCGTGGAGTGCGCCAGTCGCCTGATATTACACAAAGCGATGTGATTGAGGTCTCCTCCATGGTTTCAGATCAAAGCTACCACACCGCTGTTTTGTCCCAGGAGGAAGGCTTTCACCTCGATGATAGTGGAGCGCAGGCCTCGCAAGTGATGAGGTTGCAAAGAGCTGTTGATGAGCGAACGGGCAGAGCCAAGGACGAAGATTTAACAGGCGAAATTCCTCTTTTAGCTCAAATACCCATGTTCACAAACGGTGTCATACAGCCTTCCGTCTCCAGATCGAATGGCGAGGAACCACCGGTGCACTTGTCTCAGGAAATGGCTGACCGTCTTGTTCTCTCTTATTTAACGAGAGAATATGCAAACTTGCCGATACTGGACCTTTTACAGTTTCAGTCAGCGTACGAGACTACCAGAACTGAACAGGACATAGCCGCAGGCCCCAGTAGTTTCCATGGCATCTTGAATACCATTTTCAGTTTATCTGGCTTAAGTACAAACGATGTGAATGACGAAGACGTGACGAATTTCTTCAACCGCGGTCAGAGGATGTCCAGGGATACGGAGAACAGCGGGTCTCTATGTGAGCGTATTCAATCGCATATTTTACAAAGCCAGTATCTATATGCGACTGGTAACTCAAGGTTGGCATGGATGTTCATTGGGTTTGCCATCCGCATGGCGCAGGTCCTGGGCCTGCACTTCAAGACAGGGGGGCATGATACTCGAGGAAGGAGGGATCGAGAACTCGCCCGGCGACTCTGGCACAGCGCCATGATCCTGGAACGGATGATTGCACTGCAGCTAGGGCTCCCACCGCAAACCTCCAATCCACTGAGGGTGCCGTTACCGACGCATTGGGACACAGACTACACCGATTTCATAGCTGGGGGGAACTCCACCGTCACGTCAGATCGTCCATCCTTGATAGAGTTTTTGACGGCTTGTGCCAGGCTGTATAGTCACGTCGAGGATATTTTAGCATGGGAGGATGAGCTGAGAATGCAGCCAAATAGTTGCGCTGCTAAGAAACTTCTTTCCTTCGATTTCAAGATATTTTTGAAGGTAGACACTCTTCTATATGATTGGCAGGCATCTCTGCCATCATACTATCTGCAAGATGATGCCGCGGGCGGTATATGGGATGACCCGATTGTGTGTCGACAGCGGAATGTTCTCCGAGCACGCTACCTGTATGTTCGTCTTCGACTATATCGGCCTCTGCTGGCCTTGGGACTGGCACTGTTCACCAAATGCAATTGTCGACCTGAAGGTCGCCCGCACGCTACTAAAGAGGAGCCTAGCTCCTCCACCTCCCCTGTTGTTTTCAGCATGGTACGCGACGCCTCAACCACGAGCGTGGCGGTCGCCTTGGAACTGATCAACCTCATCCGTGCGCACGAAGATAGGCCGCTCGATGGCAGGCCAGGCGACAGCCGCTCTAATCTCATCTCTTCCTATTGGGAGAACATTGATTATACTTATGCCTGCGGAACGGTCTTTCTTGCAGCTCGTCTAAGTAACTTTACCAGCTTCAATGACAACAATTCCGGTAAAATCAATGAAGGGGAGGTAGAGACGTCTTTGACGCGAACTATCGACATGTTGGACCATTACCACAGTATTAGACCAAATGGGAAGGTGGCGCGTATAGCACAGCTGTGCTGCAGCACATTAAAGGATCTCTCGGGCCTCATTAGAAGGCCTGGCATTGCTGACCCTACAGCCGACACAGCTGCGGTCTTGGATGAGAATACTCGCAATCGGCTGCTGGAAAGGACAGGGAACGGTAGTCCTGCCCTCAACTGGAACCGGAGGCAGCCGGTAGAGGACACGCGCGGTTATTATGGATGGATTGAGAGTCTGCCTATAGACTTGGCTGGTCCACTGGAATGAGGCTCTGATACCCTTGCGTTGTAAACTAAACAAAGTTATTTCTATGTCGATGAGAAGTTACTATATAATCATATCTTCGATCAATACTTTAGCTACTACCAGATAACTAGCTTTATCTAATCATTCCATTAACCCCTACCAACGGCTAACCGGCCACGACGCGCATATTCACCCTTATGCGGCTGAACGAAGGAGCCGACATTGGTATGCGACACCTTCCCAGTCATCGGAGAAGGACCACGTGCATTAAAGCCGGGATCGACTGGGATTATCACGAAGGCTTGGATACATTGAAGAGGCTGACGATCCTTTGCTCATGATTCTTGGGGCTGAAACAAGGGATCACTCGGAAATGTATTCCGGCATCTCTAGACGACACAAGGTCGAACGACTCCTCACATCTCAGTCACTCGTAATTCTGAGGAATATTTGAAACGGAGGGTATAGGAGGTAGAATTGAGATATGGCTCAATTAGCTATATGTGATTTAGAATTCACGATTTCGCCTTCTCGGCCTCGTCGACCAAAATTTCGACTTCTTGCTCCGTGAACCGATGGAACAGCTTCTTTGGATCGGAGAGGTCGGCTTCTCCGTTTTCCGATTGACCCTTGACCGATTGAACGTGTAAGACAGGGACATCGAACTCATAAACATCCTTCCATGGCTTGTTGGTGGGGACCATAATATCCAATTCGGAGTATTCAAAGGGCCGCCGTTTGTGTAATTGAGTTACAGCGTGTTTTGCCGTGTCGCACAGTCCGCAGCCGACACGGGTGAAGAGCGTAACACGAACCGCTTGGGAGAGACGGGCGGCGGTAGGAAACATGGTGAGAAATTGAAAATAAACAAATTAAGCCAGAATGGCTGACAAAGTTGTGGTGGTTGAAGGCCGCGAACGGGCGATAGGATCAGGTGGTGATGTCGACAGTCAAACAATAGAGTTACTACCTTAGTTATCGTGCTCTCCGCGCCGATAAAATGGAACCTTCGAGCTTCTCCAGACTAAGCCCCTTCGGGCCACTTTGGGCGGCAGCTGCGACGGCAGTATTTCTGCGGCTTTCGATGCGATTTGACACCGCCAACGAAGGTTCTCGTCTCATGGACTGAAGCGATTTTACTGCTGCTAGTATAGTATACGTCCTACTGAGACGAGAAGTGCATTGTGCCTCCCCCCATCGAAAAAATGTCCAAGTGCGTCCACAAGGGTTGCGGGAAGGTCTTCACCGATCCCGAAGAGCCATGCGTTTATCATCCTGGACCACCCGTCTTCCATGAAGGTCAAAAGGGTAAGTTCAAGGACCTTGGTGTCTACGGTGGCCCCTGGGATTCGTCGCATGACACCTCGGTCCTTCCCTGCGGTGCGATCCACCAACGTTAACCTTCCCGTTATCTACAGGCTGGAAATGCTGCAAGCCCCGCGTTCTCACCTTCGATGAATTTCTCGAAATCCCACCTTGTACTACCGGCAAGCATTCGACTGTAGACGATACCCCAGTCGAACCACCAAAGAACACAGACGCAGCTGCACCTGAACTAGTTGCCCCCCAGCCGGTCACTGCGCCTGTCGCAGATAGCGGGGTACCACGGCCAACATACTCGCCCGCTATCGCCCCTCCGTCGAACACAGCTACACCTGTCCCCGAAGAGTCAGAGTCCGACGACCCATCTCTTGACATCCCGGCTAACGCCACATGCCGTCGGAAAGGATGCGGCGCCAACTATAACTCGTCCGTGTCGCGGGAGGAGGAAAAATGCGTCCATCATCCGGGACAGCCGATTTTCCATGAGGGTAGCAAGGGATGGTCATGCTGTAAGAAGAGGGTTCTGGATTTCGACGATTTCCTGAAGATCGAGGGCTGCAAGGAGAAGAATAAACATCTTTTTGTCGGAAAGGGCAAGCCGGTTGGTGAAGAGAAGGTGGAGAGTGTCAGGTGAGTGAAGCCTATATTTCGTCCTACGAATGGCCATACCTCTTTGGGGAACGTTGTCTTAACCTTCCATGCCTTGTATAGGAATGACTTCTACCAAACACCACACTCGGTCAATGTCTCGCTTTACCTTAAGAAGATCGATAAGAGCCAGGCTAAGGTCGAGTTCTCCGAGAAGTCGATCGACTTGGACCTCCCCACCACCGATAACAAGCGGTACAAAGATACATATCAGCTGTTTGCGCCGATTAGTCCTGAAAAGTGCCAGTTCAAGGTGTTGGGTACCAAACTGGAATTGACGCTGGCCAAGGCTGATGGGACGAGCTGGCCAGTCTTGCGGAGCGATGACAGATGGAGTGGAGAGAGGATTCAAATCGGACAGGCTGGACGGGTCTGAGGTTACTATATAGCATATGAGACACAGGAAACACATATCTTGCACTAACATGGTTGGAACATGGTGTCTGCTCAGCTTCAGAGACATACATTCACTCGTATCGCCAAGACATCTTGTGATGGCACTAATTCAGGATTGGTTATATTGGCACATGACGAGACTTGCTAGGTTGATCGCTCTTCAGCAAATAAGAGGAGCAGCTCATAATTGGGACTGAAAGCTACTGTGTTGAGCATGGAAGTCGTTACTGCTTCTTGTTTGGGAACAGCATAGGCCCTAAAAAGTGAGAGTGAAAGCTATATGGAAGAGTTTCACAATGCAACACTCATTTACTTGGTCAATGCCAAGATAATGCATAGCAGATTTGCTCACCACATGCTCAAGACATAAACATCTACTGGGCGTGTTCTCGTGACATTCCCTCATTGAGGCTATACTCCGTAGATGCTACCTTCCATGACCATGAAACAAGCATATCAGACATGGCCAATGATAGACGCATTTAAGCAATTAGCAGGCAACCTAGCCATGATGCTTCAATCGGAGCAGGCATCCAATATGCCAATGCCAACACTAGCCAGATACACATGGTATGTTTGAAGATTGATACGCCGAGATGGACACATTTGATCCAAGGTTTCAGCATAGAAACCCTGAAAACAAGTACCTTGTTCAGCAGCCTGTCTACGAGAGAGGAATATCCAACTATGATTTCATAGTACAGACATTACTTCTATAGAATTGCAATATCGCGCCTCCTCCACAGCTCATGCGCCTGGGGCTCTTATCTTGCGAAAAGAATCCCTAGCTAAGCCATAATTTGGAAGGGAAAAAGGAAAACGCATTTACTCTCCGAAGCTGGGAACGGAAGGAAACCCATCGAGCAAAATCCCACACGGATAACCCTCAGCGAGTCATACATTGTATGAAGCTCCGGTATTGATTTACATATGGTCAATGTAAACCTCTACTGATGATGAGGGAAAAAAAGAAAAGAAAAAAGAAGGAAAAATTGGCGGTGCTAACGATGGCTTTTTGTAGTCCGCCCGGAGTGGAGCCACTAGGACACCTTTGGGACTAGCTAATTACCGAGAGCAGTAGCTCTTAGGGCTTAGGGTGTTGCAAGTCAGAAAGTCATGTGAGGTCGGGTGGCATTGAATAGTGCCTCAGGCGAGGCCCTCCAGTCACATAGTTGAGAATCACATGCAAAGTAGTTGAGTGAGCGGTGACCAAAGGAGTTAGAGCAATACGGGGAGTGTGTACGAAAAAGTACTCCCCGTACCTTACCTAACAAAATAAACACGGTTCCCATACCTGTCAACCATCCCTTACTTTTAACTGCCCCCCTTTTAACCGACAAGGAATGCGAACTATATTCTCCGGAGGGGCTGATCATAGGCCACTTTTGAGTGCTGACAATCGTCGGTGCTACCCCACAGAAAATTCACATAGGACGATCGAGTTGTATAAGAATAGGTGCATACGTAGTCTTCGTCCCTGGCATTTCGTCATGGGGGGCCGAGTGAAGGAGGCAATTTCGGATTTACAGCCTGGTAAGGAAACGAGGGGGCCAACAGCCCTCGTTGCCTGAGGGGCCTCAGGCTGCGTAGCTTCCAATCATGGCCATGCAAGCACGAGACCAATGTTCATTCTTTCTCCTCTTTCTCCTCCTCTCATTCCGGCTTAATACTTCTCCCCCTTTTTTTTTTCCTTCTGGCTTGTGTTCCCTGAGTATTGATTGCCGGTCAATTTAATACTCTTTAAAATTACGTATATCGTTATCATTTGCGATCCTTGTCGCTCACTAATAATAGGGGAAGTCCTCAGTAAACGGACCAAAAAAAAAAAAAAAGTGTCACAGGCAGCCGTTCAGGTTAGTATACACTCCAATACTTTGTATCTTTCCCTCCTTACACCTGAGTGATACTCTCGCTGCATACAACTTCTCATATTTCTCTAACGAGATTTGCTGACAATCTGAAAATTAGAACTGTATAGTTGACCCGCTTCTTCATATAGCATCTCAACCCTCATCCCTTAATAAACAACCATGATGGGTTCGACATCTGAGCCGAACAGTTGTCCTCTCACGGCGCTGCGCTACATCGCACAGTCATACAACCATGCCGACTCTCAAGCGTCTGCGCTGCGGTTGGTTTTGACCCTGAACCCTCACTGGGAAGGCCCGGAGAACAACATCGAGTTCGTGCGCTTCACGGACGGTATCACTAATACTGTGTGTTCCGAACTTGCTCTGCAGGAGCAGATGGCGTCCAAACTGTCGAATCCATGGACTAACTGGCTTCCAGCTTCTCAAAATCATAAATCGCAAGCCTGGCTTGACCGAAGAACAAATAGACAACGAAGCTGTACTGATGAGAGCGTACGGTAACCACACAGAGATTCTTATAGACCGCGAAAGTAAGACAGACTCGGGACATACGCCCTTTCTCCTTCTTGCCCATTGCGACAATGCTGAGTAGATGTCTATAGGAGAAATGAAGTCCCACGCCCTACTTGCCAGCTATGGCCTAGCCCCTTCACTTTTGGCTCGCTTCCAGAACGGCCTGCTCTATAGGTTCATTCGTGGACGCCCTGCCACTCATGAAGATCTGGTGACAGCTTCCATTTGGCGTGGCGTTGCTAGAAGGCTTGGACAATGGCATGCAGTCCTTCCCATCCGCGGAGCTGCTGCTCCTGCCCAGTCTGAAGTGGAGATTGTTTTTCAGAACTCAGTAGATGTCCATCCGTCCAAGCATAACATTGACTTCCCTTTGATCAAGCCAAAACAATCGGGACCCAGCATGTGGGCTGTTCTCCAGAAATGGATCCTTGCTTTGCCTTCTGCTACAGATGAGCAGCGTAGGCGCAGACTCGGCCTTCAGAAAGAGCTTGAATGGGCTGTCAGTGAACTGGACGACGGCAAGGGTATCGGTGAAGACGGGGTACGTAGATATCACATTCCATTCTTGTGCCATAGAGATTCCGGCCAGCAGTTAACCCCCTCGGTAGTTGGTGTTTGCCCACTGCGACCTTCTCTGCGCGAATGTCATAGCTGTCCCATCCGCAGAGGCTCCTGTCACATCCGCGGGTGAGCCCACAGCGACTGTGCAGTTTATCGACTATGAATACGCTACTCCATCCCCAGCCGCTTTCGACATCGCCAACCATTTTGCTGAATGGGGTGGCTACGACTGTGACTATAACATGATGCCCACATGCGCCGTTCGGCGTCAGTTCTTGACCGAGTATGTCAGGAGCTATACCCAGCACAAAGGTCTCCCGGAGTCGTCTCAGAAGGAGATCATCGATCGACTCTATGAGGACGTTGATCGCTTCCGCGGCATTCCCGGATTATACTGGTTCGTTCTTGCTTCCGATGCCAATCACCATGGCCCAGTGCTAATAGTAAATAGGGGTATTTGGGCCCTCATCCAAGCCCAGATCTCGCAAATCGACTTTGATTACGCTTCTTACGCCGAAACCCGCCTTGGTGAATACTATGCCTGGCGTCGAGAGCTCGACGGCAGCCGCGCCAAAGCCGGCGAAGAAAAGCCCCTCCGCGAGCGTCGATGGGCTCAAGAAGTTTGAACCAACCTCTTTATCCACCAGCACAATACGACCTCGCATCTTATATCACCAGCGTATATAGATTTCACCTTCTTGACGATGAACGTGCTTACATGAATCGGGGAACTTTCCTGTTGTCATGTGATTGGGGTTTCAACATTATTCCCTAGAGCATGGCAGCAGCGACAAAAGGACACAAGTAAAACCAGGACAGTGACGCATTTCAGGGAATAAAGCAGTGTATACCAAAGGATGGCATGGAAAGGGCTTTGTCTTCAACGACTGTACTGGTGTTCTTGGGACTTTCATAGGCGTGTTAGTGGGTTATCTTTCCTTCAATTTTCCTGTACTCTTCTTCCCTTTTTTGAGGTATGGGTTTAATCATGTTTGTGTCCGTGTCTATAGACAGAAATTAAGTGTTGTAATTTTTTGGGTTTTCAGGGGGTCTATTTCTCTATCTTAGCTGATTACACGTCCATATACTAGTAAGCATGGCGTTCGTTTAGTCGGAATACCAATTCCCTCCTCTTTCCCTTCTCCTTCCCCTTCCCTGGTGTCGTGCTCGGACTTGTCTATAGGAAATGACCATTTCAAGCAGGATACGGAAGTCAGAGTAGATCGAAATCGCTCGATTTCCTAGTGAACTAGAGCTTGCGCGAGGTCATGTTGAGCTACAAAGAACAACTAATATGACCAATAGTTAATCGTGGCACTAGCAATGCCTGAGGCCTTGTGGGCGCCAACACTGTCAAGAATCCCTTGTCTCTGTTATTCCTCTTTATACTATAGAATAATGGAAGAGACCTTCAGGGAAAAAAACAAAAAAGAAACATACGAACTGAATTACTTAAAAGTAATGCGCTCGTTCGTATGAAGTTAGACAAACAATTATTCACAAAGAGAACTCCGTACGTGAGCCTTGCCACTGCAGGATACTTATGTATAACAACTGTAGCTCTTGGAGCGGCGGGTCACTATCCCTGACTACTTAGGAATTTTGCATCATGCCGACATTTGATCCTTACACTTATCAGCCTCCAAGTTGACATACGCGAGATTTCACTGATCCTTCCTGATGGCTGTCCCCAGCAGCATTTCGTAAAGTCCTGGGCGAGTTCGCGCTCGTGCTGCTTCTAGAACATTACTGTAAAGACCCGAGGAAAGTTTTTGGTTCACATGCGCCCCTGCATCCAACAGTAATTGCACAATCTCCTCATCGGCGCCCGGCTTGGCTACCGCTGCTGCAAGGGCACTGCCATAGAGTCCTGTGGTTAGTTTTTGGTTGACATCAGCGCCTGCATTGAGTAGGAGTTTCACGGTATGTTTTGCTTGGCTATACGCTGCCGCCGCAAGTGCGCTGCCGTATAGACCAGAGGTAAGCATTTGGTTGACGTCTGCTCCTGCATCTAGCAGGAGTGAGGTATTTGCGGGGCTACCAAATGCTGCTGCTGCTAGAGCACTACCATATTTCCCCCAAATGAGCCTTTGATTGGCATTCGCTCCTGAAGCAAGTAATAGCTTTATCGTCTCATGACCTATGGGCGTTGAAGCGGCAGCAGCTAGGGCACTGCCGTAGTTCCCACTGGTGAGGGCTTGGTTGACGTTAGCTCCTGCACAGAGCAGTAATTGAATAATTGTACTGCCATATCCTCCGGCTCCACGAGTAGCGGCAGCAGCAAGAGCACTGCCGAATATCCCACAATCAAGCTCTTGATTGATATCTGCTCCTGAGTCTAGCAGCAGCTGGGTGGCCTTACTACCTCCCGGGTTTGCGACTGATGCCACCAGTGCACTGCCATAGAGGCCTCCGGTGTGCTTCTGATTGATCTGGGCTCCTGTGCTTAGTAGTAGCTCGATGATTACTCGATTTCCACGTGATGAGGCAGCACCGAGAGCGGATCTGCTACAGAGCAGCCCATCAAGCTGTCTATTGACGTCTGCTCCAAGTGACAATAGCTTTTGAACGGCATATTCATTTTCGCTGAAGACCGTTAGCGCTAGAAGCGAGTTGGCTGCTTTGTTTGATTGCTCAGGGTCTACGAGTTTGGATTCCCACCATGTGAGCGGGACGCGGTGAAGGCCGAATCGGCAAACTGCTAGCACCGGATTAGAGAAAGGCTTCAGATCTTCAATGGGGAAGTCTGGCAAGTGTTTGCAACGTTCACACCAGGATCTATAGGCGGGCCCACTTTCCTCGACAGAACCGAGGAACTTCTCAACAAGCTGCGACAAGCAAGGATCAATTTTGTCACCTGTATTCCTGATATAGTGCTCATATATCCTTATGTGCACAAACCAGTGCTGCGTTGCGTAAGTGAGGATGTTGTCAATCGTAGCAGAATACCTGGAAGATCCTTGTGAAAATTGATTGTTTGCGATTAGCATATGTGTTAGGCATATTTTTGCAGCATTGGCATGACATTTGCCTATGCCCCAAAGATTTTCAAAGTATTCTTTCACGGAGAGATGCGAGGGTTGACAAAACTGTCGGGAATCCAAGACAAGGAGATTAGAGCATGAATCTAGGATGAATCGGACGTCCACGTATGGGGTTATCAAAGTATCAATCTCGGGATCCTGGCATACGAGGAAAACGAGGGCTTCTGCCGTTAAAGGCTTCTCCGAACATATAACCCACTGTAGGGCTCTCGTCGCGATCTTGAACTTGCTTCCCTTGGACTCTAGGATTCGCTGGTAGATCTCGTTGTATGCGCATTGTAGGTCAGCTGGTAAGCATCCCAGACGCTCACGAATATCGTCTTCTAGACCTAGGGATAACAGTTCCGTAGCTTGTAAGTCCACCCATTGAAACCTCGACTAATGTCATTTCGTACTCAACACAGCGTGATGGGTAGAACACTTACATGCCCTGACTCTTATCTTGAAGAATACGGACAATGTCATATTTCAGTTCGGCAGAGATAGGGGTAGCCCGGTTTTTTGTGTCTTCATCTATCTTCTGTGAGACAAATTTCTCAATGTCATCCTGATTAGCTGTTGCATCAATGCCAACGTTAGCCTTAGTTTGGAGCTGGCTTGCTATGTCACCGTCTCGCCTGCTGGTGATGAAGATTTTCAAACTTTGTATTTGCTCGACGAGTTGGCTGAAATAACTGATGAGGCCTTGCCTCGAGCCTTCTTCGCTTTCGTCTAAGGCATCTAGCACCAGTATTGTCTTCGGATATGTGGAAATTAACTGAGCTAGGAGCGCTTCGCTTTCTTCGAGGCTCAAGTCCGTCGACGGGAAACCTCTTTGTCGCTTATGGTTGTAGACTTGAAGAAGACTGTCATGGACTACTGTTTGATCATCCGCGATCGAAAGCTGCTTGACAAAGCTGCGAATAATCTCCTTTGGCTTCCGACGAAGTTTCTCATTCCGATTGCAATAAAAATATACCAGCTTCTGGCCCTGGTCCTGCAGGAACTCATCAATAACTCGGGAAACAAGCTTCGTTTTCCCAGCGCCGGCTACGGAAAGAAAGTGTGAGCTCGACACGTTTGGTAATATTGTCTTGGAAGACTCACATATACCGTGTAACCAAAATATCATTGAGTCCTTAGATAACTGCCAATCTTGGAACTCCCACTGCTCAAAGAGCCACCCACCAGTATTTGCTGTACGGCCAGTCCTCGCCAGTGTATGATGATCCTTAAATGGAATGTCTGATATCCACCCAAGGACGTCATTTCGCTTTTTATCGTCAAGAAGTCGCCATATGTTTTGGAGCGTATTATCCGCATTTTGAAACTCATTTTGATGGGTCTTGACTCGCTCAATGTCTTCAAGCACGCTCTTTAACCGTTCAAATTTGTCGGTGGAAATAACACGATCGAGGCGACTATAGCATCGTTCACAGTTTTGAGCCTCGTGGTCGATGCGTGGAATAATCGCTTCAAAGCGAGCGTTATAATCGTTAATGCAATCGAGAGTCCAAAACGCCGGTGAAATACTTGTCTTCGTGCTTCGCTCATACGCCCGGATTGCAGTAAGTAGGAACTGCAGGATTAGGACATAGAGTTCAATTACCGTGGTTTCTAAACTATGATACGCGTGCTCTATCTTTGGATCGTGGAGATATAAAAGTTCGTAGACCTTACACCGATCAACGAGGTAGAGAACCTTATCAAGCCCTACTAGGAGGGAACCCATAGCCTCGCGATCCGCTGTGGCTACCTAAGTAGGTATTGAACATCAGAATCCATTTTGGCCTTCGCTATAGTGGGTGGTCTTACCAGTAGCAAGGTTCTGATACCTGCCCATGGCAACCGCGCATGTATTAGGTCTGCATTGACAGCAATATCACCAATAGCCTTCAACTTTTCTAACCAAGTCGTGACCTTGTCTGCAATATCGCTCAAGCGGAAAGTGAAGCCATTCAAACTGACATTCCACCTTCTACTTTCAAATAGTTCCCGTTTCTGCTTGACTTCTTCAAGCAGTAAGACTGGCATATCGCTAACGATACACGAAGTTGATCGTGTGGTAGTATGTTTTTGTATTAACAATTGGTCTTTCATAGATAGTCTGTGAAGTGCCTTCTGCCAGAAGTCCGCTACCGGGGGAGACGATAAATCAGCTGGCGTATCCAGCGGTAAAGCCGTAATGCAACCTCTTTTTTGTAAATGATGGGCTGAGTCGTTCGGTAGCCCTGAGCCCCGGCGCAGCGATAGTGGTGAACGGAATATGCGCTTGAGTTGGTCCTTCATCTTAGGCTAACACGACATATCCAGATGTGAGGACCAGGAACTTAAATATGGGAAAGTAGGAGACTTGAAATACTGAAGATAGGAATATCAGAACAACTCAGCCAAAAGTGAGACGCAGTGCAGTCTTAACATCCGAAAGTGTATTTTCTTTCAGCCTTGCTAGATTAAGTATTACATATTCTCGGGGCACATGCGATTCAGTCATGAATTTGTCGCTCGCTCCTTGTCGCGAGAGTTGCGTGAAGCGTGACTAGATACAGTGAAATCATGTGAGGGTTAATCACCTCGTGACCAGCCGACAAGCTGACCAGCGAGATTGAAATAAAAGTAGACAGGCACAAGCAAGTCCTGTTGAATCTAATCAAACTTCCTAGATAAGATATTACTGCTGAAACTGAGGATTACGTTCTCCTGTCAATCTGAGCAATTATCGACAGTAAGCCTGGTGGCTGTTTCCATTCGGGTATTTCCATCATATTGTACAATCATAACAAGCCATAAGGCCAGGAAGAAACAAGACTAGAGGACATACGCTGTGAAGATGCCATGAGAGGGCAAATATGCCAAACCATTAAACCCGTTAAAAACCAACGCCCGAAGTGGAAGGAAAAGAAAACGTAAAGGAGCCGGAAGCGGCGCTAAAGGCGATGCTGCACAGGCAAAGCCGAGGTCGATGGTGAAACTGTACCGTCAAGACCATACACCGAGGAAGCATCCCCAGTATTCAGCTTCAAGGCAGTGACTAGTCTCTTCCATGACTCAAAACCTCTTTTGGCGTGATTGCGGGGCGTAGCTGGATCAGGATCAGCCAGGCTTCTGTTGAACAATTCCAGGGAAACCCAGCCCTCGAAGCCGATATCGAAGAAGGCTTTAGCGACGTCCAAGACGGGTAAGTATCCACCACGGTCCTCTTCAAAGGCAAACAGACGTGCGTTACGCGACCAGTTCATGCGGGCGGGGTTACCCTTGACATAGAAGGGGTGAGATTCGTCCAAAGGGGCACTCAGGCGTTCGCCATCCACGATTTGAACATAGAAAACCTTTGAGAGGTCGATACGAGATCGCAGGCGGGCTATAGATGCTTGGAGATCGGCATCCGCATTAGGTGTCTTTCCTGTGGGAGATGTGGGATCGGCATACACCCTTCCTGCGATATTGAACGTGTCAAGACAAACTCCAAAGTTTGGACGGTTGACCCGCTCTACAACCTCCCAGGAGTCTTCCCATTTGTTGATGTGGTTACCCCATGCTAGGGCTTCGTAGACAAAACGAAAAGGGGGGGACTGCTGAAGGCCAAGATCGGCGATCTTCTGAAGATCTGAGACAATGACAGACATATCACCTGTGGTGCGGAGCTGGCCTGTCTGAGCATCCGCGGGGAGGAAGTTAGATGGGATCTGGATGAGATCTGTGCCCAGAATGCGTGCAAGCTCAAACCACTTGGGAAGCTTCTCGGTGAGAAGACGCTCGTGCTCAGTGCGGTCCAGAAGTCCCTCGTAGTGCCAAAAAGGCTGCAGACAGATGATAGAGAGGTCCAGCGAAACACAAAGCTGGCGTATATGTTGAGCAGCTAAAATATGATCACCATCAAAGAGTAACTTGGCTAAGTGGTCAAGATCATCAAAGAATAGCTCGATGCCCTTGTAGCCGAACTGGGAGGCCTGGTGCAGCTTGGTTGGCAGATCATGGATCCCCGGGCGCCCTAGGGACATGGAACCAATTCCGAGACGGTTAGGCATTGTGAAAAGTAGTTGCTGTAATAACAGGCAACGTGGAGAACTTAGGAAGCAGTAGATGAAGAGGAAGTGGTAGGGTAGTTATGAGAGAAGGTTGTGACTGTGATCGCGATTCACTTGGGAAGTGATAACAAAGTATGAAACGGTTAAAGATACGCGAACTGCCGCGTCATGTCTTGTGTTCAGTTGACGTAGGGTTTGATCACTGGCAATTCTATAGCACACTTGGCATCGCTGTCCACGCTGGTCTTTGTGTTATTAATAAATACATTTTATCCCGCTCTACCATGGAAGAACGATTCACAAGGCTATTCTTGTGTTTGTATTATGGATGATAACTCTCCCAATGCATTAGGGCTGGAGGTTCCACCGCAGGAGACACTTAAGAGAAGAACCGCCGGCTAAGCACTTTCCCTGCCGCATTTAACCGGCTGTGAGCTTCGTACCCCCAAACCAATTGCGATGAGTAGGTTAAGGCCTTTCCTCGGCAATGAAGCTTCGCTTGGCCTTGAATTTATCCCGAAATCGTGTGGTGTGGTCCAATTTGTAGATGATCTTCTGTCCAACAAAACAATATCATATACATTCATTTTCTCTTCCCCTTATTTGCTTCCTGACACCAATATACCTCCTCAGTGATTCCTCCAATAGCACTACCAAAATGGTTCTAAGAGTTGTCGTCGTCGGCGCAGGGCTTATTGGCCCTCGACATGCCAAATCCGTGATCTCCAATCCAGATACGGAGCTCGTAGCGCTCATCGATCCGCTTCCCAATGCCGCCAGGGTAGCGCAGGAGCTACAAACGACCTACTATCCAACTGTCGAAGCCATGCTGCAGGCTATTCCCAAGCCCGATGCAGCCATCGTTTGCACGCCCAACCACACCCACGTCCCCGTGTCGCGAGAGCTCCTAGTTAGTGGCGTCCACGTCCTGGTCGAGAAACCAGTCAGTGACAGCATCGACAATGGCCTAGCACTGCTACAATTTTCGCAGAGGCCGGAGAACGCCCAACTCAAGCTGCTGGTAGGACACCACCGTCGCTTCAACCCGTACGTCCTTAAGACAAAGCAGATGGTGGATGCTGGATCTCTGGGTCGGGTTATCGCCATCAACGGCCTGTGGACATTGTTCAAACCAGAACAATACTTTGCGCCTCCAGGTGACTGGCGTCGTGCTCGGTCATCGGGTGGTGTGGTTCCAATTAACCTTGTGCATGATATTGACATTATGCATTACCTGTTCGGCCCCATTGTGCGCGTTCACGCCGAGAAGACCCTCCCGCAACGTCCTAACCCCCCTCATGAGGCAGAGGAGGGTGCTGCACTGACGCTTCGGTTCGCTTCAGGCGTTGTCGGTACATTCCTTGTCTGCGATGCTACACCCTCTCCCCATAACTTTGAAGCCGGGACCGGCGAAAATCCGCTCATTCCCAAGTGTTCTTCTGGTGCAGACTTTTACCGCATCTTTGGTTCTGATGCCTCCCTCAGTGTCCCAGATATGACGCGCTGGAGTTACGATAGCCGCCCGGACAAGAGCTGGAACCAACCATTGACGGTCGAGAAGTTTGACGTGGAAGAAGCAACTCCTTTCGATTTGCAGCTTGCCCATTTCGTCGATGTCATTCAAGGCAAAGCCGAGCCTAGTTGCTCCGGTGGAGAAGGCCTCAGAGCCTTACTTGTGTGCCAGGCTGTACAAAAGGCACTGGAAACCGGACAGACAATTGAACTAGATCAGACCATTCTTGAAGGAAACCGCTAATTGATGAGTGATATAAGGCTATGGAGTTGAAACAATCCGAAGGAAAGGGACAGAAAGAGAGAAAGAAAGCACGTCCAGGTAGGGTATAGCTAGGTTTATATAATAAATGATTATCACAGGGTTGCCAACAGAGCTCATTCGCTTCTGGGATGTGGGCCATCATACACCTTTTGGCATCATCATGCCCAGCTGTTGGAGTTCATAGTATCACACAAGACACAGCAATGCAACAGTCAGGATCAAAAATCAACATCAACCATCCACGACCTCCACTTGTTTATCGGTGCTCTTCACAAAGCCGGAATCCTCCAAGTCATGACGAAACCGTTCCTCGTCTTCGCGAATTTGTTTGAGGAGAGCCCCGTGAGCACGCCAAACAGGCTGAGTCTCGAAAAGTCTGTCCATGCTCTCTAGCGGGATACCTTTCGTCTCTGGAATCAGGAAGAACACAAAGACGATGGACAGGATCATGAGAGACGCGAAAAAGAAGTACACTCCGTAGTCCATCTTGGCAAACATCTGGGGAGTGAATCGGGAGATGAGAAAGTTCCAGAGCCAGTTGGACCCTGCCGCACAGGCTTGCGCAAGCGATCGAATGTTGGGATCGAACATTTCCTATATGACGAAGTTATTAGAGGAGAGTTTACTAATATGACATTCGCAGAAGACGGGGAACAAGCTTACCGAGTTAATAACCCATGGGGTACCGTTCCAGGAAGGGGTATAAAACACAGTCCACAAGTAGAAGAAGAACATAGCAGCAATGCCACCGCCATCCATCTGCTTATTCTCTCGTTCTGAGGGCCTAGCGACTTTGATATACGCCCCGACGATCCACAAACAGATCGAGCCACCGGCGGCACCGATAAGCAGGAGCAGACGCCGTCCCACATGGTCAATCAGCCAAAGAAGCCAGACAAATGTCACCACGGTCTTCACGACACCAAAGATACCCGTGGTGAACAAGCTTGTGTTCGAACCTGTGACACCAATACTTTTGAAAACGGTAGGACTGTAGTAGTTGATGGCGTTGATACCAGAACCATTCTGCCAAAAGAACAGCATGCTACCAAGGAAGAGACGATACAGTATCTTCTTGTTCGTCCAAGCCGCAACGAACGGCTTCCAGAAGCCCAGGCCAATAGTTGCACGCTGGTGTTCCAGGGTCTGGTCAATAGCACCGATTTCTTCAATCATGTAGATGTGGTCTTCTGGGAGTTGACGAATCCAACAGAGGTTTTTGATTGCCTCCTCTCGACGCCCCCGCAGGAATAGCCAACGCGGAGACTCTTTCAAAAAAAGGGCACCAATAATAAGGAGGCCAGACGGGATCAGCTGGACGGCGAATGGGATGATCCACTGCTTATGGCTCGGGGCTAACGTCTCATCAACGCCATACTACCAGATAAGGTTAGCTGTGTCGATAGTTTGTAGGAAATATAACAAATAGGAAGCACTTACACAGATCCAAAATCCTACAAGCCCACCAATTTGCCACCCCAATTCGTAAACTCCAACCAACCGTCCTCTGATCGCCGGTGGAGATAACTCGGAGATATAAATAGGAGTGATATTCGAGCCAGCTCCCACTCCCAAGCCAGCAAGCACTCGTCCTCCATAAAGTAAGCCAAATCCACGGTCACCATTAGTACCAAGCATTATGCCAGCACCCAAAGTGAATATAACGGCAGAGACCATCAGACCCCATTTTCGACCCCAAAAATGGCCGATGGGATAGGCGAAGAATGCACCAAAAAATGCACCAGCCTGGTAGAGAGAGACAATGTTGGCGCTCACTAGGTCTTGGCTCGCGGCAGACATGGAGTCCCAATCAAACTCATCCTTGAATGACTGGAGAGATATAGTCGTACCAATGAAGGCACTATCATACCCGATCATACAAGACGTGCATGAGGCGACAACTGCGAGGAGGTATATCTTCCAGTTGTACACCTCCTTGGGAGTTGGTCTATCCTCGACTAGAGAGAGGATAGACATGGTGACAGTGTGGTCACTCTTGATGAGATGATCAGAGCTTCTTCAACAACCCAAGTCAGATTCACAGGGATTGAGAGTGCGTGTGAGAAAAGAGTGAGATTGGAAGGTAAGTATGATGAGAAAGATGAAAAAGAAGTGCCGCGCGCCAGGGGTCTAAATACTTATAATCTATCCCCACGCTAAACGACAACACCCTTGTTTATGGCGCATGGAACGAAAATCCGGGGGTGCGAGCTGAAAACAGCCTGGGGTTGCGGAGATGGATTGTTTTTCCACAGCCTGTTTAAGTTATCGGCGGCAAAACGAATCTAATCTTCTAGTAGGCACGTGGAGGAAAGTTTTTTCTTTCTCCTCGTATCATCTTGCCCAGACGCAGTTAAACTTTGCTGCACTACGAATGAGCCAAGCCAGAATGACTCTACCAGTCGCAATGAAATCTCTGACATTGCTGTTGGCACGCCGCTCCGATTCCGCTCAAGTGGGTGTGGGACTAAGACGGCAATGCTGGCGAGCATTTGTGGGGAAGCCAAGGAACCCAAGAACTATAAACGACCTTAGTTACTTAGTGTTTTCGAGGAAAGGAGACCCCAGACTAGGTAGAGCTAGTAAGGGGGAAACCCCAGGCTTCCCCAAGCATTACATGGACCATCTGGGTGGACTAACGGCCAATAGTCATTGGCTAGATGTCATAGGTGGCTGGGGAAAGAACTTCGCCGGGAAAGATTCTTTACCAATGTATTCCCCATGGGGGTCTGTGTGGCCACTGGACGACAAGATTAAGCGAAACGAGCTCCTTTTTAGCCCAGGAAAAGCGTTCTCCCCGGCAATTGTTCTGCAGAAAGTTAGAATTAGGTTAAAGTTGGGCGGTCTCTGGGCATACCAAGGATATCCATCTTCAGTGGCGGTGGCTGCATACATTGCACCGAAACAAAGCATATTGATCACGATGAGTATACCAGCAACGATAGGAAAGGTTGCACATCCCGTCTAGATGGGCCGTAGTGGAAGTATCTTGACACTTTTGTGGAGTCGAGTACAGAGCAAGTGGAGTGCGATCTCGGAGGAAGGGAGCGAAGACGACGGAGAAGTTCCGCTGGGTTAAATTCATTGAATCTCGGAACAGTCACGGGCCTAAACTGAAATCTTAAACGTTTCTCCGCCGCATTGCTTGAGTTGTGGAATCCTCCAACGACCATTGGCTTTCATTCTCGTCGGATGAAAATTGAACTAATAATTTTCGTATTAGTTAAACGAACTGGTGGCATACTAGTTTCCGTCCCCTCTGTTGCTGCACATCATTTATATACTACTAGATACCCAATCCAATCTCTTTTCAAACATCGCCTATACCATTAGTTTCACCTTCCGTCACAATGGCAGCACCGCAGATTGTGAACGATGCTCAGCCCGAGGAGCCCATTACCAGTCCAGCTGAGCTGGATGGTGTCGCATATCTTTATGGCCATCCTTTGCTGAACTCCCTCTCCCCACCACTCCATAAGACCGTCTACAGCACACTGGGTTTGAATTGGGCCCAGGTACCTCTATCCAGCGTTTATGGCACTTCTGCGACTTACCCTCCACCATACACTCGGTCACCTCCAATCGATAAATACTTGGCCGCCATCAAAGCTAACCCCAAGTTCGTCGGCTCCTCTGTCACCATGCCACACAAGGTAGCCATCATGCCTCACCTGGACGACCTCACCGAGGACGCAAGACAAGCCGGAGCCTGCAACACCATCTTTTTACGCGAGGAGCAAGACGGTAGCCGCTCCTACGTTGGTACAAACACCGATTGCATTGGCATCCGGGAAGCCTTACTACAGAACTCCCCATCCACGGAAATATTCCAGAACAAGCCTGCCTTGATCGTCGGTGGAGGCGGCACAGCTCGCTCAGCGATTTATGTACTACGCAAATGGCTCGGTGCCAGCAAGATCTACATTGTGAACCGCGACGCGTCGGAAGTCGAGACTATTCTGAGCGAAGATAGGGAACGGAATCCTACTTCGATGCAGGCTCCCCTCATTCATGTCACTGATCCCGCAGTGGCAGCCTCTCTTGAGGCGCCGGTGGCCATTGTCTCGGGTATCCCCAACTACCCGCCGAAGACTCCTGAGGAGATCAACGCCCGCCAGGTGCTCCAGGCTTTCCTGGGCGAGGCTTCTTCTTCCGATAAGTTCAAGGGCGTCATTCTGGAGATGTGCTATCACCCTGTTCCCTGGACGGAAATTGCGCAGCTCGCTTCGACGGCTGGCTGGAAGGTTATCCTGGGCTCAGAGGCATTGATCTGGCAAGGCTTGGAACAGGCCCGTCTCTGGACCGGTCAGGACGTGGTTGCTGTTCCTGGCGTGGTGGAGAAGGTCAAGGATATGGTGGCGAAGTCGCTAGCTGAAAGGTCATCCAAGTCTAATCTTTGATTTTCTTTCTACATAACATTCTCTATACATGATTCTTGTATATAACATACCCTAGAGCATAGCATATGTGATAAGATTAGATATGTCGTCATGAACTGACACGAGTCCTTCTATAAGTCTGGTCGTCTATATAATCCTTAGAAAGCCAAGAGATTGATAAAACTTGAGGAAAGAATTAAGCACCAGGCCGTGTGTATTCAAGTTCTCGTACACGCTTCCATACCTCCCTCACTGTTCTCTCCTGTGTCTGTCGACCGGTCTCGGTTGCCGACGGTCCTGCCGGTCTTGGATCGAAATTAGCCACCAATTACTGCTCAAGTGGTCGCAGGAATACCCTACCTAATAGCCAAGTACAAGCGGCTACCCAGTCGCACATCCCCAATTGGGGCAGTGTCAGGATCCGCTGGTGGATTAGCAGTTGTGACCAAGCCGCCCGCTTCAAGGAGGATCGCAATTCCAGCAGCCACGTCCCTAGGCCAGTCAGATTAATATAACTCCAAAAAAAAAAAAAAAAAGAGAGGTCATCGCAGAATGCAAAGGACGGGGACTCACCATTCCCAACAGCCACCCTCCCACCAGATATCGAACGATCCCATCGCAGTGTACGCCAAATCTAACGTCGCACTCCCCAGACTCCGGACACCATGAACCATTCCTCCCTTTCCATTCCTCCCTCCGATCTCAGCGGCCATGTTCACAAAGCTCTCAATTTTGCGGTGCATGTTGCCGTCGGGAATATCACGGCGATCCTTCCCCCATTCACAGGAAAAGACACATTTGCTGGGTGCATTAGCGGGCATCGGTGGGATAGATGGGTTGCGGATGAGTGGAAGACGACGCTTTTCATTAAGCCAGGCACCACGGTTGATACATGATGAGAAAAGTTGGTCTTGGAAAGGAGCATAAATGACTCCAATGACGGGTTTGTGGTTGACGATAAAGCCGATGGAGACACAGAACATGGGGAAGATATGAGTGAAGTTAACCGTTCCTAAAGCTTATGGTCAGGGAAAGAATTTCAGTATGAAGCACGAGATTTACCATCTAATGGATCAATACACCATGTTGGCTGTTCATCGATGAGATAGTCTCTAGACTGTCCTTTGGCGTATGTCTCCTCCCCAAGAAACCTTTGAGTGTCTGTCAGTGGTTTTATTCAGTAATGATCGGGAGGGCTGACTGACTTATGATAAGGATATTTGTCGTTAATCGCGGTCTTGATAAATACTTCCACATCTGGTATAGACATCGTCAGATCGCTTATAACGTTGTTATCTCGATAAGAGCGCAATAGAGCTACCTTCATCCGTCTGAGTCACGATATCCACTGCATTCTCTTTTTCTTCCACCGACTGGCTCCCCTCACCCGCGATCCGCTTTTCAATGCTGTCTAGTAAAAGCTGACCTGCTTTACGACCGAGGTCTACCGCAAACGCGTAGATCTCGTCTAGTTGCTCCTGGTCGAGTTGCATGACCGTCATCATGCGGGGTCGATAACGATAAGTGCAAGATTTTCAAATGGTTACCGTGAGGGGCGTGTGTGGAGTTTCTTGGGCTGGTTGTGTTCTCTTGAGCATGTACTACTGAAAGACAAATAAAGTGGACTATTGAAGATGACTGACTCCTCATGGACCGGTCGAGCTTTATGAGTGCAGGTGATCTCCGCGACCGTGAGTAACCGATAAAATTGACTATCAACGGGCTCCACATTGCTTCTTTCCTCACGTGGGTGGCTAGTAGCCATCTTGATGGGGTACATGCATGAACCTACCACGAAAATCTAGCTAGTAGGTCAGCGAAGATGCACTGATTGGCTATGATATTCAGCATAAATTCGACATCTATTTTGTGTTAAAGATATCTTTTGGTGCCCGGGCCAAATTGCGGGCAATGGAAGTGGGATCTTCAACGTCTACCAAACCTTAGTTGAGTAGTGGACTCGTAGTGCGCACTAAGGGCGAGTATCAATGACCATTCGAGATGCCTGAATCTGATCTATAATGCCTTTTCAGCCTCTCATTAAGAAACTGACTTTTGTATATCTGTCCAGCAGGGCGTACGGTATGCTTCCAGCCCTATGTACACAGCCACGCACAGTATGTGTACTGTAGGTATCACGGGAATCAACTACTACATGCATACAATTGAATACTGTCATGATTTTGCCTTAGGTAGAAGAAGTCCTTTAACTTTCTGAGGAATATAAGACCTAAACCCAGGAGATACCTTTGTCAATATCTCAATACAGTCCAGTCTTCCTCACTTCAAGTTGTGCACAACAGCAACACCAGCATAGCACAGCGTATGCGCCGGCTTCCTGTGGGTGTTCGGCATGCCGGGAAAGCGTTCTCCCCATAATACCGGAGTTTTCTTTAGTCCAATGCGGAGAACCCTGGTTTCTTCTCCACTGAAGGTTTCTGGTTGCCACTTTCAATGTAATTACCAGTATACTTAATTGATTACGAATATGGGTTTAGGTTCTCATTATGCACCAGATTTATGAGAAGAATACCGCGCATTCTTACCTAGGGAAAGGATTTCCCCTATATCACCGAGGGGTTTTAGCTACTCCGTAATACTTACTAAACTTGAATGCAGATGATTTACCCATGCGATAATATGAGTATGAGAATATAACAGTGAAACTAGAAATAGTTCTCTAAACAAAATTACTACCAGTTTCTACCTTGCCTTACACCACATCCTAAATACCACACTTCCTCCTCAAGAAATTCAATTATCACGAATAACGAAACCCACCCGACAAGCCCCTCATATACCGATAATTCAAAATGGGAAAGTCAATCCTCCTCATTAACGGCCCCAACCTTAACCTCCTGGGTACTCGTGAGCCTCATATCTACGGCTCAACTACTCTCGCAGACGTCGAAGCCTCAAGCAAAGCCCACGCTGCTTCATTAGGAGCTACTTTGGAAACCTTCCAGTCCAATCACGAAGGCGCAATCGTTGATCGTATTCAAGCTGCACGGAATAACGTTGACGGAATCGTTATCAACCCTGGTGCATACACGCATACTTCGGTGGCTATCCGGGACGCCTTGGTGGGAGTGGATATTCCTTTCATCGAGCTACATGTGAGTAACGTCCATGCAAGGGAGCCATGGAGGCATCATAGCTATCTCAGCGATAAAGCAGCCGGGATAATTGTTGGGTTGGGAGTATATGGCTATCAAGTTGCGGTGGAACATGTGGCTGTGAATTTCAAGTCGAGGGAGGAGAAGGCTGCACTTTGAGTGTCAGTTACAGATGCTTCATAAGGGAAAAAATAAATATATGAATAAATCTCAGCTTGATGATTGTTGATGTATAGTATAATATGTAGATATTTCATTACAAGGGTTACTCGATGTGAACATCGGTTAGGTCGTCCATTCATTTCTGTCACTATGCACCAATGAAAAATTATATACGCCTTAATATATACAATCGAAGAATTAGAACTAAGGTAAAAAAGCTATGCATAAACTCTTCATAGCCCTTTGCTGGGTAGCTATCGCACTACAAGGACCAGCCCATGAGATGGTGCTTTGAATCAAATGCCACCAGCGGGGCATGTCTAACAAATGAGCAAGCCAGAATACTCAAGGTCTCAAGGCCTTCTGAGCTTACCCTGAGGTTCACTTGGTATTACCCACCATCAAGTTTGTGGCTCAATTACCAGTTGAGACTCCTGTGGTAGCAGCCCCCGGAGGGTCGGGCATTGGTATTTGCTGTGTCTGGGCCAGAAGAAAAGGCTCTACTTGACTCGAATATGAGTATAGTTCCGGGATTCCCGCGTCTGGAACAAATCCTAAATTTTGCATGAACTCTGGCTGATTATCCGCGCTGCAGTCCACATGTCAGCGATTTATATGTATAACGAGTATCAGGGCTACTCACTTTTCGGTACCATCCAACGATGCTAATTCATCAAACAATGCATCGAGATCAGGAGCAATCCGCGGTCGGTGGAGAGACCCGTAACTGTCAATGTCAAGAAAGGAGCCAATGTTATTATTCTGTTCACTGTATGGAGTTTGATATTGTAAAGGCTGAAATGAATTCAAGTCCGGTAACGAAGCCGCTCCGTTTATCGGCCTTGTGGATGAAGATATTGAGGCGTGTTGCCTATGAGAAGTAGGCTCCCTCGGTTGAGAGGCTTGCTGTAACGTTTCTGTTACTCCCCGGTTAATATTCACCGATGAGGCAGGGGTTGGTAAAGACAATGCTGCATTATCCTCAGCATTTGATGCCGGTCGCATCCAAGAGTTCGAAAGAAGTGCATCAGCTGCACCAATGTCTAGGTGCGTACTGTCTATTGCCCCAGCTCTCCTTGTTACATTTCCCGGGATTGGTATTTCGGAAAGGTGGAAAGAATTCTGATCGACCGAGGTTGGATTTGTCAGGCTTCGTGGTCGCTGGGTTGCGGATATTGAGGACACACTTGGTGTCATTGTTGTTAAACGTACATCTGACATGTTCTTCTCTTGAACATGCCACACAGTCGCGAGATGGGAGACAAATGATCGTAATTTCTGCTTTAGGCCAGAATCAAGATCAAACAATAGAGATGAATTATGTGTTTCGATCTCCTGGGGCGCGCTAAGCGAGAGGACCGTACCAAAGGTAGGGAAAGTTGCAGAGAGACTGTAAGTCTCCATATACGTTTGAAGTAATAATAGTAGTCTTTTTGAGCTTTCTGTCGCGCGCCCCTTGTGTATCGCCTCTTGTACGTTGGCGTCGCTTTTCTGGATTGCGAATTGCAAACTCAGAGTAGCAACGACACCTTCATACATCATCTCGAGTGCAAAGATGTGAGGTGAAGCTGGCTTCGCTGAGTTCGCTTGCACATCAACACGATAACTCTTGGGAAGAGCCGAGATCCAAATTTGTAGTTGGCGTTCCAACACCTCCAACTGAGAGGCAGAGCTAGTCATAGATTGCTTGAAACAGCACAAATCGTTCAAAATGCATATCAATGAGATAAGTCGGTTAAAAGTACTCAATGCGTGGAGCGGTCCGCGATGGAAATTGCCTCGTGATGACTCCACCGGACGAAGGCCAGTTTGATCTTCCCAAGGATGCCATTCTTCCAGACCATCCTCATTAATTGGGCCAATCTTCATCAGATCACTCTTGCGCAATGACGGGATTTGGTCAGTTTGCATCGCAACCATAGTCTCAAGTACAAAGCAGCCTAAAAACACATGCTTTGCTCGCCCAGAGCTCTTTACCCCATCTCCATTAATAGATTGGGTGCTGGGAGGGCGATCCAGCCTCAGACACTGTGAAATGCGAACGGCCTGTCCTACAAGCACCCATGCAGCTGCCCACTCTTGTTGACCAAGTTTGATAAGTGACAAGATCAGCAATGCTTGGACATGACCAATATCATAGGCACCTTCTTCTCCAGGAATTAGACTTTTGGCTGTTGTGTACAGCTGTCTAGGATTTGGCCGGTCGCTAGAAGCTTGCGGCAGTTGACGGGTCGCGGTAATCGAAGCCTCTTGAATAGATGCAAGGGCTAAAACTGCCCATAGTGCCGCATGATTGCCAGAGCCAGCAGACGTAGCCGAAACGGGGGTGTCACCCTCAGAGTGACGAAATGCAGTCCGAAGGATATCATGTTTTTCGAGTATTGGAAACCAACACTGTGTATATGTAAAGTATATGTCAATCAATGCCCAAGCATTAGAGGGGAGGCGAGGTGGGTATTTTGAAGTACTCCCAGAGGAATGGAGGATGGGGTGAGGCAGCGATGGTGGATGAGTGGCTAATATTCTTGGATCTTCTACCGCGTCATTCGGGAAGGGTGTTTGAGTGCCGGAGTCTCGGGTATTGCGTGTCAGATTGCTTTTGGCGATTGATCCAATTGTAGGTGTTTTGACGGGGGATGGCCCTGCGGTCAACGAACTCTCCCTTCCATCTCCTAGCCCTTCAGGCATATACCACTCGAGGGTATCGGAAGAGAGCACACTACTACCTTCAGCATCCTGAGGAGAATCACTATCTCCAGGTGCTCGTAGCTCTTTATCTTGCTCGTCCTCCGGCTGCTCTAACATGGTCAACATCCGCTCAACATCTCTAAGCACAGCACTATTTTTCCACGAGAAGAGAAGTGTGTCGGATCCCTCAGCCTCTTTGCCCATAGTAGATAAATGACTTGGCATATTAGCTGCCTTCAACAACGCACGAACCACATCCTCACTACCCTTTATTTTGCAGAACACAAGACCCCATAGCAATTCGAGTGTGCGAATATACCCGGTTGGTAAGCCCCTCTTTTTGGGATTGGCCTTGTAAGTGCAGGGCCTGGATAGCGAAGCGCAGGTTGAACACACTGGTTGGACCCCATCGCATTTATCCTTTTTCGAACGACAGCTGTCGCAGGCGCGCGACACCCGCTGTCTCTTGGGATTAGAGGCATGCTCATCTGCAGCATTATTCGGTCTATTATCGTCGTCGGCGTCAATCAATCGTCGTTTGGCTTTGCTGCTCCCGGAGGCTTGGCGCATGTCGCTGCTCATGATCGTCTAAATAGCAGTGCACTAGATTGTTCTGGACACATGTCCATCGTCAGATGTTGCAATCGAGATGTATCATTTGCCGGCAGAGGACTTTGCAGAAATTGAACCTCAATTCACCCCACCACACAGGGCAATGGGAACACAAGGAATATGAGCTAGTTCGTGCTGTCAAACGACACTAGATCGCTTAGTCCAACTAGAAATGGAATCTGTGCGTAACCAATCCGAATTTGGTGGTGATAGCAAAAAATCGAGATATTGATAAAATGGAAAAGCGGAGAAAGGAAAAACGAGTGTATGCCGGTGGAAGTTGGGGAAAGCGGTCCTATTGCTTACCCGCGGCTTAGTGTCAATACAGAATACGGAGCAAGCGATGACTGCCCCGAATCAAAGTAGACGGATTAAAAACACTGGGGACCACAGCACTAGTAATCTAACCTTCTCCACTTCGACTTTCGACTCATGATCACGAAGTGAACTTAGCGAGTAGGACCCAGTAAGCGCCCATCTCACTTTGTCCAGTGGTGAAAAGAATCTTTTAATAATTGGTAATTGATATGAAAGAATGTTCAAGCGACAAGTCTCCTATATGAGAGGAACCCAAGTTATCATACCGACATGTAAATAAGACTTCGGTAATAATTCGTATCTCAGCACTGTTTTTCGGAAATGTCGAGTGGGTTAATCCCCGCGGGGTAATTGCCACCTACAACAAGTGGTACAATAGGTTCAAGACGATACGGTATTTTAAAACCCTATCGCGGTAATTTTGACGGCTGAGCATTTGTCCGCAAACTCCAACGGATCCAAATCTCCGAGGCCCTAAGGCTCCCCCAAGCCAACTTTGTCGCTTCCCCACGATTAAGTCCCCTTAGCTCTTCCTCCACCTCCACAACCACCACCGTACACCGATTAATTTTTCTTGGTCGGGAGGCAGTCGCCCAAGCCGCGTTAAACCCTGACAGACTCACTCATTCCGTCGTCACCCAGTTATTCTGGCTTGCTACAGTGAATCTTCCCTACCGAGTACTGGGTTTTTACGTTTTCGCCGTCAGGCGTGCATCTATGCCCTATTCAATGTCTCCGTCTCGTTACCCACGCCGCGCATAAACCAGGAATGCCCCTATTCGCCGAAGACATAGACGCTCCTTCTTTAGTGTGTCAATATGTCTATACTCGTGAGGCCACCAAAACGTAAATTATCCGAAATCGAAGGGCTTGAAGATAGGAATGGACTATCATACAGTGGTCGCTACCGACCTGCTACCCCTAATACACACCTAGCATCGGAACTGAATTCTGGACAAGATGTTGGACACCCAATCATCTCTGCCTACCATCTGGCAGAGCCGGCAGAGACTACTAGAGAGTCGTCGTCGCGTGAGCTTAACTCTAGTAGGGCGTCACCTGTATCCTTCGAGGGGCCCTTCCAGGTACAGAGGAGATTCGCACCAAATGTTTCCATAGTGCTAGTTGGAATTCGCGGCACGGGTAAATCTAGTCTTGCGGTCATCCTAGCAGCAACTTCCGGAAGACGATTAATTGATGCGGATCGCTATTTCCAGCAAATAACAGGACGTTCACGTTCCGCTTTCAAGAAGGAACATGGAATTACCGAGTATCGTCAACAGGAGGCTAGAGTCATGGAATCTATGCTATCGGAACATAAAGAAGGGTGGGTCATCGCTTGCGGGCCAGGCTCCATGGAGCGCAGTGGGCAAATGCTCCTCAGGGAATATGCAAAGACGCATCCTGTCATCCATATCATTCGAGATCCAGAGAGTATTCAAGCATATCTGCAAGCTTTGGATACAGATAAAGTTCGCCGTTTTCTCGAGCTTTCTGGTCCTATCTATCGCGCGTGTTCAAACCTTGAGTTCTTCAATGTCTCGGAAACCGGCCATGGAGATCTGACGTCAGGGAAAAACGGTCAGCATCATTCACAGCTTGAGCTTGAAGTAGACCAGCGCTCTCAAACATTCACGCCATTTCTAACCCTTAAACGGTTGCAACGTGATTTTGTTCGTTTCATTGCTTTCGCCACTGGAAATGCTACCGATCTGAGTAATCAGCATGCATCGTTCCCACTCTCTACGCAACCCGTCGAAACGCGGACCTTTACTTACGCTGTATCTGTACCGATATCCACTCTTTTTACAAGGGATCTCAATATTGAAGATCTGGAATCAACTGCAGATGCCTTCGAGCTAAAGGTCGATGTGACAGAGGGCCCTTCCTCTCGTTTAGGGCTCGAGTCTACCCTTGCGGATAGGATTAGCCAAACTATGGCTACCATTCGGCGAAACATTGTTGTCCCTCTGATATACCATGTTGAAATTGATGTAGGCCTGGTTGGCTCAGCATCACCGCATAACGAGCCGTTACACCGTTCGAGTACCGCGTATTTAAATTTGATGCACCATGGTTTGCGATTGGCTCCTGATTTCATAACGGTTGACCTGTCTTATGATGACGGTGTCTTATCGCAAATCATCGCTTCAAAAGGGTCAAGCAAGGTTATTGGGCATTTCGCTTCTGTCCAATATGTTGAGCAAGGCTGGGACGGCCCTGTCTACCTAGAGCTGTACGAACGCGCCAAAAGACTCGGATGCGATATAGTTCGATTGACACAGCCGGCCTCATCAATGGACGATAACCACGCTGTCCAACGTTTTCGTCATCGTATCAAAGCTCTCCCTGGCCCACAATTGCCTCTTATAGCCTACAATTCAGGCTCGCTGGGTCGCCTGTCTTCCTGTTTTAACCCGATATTGACCCCCGTAATTAACGAGGCACTGCTCTCTGAGACCCAAGCGAAGAACCTGCCTTGTATCACGTTACGTGAGGCACAGGAAGCACTCTATGCCTCCTTCACCCTGGACCCGATGCAGTTCTTCGTTTTCGGTGCCAATGTAACCTACAGTTTGTCTCCAGCTATGCACAATGCGGCGTATAAGACATGTGGGATGCCACACGTATACAGTCTTCACCAGTCACCATCTCTGCGAGGCCTGAACGAGTTGGTAGCAAACCCCAACTTCGGTGGGACCAGTGTCAGTCTGCCTTACAAGACAGAAGCTATCCCACTCCTTCATTCAATGTCCCCTCATGCCCGGGCAATCGGGGCCGTTAATACACTGATACCAATCCGGGATCTAGAGGATTCCGCCCTTGTTTCCGAAGGCTCCTCCTTGTATTTGGAGAAAAGTCGGGCAGGGCCAATAAAAGGCTTACATGGAGACAACACTGATTGGATTGGCATCTGCAATTGCCTTCGACGGGGACTTTCGCCTGCCAATGCGATTCGCCCGTCATCTACTGGCCTGGTTATTGGTTCAGGCGGTATGGCTCGAGCTGCCGTATACTCTATGATCCACTTGGGTGTGCAGAACATATTCGTATGGAATCGTACTGTTCCCAATGCCGAGAAGTTAGCATATCATTACAATCGACAAAATCTCCCTACGCATAGTAACAACGCGCCAGCGACTCACTCGACCGTCCATGTTCTACGCTCACTACAAGAGAGTTGGCCTACTAACTATAACCCACCAACCGTGATATGTTCATGCATACCAGCGCACAGCATCGGGGGTCAGCCGGCCCCCAACTTTAGGATACCCTCTCAGTGGCTTGGAAGCCCTACCGGTGGTGTTGTGGTCGAGGTAAGCGATTTACTTATTCGAGTTCCTCCTTTATATATATTTGCAAGATTTGCCTGGATAGCCTGCTGACCGTCATTTAGCTGGCTTATAAGCCCCTCGATACCCCATTGGTAAAACAAATGCGAGCTCTTTCTCACCGTGGCTGGGTTGCGTTGGACGGCCTTGATGTCCTTCCAGAGCAAGGGTTCGCCCAATTCGAGCTTTTCACGGGGCGTCGCGCCCCTCGGCGCCTAATGCGGACGATTGTACTCCAAGAGTATAAGGCGGAGGAAGGACAAGATGACCAGAATGCAATTCAAAGCAGACTTGAAAGCTTGGATGGACAGCCTACCTGAGACCATCCTGGTTAACCCCAGTCCCGATGTCAGATTACTGGGGCTGTGGGGAACAAGACAGTGCTGCACGCCTAAGTTACAAAACGGCCATGCTGCCGGTTACACTCCGTCGTCAGCCGCCTCCGTTTGCGGCCAGTTTCCATTGTTCCTGAAGAACAGGGCCGGATACTGATTGGAGTTCTTGCGACAACCTTGAAAAGGGCAAGCTCTTCTCTAAACACAGCCACGCAAAAGTACGTCCTATGAAAATGACGTCAGGCTTTCCACTCAGCAACATCTACCGCCACACGGTGTGGAGCGAGGGATGTCATGCTCCAGAATTCTAGTCCTGGACTCGTGCTTGGGAGGCCTAAGACATCCTTGTGAACTCTGTTGGGAATTTCTTTTAGCCAACAAAGCCTCGCAATTGTATATAGGTAACAATCTGAAATTAGAAATGGAATAGGACAAGTCCGAAATTCCAATTAATTATCACTATTATTAGACCTGGTTTTTCTGACAACACAAGAAAAGGTAAACCGTAAAGCGATATGACAGGCATCGTCCAAGTTTCAAAATCATCCATAGCCGAGACCGAGATGCCCTACTAGTATCAAAGGCGGACGTATGCTTAGCAAGAAAGGCACGTCTTATCAACAGCCCTGGTCTTTCTTCGCCTCTTCCGTTTTCTCCTCCCCATCAGACACTAGGTGAAAATTACCACAGTTGATCCTTGTGTTATCAGGCAGGTGGACAACGACCGAGCGATTGCCAAGAAAGGCGACAGTGTCCTCCACATTCGAAAGGAAGAAGTCCCTGTACAAGACTTCGAAGTTGCCATCGGCAGTCCAGACAGGGCCATGTTTTCCGCTTATGTCGCCAACTTGGCATGTCTGAGGTACGGTGGTATTGCAGGGAGGCTGGTCACCGCGCATGTAAGGGTCTAGGTGACCACCGGTGGCATAGCAGTTGCCATCTTTCGGCACCGGTTTGTCGTGAATGTGATAGTCTATGTTTGACACGCGTAAGTTTTATTGTTAGTGATCCCACAGCCAGTATGTACGAACTTAAAAATGTGTCTTTTGGAACACCAGTAAGAACGACACGAAATTGAATCCCAATTCCATCCTCAGCACCATGGGCAGTGAACGTTCCTCGAACAGTGGTGTTGTCTTTGTCCTGAAAAACAGCTTCATACACGGCTTGGGGTTCGTTGTCTTTGACGACAGGGGCCTCATGGGCAACGGCCGATGAAAGGAGGAGGCCTAGGGCTGCGCCTGTGAAGAGGGATTTGGTCAACATTTTGTTCGAAATGGGACAAAGGTGGAGTGCGACTGTTTCTTCAGAAAAGGGGGTAGAGCTGTTTAATATATGATATGATAAGCTGGAGATTGCCAGGAGGCTGTGGGAAGAGATGAAGGATTATTATTATTAAGGCAAACGAGTGTCACAAACAATGTGCGGGATACGAGACAGTGCCCTGGCTGATCTGAGTTTTAAGAAAAGAACAAGGCTGTGCCTCCTTGAGCGGCGTAACGTAAGAGCGCTCGTGTTGCCAATAAGCAACCAAGGGAGGCTCTTTCATGAGACAACTCATCCGTAGTTCATTCTCAAATATCTTGTCATTCCTTTGCAATTGGTCATGGGAGGAAGGCGTTAACCCATTCCGCAGTGTATTGTTTTTATTCCGACCATCCCATTTCATTACACAAGGATGTCTCCTTTCAGAAACAATTTCATTTCATTTGCGCTGGTCAACATGAAGGACTTGAGCATAAGCAGTCACCTGTCAATCACCTGCTCGGACAGGTGACTGACAGGTGACTCTCGTTGTTGGTTCGATTTCCATCCGTTTTGGGTCCTTCGTTGTCAATGGTCCCTTATGCAATCCAACTGCTGTCAGGCTGTCAGCATTACTACCTATTACCCTCTCACTAATCCACCGGACAACCAACCAAAATAGCGCGACGAACCAGACAATGCCGGGATTGGCATCTCTTTGTGGCTTGCATTAGCCCATCAAGAATGCTCAATCATTCTTTGCCATGTACTGAGGCCCCCACTCCAGGGGCTGCGACAAGTAGAAACCTTGAAGGCGGTTACAGTCACCTAATCTGGTAGGCAAAGATACGCCCCTAAGGAAATACCAGTCAAGAACTACTGAAAGGGGGAATTCATGCGATTTTCAAACTGCGAATGATTCAGCTTTTCTACCTTCTGCACCACTCTCGGCAAACCTACCACTGGCCCCTCTCGGCTCCCTTTGTTCCGGGGGAAGTTCTTCATACCCCACATCTTATCGTCACTACGGACTTCTGCCGACTCTGGTACTATGATTCTATCGGACTTCGCTCCAGCTATGCAAATCCCCCTCGGAAACAGCGCAGATCGTCCTATCTCGGTCCAATTTCCCTCCATTCTCGCAGCGATGCTGTATAAAGAGAGCCTTCTGGCCAGGCTTTAGCCAGAATCGCGTCGAAGAACACGATTCCATCAGACCCTTATACGACCTTAACCCGAAGAGTCTTTCGTTTATCAGAGCTGCGAGTCTGCGGCTGTGGGGCCGATTCCCGTTTCACAATGTCTCTTGCTCAGAATCATTACGTTGTCAAGCTCCCTGTAACGCCTTCGAGGACTAGATCCCTAGAACCTCGTGCAATTGCCCAACAGTGGATTGCGAGTTTAGATGTTCTCCTTAATCGTGGAGACTTCTCGCAGCTCCCAGAGCTCTTCCACCAAGAGTCCTGGTGGAGAGACATGCTAGCCTTGGATTGGGACCTTCGTACGATTCAAAATTGCAAGAACATTGAAGACTACCTTCGCCGTAATCAACCAAAGTCTCAGCTTTCGGCTTTCCGTCTACAGCATGAGGGCAAGTTCCAGCCCACATTTGACAGGCCAGTGGAAGGCCTAAGTTGGATATCTTCCATGTTCTTTTTCGAAACCAGTGTTGGACGCGGAACCGGCGTTCTTCGTCTCACTCAAAACGCCACCGGAGCATGGAAAGCATACTCAATCTACACTTCGCTACAGGAGTTTAAAGATTTCGAAGAGCCTCTCGGATCGAAAAGACCAGAAGGGACTATTGAAACAATGCCGGGGGGTCTCAGTCAGGGAAACTGGCTAGAAAGACGTCAGAGACAACTCGAGTTCATGGATGAAGAGCCTACTACCCTTGTTGTTGGCGCTGGTGTGTTTATTTGTCTGTACCTGACATTTAGCAGCGATGTAGCTGACATTATGCTATAGGTCAAGCTGGTCTTAATATGGGTGCCCGACTTCAATCTCTCGGTGTGTCCTGCCTGATAGTTGACCGGAATGAGAGGATCGGCGACAACTGGAGGAAGCGCTACAGGGTAAGCCCTATTTCGGTACTGCTCCGTGGTCGAAGAGCGCTACTAATATCGCTTTACTCCAGACTCTAGTAACCCATGATCCGGCGGAATTCACTCACATGGCGTACCTTCCTTTCCCAAAGAACTGGCCCCAATTTACCCCGAAAGACAAGCTCGGCGACTGGTTTGAAGCATATGCTAGCATCATGGAACTGAACGTTTGGCTCCAGACCAGCATCAAATCTGCGGTATATGATGACGCAAAAGCACAGTGGACAGTGGTTGTAACCCGAGGTGATGGGTCCGAGCGAACCCTCCATCCACGCCATCTCATCTGGTGCACCGGTCATTCTGGAGAACCAAAGGTTCCACATTTCCCAGGACAATCCCAGTTCAAGGGGCAAGTGTACCACGGTAGCCAACACGATGACGCATCCAAGCATGACGTTAGAGGAAAGAAGGTAGTTGTCGTCGGTACCGGGAACAGCGGACACGACATTGCTCAGAACTTCTACGAGAACGGCGCACAGGTAACCATGCTCCAAAGAAGTGGAACATACGTCATCACAGCAGAAAAGGGTGTTTTCATGATGCACGAAGGTCTCCACGAAGACAACGGGTAAGGATTTCCTCAGGAGCGAAAAAGATCAGCACACTAACATAGCATACCCCAAAAGACCACCTACAGAAGAAGCCGACATCATGTCAGAAAGCTTACCATACCCGGTCCAGTTTGCACTTGCCGTCCACTTCACCAAGAGAGCATATGCTGCAGAAAGAGAACTCTTAGAAGGCCTCCAAAAAGCAGGTTTTGAACTTGACTTCGGCGTAGACGGCGCCGGCATCTCTCGCGCATATATGACCCGGGGCGGAGGTTACTACATTGACGTTGGATGCAGTCCGCTCATTGCCGGCGGCAAGATCAAAGTCAAGCGTAGTCCCGAGGGAATCACCGGTTTCACTGAGCACAGTCTGATCCTGAAAGACGGCAGCGCTCTTGAAGCAGACATAGTCGTCCTTGCGACCGGATACGACAACATGCGGACCACCGTCCGCAAGATTCTAGGTGATACAGTCGCAGACCGGTGCAAGGATGTTTGGGACCTTGATGAAGAAGGAGAGATTAATGCGGTACGTCCTATGGTTTACCTTACGTCTACGCTTACCCTTTCCCTACCCTAACAGTGATACAGATGTGGCGACCCAGCGGCCATCCAGGATTCTGGTTCCATGGAGGAAACCTGGCTCTATGCCGTATCTATTCCAAATTCCTGGCTCTGCAGATCAAGGCTATAGAAGTGGGCTTAGTATCCCCGGGACAGGATCAAGCCCAGCCGAAATTGTAGAATGTGTAGTCTACTCATATAGACCTAGACGTTAAACGATACGGTAAAGTAATTGGTCACGACTTGTTCTTTTGATATATTACCTTAGTAATCCATCCAGGAAATTATAGTTGATACATAACGATAGCAACTCAGGTACCACACAGATCAGTTCGCAACCTCTATATTTAAAAAGACAAATCTAAGTCTAGGTCCTGAAGTACGGATTCAAATCTCCACCTTCAAAGCCATTTCATGCAAGTTCATTCATATACAGGCATAGATAAATACCTAAGCAATCCAACGCCCCTTTTCGCCCACATAACCAGATACGTCAGACATGTACATAAGAAGATCGTTGAAAAAATAAGCCACAGATATCTTATCTTGAATCGTTAAAAAAGCCAAAGCCAAAGCTAAAGCCAAAGTGCAGCCATAAGATTGCATGCACTACTCGCCTTCCTTGGCACCGTCGTCGATGATCATTTCCACATCCTTGACAGGATGGAGAAGCATAGGAGGAAGACACATTCTGCCTTCACCGGCTAGTTCAGCTAGTTCGCCACCGTCGTTGTCGACCTTGTAGCCCAGCCAGCGTCTCCAGAGGTTCGGCGAGAAACCAGCCGAGTAGAACCATGAAGTACCCCTAAAGTTGTGCTCGCGGTCTCCAAATACCGATGTTCTAGCACCGCCCGATGCGCCGTTGCGACCTGCATTGAACACAGACTCGAGGTATTTGGTCGGCCATCTGCGATCAATGTAGACTGAATGGGGTACGTAGACTGCCTTGAACCCGTGATGTAAGGCGGTGGTGGCGGGCCACATCTCGGAAAACATACTATGGCGTTGGTGAACCATTTCCTGGTGCATGGTGTGCAGTAGTTTGCGCGAGAGTCTGGATGCGGTGATAATAGCCGCACGACGTGGGGGCATGCGGTTTTCCTTGTTGTAACCTGTCACGTCATCGCGGAGGAGCCAGGTGGTTCCTTCGGGGTCGTAGAGAGGGTTGAAAACGATCAAGTCCGCCTCCTCATCGACCCCCCAATCGTACCGATCCTTGTCCATCGTGGTCGGTGGGATCCCTTCTCCCTCAACTTCAAGGATATCGCTTTCATCCGGCCGCTCCGGACCCCAGACAGCTTTATCCCCCTGCTGGTGGAGGCGAGCTTTATCCCCCGGCGAGTGGTCCTGCCCTGGTCGGGGCGCACTCCACAAGTTGTTAGGGCTGTTAGTGCCAATCTCAGTCTGCACCCGTACCATGTGTTTGAAGTCCTCCCAAGTTCCATGGACATCGGGGACATAAAAGCGAGCGTTCCTCTCCCACAACTCCTTCCGTGGCTGCGCCCGCGCCCAGCTAGCAACCTTGTCGAAGAGGTGGTACCAGTGACCGGTGTAGCGCGCATCCATCTCCCAGTTCCAATAGTAATCATATTCTGGATGCTGCTGCGCAAAATACTGAGTAGGCATATGGGTGCTGCGGTATACGCCATGAATGGGGAGCCCCCGGGCCCATGTTTCTTCCAGCCCAGGGTACAGAAGGGACATCTGTCGCTCCGACCAAAGAGTGCCCATGCCACGGAATTCTTCTGGCAGAGCCTCCTTTAGCACCCGCTCATACGTCTCATCATCGGACCAGATTTGAAGGTTCTCATCCTTGACATGCACAAGAAAGTGAATCGTGTACTCGCCACCAGAAAGTAGAGAGAGTTCGGAGATCAACGAGCGCAGATACAATATATCCTCGGGAGTGTAATGAAAGTCATGCCAGGTGCGTATAATAACCGCAGTTCGAGGCAAATGCCCCATCCCCGCTTGAGGCTGCTCAGGTTCGAGAGGATCAGTCTCAAGCGGTTTGTTGTTCAGGTCTCGAACCCCGATTGGCATGGACAGGAAGCGGTTCGAACGCGGTTGTGGTAGGTCTTTGAAGCGATGACCATTTGCTACCAGGCATCGATTCTGAGCAGCAGCCCAGTCGACTTTGCGAAAGTCCACCGGTGGGAATTCATCCCAGACATGCTCGGCGCCTTCTCGATGGCCCTCCAAGCCAGCACCAATCCCACCTTTCCTGACGCTATATCCCAGCCCATAGGGGCCCAAGCGACCAAAACGATCAAAACAGACATCATCCCGAATGCCTATCTCTTCGTTTGAACCCATGACGGCTTCTGGGAATCCACGAGGTACACCAGGGTAGTGACGAACCAGAGGAATACGTATTGTTCCTCTGTCGTCCAAGAAGCATTCCCGTTTCTCGCCGTATTTTGCAATGTATGCCGGTAAGGTGTAGTTGGGGTAAGGATCGAAAACTGAACTTAAAACGGGCAGAGACTCATCCCGAGCTTGGAGGTTTGTCGCATTCACTTCGGCATCACCTCCCAGACCTATCAGATCGGGGTTATCACCCGGGTATTCAGGTACCTGACCTTTACGCGGCACCAGGGACCGCAGCCCACCATGATACCGCTTTAGAAAAGGGAAACTCTCCCACTGGGGCGGTTTGGGCGTGGTCTTTGGGATCTCGAGGGGGACCTGTGTAACGGAAGATCGAATTGTAAAGCGAAAGAGGGTGAGGATGAAGAGTACGAGGGCGATAAGTAGCCCAAGGCAAAGTCGTTTCATTATCCGATTGGGCACACGATAGAACCCCGTCACAGGCCGGGGACGGCGGCGTGCCGGACTGTCCAGCATGGGTTGATAGGAAGCAGCGGAGGAGGTAACCGAGTCGTCACCACTATCTGAGTCGAAAGAGCTGTGGCTATGTCGTCGATGGTGGTGTTTATGCCGGAAGGGTTGTTTCTCAACATCTATCATCGCGTCTCGGCTGTTGTACGTGGAGGCATGCCTCCTCGTCTTACCCGTCATGATTGATAGGGATCGGTGGACATCGGACGGAATGCTGAATACGTCACCGTGCGGTAGGTAGAATGGTCAGTGTGGGACGGCGTTGACGTCTCACCGGAATGGGAGAGAGTATATTCCCCAGGTCAATCTATTCTTAGAGAATAAGCATTGAGAGAAGCATGAAGAAGGGACAAATTTAGGTTCCTGCCACAGGTACATACCTCTGTGACTTGAAACCAACACTGTTGGGCGCATCGATCGGTGGAATTCAACGTTTGGACTGAACCGCAACGGATGCGGGGAAGGAATGGAAGAGTCCTGGCAGTTTCGACTGTCGGCGGTGACAAGAGTCGATGGATATCAATCGATGTGCATCAAGATGGTATTCACGACCAAGCGAACAATGACATAGAAAAACAAAACAACGACCTCCGTATTGCAATCCAATCGGCGTTGCCCAAGGGATATCCCACGCTTACGCACGCTAATGCGGGCCAGACCGGCTTGGCAGATGAAATGTGAACCGATTGGGGTATGTAGTAGTAGTAGTAGAAGAAGTAAGGGGAATCGAGTCAGGTACATACAATGATGGAGGTGGAGGATGAATGCTGCAAGGATGAGGAAAGGTCTATCTATATAAGAATCTCCTCCCTGTCAACAGATTGAAAGGGCTTTTTGTTTTAGTATCCCTTGTGGTCACTGCTGCTTCCGGAAGGCGTTTGCCCCGTTGCCCAAATCCGGACTAGCAAGGGATCCTAAACAGGAGAAAACTAACCCTTTTCAACAGTAAATACCGGATTAGTACCTTTCAATTACTTCGAAGTTGGAAGCTCGAACAAAGAGACGGAAGGAATCTTGAGATTCTCTTGTTGATCCCTTTCAGTCCACGTCACGTCTCGTCTCTGAAGCAGTTGCTATATTAGGGAGAGAAATAAGGATCACAACGCTGGAAGTCTCTTATCTCGTACATAAATCCCTCTACAGTTAGACCCTTGACAGGAGACCAGCCCAGGCACCTGTTGAGTATTTTGCTTCAACATCTATGGTTAGCTCTACTTCCTATGCCTACCGTTAGACAGACGAAGTTATATTCTTGAAAAGGCCGACCAAAGACTCAGACACAGAAGGAAATGTCCATCCGCCCGGAGTTACTACCGGGCGAAGAAAATGTGTAACCAAGGACAGTCACGGTATGGCAAGAATAGAATCATATCACCAACCCTGGCATTCCAGCCAACGAAGTGTTACAACAGAGATCTGAGCGGATACCACAAATATCCACACGCGCATCAGCTTAAGTCGAGTGCCGTTGCTTGTCCGGCTGATAGCCAGGACAGACGCCTTCATGATTTCCAACATGACCTGCAAATAAACTCGGAGGACATCAAACGTCTGAACGTCTACCACACAATCATTAGAGTAAATATCATTGAAAGCGAACATTTTTCAGCTGCGGATAATACGCCAAGCCACGAGGTCTTGTTCTAAAGGAATTATTTATCATGCTCAAGACGGGCGCGTATTCACACCCAATGAGCCTCGTCCAAATGTCACACGCGGGGGTCAAAGCTAAGCTTGGCCTGTCGGTTCCAGATCGACGCCTGAGTTTCATGAAGTCGAGTAGGGGGAAACGTGCCGCTGAGTTGCCTCGTATCTGAGATGATAGGGCGCCTAACGATCAATCAGAATCGAAACGTAAATGATGGTCGCAAGGGATTCACCGCGATAGCGAAAAGATGAGGTCACCATCATTTAAACCATAGTATAGTTATCATCATATATGGGCTGCAGAGAAGGGCCATAAGAGGATGACACCCCAGCCTTTTAAATAGGGAGAAAAAACTGGGGAGTGTCGTTTACCATTTCCGGCCATGTGCTAGCAGTGGTACTTTTTTACTCTTCCCTACTCTATGACGCCGTCAAGAGGGCCCACATCTCGCACAGTCCCCACAGTAGCTTGAACAAGTCGAGACAATGACTATAGTATTAACTTACTACTAGACGTGACGAGTCATGTTCAACTCAATTAGTATACCGGTTGTCGGTCATGTGGTTATCACCAATCCTGCTGACATCAGTCTGACGGAATGTCATTGGACACAACTGTAGTTCCTTTCGAGGAGCTCCAACTCGCTGAAGTTTGAACTCTATAGTAACACGGTATATAAGGGGAGGGAGTCCATGTCGGAGGGGGTTTATCCACGTTTCATGCTTGACCGTTATCCTTGGAAATATCATGGCCGGCATGATTGGTCCGGTTGTTGATTTATTTAGAAACCAAAGTCGTGGCACGTGTGACCTGAACAACGAACACATAACGCAGGAGGGAACCAGCGGTCGAGTCCAGGGTCAGTTTGTTTTACTTGACTGCTACACCGCATCGTCGATCCCCTAGTACCACTACTATTCACCCAACCACCAGGATAGACAGCCAAAGCAAACATGGTATGTACCATCCCCTACGAGATACATCCCCCAGTATATATGGCCTCTCCTAGTGAATACCAAAACCACAAAACTAAGATCTCCAGGCAAATGGTTTCTCCCCCCTAGCAATTCCAACCCCAGTGGAAACCACAGCCAAATTCACCCTCCCTCTAGACATTCTCCTTCCACTCCTCCTCTTCCCAACCATTTTTCTAGTCCACCACATCCGAAAAGACTACCATGCCTACATAGCCCTAGGCCCTGGCGGAGTACCCTCAACTCCAGCAGGGTACCTCCAAATCTGTATCCTGCGGCCCTTTGCCGTCCGGGATCCCCTCACACCTCCCTCCCTCCCATGTACTCTCCTCCCCCAAGAAGGCTATCTCAAAAGCCGCAACCTGCCAGACCGCTCCGGGCCACGTCCGCAAGTAGTCGGTATCGTACCACATCGACAAACGACCCAGAAGGCGAGTGCAGAAATGTACGCAGCGCTGACGAAGGAGATACACGGCCTCGTCAATGCTCACCCTTCCGTGCTATACACAGGAACGTCATGCTTCGAGAAACATAGTACAGGGATCTTCTGTAGGCTTGGCCCGGCTGCGTTGTCACATCAAGAGCAGGAGCAGCAACGGAAGCGGCTCACTTGTAACGGGGAGGTCTGTCATGCGCATCCGATTGACGGAAGCTTGCATCTCACACTACACCCGGCGGATGTGCGGCTTGTCTTGGAGAAAAGTTGGGGGCAGAGGCACCCGATTGCTCGAGAAGATTGGTGGTGGTGGAGGCGCTCCGTGCCATCTGGGTTTGTCATGATCTATGCGCCGAGGAATGAAGAAGAACGGAGATGTGTAGTGGAGATCATTCGCGCTGCAGCATGGTGGGTGCGAGGGGAAGCATTGCCTGAATATTCGCCGGAGTAACGTATACTTATCTGGGGAGACGGGCATCTGTCCATAAGAATGATGGTGGCAACGGCCAAGCAGGCTTTTCACGGGCAAGCGTTTGCGATGTTTGTTTGACGAGCATTGGCGGTGTAGGTAAACGGAGACCATATCCTAGTAGATAGATCCAGTTGGATGATAGTAAGACTTTACAGGCCACAAAATCTACATTTTTCAGCTAAACAGATAAAATGCGTCGACATACATATGACGTCTGGAGCGTAAACCCGTTCTCCGTGATCGTGAATATCAAATCTTGACTGTAAGAGAACACATGGAGACCAAAAAAAGAAATGAAAGATATGAGGTTTCAGGGCACAAAAGGAGTATTTCGTTAGGATCGACGCCGGGATGAAAGAGAACAATAAAAGCTAAATAGCATAGAAGAATGAAGAGCCGTTAGAGAACATACAAGCACCACCAAGTAGCATATCCCATCCCTACGCGAGGTGTCTTTTCCGATTCGGCCCCCATCCATCATCCCCAACTCCCAGTCACACGTCCAGGTATTCTTCCACTTATCGCATTATAACAATTTAAGTATGGTTCGTCTTCCGCAAAGCATCGGCGAGCCACTCGAGACCCTCGTACAGACCGTCACCGGTGGTAGCGCAGGTAGATTGGATGTACTACACGGATAGATATTAGATGCTGATTCAACATTTGGAAATCCAGGAACAGAGGCGGACTTACCCAAGCACGGCGAGTGAGACTTTGCAGACCGAGCTGCTGGGTAATTTCGGCGGGGCTCATGGCATTCTAGAGAAAAGGAGCGTTAATATCCGCGCCCAACCCATATCCAGTGGGACCGAAGTATTATCATGTCATACCGGCAAATCTTGCTTGTTAGCGAAAACAAGGAGAAGAGCATCACGGAGTTCATCCTCGTTCAACATGCGCTGCAACTCTTCCCGAGCCTCGACAATACGGTCGCGATCGTTGCTATCGACGACGAAGATAATACCCTGAGTGTTCTGGAAGTAATGTCTCCAGAGAGGACGGATCTTGTCCTGACCACCGACATCCCACACGGTAAACTGAATGTTCTTGTATTCGACAGTCTCGACGTTGAAACCTTCCCGACGGACGGCAGCATGTCAGTAATCCCATCTTATTACGTACCCTGCGCGGTGACCAGGCACCGAGCCAACTGGTCGAGAGCGGCCCCGGAGGATAAGGGAAGGATGACTGACCGATTGTGGGGATGGTGGTGACGATTTCACCCAACTTCAGCTTATACAGAATGGTGGTTTTTCCGGCTGCGTCAAGACCGACCATCAGAATTCGCATCTCCTTTCTGCCCCATAGGCGGTCGAACAACTTCGAGAAGGTGAGACCCATGATGGCGGTGGCGAAAAGGGATTCTCAAAGGTCTAAGAATAATGCGATGTTAGATGGAATGAAACCAGGTACCCTGCAAATAAAAGAGATGTCGCTCGGTCGTCTGAGAATTGAACCAAAGGAAATCGGTAGAAATAGGGTTGAAAACTTGGAATCAGAAGACGGCGAATGGGGAGATGTGGTTGAACGAGGGGCGTGATCACGTCTCGGAATGCACAGTGGCCAGACGGGCAAATAATCAGGGGGGTTGAGACCACACAGGAACGCCCAAGGCACAGGGGAAAAACAGAGAGGTACGGGGGGAATCAAAAAGGAGAAGATAAAAAAAAATTCAACAAAGGGAAAGGAGAATAGGAATGGCTTACCAAGGGTATGAAGGTGAGTAAATGGTGAGAATCACAGATCGAGATATGGCGGGAAGGGAGAATCGAGTCAAACGGGTAGAGACGACGAAGACAAGTCTCAACTCTGTTCGTTAGTATGGAGCACTCGGCGGACCACTGGTTTTGTCCAAGTTGGAAATTTTGGGTGCCAAAGTGCCAGGTCGAGAAATTCAGCCGCCGGCGTAGCTTCCGTCACTAACGAAAACCCGACTAGAACCACAACAATCCTATTCTGTTAAGATTATCAAATAAGGATAATAGGGAGGGGGTAGTTTAAAAAAAAAAAAAAAGACTATAAGGGAATAGCGATATCAATATGTTAATGTGTATAAAATCAGAAAAAATTCATAAATTAAGATCCTCATTCTATTATTCTATGGAGATTTCAATCATCAGCTCTCATCTTATATAAATTACATGAATCTGATTGCCTAAACACTTTAGAATACCTCTACTACGAAGAGGACACGGTGTTTCCCACTACTCGTAATTCAACTCCGTACCGTACCTTTAGTTTAGTCCCATTCACCAACTATTATCTACTACGTACTTCCACTTCCACTTTCTCGCCCCCCCATTTGCCCCAAAAAAGAAGAGGTCCAGACACCACCCCGATTCCACTTGATTTCCGGCATTCTGATAGGTTCCTGATGAGATTTGAGGTTTCCCCGTCCCAGTGGATCTCTCGTGCTCTTTGACGAAGAATTGCGCATCTATCGCTGATGATAACCCAGACCCCTCCCGCATACGGTAGGCGGTTTATCAAACCCACAAGGGACCACTATGAAATACTACGCGTCATGTTTCTCGTTCCAGAGAGAGAGAAAAGGGCACGAGAGGATAAGGGTCGGTATTCTTTATATACAACTGCATTGTTTTATTTTCTATAACGACTAGTAGTCTTCTCAGATGCGGCCGCTTTGGTATCTTTGACATGTGACCGCTCATAGTTTATGCTGGCACAGGATGTACCGAGTACATACTACAACATACAACATACCAACGGCGGTCAGGATTCGGACCGGGAAAACTTTCATCAGTTGCCAGTTCCACCAAAAATGGCTTATTAATCACCGCCCACTCGTAATGTTAAAAGATAAGCTTATCGCGAACGAAGTAGATATATGCTTTCTGATATATCACCTGGATATGCAATGCGTCTGAAATTCAACTTCAATCGTAGTCAGCTTAGGTCCTTCGAAGTTTTTGATTTTAGATTCCTTTCTCCTCAACATCAAGATGTTGCCCTGCGGGAATAGATTCTGCTGTCCTCTTACTACTACTACTGAATCCTGCTGTATATCTTCGCCTTGAAGAGCACCACCCTGAACACCACCTTGCTCTGACGGCACCCTTAAAACCAACAGAAGGAAGAAAGTAGGAGAAAAAACAAAGAAAAAAGGCAGAAGAAAAATTATCGTTATTAACATAAGTCCAAAGGACTATAGAATATGTAACTTGATGGCTTCAGATATAGTGACCATATCGGATGTTCAGCTCGAGTTATAATAATCGGTGCCAAAGGGCCGGCTCTAAGTCGATATTCCTTCTCTCTGCCTCTTACTAGATTTTTATTTAGTTTTCTATTTCTCTATACACTTCGCAGGAAATACTATTTAACACCCAAGTTAAACATTCTGAAAAGTGAAAGGAGACCTGGTCCTATAGGAGCACTTTGTATCCATAGCAAAGCGACTGACTCAACATGGTTAAATTATAGCTTATTGTGTAGAATCGAAGCCCAGATAAACATCATTTTCGGGACGCTAATTTATGCGAGTTACTGACAGGCCCCACTCAGGTGTGGGGTTCAAGATGATTCTATGAAGTTGATCCAGCGAAGATGACAGATAAATAGTCTAGAGCTTGTATGGACGTTCTCCAATCTTTTAGGGAAACGTAATTGTTGAGACCATTTCCTAGTCACCTCCGAGATTCGAAATGTAGTTGGCTTAATGTAAGCTGAAATCATCTGGCTCCCCGTTGACGAAGTATACCCTTCATCATATCGTTTCGTGCCATGTCCAACGGAGTACTCCCCGTGTCCGAGGTTGCGTTGATATCGGCCCCACAATCAAGCAACAGCTGAACAATGTCCGTATGGCCATTGCCGACAGCCCAGTGAAGCGCCGTCCACTGAAACAGGGTTCTCATGGACGGGTTTGCTCCCTGCTCTAACAATCGCTTCACCTCATCGTAGTGCCCACCAGCGGCAGCACTGTAAAGCGGGAACTCGCCTCTAGCGTCCAGAATATTCAGGCTTGACGCCTGTCCATTTGAACGATGCGTCCGAGCCATACCCCGGCAATGTTCATGACCAATTTTGGCTGAGCTCGACTGCTGTATTTCTAAGGACCGAAGCTTGTTATTTGAATGCTGCTTTCTAGACTCGAACTGCTTCCGAAATTGCCTCAGCTCCTCCACGCAACTCTTTTGACTTCGACCGAGGTCCTCTTTAAGCTGGTTGACGTCTTTTAGCGCAGTTTGAAGCTGCTGGTAGAGGCTCGCCTTCTCATCCGCTGCTTTCTGCTGCACATCCTGCAGCTGTCGAGCGGAAGTCTCCTTCGTAGTCTGAAGCTCTGTCTCCAGGCGTGCCATGCGCTTATCCTTCTCGTTGATTATGCCAAGCAATTCTTCAACGGTCGGCGTCGGCATCGCATCATCATCAGCACAGTCTTCAACAAGACCTGCATCCGCAAACCCGCTAACAACATCCGAAATGATATCGCGATAACTCTGCCCATCACTCGAGTCCAAAACCCGACATATGGAAGCAACAGAACCATACACCGCATTCAGCTTAGCCTCCGTACGAACACCCTCGTCATGCGTCCGCAAAAGATCCCAAAACGTCGTCACAAAGACAATACGATCCGGAGAAGCAGACCGAAGCAGCCCCTGAAAGACGGACAGATTCTCACTTGCATTCTGCGTCACGTTCGTGTCCGTTATATCATGGAGATACACGATCCCATCTACGGCATGATCCGGCCGTCCGGACTTCCGCGCTACGGCACTGTTAATGCCCTCCACCAGCTCGGCGACGGGGATCTCTGGCGACGGGGTATCAAGCAACCATAGGTCTCTGTCGTTAACCTGACCCTTGAAAATACGGGTCAATAACAGGTCACCTTTCTTTCTGGGGTTGCGAGAGTCCGGGACAACGCCTGTTACTTGTTCGATGAAGACGTCTCGTTCTGTTCCCCCCAGGCCTAGCAAGGCTATAATTGTGGGCTTTGGTTGCTTTGTTGGTTTAAAGCGTGGCCTGATATTTTATGTCAGTTTTGTGTTTCCTATTTTTAGTGCGGGGAACTTCAACATTTTTTTTCTCTTGGGTTGGCGATAGATTTATGCCCAATGCAGCACCCGAAAATGGCTACAATAGCGGAGGAGGAGATGTTCGAAAGAGAAAACAACAGGTACTAGGTTAACTGCCTGGCGAGCTGTGATAAATTCATCTGATTATGAAGGTCGCACCACACGTATATCGTCATGATTCCTATGCTAGCTCATCTCTAGGCTGCTGATGTGGCAAGAGCTAGACCAATCTTTATATAACTGGCCCACTATGGTTCTTTTTTGTGTAGGTAGTGATTTCAACGTATTACGTGGTTTAAATAGCCGAAAAATCGAGATACCTGTCTCGATCAGAAACTTCGTAGTCCCTTTCCTTGATCTTTCAAATTCATTTTCCTCTCGCATTGTCGGCCCTTTGCAGATTTACGCTCTAGATCTCGATGGAAAGAATTGGAGTAAAATGAAAAATCCCAATCGTTCAATGTCAACAAGCCGGCACTATTCTTCTCATTCGCATCTCTGCATCAATTTTGTTATAGCACATGCTTATATTTACATGAAATACACCCACTGTGATAATCGGACAAAAGAAAATAACAAGGGAGAAAGAGGTAATAATAATCCTAATATTAACAATGCATTCGTTCATCCAAGCACAAAAACATAGCTAGACGTCTCAGGCGATGCAAAGATCTGAGCACGCTCGCTGTGCCCTCGCGAAGATTTAGCATTCCAGCCCCTATCCAAAATGGAAAAGTGGAATTGAACTTATTTCGCCATTTAGTAGCCAACTGATGATGATTTAGATATGGAGTCCTATTCTTCTTTCCGATTTGAGATTTTGTGCTTTGAGGATCGGACAAAGGTACGAGATAGTGATTGATAGATAGTCCTGCCCTCTACAGTGTCACTGAGGTAGCCGAACAGTGTGAGGAGCACGATGGACAAGAACATAATGACGCCGAAGCTGACCCAGTATTGGTTGACTGTATACACCCCCTTGACGTTCTGAAGTTCGGTCGAAAAGTACCCCGTCATCAAGCTGACGGGCAAAAACAGGATTGTCACTTTGGCCAGAAGAATTGTGATCCTTGTGAGTTTTTCAACAGCCTGTGAGTCTTTGAGCGCAATAAGATTGAAGTTCTGTAAGGTGTTAGCACTTGTCTTAAGAGAATCAAGAAGCAGCATGTCCATACAAGGAATGTGAGAGATTCTTTCTCCGTTAAGCAGGTATCAATTTCAGATAAACAGTAGAGCTTAATACGATCGAGCAGCCTTTCGAAACGGGCCACGGCAGGTGAACTCAGCTGTACACCAACCGAGGAGTCTGCATTGCTTGAAAAACTCAAACTGCTCTGCAGAGTCGGCTGCCGAAGGTCTAACACCTCACTTTCTCCGAACATAGGTCCGATGGGTAGTGGAGGCCGGTTCGATTTCGCCTCGTCGCGAAGATGGCGCTGTCTTTGGAGAATCCGCATCATGATGAGTTCGTAACTCTGATAAAGCCGCTTCAAGACAGCTAATCTCCTGCCTAACCAGTGTAGCTCATTGACTAGCTCAACCACAGGTTTGCCCAGCATCTCTTCTCTCTACCAAAAATGTCAGCGTCTCTGACTAGCATCCAATTGGGGATGATTCTGAGTGTCTTACCAGTCGATCAAGGAGAACCCCGTATTGATGCTCTCGTTTCGCGACAAGTGCATAACTGGAGACCCAATCGTCGAATATATAGTAGAAAAGTAAGCTAGGGCCATCCTCTTGTTTTATGCTAGCCTGATCTGGGCCATCACCGTGAGCAGGTCGTACGCGAATGGTCACTAATGAATCGCTCTCCGACTGAGCCGAGTGCCGCTTAGACACGCCGGAAAAGATAAGTTGTACATTTCTGCGAACTATACCGAGTACCGACTTCAGCTCCCTCTCCGACGGCCTAGAAAGGCCGGGGTACGGATTCTCTTGCATGGAAATAACAGTGCCTTCTGCGATTAACATCGTATCAAGAAGCGACCAGGGACAACAATCATACCGTCGTCGCATAGAATCAACCAAGACCATAGTCGTCTCCCATCAGGGAGGCCCCGTCCGTTGGGGGATTCAACGTTCGGGACTACGTACAAAGAGTTGTAACCAATGCATGTATCTAAGCAGCATGTCAGCAAATGCAATGTCCTCAAGTTCCGTAAGGGATGTATACATCTTGGACCGTAGTCTACGGAGCAGAAATGCCAGATTTGATTGGTCACATGTGCAAAGGTGAGGCCTCTAAATGACGCAGCCGCTTGTATCTCAGCAGGGTCTGACAAATCCTTCAGTTCTTGAGCTTCTTCGAGGTCATTCTTGCGGGGAACACGAGGCAATCGACCCTCGTTCTTCTCGCGAAAACCATTTGCGGGAGAAGCCGTGGACTGGGACGGGCGAACTACTGGGTCAGTACACATCATTCCCTGTAAACGTTCGGAGATGCCGTAGTGGCTCGTGATTGTCTGGGATATGTCAGTCTAATGTGAGCTCAGCGAAACAAAGCTCGACGAACTTTGACCAAATCTTTCTGCTCCTCTGGTGACCAAATGTTACTAAAACCATGGTTAGTACATTCTAGAGCTTTGCCGAGCTTGATGTATATCTCACATCCATCTAGTCCCAAAGAACTTTGGCTTCTGGACTACGGTTAGTATAAGCTCATTTACAATTAACGCTATCGTTTCTAGTCACGTACGGCGCTGCGCAATAGTGTCGCAATATCTTCTTCTTCCAGATCCACTGCACACCACGCATCATCGTTGCCAAAATCTAGCATAAAGTTCCGGGTTTGTGCATCCTGTAGATAGCCCAGATAGGCACGAAATTGGGCCTCATCGTCAATATCATGGAATTTTTCATGGAGATTCGAGTTGCTCTTGAAGCTAGAGTAGTATTCCTTGGGAGTCTGGAGGCTGTGCGATGAAGGAAACCCAGACATGTCTCCTTGACCTTAGCGAATACGAGCTGGTGATGACTAGTTGTTTGGTTGACAAGATGATATGCGACGAGAAGATTAACGATATAGGCAAGAGCTAAGAAATGAGTAAACAAAACGGGAACGAAGGGGGAAATGAAGCATAAACGCCTCTAAGTACTAGTAGGTTGGCGCGTAGGTAGTCCATGCTGCAGATACTCAGCCTCGTGCTGGAGTCGGGCGAATGACCGCGGTCATTCGTAGGCTGCCGTCCCTTAGCACTAGTAGTATTTAAGCGCCGATCTTGTCACAAACACAGCTGACACGACCACACACCCCGATGAGGTTATTCCTTTTCCTCTCAGTCAATGACAAGTTTCTAAACGTTAAAATGTGAGAACTTTGTTGCATTTATACTTCCACGGAGACTCTTGACCCTCTGTCTTGACCTTAAGCATAAATTCGAACAAATCCATGGGGCCCATGCCAATTCTTACCATATCGGGTTAGACCGGGTCCCTCTTTATCACGGGGAAAGTAATATGTGGATCCCTTGTTTTAAGGCACCACGTCCACATCACTCAGCTGAGAATGAATGCATGGTCCAAATCAGATAAGGTTGTAATATCGTTGATATCTAATAACTCGTTACTTCATAAGGTCGTGATTCTGTCTGTCTGGTTGATTCAATCCAATAAGAGTCTTCTGTAGAAGAACTCGACTACTGTATTCCATGACGCTCTACAGGAATATCTTCGACCGGTTGGAGGGAATCAAACATGGCTAGCGCAACGAAACATGGGAAGACGATTCGCTCGGTTACATCATGTACTGAATGCCGGCGACGGAAGCAGAAGACAAGAAACCTGCCATCTACTGCCTGACATACCATGTGCATTAACTGACTGCTAAAAAGTGCAGCCGTGAATGGCCTTGCAACCAATGACAAGCAAGGAGGTTATCCCATCTTTGTTAATTTACATCAAGGGGGAAATCAAAGACAACGAGGCGACTATCAATTGACTCAAGGTCTGAGTGAGGTATATCCATTATCAGACATCTCTCAACTGATGTCATTCTAGAGTGTCAGACCCCGTCAAAATGAAGAATGTAGATGTGAAACAAGACCCTAAGAGTGACACCATCATTTCTGTGACAAATAGTCAGGATCTCCGGTCCTTAGAGTATCTTTCAGATAGCTTGAGTGCCCTGAAAGAAAGTACCAGTAATGCTGTAAGCCACTGCCTGATGAACCTTAACCTTACCACAACCCAATCTGACAGGACAGGATTCCCGTGTCCTCTCGCAGACACCACATGGAATTACATTCGTCGAGATAGAGGATACCCTACGGCTTATCCCTTCGAAACCTTACACAGGTACGGCCATAAAAGACGGACGATATGCGTTCACTAACTTGCATCTAGATATACCTGTGCAGCATTTTCTCAATGAGACGAACTACCAGTACTACAGTGTATACCCCCATCATTCTCCCATGACTACTCTACATGGTGGCTGGGCAAGGTAAAGGTGCAGTCACTGGCTGCTGAGTTTACATGTCTTCTGTTGCGTGCCTGTGCATATTCTGCTCTTGTCGTCTTCCAGAGGAGCGACAGAAATTAGAATCTGAACTAGGAGAACATATCCAAAGCCTCTCGGAGTGTTACCACCATGCTGCTAGGCGGCTAAGCAGCACTATCTCTCCAGGAAGAGGGGGCCTGACGCAGGTGCAGCAACTATTCCTTACGGCCTGTTGGTTCAAGACCGAGGCGCTGTTCGTCGAGTCGTGGCATGCTCTTAGCTCTGCCATCCACGAAGCTCAGGAACTAGGTAATAGAGACTTCTTTGTATGAATATGTCCTTTATAATCATTAGCTGACTTTCTACATTTTCGACTAGGCTTGCACAAAAATTCCACAAAAGTAGCTATCACTGAGTTCGAGCGCGAGATGAGGAGGCGTATGTGGTGCATATTGTGCGCCTGGGACTGGTAAGTTGTAATTATAGGTCTTCCTTGCAGAAGAAAATTTGGCTCACTCGGAAAGGCAAATGTCGTACCTGTTGTCCCGTTCCGTCATTATCAATAACAATAGCCCTGTTGAGCTTCCCAATCTGCGGCTGGAAAGCCCCGACTCCCAAATCGAACTGCCGTCCCCGATAACACATATGGCCTTACAGCGCCAGTTGGGCCAAATGATATCAAAAATATTTGGTATGATGGATGAAAGCTTGTCACCCATGCAATCTGTGTCTATTCAAGAAGTAGTTGAAAAGTGGTTTGCTTCGTTACCGTCTGCCTTCCGGCTCATGGACCCTGATGTCGCTGGGATAACACCCACAAATACGTGCTTATGCAACATCATCAGCTGCATGCTATAGGCTATATGGTAATGCTGAAGCCATTAAAGCAATGCCTCGTACAGAATCTTGGCCAAGACACGCCCAGTGTCCAGAAAGGTCTTCAGTCATCTGCCATTGATTATGCACTCAAGCTGATGGATGCATCTTATCGATTGCTGGCTTGTATGCTGCCAATGAACGCCAAATTTCATTTCGCACCATTTTTGATTTTTGATACAGCCTCCTTGCTATGCTCTGCTATAATTCACGATCATAGTCACTGTCTTCAGCGAGAAACGATTATTCAAGCACTTGACGTACCTGTCAACATGCTAGACCTTGTGCGTACCACCAAAACGGGCGCTATATGCTACTGGATCCTCACCAAGCTTATTAACGGGCTTCCGATATCTTATGTGGACAGGATGTCCATTAATTACAAACACTCTGAAGATATTGACGGAGAGCCTTATACAACCTCGGAGAGTCAACATGGCTCGGCATTGTTACGTGATGATGGCCTGTCTCTTATAAATGGTACACACCTAAACATAGCCAGTACGACGAGTAGTGCAGTTCTGCCACTGGAGCTTGCATCCTCCAAGGTAACGAACAGTGGAATTGCTGATGTAGCTAACATAGACCTGGGAACCTTCAACCAGATCTGGGATTTGGGGAACCTTGACCTTGACCTTTCTGACACACAGCAGTCCTAAAGTTCTAGTCTTCCGAGACTCTTTAAATATACTTTATCTATACACCTATGAGAACCGGGGCTGCTACAGTTATGTATACAACTGATAATGACTTGTAAAATTACGCATTGAGGAATACCCGATGAGGCCTTTTGAAACGCTGCCAGCTTAATAAGGCTGCGGTTCTTAGGGCAAGGCTAGTCCCAACGCGGTTAGTATCATCCACACCCACAAGCGGAGACGCGATTTTCTTTGCGGCGGGCGGCGGCGCCTTTTTTTACCTTCGTTCTTTGCACGATATTCAGCGCAGAGCCACACCATAAGGATTTGATTCTTTTGGAAGACTGTCGCCATCATGTCTAAGATCACAGTCGGTATGTATATCAATTCCACTATGATCTAGGTCTTAGGCTTTTCAGTAACTAATGCATCCTTTTTCCTGTTACAGCCGGAGTGCGCCAGAATATCCAGCAGCTGCTGGACTACTCTCAGAATGAGAAGAAGAGAAACTTCCTCGAGACCGTCGAGCTTCAGATCGGTCTGAAGAACTACGACCCCCAGCGTGACAAGCGTTTCTCTGGCACTATCAAGCTGCCTTCCGTTCCTCGTCCCAACATGACCATCTGGTACGTGCCGTCCCGGTCGCATCGCCGTTTCGACGAAAACCTGGAGGGAAACGGTGATGATTGGAGTAGAATGAGCGAAATGAGCTGACGAGCGATGGATTATAGTATTCTTGGTGACCAGCACGATCTCGACCGTGCTAAGCACCACGGTATTGATGCCATGTCTACTGAGGATCTTAAGAAGCTTAACAAGAACAAGAAGCTCATCAAGAAGCTTGCTCGCAAGTACGATGCCTTCCTTGCTTCCGACAGTCTCATCAAGCAGATCCCCCGTCTCTTGGGTCCCGGTCTTTCCAAGGGTATGTTCACTATCTAGCGTTGCGCCCGGTGAGATGTACAATATGCTGACAGTTTCCGCAGCTGGTAAATTCCCTACCCCCATCTCTCACGCTGAGGACATGGCCAACAAGGTCACCGATGTCAAGTCCACCATCAAGTTCCAGCTTAAGAAGGTTCTCTGTCTCGGTGTTGCCGTTGGCAACGTTGGCATGACTGAGGATGAGCTGATTGCTAACGTCATGTTGGCCATCAACTACCTCGTCTCCCTTCTCAAGAAGGGCTGGCAGAACGTTGGAAGCCTTGTTCTCAAGGCTTCCATGTCTCCTCCCAAGCGTCTTTACTAAGTTATTGACGCTCTCAGGTCACGCTGGGGGGTTTTTTTTAGGGACTTAAATGTGGGATTGTATATGCCATAGTTTCGGAAATGTGACTCACGACTTTGTTCCTAATTCGTTCTTTGTGTCTCCACCGTAGAAGTAGTTATGGCGTCGACTATCGACCGTAGTATATAAGCCTTTCATATTTGCCTTAGCCATGCTAAACGGCAAATCTATCTATAAATACAAAGTGGAATGAGGCCGAACAATTTTACGCCCGTGGGATGCTCATTGCATACCAGGCATCAGGTCCGTCTTGTCAAGAATCATTCCTCTCATACCAATAAATTCCCGTAAGTTTTCCCACTCCTCTCCCTCTTCCTCGCCACGCATGTAGATATCCTTAAACCCCCATTTAAGTGCAACTCTGTCCAAAGCAGCTCGTTCCTCTTCCCGGAGCCAGCGATGCCGCAATGGGACACCAGGCAACCATGTTACCCGCTCCATCTGATCATTGGCCGTGGTGATAGCCAGGATACCCACCGATGATACACCTCCCACGTATGCAAGACTTGCAGCGAACGCAATGCCCGTAGCTGTGCTGGGATCCATGGTATTCTGAAGTGTCGCAGCCCAGGATGCAATCGCATAACAAGCAGCCGGTGCAGCAGCCAGCCCACCTAGAGGTACGGCTGCTTTCTTAAAGACCTTTGCGCGGGAGAACGCGGGAGCGCAAAATGTATTATCAATGATTGCAAGAACGAGAGACAGGTTCCGCTGCTCGCTAGCGACCTCCAGAGCCATGTTGGCGAGTTCGGTGGGGATAGCACTGTTGATGTCTTTGGGATTCGCCTTGTGAAATTTAACAGGGGAGCTATTCTCCTCCGGGACCGGCTTGTGCGCATATAGATGAAAGATCTCCGGGAAGTGCTCGGCACGCTTGAGTAAACTCTGAACCTTGGTGTAGCCGGCCAGTGCCTCGGGAGAAATAAACACCTTCTCATCCGTCAGAAGCTCGTAAGTGATCTCGGAGAGAGCATTGGCTAGTCGCGGGTCCGCAATTTTAGGTGATTTGGTTCGTTTCTTCGTAACGCTCTTTTCTTCTAGGTCAAGCAGGGTGGAGATCTCATTATCTCCTTTCTTTGTTGTGTCCTGCTCTTGGTGTACAAGGGCTTCTGCGACTTCTTCACATCTCTGAAGGAGTCTCACAATTGCTTCATTGGAGGGCACAGAATCCAATTGTCGGAGCTCGGCTGAATCGTGTGTGATCTGTCGCAAGGCATCTTCTAGATCTCGGGGAGTAGTTGTCTCGGGCGTGTTTGACGCAAATCGAGAAGGTATCATCTGTGTAGTAGCCCAGTGGTTTTTTAGGTTTTTCCTAGCCTTCCATAACCCGACATCTTTGTTGGAGATGAATGGTCCTGTTGATGCAAAAGATCGCGTGAAGTGGGTTCGTGGCCGGGTTGCCGGGGATGCGGAGGAACGGCAGAATTGACATATCAGGGGTTGAGACCTTGAGGCCCTTTGACCGCTTAAAGCAATGCCTTTCATGGTGAGTAGTGAAAGTACTTTTGGCGTTGTTTCCCAAGCCATTGAGTACGGATACGAGAACAGGACAATATGCCATTTGCGACGCAAGGCGGAGTCTTACTGCCGCCGCAGCACCGCCACTAACTCCGGACGGACTCTCCACTATTGGGCAACTTAACTGATCCCATTCGCTTTGCTCCATCAGGCTACATTGACACCACGCCTTCTACTCCCCATTCCAACGGACGTCATCTTTCTCCCTGAAAGAAACGTCAAATGGTCCCCTCGATCCCGGCGGATTGATCCCTCGCGATCGCTTTTTCCCGTGATCAATAACTACCCCTCTTTCTCTTTCACCGTTCAATTTTTAATACTCTATCTTTTCTATCCATAAAATGCCTCCACCACCACCGCCGCCGCCTCCGCCGCCCGGTGGTATGGGAGGGCCCCCTCCCCCTCCCCCTCCAGGAGCTCTCCCGAGTAGGCCATCAGGTGCAGAAGCGAAGGGCCGGGTAAGTCTATATGTTCGGAACAATACCTGACAGACAGCTGATCTATTTGGTAGGGTGCCCTTCTCTCGGATATCCATAAAGGCGCCCGACTTAAGAAGACTGTAACCAATGACAGATCAGCGCCCCAGATTGCTGGGGGAGGAGCGAAGTCGTCTGGCCCTCCGATTGCAGGCGCACCGCCCGTTCCAACCATGCCAAAGCTCCCGGGTTCGGCACCACCGGTACCCGGACAAGCAGCGAACAGACTACGAAGTGATAGTGGAGCTGGTTCAGGGGGTGATAATAGCGCGGCTTTACCGGCAGCGCCACAGCTGGGAGGTCTCTTTGCTGGAGGAATGCCCAAACTACGCAGCCGTGGAGGAGTTGACACCGGAGCCAATCGAGATTCGCCATATCGATCAGAATCACAAGGCTCGTCGGCACCGAAACCTCCCGTGTCGCCTGCTCCGAAGCCTCCAGGAGCTCGTCCTCTTCCGCTGCCTTCCTCAGAGTCTCCTCCCGCCCCTCCTGTTAACCCATTGGTTGCTGGCCTGAAGAAGCCTCCCCCAAAGCCCGCCTCGCGGCCATCCTCTACAGTCTCAAATGCATCGGCTAGGTCGGCGCCAGATGCTCCACCCCCTCGTGCACCACCACCGTTGCCAGGCTCAGCAAAGCCGCCTCCACCACCTCCCGTGTCCTCTAGGAAACCATCAGCCCCGGCTCCTCCTCCTCCTGCTGCTGCACCCCCTTCTACAAGTCCAGCTGCGCCACCTCCACCTCCACCTACAGCCCGACCACCTCCCCCAGCGCCTGCGCGATCTACCCCTCCTCCACCTCCACCACCTCCGCCCCCTGCAGCCTCAGCACCGCAGCCACCTAACGGAACCGCTGTTGCATCAATAGCTGTTCAAGCTGCGAGGAACGCTCTTGGGCAGAGTCAGCAGACACCTTCAGCCCCGCCCCCGCCCCCGCCCCCACCCGCTTCATCCGCCCCTTCAGCACCCCCTCCACCTCCTCCGAGTGCTCCCCCAAGCGCCCCTCCGAGCCAGCCACCATCACGCCCGTTATCCCACGAGCCTCCAGCTAGTCAACTCCCGGATCGATCTACACTAGATCCGAGCGCGTACACCCTGAGCAACGGCGGGCCGTCATCAGGGTCGAGCCCTCTAAGTTCAGCAGCGCATGGGATGATTCGTGTAGAAGATGTTCGGTTCAAGTTCCAGAGCGAAGGTTTATTCCCCAAGCCTCGGCCTTTTGTAGGAGGCCCCAGACGATACCGTGCTGGACGAGGTAGCAGCGTGCCATTGGATTTGAGCGCATTGAGTGGCTAGGATACTGTTCTAGATAACGAACAGACTAGGGGCTTATCAATTTGCTTTGCAACTTCAAGTTGCATCTTGTTATCGGGATAGCCAAAGGCAATGCAACGAAAGGTTCTTTCTACTTGCGCTCTTTTTTCCATGTACAACTAGACACGTTCATTTCAGTAGATGGACGTTTTATTGTTTCCTTTTTTTATATGCTCTTCCATTCAGTGTCTTTGAGATAATAAAACAAATACGTAGATAGGAGGGGCGACACATTTCGACGTCATCCGAGCTATTGGATGTTTCCAGCAAAGATAGAGGGTCATAGTCTGTCACGTGACAGACTAATCGTATCGAAGTGTCCGGACGGAGGAGAAATCGCAAGCTCATTGTTGCGACCACTGCTGTGCTGGTTCACCATAATTTTGCCATATCGCCTCGGATAGCATGTCATCTTGATCTTGCTTTAAATGGACTTCTAACAGCAAAATTCAACGAGGCCGGAGAGCAGCAACTCAAATTCCCTACACGCGTCCACCACTGGTTCTGCAGAGCAAACATCGGCGATAGTGTCACAATTCGATAGACTTCAAACCCCCCAGAAAGGAATTGGAATCACTTTTTTTTTCTTTGACTCCTGACTACGTTCTATCGGCTTCCCTTTTCTGGCGGTCTCGGGTCGTTTACGATAGCTCCCGCAAGCTCTCATCGCCTTTCTAGAGCTCCAGCCCGGTTCGGACCTATTCGCGCACGAGTACGCACGCCGTTCCCGCGCGTTTACCTCAGGGAATCCTATAGCGCATCATCATGTCTCTCCACTCATATATTAATAGTACGTAATCCAGTGACCGGTAGATCCCAACATTATGCAAGACCGTGCTAACGCCTACTTCCGTAATAGAAAAAGTCCTGGTTCTGACTGTTGACGGGCGGACTCTTCTGGGGACGCTACTTTCCACGGATCAGTTGACTAACCTGGTTCTCCTGGATACCATCGAACGAATCATTCGCACCCCTGATGACCCCGAGCCAAGCTCTCAGATCGAGCACGGTCTGTACCTGATCCGAGGCGATAACGTGGTAGTATGCGGCGAAGTGGACGAGAAGATCGATGGCGAGATTGACTGGGCCAAGGTTAAAGGCGAGGTGGTCAAGGGTACCAAGAACGCATGAGCCCTAATTTTGTACTGATTACGATGCGAACTTTCTTGCTCAAGGATGAGCCACCTTCCTTTTGCATCAGAGTGACGTTGGATGATCGAAACGTGGCATGGTGACTAGGTTGGACTAGACCGTTTGTGATAGATCTTTTTTTTTTCTTCGTGGCGGAGGTGCAACAACAGTCCATCAGAGCATCACGTACAGTGCGCTTCTTGCGCACCGTGTCACGCGGAGGGGTACCACTATGGTCCTTATCCGTGGCGGTGATACAGATTTGGATTGATATCGTTTCGTATTCTGCGACCATGGTGGGGCTCGGACTAGACGGCAGCTTTTTTTATTAAAAGAAAAAAAATATGCGATCTTAGGTCAAACATACTGGCGCTACGGCTCCTGGGGTTTTACTTGGTGATATCAGGAGAAAGAAGGGGGAGGAGATGGAAAGGAAGAGGGAGAACAGTGGATGGGATAGAAACAAGGGAGACAGCAATCACGGCAGTACATTTTTTCAGGACGATCCATCCTCGACGACGGAGTACGAATGCAAGAATTCAGGGAGTGGATGATGATGAATCATGGATCTCAACAATGTATCTATGTATGTGAACTGCAATTTCGGCATGTTGATTGGGGCGAGTGGAACCCCAATCTGATATCCTCTGCGGAGAATGCAACCTATCGACTACTACTGCTACGGAGTACTACGTACTAGTACTACTACGGCTACTACTACTAATACTGCTACCTGATTAGAGAAGCAGGGCAAGGGATGACCTGAGTTGCGTTTAAATTTAACTGATTGAGAGCGTCGAGTGGTTGTCGTGTTTTAGGGCTTGGCGAGAATTTCGGAAGTCGTGCAGTGTCTCGTTCCGGGCGTTGTCGTAGTAGTAGTTAGTGAGTAGTCGTATAGTACGAGTAGTCGTATAGGCAGCCAAATACTTGAACTAGCGATGGACGGCGTCAAACTAGATTGGACCATCCCGTTTCACCAAGAATTTCAACCGTCAATCGGTTGTGGACACATTGACTGGTATGCAACTGGCTTCGCTGCCCAATTGTTTATTTTTATTATTTTTAGTATTTAACTTCCGAGTACGTCTGAGAGTGAGGGGTTTGGGAATCTTATACTCGTTCTCTTTCTGTTCTCCTCAGCCACAGTCCGTTCCCATTCCAAGTCCGAGTGGAGGGGATGACTTATATAAAAGAACAAACTGAAAATAACTTACATCAACAGAGACACTACTAATGATCCTCCACGAGAGATCGTCTACATAGACATCCCTACTCCCTGACAATAAATCTGGGTAGCGCCGTTTCTGCTCTGCCGCGCCCCCCCGCCCCTGCCAAGTGCAAATCGCCCAACCATCTCTCGCCCGTTCTTTCATTCCCCTGACCTCCGACTCCTCCTTTTCCTTTCTCTCTCTCTCTCTCTCTCTCACTTTCTCTCTTTCTTCCTCTCGCTATCGCTCTGCTTCATTGTCTGGTCTGTTGTTATTGCTGTTTATTTGTCTTCGTCTTTTGTCCTATTTTCCTCCAATTATTTTCGGTGGTCGCTGTCCCACGTATACTACTTTGGATTGTCCGCTACGTTGGTGTTACTTCAATTCTTTTCTCCGACGTTGTAGGTCGCTGGGCGATCTCCGTTTTTAACTGCCTTCCCGTCCCGCCCGCTATCGTACTATACGCCCTTCATGTTGCTGTCGGCGACACGACAAATATCGAGACCTATTTACCGGTGCCCTCGGGCCTATCTGTTCTCGTGAGTGCCATACGTTTTTGGCCAGTGTCACTATCAGTTGGCCTGCGAAAACCTTCCTCACCGCTCCCCAACCTCCCTCCAACCTCCCCAGCCCAACCATGTGGCTGTGGCGAGGCGCTCAATCGGCGGTCTTCTACTATGCCACCTGTACACCATGTGCCGAGAAAGTCGATCGTCGAAAACGCATGAAAGAAGCCGAAGCCGCTCGATCCCGTCGCGAAAAGGAGAAGAATGAAGAAATCATCGCCGACCAACCTCGGCCGTTCCCCCAACCCACTGCCTTTAGTACAAATCCCGGATGGGCGGAAGAAATTGCGTTAGGCCCTGGCCCCCCCGCAAGAAGAGGTGGCAACCGGTCTGCGCATCGTCGGACGGATAGTTGGAATACGGATGGACTCTCGGCGAACTCCGGTCAGGATGTACGTGCGTCGCAAAAGAAGGACAAAAGCAGCCTGATGCAACCGATTGAGGAACGGTGGAACCGCATGCGATATCAGCGCGAAGACGAGCCGTTATGGGGTGAAGAAGTGGAGGTGAAGGGCTCTTCGGTTGGATTATCAGGTAGCGGGAAATCGAATGGCCCCGAACCCAGCAAATACTATATTGCACGGGTTCCTCCGGTCAACGATCTTCATCCGCCTATCGTCAGTGGACCCAAGTCTAGGGCTGAGACGCGATGGATGCTGCAACCTGTACCTAGCGCTAGGGTAATGGCCGGAAAAGATCGCTTCCCTACCCAGAAGAGCAGTACCAGCGACCCCTCTTTGACCCGCGAAAAAAGTCCCAACAAAACCTCCGATCGAACCCCACTACCTCCCTTATCTACTCAACATGTTGAAAAGAAACCCGCCAGAGTCCGTCCTCCTTTCGCCCACCTTGATGATGACGACGATGACGACGACGACGACGATCCTCGACCTCTGAAGACGCCGGAACCCAAGGATAGCCGCGAATATAGATCACCCTCCTCCCTTACGTACGGGCGTGATGAGTCTAATTTTGTCATAGCTTCGTCTCTACGGTCACGATCAGATTCGTCTTCGTTAGCTTCGATTGACTCCGATGACATAGAATCCCCGAGAGTTTCGATACAGTCTCCGCAGACACCGATATCCCGACCAATGTCCAAAGAAGCCGATGACGGTAGCAAACTGTTCCGGCCGCATGTGTCGAAGACATTATCGAACCTGCACCGGGAGGACAAGAAAGTTCAATTATTACATTTAGAGATTTCCGATCCCCAGGAGGAAGTCGGATTAGGTGATCTTGAGCAAATACGGCCGTGGCGCTGGAGCATGGACATATAGCTGCAGTATTTGATTCCTTGAGTAACTTTCTAGCCTCGATTCTGTTTCCTCGAATTCGGATTCCAGACACTCCGATATACCTTGATACCTGGTTTTTTCTCGGCGTTGGCAGCAGACAAAAGCGATCGTTCCGTTCCTTATCATCCCATCGATTCTCTATGCATTGGAGCAACCAGTTACCCGAAGGAAGTCCGTTGTTATGCGCATGGCAGGACCACCAGAAACGAACGAGAATATTGAAGACCTTCTGTGACTGTTGTTCTCATCCGTTGTCTCCATAACATACAGTACCTATATATACATACCATTCCTGCAGAATTCCATCCATCCTTTCCTTACCAGCGCAGGTTACACTCACTAATTTGCATTTTCTTTTTACCGTTGTCTGATTTGTTCTTTGACCTTTGTTCTCAGATATGCATTGTCCTGAAGTCCCATTCTCATGTCCATGTACAATACCTTTTAATATCAATTACTGCATATTTCTTTCATTGCGCGCGTTGTCCATGATTGAAGTTGTTTTTTTCCTGGTGTTTGTTGGTCATTATACACGATATACCGATAAATAATGAGGGATTGTTATTTGGACCTCACGCTACTTATTTGGACCTCACGTTAAGCCTATATAGGGAAGTTAAGCGAGCTATATAATTAAAAAACACACTAGTAAAGCCCTTTCAAATACAGCTTATATCATACCCTATACAAAACTAGCATAGATTAGTATATTATAAAAAATACATATAGTTCTTTTAAATAATTACTTCTACTATTAGCAATATACCAGTTTATAGTTAAGGACCTCTCTATTTATTACCTAGATTAGGTAGGTAGCGAGGCTACTATACATCGCTGAAAAGGCAATGGATATATACACTGACATGCCCATTCAGCTGCTCTTAAAGAGAGAGCCTGGGGAGGAAAGAAGTCTATACGTAGTTCTATATTCCTATTCTAGAATAGTCCCGCTTAACCAGTAGGATTACTAATACACAGTCTCGTGCCTTCCTATATAGGCTTAACGTGAGGTCCAAATAAGTAGCGTGAGGTCCAAATAATAACAATTCCTTAAATAATACATCTTGTAATACTGAACTGTATCTTGATAGTACGTAAAGATTGATGGTCCATACAAAGTACCCCGAAATCACCACTAGACATCCCTTTCATAAAGATAATATTAAAAGAGACATGTTTGCGTTTGGTTTGGAAAGAAGAAAAAAGAGTAGGATTTGAGGTATATTGTTAGTGTGCAAACGATGGGATTTAGCCAATATATCGTGAGCGTCTCGCCAGTACACAATGATATTGAACTCCATGTGGGGAAACGGATTCAGGAACAATGCTGACAAGACGAACAAAAAAGACGAGGATCATATAATGATAGAGATGCTTTCGGTAAGCCCATAAGAAACATGTCATGAGTACGTAGCACACATGCGCATTAACTCAGCGGCCCATCTGGAATTTAATTTTATATTTTGTCTTTCTGCTTTCCATTCTCGCTCCCCCTTTTCCGCGTTCGATTGGGTCCTGTTTAGTAGACCTTCTTCTTCTCATCCATACTTAATTGGCCGGGGCCCATGTTGACCAGAAGCAAGAGACCGCCGCTATTGAATATAATTAGTGACTACAATCCACAACAATGCGAGACAGGGCTAAGTGTAACTTACACAATAGACAAGATCTGGAAGAAATCGTACTTGGCGAAATCCTTGTGGGGATGGTGGGGGTGGAGCTAGGGGACCGTTAGTTACCAGATACTCAAACGTCGTTCAAGGTATACATACGGTCCAGAAATTGTTGACCAGAATGTTGAAGACGCTCAGCAGCACCACAAGGATGATTGCGCTCCACTTGGCCTTGAATCCCACAATGACCATAACGCATGCCACGAGACCAAACAAGCTAACCAGAATGCGCCAGAAGCTCCACTGGCCGGAGAAGACAAATCCGATGAAGAGGAAGATGAGCAGGACACGGCCAGCGAACTGAACGTACATCTTGCGGTCCTTCTCATCAAGCTGGGGCAGACCAGCTGGGACGAACTTCTTGCGGACCCATGAGTCGGAGAGAACCATGAGGAGACCGCCAATAACACTCAGGTTGCGAAGGAAGAAGTTAAGATCGAAGATAAGCCCATATCCGAGGCCCTGGGTGACGACGACACCCAGCAGGCCGGCGACGGCGATTTCAGTGTGTTTGCGAGCAATTACCAGGAACGAGCATATCGACATAGCGAGCACATTGAGGATGAGGAAGGTGTGTGTGATGCCCCACGGAACTGAAGATAGTTAGACCGGAAACCCGAGGGCTCACTGTGCAGCAATGATCGCCACTGCCGCGGGTAGCAGGAGTAAGCTTACTTTTGCGGTATTCCCGCAGGTAGAGGAGCTGGTCGCTCCATTGTGTAATGATTCGCAGACTGTCCTCGATGAAAGTGACGACGATCAGGAAACGGCCAATGGCTGGTAGATACCTATAAGCGGAAGAAGACACTGTGTTAGCGGCATGTGTCGAACACTACCATTCCGACAGTTGTTTACGTTTCCCTTGCACCGCGCTGAGACAACAGCGGAATGAATTGAAAACAAAAGGTTCGGAGACCACGTACGGTTTAACGGGATCTGCCAACGTGTCCAACCAATCTTCAATCTTGCTGGTCTGTTCCCGAATGGCATCCAAGGGGCTAGGGTCGCTTGTAGCATCTGCGCGACCAGGCCCCCCGAAGGGATTTTGGTGACCGAGATTGTATCCCGCGGTGCCGCGGATTTGCGCCATTGCGGAAGTTGTTGTTTAATAGAACAAGGATATTCGAGCAAGCAGGAGTATGAGAGATGTACCGAGAATAGGAACCTCGGGAGCTAGCCACGAGGGGTCGGTAAACAAGAAATAAAGAAAGGATTGGTAGAGGATGAAATAAGTGACAATCAGAATAGACGAAATTCCCGAGAGAGGAGAAGGAGAAGAAGAGCGAGAGAAGAAGGGAGGGGAAGGAAGAGTAAATACTAGCAGAGAAGACCGAAAGAGCGAATGATGCGAAAGAGAAGAGGACAAAACAACAAGTTGCATCCGTTGGTTCGTTGCCCACCCGTGACTTTACGTCGGCGGCCCTGCAGTTCAGGCCACGATGACCGGAACTCGCTGCTAGTCCCCATATGGGATGGTTGCCAAGCCATCTCAAGGGGTTCTCTGACGACATTTGCAGAACGAGAAGATCCCACACTCCCTCCTGCAATTATATTCTTCCTTCCAACGATACCATTCTATTTTTAAGAGCCCGTCACAACTTTGGGTTAACTTAGGAACCACCCTTCTGTTTCGTCGCAGACTAACCAACCCCAATGGTGGTTCGTTCGTTCTACTCTGTACACCCTACTACTATCCGACTACAAAGTACGAACATACATGAGATACCACACGGATCCCCACTGCACATCAGGGACTATATTGATCGTCATTCCCAAATAGGCCCATTCCTTCCCGGATTAAGAACCATAATGGATCCAAAACAAATATATCCAGCAAAAAAAGCAGAGAACGCATTAAAACCCAGAACCAGGGAACAATAAACACGGCACTCAAGGTAAATAAGTAATTATTAAACGCAACGAACCCAGGGCACAAAGAAAAGGCCAGGTGGCATTTGCGGAGACGAACCATTGCAGATCTTGATCCATGCTCGCCCGTCAAGGGCCTCCACTTTGGTAATCCATACAAAATGCCGGGTCCTCAACGCAGGGGCAGTGGACCAAGCAAAGGAATGAAGCCCTAGTCCGCAAACAAATCAATCAGGAAAAGGACATAATAAGTAATTAAGCATGGTATTGTAGCGAAAACCCGGAATCCGGTCATAGATCAAAACGTCTTTTCATCCATAATTATCGATCAGATAACAAAATGTGTTATAAAACAGAACAAGAAGAATTTGAGAATCCGAGCAGTACACAATTGAGAAAAGGAAAAGGAACAAGAAAATATTACACGGCTCTATTTTTTTAAGGGGGTTTTTCTTGGATTTGGGTGGTTGAGGCTGATGTTTCCTGTGCTGACGTCGCAGAAGGAATCAAACGCCTCGCCGGCTGCGTGGTGCATTTTTAGTGTGGTAAAAGACCCCGAACGCCGAAGCCATGAATAATACATACAGTGAAATCGAAAAGATTTCCATGAGAAAAAAAAAAGCCTGATACATCTCAACCATGTACCTTTTCAATTCTTCAAGAAACTCAAAAGGCCGCTCAAGCAGCCCAATCGGAGTCAAGGGGATGTCCCTTCTTTCCGGAGCGGAGGACATCAGGAAGGTAGGTAGGAGTGATCTTCACCTTGGGCTCAATAGGTGCAGGTGCAGGTGCGACCGGTGTGGGCTGGTCTTCAACAGCGCTGACTTCACTGTCATCGGTTTTGCCGCCCTTCTTCTTGATCTTCTTGCTAGACACAGTAGTCCATTGATCTTCACCGTTCTCTGCGCCGAGAATACGCATCTGCTCCTCCTCGGATGGGAGGCCCTGGTCCCACTCCTTGGAGGATGCGGCAGCGGACGAGTTTTCAGGCTCAAATGTGTCCAGCAGTTCAACCTTAGGGGCCGGAGCGGACTTATGGGTGCCGTTGGTAACATTACCGTTGGTAACCTTGTTCACGCTCTGAGTCTGCCAGGCATTAGGTTGAGCAGCCGGCTTTGACTTGGCGGCTTCACGGCGCTCAGATTCGCGAGCGGTGTGGAGCTGCTTCTCGAGCAATTTACGTCTCTCCTCCTCAGCTTCCTGGACCTGCTGCTTCCGAGCTTCATTCTTCAGGCGCTGTTGGCGTTGCTTCTTGGTTTCGACTTGCTTGAATGATTGGGGCTTCTGCTTCTTCTTCTGGGAGTCCGATTCCAAAGAGCCCGTCACACGGAGAACTGACGCTGCTGGGGCAGGAGCCTCGAGCATGTCAGAAACATATCCAGCAGCAGAGGCACTGGCATTAACCTTAGGGGATCCAGCTGGAGAGAGGTCATCATCAGCCTCGGCTCCGGTGGTGGATGAGGTACGAGTAGAGACACGGGAGGCAGATCGCTCGTTGTTGCTGGCGTTGAGCTGGCTGGGGGTTCCCTTCTTGTTCTTCTTCTTTTGAGCCTTGCTGCCACTGTTGCCATCCTTGTTGCTTTCCTTAAGGGGAACACCGTTCTTCACAGCGGCAAAACGCTTGGCCATCTCTTTCTTGTCGATCTCCTCATCCGCCACATCAGCCTCCTCGATCTTGGGGGTCTGCACTGGCTTTTCCTCGAGCTTAGCGGGGGCAGGAGAGGGTTCCAGAGACTTCTTAGTCTTCTTCTTGGGTTTCTTCGCGCTCACCGCGCTTTCGGCCTTTTCCACGATGGGTTTTATGGGGGCTTTAGTTTTGGGAACAGGGCCATTATAGTACCAACCCAGGCCACCTGCTACCACGAGCAGGATAGCCCAACTGAGGTAAGGATTCATCATCGTCAAAACTATAACCACTTTGCGTTAGTCAACGACACGACAATGATAAATCGATGACTCTTGCCGCGGGGGGTGGGTTGCATACGTTTAATGTGTATTCTTGAGATAACGTAGCAAAATCGTGATCAGATGAGTCAAATAAGATACGTTTCAAATGATAATCAAGGTTCGTCTTCGCGACAGAAGTCCACGCGCGTAATGGAACTTGGCGCAAAAAGTGATTGCAAGAATCCGCTGAGGATAGCAGTAAAAGGGGTGGGGAAAGAAAAAAAAATAGTGGAAAAGTGGAAAACAGGTAGCAAGCGATCTCTCGCGGGTCGTTAATTCAGCTTCAAATCATTAGGCTGAGGAGGTAACGACACAATAGGTGGTTGGAAGACAAGGGGCAAGCCAAATCTCAGCTTCTCCGAAAGGCCAGATTGCGTCGCAGCGCGGATACCGGTCGATTGAATTGCTGTAGCTCTTGTCTACAGCAACTCAGGCACTTCTTTGGGAGAGGATTTGAGTGATCTCAAAGTGATTCAACTCTTTGTGGGTAACCAGACCGAGGCTGGGGTTGAGCTACGGTGTCGAGTTGCGCTTCGAGGGCGTTGGGAGGCGAAAAGAGCGGGAATCAACCAAGGAACATCGAACCGCCTAGCAACCTCAACCAATCCGTGGAGGAGGAATTGACAATGGGCGGGACGAATTGCGGTGGCACGAAAATGGAGGGGGGAGGAAGTAGATATAGGGGAAGGTGAAGGGGGAAAGGAGGAGGTGAAAGAGGAAGTGGAAAAGGCCGCACGAGTGGTAGAAGAGGACACGCTTTAGATGAAGGGGTGACCTTTCTTACTAGTGGTCATCTGGCAGTGAATTTAATTACCTACTGGCGAATATTAGTTAGTTCAATGGTCTGCGCGCCAACACCCGCACCTCCATCTGTTTTTCTCCACTTCCACCAAGTCTGATAGCACTCTCAAGTGCTGGTTCGCTTGGTCTTTGTACATATTGTTCATGATGGTTGCGTTTTGACAAGGATGCCGTCTGGGTTTTCTACCCTAATTGTCCTTTTTTTTTTTCTTACTCTGTTTCCCCCCCCCTTTTATTGGTAGTAAGACTCAACCGTCTGTACCGACACTAATGACCCAATTGGAGTTAACAAAGGATTCTTATCCATTTAGCGAACGGAGCTAAGAGGTTCCAGAAACAATTGGTCATAAAACCGGAGAATGGAGATAGTATCAGTATCAATGACTCCCACCGTCACCAGGGGCAAATTACTCTGCGCGGGGAGAGATCTTCAACCAATCCCCGTTCAACCCCTGTCGATGGACGTCTAGACAAAAGTTTGACGGCGGATTCCGATGTGCACGAATAATGTTCAGCGATTCATATCCATTGTTGCTTCACTGCCTCCATGCTTGCATGTAATTGGTGGTATTCAAATTACGCTACAGATGACACCCACTGAAAGAAAGCAGAGAAACATTACCGTACAGGCCGGTATTGGCGATTCGTAGTATCAGTACGGAGTACGGAGTGCCACAATAGGCAGAGCCTCAAACAGAATACTCCGTACGGTACAGTACCATGCCGACTCGGCAACAGGCCACATCGCCTCAATTCCAGTGTTTACCCGTTTCTCAATATCATTCTTACGTTCGAGATTCAAGACGAAGGAAAGGAATTCAATCCAGCGCTCCAACAAATAAATCCCTTGCAGGGTACCGACCATTCATGTCACGCGAAAAGCGGTATCTCAACTCCTGTATGTACAAGGTGCCACGAGGCTTCCTCGAGTCCGCAGCATCTTTCTTATTCTAAGACAGAGTAGACCTTGGCTGCCTGCTTCAAAGTCACGTAAATGTAACGTCGTCCAACCCTACTTCGGGAGGACCATGGGAACCTTGACAAATAACACGTTGAGGAACCGCTAATAGTCCCGATGGCTGTCGCTAGCAGGCTTAGAGGCTTGGGGACCGTGGAAGCTGTGTATCTGAACTCCCCCTTGATAGACAAAAGTTCCTTGGCCATCACAGAATGTTTATCGGCTGGTCAACCCTCTGTATTCGGTGTTATTGAAGCATCACAAGCTTCTAGAAGTTGGTCTAACCAAATCTGGTTTGGTTTACTGCCGTCCACGGTCCTTTCACGGTATCGTTCCGAGTCGTCAGGTGGAGGGAAGTATAGATAAAACAAACATAATACTAGTAGTAGTAGGATAATTGCCGGGCATGTTAATGCTTCCTTTAACTCCGGGGAGTTAAAAAGTTCGTTCGATACACTAAATTCTGACCCATCAATATTGTCCGGTAATGTCCTACTACTACTCCGTACTTACTACTACTATGTTACTGTGCCTGAGTGCCTGGCAAGAACACCTTGGTCAATGACTAAGGCAACCCCCAATCATGGTGGAGAACCACAACCAGTGATAACGACCTAAAGCCAAGACCATCCCACTTTGGCTCCAAATCATCTTTCTCCGCCATAACGCCTGTATTAAGAAATTTTGTTCGCAATATTCTATATTTTTCGTTCGCAGATACAGTTAGTCTTAGAGGTACACGCTTAGATTATGACACCCAAGAAGATCATCATCGATACTGACCCGGTAAGTGAGATATATATGTTTCTCGCTGCTGCCCGTACCCCGCTGAGCCAGGTACTGATATGTAGTTCCAAAGGGGATCGATGATATTCTCGGTCTTCTACTCGCTCTGTCCGCAACACCAGAGGAAGTTGAAGTCCTGCTGATCTCCTTGACCTTCGGTAATATTGAAGTGAGAAGGTAAGTGCTGTCGCTCAGGTATCCTAGAGACCAGCACTGATATGAGTAGCTGTCTTCGCAATGTCGTCTCGATGTTCCATATCCTCGAACGAGAGATGCAATGGCGTCGGGAGCAAGGTCGTCCTGAAGGGTTTGGTGCCCTGCGCGCCGCCCCACCAGTCGTTGCGGTTGGTGCTGAGGATCCCTTAGAAGACCAGAAGATGCTGGCGGACTATTTCCGTACGTTTCTTGATCCTCTCAATTTGCTCGGTGATTTGCACAAGGCTGACTTATTGTAGATGGTACCGACGGTTTAGGAGGAATTCATACCAGCGTATGTTAGCGTGCTACTTCTATACCTTGCCATAGCTACTGATTGATGCCGCCAGCACCCCCACCTGACTCCTAAGGAGACTTGGGAGCATCTCTTTGATCCTTCCGCTGATCCAGTTGAAGTCGAACCCGTTCCAACGGGCAACCCTTCACGCCCATCCTTCATCCCTTCTAAGCGTCGGGCACACGAGGAGATACTTCGTGTTTTGCGTGAAAATGACCCAGACACCGTCACCTTGGTGGCAGTCGGGCCTCTGACCAACCTCGCATTGGCCTCTGCAGCTGATCCAGAGACATTCCTGCGCGTCAAGGAAGTGGTGGTGATGGGTGGGGCCGTCAATGAACCCGGTAATGTGAGGACATTTTCCCCTTGGGACGAAGGTAGTCACAAAAGATTAACACCGCACACAGGTAACCCCGGCCGCTGAATTTAACACCTACGCCGACGCATTCGCAGCCGCACGGGTCTATGCTTTGACATCCCCTTCACCCAAGACAACTATCCCAACGAACTCAAGCCTACCAGACTACCCCGCCAATCTCAGCAAGCAGCTCACACTGCGCATCTTCCCGTTGGACATCACGCTCCGCCACGGAGTCTCGCGCGGCCAGTTCCGTGAGGCAGTCACCCCACACTTGGAGAAAGGCTCGCCGTTGGCCGAGTGGGTGTCAGCCTTCATGGCTCACACATTCCACACTGTCGAGAAGCTGCATACGGGCCGGGCGGGCGATGATGTCGAGCTCAGCTTGCATGACCCCGTCTGCGTGTGGTATGCTATTACGGCAGATGATGATAACTGGAGGCCCTCCGCGGCCTCCCCAGAGGATATCCGAATCGAGACCACTGGACAGTGGACCCGGGGTTTGTGTGTCGTTGACCGACGGAACAGACACCGCATCGAAGGTGATGAGGAGCACTCCAGTGACCATGGTCTCTGGTTGAGCTCGAGAGCCGGAAACCGTGTCTGGCGAATGGACGCTTCGCCGGTCGAGGATAATTTCGGGGCTGTTCTCCTTGAACGGTTGTTCACTTGAACTGACGGTGCTGTTTCAGATAGGCTAGAATGTACATACGATTGTATAAATGCCATGGGTTGATTGGATAGAAGTATATATCTGTTACCTTTGAAATGCCACGGCTATGGGATAGGCTTGTTTGTAGTAATCTCATGCAGGCCATAGCTATGCGAAGTCAAAAGAACGCATAATAACAGCCAGCAATGATAAAAAGAAAAACATACAACAGGAGGGATTCGCTGGTGGTCACCCACCCAACTACTAACCTCCCGGCGTGTGGCTTAAGTACGGCTGAGCGGACGGGAAGCCCTGTTCTCCACACCCTATGGTCGTATGTGTAGGATATCTACAGACTAGAGCATTATATAGTGTAATCTACACTTATCTCCAGTACACTGTCTTCAGTTGAAGAGTATAACAGAAACATTTTCAGTCACCGTTTTTGTTGTTGACTGGATTGGAATGCTATCGAAGACACCCCGGAAGGTGTAGCAATCAAGCTCTGGTGACGGATTTGCAGCCGCCACAAATTCCTGCCAGAAAATTACATCGTCCAGGACAACAAACCAAGATGGCGATGTGGTTTTCTGTAGTATACTCGGTGGAGGCTAGCCTCGAAGCTTTGGTGTTAAGATGGAATGCAAGTAATGAAGTCTAGACTATCTAAACTGATTCTCAATCCAATCCTTTGAGAGGCTAAAAATAATCTGTCTCCTCCCTCTCTCCCTCTCTTCCTTCGGGGCAAGTATGCGATCTTAGAATGGTGTCAGTCAATCATCTTGATGCGCTAGCCCATGTAGTGACATATTGCATAGATAATTCGTGAAATATCAGGTACAGTTTTATTACTCAGTTAGCAATGCTTTGAGCTGGCGTGTGTCCGTCGACGGCTGTCATTAACATTCCACGCATCAATTAGATGCACTGAGTGGAATTCTGGGCCTGTAGGGAGTTGGTATGGAAGCCGTCACCTCGAACTCAAGATTATCCCTAATGGTCAGATGTTACGCAGTACACTTTTAATCGTCTGCTCAGCTTGGAATACGAAGCGCCCAAGAATGATATCAGTGCCATATCTGGTCCCCTACCTCGATGAGCGAATTTAGCAAAGGGCATAGGAATGTAGAGGGGCTTGTAGGAGGCTAGATGAGGAATACGTTTGTTTGTAGAAAGCTTGCCTTCGTAGAAAGGGGAGGTCTATATAAGGAGAGTTGCTGAGAGGTATTGTACTTGTACCTACCTGAAAGTTGTTTTGAAGAACGAAGAAAAACCAATTAGACAGTTGCTTTCGAACTTCCCAAATACTCAATACCTACAATGGACAAGCAAAGTCTCCTTAACGCACTCGTTGGCGTTCTCAATTCGACCTCTATTCTTAACACAGGGGTTCAAGAGCCCAATGTTACTAGTAACAGCACGAGTCTCGTTGTGACGCCGACAAACGTGACACTAAGTACCGCTGGGATGTCAAATTGTACTCAGGCCTGCGCCATAGGCGGCCTGGTTTGTGCAGTGACCCTTCCTAATGAAGCGAACTTTTGGTACGTGGCTTTGGTTGGCTTGTTAAAAGCGCACTATATTCCGCGCAATGTGAGACGGTCGCTAACCCTGGCGTAGCTGGGACTCATTCTCCGGGTGTAATAAGCGTTGCTAGCCAGTGGCAAAAGGATGGGGGGTGGATTTGCAATACCGCAAGCGCGGTGACTCGCTGTAAAGTTCTCTGGGAGGATTGGAGAAGATCCACTGGTTGAATGGAGGGTGCGCACGTGCTTCGATGCCCGTCTGAATGGGCGATTCGCCATCGGACTACCTAAATAGGTACTTGGGGTATCATGGATGATTAAGGGGTACATGACGTTGTGCAATGCAGGAGAGGGAACCGATCTGGTTTCCATAATGTGTACGGAGTAATGTAATAGACATGGATAGAGTGGAGAGTCCTTTGTTGAATTGATCTCATTACTTCAATTGCTGATGTCGTACCGGAAGTGGAAAGGAGAAAGAGGACACATGCCATGCAGATGTACATCAGGATGTCTGCGGTGCAACTAGTGGTAACCGTCGGAACTGGGGATGATTAACTTCGAGGGACGTTTAAAGTGGTAGTACCAATCAGCATGCCTGTTCCACCCTCATGGCTCCGTTCCCAAGATTTGCAGAGGGAGGGGTTGTTGCAAATGGAAGGATCACTGCACTGAAACCAGGGAGTAAGAAGAGTGAAGCTGAGCACGAGCCCCAAAGCGATAGGAGAGTTGGCTCTGGCCAGCCCAAGTCTCGTGCCCCCTTCCCGTGATCCCCTACTACGCTGACCCAATCAGAAGGGGAAATGGTACCGCGTGGGCTCTCCAAGCACGCGACACCAGTCCCGGAGGTCAACCTAAAGCAACAGCTTCCTTCAATCCCAATTCCCAGTCCCGTCGATCATCCAGCTGCTTGTAATTCTATCGTCGCACTCCCACTCCCTTCAAACGCTTTTCTACACTCAAATATCCTTTCCGGCTCTTTCCCGTTGCTCTCCACCATGTCGGTGCCTTTCCTTGGATCCGTTCATCCAATTTATTCTTGTTCTGATCCTTCGGGGTAATCTCTCCCCATGTACCTTTGAACAAGATAAACCCTCCCCTCTCGCTCTTATCTACCCCTTTGCCTGCTGATTCCTTGTCTTACCTACCTGTTCGCCCTTCGCTGACTGCATTGTCCACTCTACATCTCTTTATCACCCATACGAGACATTACAACCTCCAGTCTTGTCCTACGTAGTCCTACTATAGTGCTACTATACTGGTCTAGTCCTCATTTCTGTCTCAGTTCCTCCTTTCTCTTGCAAAACCAAGCGTCACCAGACCTTCCCAGAGACGTTCACGCTTCCTCTGAACAGAAGAGATGTCACGTTCTCGTCTTCCACCCACTCCGGCAATGTCGGGAGAGTTGATAGTCAAGGACCAAGTGTCCGTGGATGCTGTCGACTCATTTGCATTGCCGCCAGCTGCTATGAGTCCGGCCAAGATGGAAAATGCCAGTCGCAGGTCATCCAAGTCGGACCAGTCGGCTTATTTTCCTGCTTCCCCAACTTCCCCAGATCTCAATATGGGACGCAGTGCGAACCCTCCCCGTCAAACGGGTATTAAACGACCACTAGAAGACTTTGATCTCCCACCCCCTCCCACTCGTACCCGCAAAATCATCCAAATGAAGCCCAAGACGCAGACTCAAAGTCAAGCCAAGGCAGCACCCACAACTAATAAGCCTTCCAAGGAAAGTGGCAAAAGCACCTCAAACAATAACAATACGTCTCCTGCCACTTCCAAGAAGAAACAGCCCAGTGCTACGAGCGCTGCTGGTCGAAAGATTGCTCGCAAGACAGCACATAGCTTGATTGAACGGCGAAGGAGGTCCAAGATGAATGAAGAATTTGCAACCCTGAAAGACATGATCCCAGCTTGTAGGGGTCAGGACATGCACAAGCTTGCCATTTTGCAGGTTGGTAATCACCCGCAATACATATCCTGTTTTGGTTAACTAACGTGTCTTGGGCTCTAGGCAAGCATCGACTACGTCAATTACCTAGAGCAATGTATACATGATCTTAAAACTGCGGGTGACAGTCAGACGGCTGCTCCCCAACGCATGCCACCTGCTCCCCCCTCGCCGTCGTCACCTGAGGTTCTAGGGGAAATGGCCGGCAGTACATACTCGGCTTCCGTGTCCCCCGATATACTTCCCAGTGGATGTCCTACCAACGTAACCTCACCGGCATTTTCGCCTCGCAGCCGTATCCCCTCAACGAGCACAGCTATAGATTTCTCTTCGATCCTGCCGAGTCCAGCGTTAGGCCCGACCCACCCTTGCGACAGCGCTCTACGGTCGTCCCGTGAATCCTGGGCAGCAACATCTACCATTCCCTCGCCGGTGCTCCAGCCACAGATTCGTCATGCGTCTTCAGCAGAGATGGACCATGAAGCATCGGCTGCACTGCTCATGTTGAATCGGGATTGTCGTGGCAGTGTAGGCTCGGTGCCTGAAGAGCATGTTAAGCCTATCCCGGGGAATCGTCAGTACTCCTTACAAGACACTCAAAGGAAGATCGGGATGAGTGTCAAAGACTTATTAATTTCGTAGAGATTCATTTGCAGTCGGCAGCGCAGACCTGATATGTATTAAAAGGAATCTGTATCTGGCAAGAAAAGCACCCTTTCCCTTTTGCTCATCAACTCATGAAAGTCTACGGCTCACTGCTTTGCATTGGGACGACTAAAAATGGTTAATGCCGTATAATGTGTATCATCAAGTGACGAGTGCGGTAGTTTGATTGTGTGCTTATGACCTGCGAATACTTCTCGGCTCCAGCGGACGTTTCGCATCGGGCAAGATCCATTGTTAGGGAGCTTTGACCGCAGTATAAAGAATAAACTCCCCATGAATGAAGTCCAGTGACAAACATGGGAGAGAGAAAAAGGCTGTCTACAAGCTACTAGACTGAGCAGTACAGTAGTAGTATACTCCGTAGTGCACCGCAACCGAAACATACTACTACATACTGCGACGGAACCAAAATCCTATCCTGAAGCCAATCGACCGGGAACTTCCAATGAAGAGACGGAGATTGTGCACGCATGTTTGCCTTCCCAAAGGAGTTACACGCTTCCTAATGGAGGATCGGATTTGACTACGACTGAGAGAATCCAGCACCCTGAGTCTTCTGACTCCCACCATCCAATCAGAAGACTTGCCGCCTTCCCGGCGCACCCCTCCCTCGGAGAAGTTAATTAATTGTAAGTCATTCTGCTAGACATCCATGGATGGTCGTTCGTTACATACCCCGCACTCGGAATTCTTTTCTTCTTTCTAGACGTGTTCCAGGCCGTTCTAAGCATGGCCATTTGGGGATGCGAAGTGGTCTGCAAATTCAAGAGGGAAGGATTACCGAAATGAAAAAGCATCATGACCAGATACTATGTTACCTGTGAACAAAAAAAGTTTATTGCGTGAATGATAAGAGTTCGACTCCACTTTTGGGTTAACATGACGTTTGTGAAAAGGAGAGCCCTACGATACGTCCTTCTTCCTTATCTACTACTAGTATCTATCCCTTTCCATATCTGATACCCAGACTCCCACTTCTAATAAACGGTTGCGTGTGTACTGTGCGACACAAATTGTACAGAGAAATGTAGTGGGTGAGAGGCATGTCATACTATAATTAACCACCATTGTGTGAACCCCATGACGGTGATCATTTCCACGCCAAGGCGCATCCCTCATGCACCGTGTATCCTTGTCCGATTCCGGTCAGATCCTTCGTAATGACGGGGCCTTACCCAAGTTACCATACGCAGTGCTTAACTGGTAGAGCAAGTCAACCTTACTTTATCCCACGCCACCCGAATCGGCTGGTTGAAGTAGCAGGAACATGTGGGCGGAAAATAAGGCACCATAAGTTGTGCGAGACAGCTGTGATGATTCATGTACTTGGTTCGACTGGGGCTTTGCTGTGCCACGTGATAGTGTATGTTCGTCGTTGCTCTTGTCCTTCAGCCAAATCACCTACAAAGTCTTGGTTCGAGCCCATTCCTTGATGATCGACATGGTGATGGGTGGACTAGTAATTAGCGGATATGGCGAAGTCATCCAATGACGTTATGGTTCTCTAATCACCATACGGTCATCATCGCAGTAACAATAATATTCCAGTAACCCCTTATGATTGGACCGCAAAACTTTAGTGAATTATCTCCTAGTCAAGATCGTCTGGGAAACCGACACAGTGAAGGCAAAGTCAATGCCAACGATCACCAGAGCTTTACTTTAAACTGCCAAGTTTGATAGCAAGCGAGTTTGCAAATCCCTGTGTCACTCTCCACATCTTCTCGGCACGCTACGAACTAGTATCTCCTCGGAGCCACTGCATTGGGAAGTCGCCCTCCTCAAGGTTTAGAGCGAAAGAGTCCCCACCCCCCCCAATTGCTCTTGCGGCGGGATTCACGTCTCGCCCCAAGTCACTAAGTGAGCCCCCTCAGGTGGGCCCGCTAACGTATATATTACACCCTCGAGTCTTCCTCATCCCCCTTTTCTTGCTTCTTTGCTCGAGTTATGAACATTTCCAACCTCTCCACTCTACGTTTTCCGGTTTCCTCCAATCGTCAGAATGTCCAACAAAATCCGTTCCCAACAGCGCAAGAAGAACGCTCGGTCTATCGCCTCCGAGGACCCCTGGCGGGTTGAGACGCCGTTCGGCCCGCCTCGTATCTCACACTTGCATTTCCCCGAGGGCGGTATCCGGCGAATCCGCAACACTCTACACAAGCTATCTCCTTCAGCACGCGCGGAGAGGGAACTCTTGAGGCAGAAGAACCGATACAAGATACCTTTGACGGAAAGAAACATCGACACGTTTGTCACGGAGCAGCAGTTTACCGAAGCCTGTTATCCCGAGAAGCATAGCAACGAGTTGCATGTCTCCGCCTGGCTTGAGCGCCTGGCATATTGACAACCTTTCAATGATCGACGACACTTCCGCCTCATCCTCGATCCTGACTAGCTCTTGTTGTCAACATGCATACTGAACCGACTGACCTCTACACACAAGTCGCTATTGATCATCAGTTGCTTACGCGTCGGGGACTGGGAATGTCTTGGGGAATTCCTCTCCAAATTCTCGGTTGGGAAAGGCATGGTGTTAAGGGGCCATGTTCCGGTGGAGTTCAAATCTATCCTTGGCAACAACGTCATTGCCCTGGGCGCGGCTGCCAAGTCATGCACAGTGCTGCAAGCCTCACTCTGCGATCCGTACACCAGGCCTGCCTCTTCCCATACATATCCAGCACAGTTACAACAAGAAGCCCGGGTGGTCTAGTGGGTTAGTTCGTCCTACCTTAGAAATTGTCCTTAGTTTTCTTTACTAACTCTCATACAGTGTAATTCTCACTTAGGGATTTAACCCAGGCATACTATCTGCAAGAAGTCTCGCGGCTCGGGCCGCGTCTTTTTTTTTTTTTTTTCTTTTCTGCCTTCTCTTCCCTACCTTCATTCTTTGGTCCCTATCCTCCTACTTTTATTATTTCCTTCCTTTTCTCCTTTACACTTGCCTTGATTTGTTAACCGATACCCGCTGCATGTATGGAGTTCAACTGTAGACAGCTAATTTCTTACTAATCAATTGTACTTGTTTAATTTTTGGTTGTTTGTTGCCTAAATGGCTATTGGGCAGAAGAGCTTATCCTACTGCAAAGATATATATATATATATATATCTGCTTGTACATTATCTACGCTGCCCTGGCAGACCTAATGAAGTCAAACCACTATAGCATGTAGGAATTAATATGCAGCAGCGTTCAGATTAGCCGTCTTAGGCAAAGCCCATGGCCGGGGTCAGGTCCCCTCGATCCACTAAAAGGAGGGGTAATTAATATTCGGGTCGCAACAGTATCCTGACCTCGAGGTTTCCCGATCCCAAGAAACCCACGACAGCGATGTCCCGACCGAAGAAGGTTGCTATAATTGGTTGGTATCATACCAGCACCCTCACTTATGAGAATTGTCTCATTTAACTATTGAACAAGATCATCTGCTGACTGCCCTCAGGAGCGGGGCCCTCGGGGTTAGTGGCCGCCAAAACACTCCTTCATAACTACCCCAAAGGGACCTTTTCTCCCACCATCTTCGAGAAGGGCCATGAAATAGGTGGTCTTTGGCCAGTTGATTCACGAGACACCACTAAAGGAACAAGAACTCCCCGACGACGCCCGCACAATGGGTTCGTGGACCCGTCAATGCCGACGAATCAGAGTAGGTTCACCGTGACCTTCTCTGATCTGGCTTGGGAGTCAGTCATCGATGGCTCGGATATTCCTATGTTCCCGCAGGCCTGGCAAGCGGGCAAATACTTGCAGGTGTATGCTGAACGCTATATACCCAAGGAGACTCTGAGACTGGGGCATAATGTTGTTGGATCGACGCGAGAGACGAGTGGAGGTTCGAGACCATTGTGGACCATACAATGGGTTTTGGAAAGGTTTGTCTTGGTCATAGGATCTCTGAAGAGTGCTAATTGGAGAGTATAGAAATAATGAGAAAGGAAAAGGCCCAACGGACCAAGAAACGGGATCAGAAACATTCGACTACCTCATTGTCGCTTCTGGTTACTTCTCAAAACCATATACTCCAGATATCCCAGGATTATCTAGCTTTGCCGAAAAGGTGTTTCACAGTTCTGCCATTCACACTAAAGAGGATATACATCTTATGCTTGAAAAGTGTGGCGCGACTAAGGGTGGTAGTGGCAAATTGATCGTCATTGGAGGGAGTATATCGGGTGCTGAGGCTGCCTCGGCACTTGCGCTTTTTCTTTCCAGTATGAGTGCTACTGCCTTCCAATATCGAGGCTACGAAGTCCACCATATCTGTACACGGTCCTTCTGGACCATACCCTATTATCTGCCATATGCTGCTCCCCAAGACGATATCCAGGAAAAACCTGTCCAGTTCCTACCACTGGACCTTGTCCTGCATGATCTAGCCCGACGTCCACCCGGACCAGTTCAGTATAACTTTGGACCTGTTTCTCAGCAGCAAGAGATCAAGGTTAATGAGTACTTCCTTTCGTTGCTAGGTGACCAACACGCAGGTTATGGAAATATCGGCGGCGACTCTCGTGATGGCACAAATAACCCACAACCTTCATTGATAGCTATAAGTGACGACTACGCCGAGTACGTGCAATCGGGCTCTGTACGTCCTACGATTGGCCGTGTCTGCGCTATAAATTGCACACAGTCCGGTCAGGCAAACGTTGATATCAAGGGTCCTGATGGCGAAATGATCACTCACCAAAACGTCACAGCTATAGTCGCAGCCACCGGTTTCACGCCATTTTCCTCCCTCTCATTTCTTCCAGAAGACGTACTTTCCAAACTCGAGTATTCAGCCGAAGACTCCTACTTCCCTCTCATCTTAGATGAAAAAGGCACTTCCAATGCAGAGATCCCCGATATAGGATTTGTAGGACTTTACCGAGGGCCCTATTGGGGAATTATGGAAATGCAAGCGCGGAGAGTTGCGGAAACGTGGTATCGAGCCGACTCCAAGAAAGGAATTCAATTCTCAATGGAAGAACTGAAGAACAAAGCACAAGAAAGACAAAGTATGCGTGACTACAAGAATGCGGATCCAAACTCCCGGGGTCAGTTTCCAATGGGAGATTATGTGGGGTTGATGGAGACCTTTGCTAGGGACATGGGGATCCCTCGGGCCCCACTTCTGGAGGCTAGGGAAAGACTTGGACCGGTTCTTCCTACTCGGTATATGGCCGAAGGACAAACGAAGCCTTCAATGCTGGCCGAGTCGCATATTGCGTTGGCTTCTTTAAGGGATGCGTTCACCCACGACAGTGATACCTCCAAAACCGGCCTGACTAGGGCTATTTTCAGAGCGTTGCACGGAACTTGGAATTTCTCGCGAGTCTCTTCGAGATACGAGGGCGAGGTAACAGGGACGGCAAGGTTTTCACCTACATACCCGATATATCCGGAGTATGAGAGGGAATATACCTACAACGAGGCTAAGAGAGTTGATAGAACGCTGAGGCCACTAGATCGATCTATCTATCGACTTGGCCAAACTGGGACCCATAGCGGCGAGGTGCAGATATCCATTCTCCATTCGGACTCGGATGTAGAGATGGAAGAAGCTCCTCTGCTAGCGCATGAATTGAGACTCGTGGGCCCTCCGCGCCTCGAAGATGAAGGATCCGGACGCGAGCAATACGTTGTCCGAGCTGAAGGGTGCATGAACGCAGAAGATTATTTTCCGGGAGGCTTTGAACATAGCTACGAATATGTGTTCCACCTTGAAGGCGTGGCAATCTCTTCCTGGGAATGCAACGTAAAATCTAAAAAGATAGGGACTAACAATTATGGGGTTTCAGGTGGAGGAGTCAACAAGTGGAGGAGGACAGTATACAGGCGATAAAATATCACATAGACGAGCAGTTGGCTCTCCCTAGCGCCTTACATCTGGGGCATTTGAGCGGAAAGCCGTTCCGCAGTCCCAAGCACATCTCGAACCCCGGATTTTAGAACAGCATCGCCATGGAATTTCCCCGCACTTTTCGAACGATCTGCGGACCAATCCTCGACCCTTGGTTATAAAACAGGATTAAGCTCGCTCCCATCATTTTTCATTTATTCTCTCGCCTAAGGTCTTCGTCGAATAGACTTGCGCGCCTTCTTGGCAAACAACATCCCCCAAGGGCGGAAGACCGGCAAGAAAATGCGGAATTTCAATACTCACGCAATCTGAGTTTTGCGGGGAGAGCTGAACATACTGGGTTAACTGCAGCTCAACGTGTATAAAAATGACCCGACTACCTTACAAAATGTAACTGTAACCCTACCATCACTCCATCTCCCCAGGAGACAAACAACTACGCCTGTAAGCCATGTCTACAGACCTCGAAAAAGTAGACGATTGCACAATAGAAGACATCAATTCCCCCTCGGAGACACCAGACAGATCCGACCGCGATGCCGAGAAACGACTTCTCCGCAAATGTGACCTCCACGTTGTCCCTATCCTCACTCTCCTATTCATGTTCGCCTTCCTGGACCGTATCAACATCGGCAATGCACGGCTGATGGGTCTGGAAGATGACCTGGGCATGAGCGGGCATCAGTATAATATCGCGCTGTTTGTGTTCTTCATTCCGTATATTCTGTTTGAGGTGCCAAGTAATATGATCCTGAAGAAGGTGAAGCCATCATGGTGGTTGAGTGGGATCATGTTTGCCTGGGGTTCGTTCATTTCATTGACTTTGCATTCCTCCCCGGTCTTGAAAGGATTGAGAGCTCTACCTGAACGTTTCAATGCTGATTTTCGGTATAAAGGTACCATCACTATCTGTCAGGGTGTCACGGCCAGCTTTAGTGGCTTAGTAGTCTGTCGGGTCCTGATAGGACTCTTTGAGTCTGGCTTCATGCCTGGTGAGCTACAATATCCTACTATCGTTCTTTCGCCCCTGCATCTAATAATCAACCTAGGCGCGGTTTACCTAATAAACATGTACTATCGCCGTCACGAACTCCAATGGCGACTCAACCTTTTCTTTAGCGCCAGCATTATCGCCGGTGCGGTCAGTGGTGTATGCTGTTCTACACCCTACACCTTGGACCGATATGTGATGTGAGCTGATGCTAGTATTCTTCCAGCTCCTCGCCTACGCCATCAACAACATGTCCGGAATAGCCGGGTACGAAGGCTGGCGCTGGATCTTCATCATCGAAGGCCTAGCCACAGTAGTGATAGCAGCGATATCCAAGTTCCTCATCGTGGACTGGCCTGAATCGGCTAAATTCCTGAATGATGATGAGCGAGCCTTACTTCTCGCCCGCCTGAAAGAAGACCAGGGCGAAGCGCGAATGAACCGATTCGATAAGAAGTCGATGCGGCGAACATTCTCGGATCCGAAGATTTACCTTGGGTGAGTAGCATCATCCCTATGCCTTCCTTAATATGAAATAAACCTCACTAATAATCCCAACAAAATAGACCGATAATGTACTTTGGCATTGTAAATACAGGCTACGCCGTCTCCTTCTTCACCCCCACAATCCTCCATCAACTCGGCTGGACGGCAGTCCGCGCCCAAGTCATGAGCATCCCAGTGTACGTCGTAGCAACCATCACCACGCTCTCCGCTGCCCTCCTCAGTGACCTCCTCCGCCACCGCTACCTCTTCACTCTCACCGGCTGCCTGATAGCAACCATGGGCTACGTAATCCTGCTGGCGCAATCCACCGTCCCGGTCGGCGCGCGCTACTTCGCCATCTTCGCCGTCACCAGCGGCGGGTATCTGACGCAGCCGATTCTCATGGGCTGGCTAAGCAACAACATGGCGGGCCATTACAAACAAAGCATCGCGTCGGCCATGCAGATCGGGTTCGGAAATTGCGGCGGGCTGGTCGCCAGTAATATCTTCTTTGAGGAGGAGGCACCGGGGTATCGCACGGGGTATGGGGTTAGTTTGGGCATGACGTGGATTTGCGGGATTGCTTGTGTACTGTTTTTGGGATATTTGATCAGGGAAAACCGGGTGAGGGGAAGGGGTGGGAGGGATTATCGGTATCAGTTGCCCAGGGAGGAATTGGAGAATTTGGGGGATGACTATCCTGGATTTACGTTTACTTATTGAGTTAACATGAGAATAGTGAGTCGTAGTTTCTATAGAATATAGGAATTTGTTGTGTGTCGGTTCTTGGGTGACTCTTTTCCCTTCTGCCCGCCTCCTCCCAGAACAAAACTCAGGCAACACATCCATAAATAACATAACACGCATATACGGTTCTAGTCAATTTGAAAATCCGACTACCAACCCCATACACCATTGGAACGGCATCTGACAACTATCATTCTCAGTGTGACATGTCCTGAGGAACCAATCTCAGTGGAATGATCGTTGACAATCGAGCCTGCCCCAATCCTGGAGTTCATCTGCCCCGAGCTCTTAAAGGTAACCCTGGACATCGGATGGAAGGGTCCTGAGGAGACTCCCGTGAACACAAATCCAAGAATGAACATTGAGTATCCCAAGTATTCACCAGCCCTTGAAGTAATATCATCAGCCTCTTTCGCAACAACACTGGGAAATTGCCAACCAACCTGGGTAAATGACTGTACATCCGTATTACATTCTGGACAGTGTCTTTCCGACGGGTCCGGTGAACGGTACCTATTTGGCACAACTGGAGACTCCAAGGTGAGCTTGAATACATGATGGCACCCTGCGTCAAACTAAAAAAAGAATCTACTCGCCTGGGATGTATTGACAGTATATGACCTGGGAACTCGTATTGACTTGCCAACTCGGATGCCACGATCAGGCCTGAATGCAGCACGCGAGCAATGAGAATTAGGCCTAAGAATGAGGGGAACGAGGGATTGGGGCTTGGTCTCATCGAATTTGATGTCATGCGCCTGAGAGTTTCTCCGATGGCTGGAGTTGTGTCTCTTTCGCTATCCCAATATGGAGATGAGTGTAGCACAAGTGATGGATCGCGAGGGGGTGATGTGCATTGCCTTTGCTTATGATGGTCTCTGTGAGAGAAGAAAAAAACAAGGGAGTGCAAGGTTAATATGGGTTATGCCAGTTATGCAAGTAGCCATGCTGACATTATAAAGGCCCCCTAGGGTATACTATACAAACCCTCATAGAGCCCATACTCTCACCACTAACCACCAACCATCGCCACCAGCAGCCTTTTAATCCAAATAGAACCCCCAAATCCAAGATGGACAGCTTCGACCTCGCCAACGCACCCCCCGAAATCCGAGCATACACCATCCCAATCATCTGCCTGAACCTTTACACCAACAGCAGCTGGCTCTACGTCTACTTCGGCATGATCTACCGCTCCATAAAAGACAAGTCCTACGCCATGCCCCTCTACTCCCAATGTCTTAATATCGCCTGGGAATTAACCTACGGTCTTATATACACCGACGACTGGATGATCTTCACCACGTTCCTCGTCACCTTCCCCACGAACTGCCTCGTCATCTGGGCGGCCATCAACCACGGCGCAAGAGAGTGGGACCGCTCGCCCCTGGTACAGCGCTATCACCTCTGGTACTATGTGGTCGGGACGATGGTCTCTGTTGCGCTGCACATGTGCGTTGCGTCGGAGCTGGGAATCGAAAAGGCATTCTTTGTCGGTGCGATCGGGTGTCAAGCGGTGTTAAGTGTAGGGTATCTTGGTAATTTGATTCATAGGGGAAGTACGAGGGGGTTTTCGATGCATTTGTGGTGAGCTTATAACCTTTCCATCCTCAAAATCACCATCCTCCTCATTATGGTTTCCCTACACAATCAAGCCCAAGAGCAAGAACACACCATACTTGATAGCCCACTGAAATAATGGAACAGGTATTTTCGCTTCACAGGCTCCCTAACCCTCGTCCCCGAGTTCTACCTGCGGGTAAAATACTGGCCCGAGAGATTTGGCTTCCTAGGCCAACCCATCATGCTCTGGTGCTGTGCTGTCTTCCTAGGCTTTGACTTGGTCTACGGGATCTGTTTTTGGTATATTCGGCGACAGGAACGCGAGACGGGCATGCTGCTTGCTGATGGACGGAAGAGGAAGTGATTATCTCTAGATAAGTTAGGCTGAGAGATGCGTTGGTCGATTGGTTGGAAGGATTTGCCGGCTTGGGATGAAGATTACTGATTATTTAGACTATCTTATCTGGATCATGGGGTCGGCTTGGCCATGTGGTGATGTTAATCTATGGGAATTGATGGGTTGGTTAACTTGGTTTCGCCGATGTATGTGCGAGGTTGAGTCTAATGTGATCTTTGGGAGGAATGATCTCTTCTTCTCCTTCCTCTTCTTCTTCTTCTTCTTCTTCTTCTTCTTCTTCTCAAGACACGGAGTAGAATAGAAGAACATATTGAGTACTAATAATTCCAGCCTAGTGTTTCATCTTCACAGAAATATAGTAGATAGAATCACATACACTTCAGTAAGCCAACCCAGAAGATATACAAACAATAATCGATACATAAGAAATCCATCCAGTATATCGTTCTTCAAAAACAAACCATCTCCATAAAAATCAAATCAACAACTCCGATCGACAACACTCCCAAACCCAAAGCACCACGGAAAAAGCAAGCAGAGCAAATAAACCCATCCACGGATGCAACAAAAAGCTAAGGCGAAAATGTCCATGCCAAGAATAACCGGCCCCAGTTTTTAAACATCGGGTTGTAAGACATTTTCGCGGTTCAACCGTGGTTGAGATTGCAGTTCAGTGGTCTATGCTTCCAAAGGGTTTGTTGTCGATAGGATTTCAGAGTCAGGGGGGTTGAGTTTTTTTCTTTACTTCGCTAAGGATCGATTAGATTGGATGATAAGTGGAGTTTCCCAAGAATAGTGGTATGTACAATTGATCGGGTCTATCATTATACTAATCATATGTGTCTTATGATGTATATATGCGACGGTCTATTTTACGAGAAAGCTTTTGTCGACGAAAACAGAACGGTAGCATAGGATGGGTCTCCATTCTACACATACACGTAGCAGAAAGGACCAGCAGTGGTGCTCATGAGATCGCGCATCGCGATGGGGCCGCCATTGGCATGACCAATATCAATAACGGTGTCCAGGGTGGTGTTAGGCGAGGCAGGGTTGTTCATGAAGGTACCGGTACCAGAGATGGCGTTCTGGCGCTTCTGGAGGTCCAAGTTCTGCCAGATCCACCACACGCGGTCGATCATGCCGTGGTGATGCCAGAAGGCGACGTCTCCGGGGCTCACGTAGACGTCGCGGCCGGGGTCGCCGCCCATGGAGTAATGGCCGCCACCGTGAACGCCGATGGAGCCGCTACCGGGAACGCCCTGCATGGTCATCTGGAAGTCCCAGATGTCGTCGTTATCGAGGATGAGCTCGACGATCTTGGGGAAGGTGTTGTATCGCTGCAGGATCTCAGTGGTGAGGGAGCGCTTTAGGCAGCGAGGGTTGTAGGTGAGAGGGTTGGCTGCTGCGGTCATGTTTCCGCCGGGCAGGGACAGGGCGGCCGGGCCCAGGTTCAGCTTGTAGTCCTTGAAAGGACCGCTGGTGACGCAGCCGCCGCCGCTACCGGGGGGCAGATCGACGGCTGGGTAGTTGCCTAGGTACAGCTTGATATCCTCCTGGTTGGGGATATACTCGCCGTTGCCGGACATCGAGGTCTCGCTGCCATCGAAGACCTGGGACTTCTCCATGTTGGCGGCGTCGGCACCCCAGTTCCAGTAACTGGATTTGAGAAGAAGGGTTAGTTTTGTGCGTTGATACCTTAGAAAGAGTAGGTTTGGGCTTGACTTACGGATAATCACCAGTGTAGCTGCACTCATCACGTAGCGCCTGCTCAAACTCATAGATGAAGTAGCGATGCCAAGCCAAGAAGGTACCCTATGTCATGGTCAATCTCTATGTCATCTTATAGAAGACCGCTTCTTTGGTGACATACCGTGTAGTGAATGATCTGGGTCTGGTTGATGTGGGTGGCCACAAAGTCATCGTAACGAGTTCTGGCACCCGGGGCCAGGTGAGCTGGTGTGCGCGAAGGCAGCTTCTGAAGGCACAGGACGGAGTTGATGTAGTCCTTCTTCTGGGTCTTCGAGAAGGTCCTCCAGTCACGGCGGATGCGGAGATTCTGCAAGGTACAGCCCCCACGCTTGCTCTCAGAGCCGCCGGCGACGTTGTCAGTGGTGACGTTGTACGCAAAGTCGGCCAGCTGGTCGAGTTGGGACGAGGCGACCGCAGTTGAGCTGGACGCCGTGGTGGGCAGGGTAGCTGTAGCAGCCTGCTGAGAGGCGGCAGGGAAGGCCAAGGCCTGCGAAGCCAGCAAGCCCAGACTGAGAACCTGAAGAGCGACCATATTGAGACTCTTGAGGGTGAAGATGGGTTGAGAAAGAGGACTGCCAGAAACGGAACGGATTCGGGAAAGATAGTCAATATAAAGGTTTCGGTCACTGCCGAGTTGGGGGCGCTATCGACGATGCCGCGAGAGTTCTAGAGACGCACAGATGCACGAATTAACATGCAAAGTGTCGAAATTCCGGAGCTAAGCATGCATCCAGCTATCGTACCACTTCTTGATATTGATTTCGTTCACCCTGAGTGGTGGTTCAGCTCCGAAGAAGGCCCATTGCTGCAGCTAGCTTTCGGATGACCGGCAAAAAAAGGATAAAAGCCCTGATTTCCTGTCGGGGCGAAGCGACTGGTTCAGGAAAAGATTAGTCAGGACCATTAGCTGCTCTGCAGCCTGATGGGAAAAGGCATTGATAGTCCATGAAAGTTAAAATAATAAAACCATCGATGGCGATGCTGGCTGGACTTGGACTTGACTCCACTTCCGGCGAGTGGATCCATTCCAGAATACGACTGCAAGAGCAATCTCTATTCGCTGCAACGGTCAACGCAAGGGTGCATTGTACTAATTTAGAGAGGACGGCTAAGTGGAGCCCTGGGAAGACTCAGAAATATGGGTGAGAGTTGGACCTCGGCATTGAGAGTAGTACTCAGTATGTATGTCCTGATGGGGTTAGACGTCTTCTCTCTCTAACAATAGTCCTTTTTCTTAGCAGATGGATGTAGTCGCATGAGGCGCCGTATAGAGAGAGAGGGAGAAATGATCTTTATACCGTAATGCAATGCATTAATGCATATGGCAATTTGATGTACGTAAGTGAAAATATCCTCGGAGGGTCCAAGTTCAAAAACTTCGAAGGGACAATTAGGGTTCGGGACTCCGTGACCCGGTGGATCTTTCAAATCTCCCAAATCACCCGAATTCTCAAATAATCTTCCGTCTTTCAGAAATCACGGTTGAGTCTTGACCTAACCGCAGTTACCACGCCCCCATTTGTTGGGTCAACTTGTGATCCAAGTTTGCTGCTCCCCGCCGATCGTGCCCTGAAGATCGCTCAGCGAACAAAACATGATCGAATGCCTTCACGATTGGAAGGGATCAGCATAACCGTTATATCGATTGTGTTGCAACTGTTTCACTCAGTGCATGGATAGCATTGATTCTTCCCTACTTTTGGGCGGGGACTCGATTGCTTGGTCATGCAGTCCCCCAGTCAGAACTTTAATCAACTCGTGGAAGATGTCGGTAACTTGTACACTGGCCCTAACTGGAGTGCCGTCCACAAGTTAGGAGCCGAGATACGCTCCACTGCCGGAGATTACGGTAGTCTGCAATATGAGAGCAACTCCTAGAGAGACCAGACATCACCACTACGTATACGAGAATGCCCCCTCGTGGCGCTGGTCGACAGCGCTGAGGATTCAGGAATCCCAAATTCCCAATAGTCTGGGCTACCCACTTGGACTGTGGCCTGGCGTGCGGATGGCACCATCATTCGATGACCCACCCACCTGGCGGCCATTCCGGAATTGACCCATTTGCCCTAGTCCTTCCTTAGTATCACTAAGTACGAGTTTACTATAAACAGTGCCTATCTCATTGGTCAGGTTTCGACCAGAGTATATCGACTGTGCAGGGGCCTGAAACCGTGAATCAGTCGGGCCCTTCTCTCGACCCGATACAGCGATGCTAATACTCAAGACTTAGCCGAGATGACAAACGGAAAACCAGGAACGAAGACGGTTTGAGACAGATGAACCGGACTTGGCCAGGAATAGGCTGTTCCTGTTAGTTGGTAAACTAATGGTCAACCATGAACTGGGTGGACTCTAGACTTTGTCATGGAAGCTTCGGAGATACTCTCGAATCGAGCACAGGCCGAGCCACGTTTTTTGACTTCTCATTTTATCCATCGCTCAACTTTGAGTTTCCAATTCGACATGCAAACGTCTGTGAGTTTGTGCGACAGTCTCTGGCGATCTTCATCTTCGTGGAGACAAGTTTATGCTAAAAGCTCGATCGATGTCCGTCTTCGCCGACCTTGTGTCCAGTCTTCAGGACCGCTTTTTCGATGATCCCTCGGTGATAGGAGTGCCCGCGCGATACGCTGTTATGTCCGACAGCGCCCATCCTGGAGGCGCTGGCTTGCCGGATGAGAATCAAGGGCCTCGAATCCTTGCGGCCACGACAATCACGACTGTGTTCGCATTTCTCACGGTGCTGGCGCGAATGTACGTTCGATTGTTTATCATTCGAAATGTTGGCCTCGATGTAAGCGATCTCTCCAGCCCTAGGACTACTTTATTAAGCTGACCAGCATCTAGGACTATACCATGATATTAACCATGATGCTGGTAAGATGCAAGAGCACTTTCGTCGCATCATCAATTCTGACGTCTTCACTTTTAGTCTCTCGCTGGATGGGCTATTATAATACCTGAGGTTATCTATGGCGCAGGGCGACATACAGCATATGCCAAGGACACGGCCACCACGGCCATGCATTTGAACTTCGCCACGCAAGGGATCTACATGTGGGCGATCGGTCTCGTAAAGATCTCTATTGGGCTGTTCCTCTTGCGCTTTGCCCCGCGAAAGGGCTACAAGATCTTCATTTGGGTTGTAATTGGTAGGATAATGCTTCTTACTGGTCATGGGGTTATTCTAACCAGCATAAATGTTTGCAGTGCTCATGCTCCTCTATACAACAATTTGCTTCTTGGTACGTGCCTGGTGCCCTTGGTCGGGGTCGGATAGTGTAAATGTCTAACCCGCATACAGACCCTCGTTTTCCAATGTAAAGATATCCGGAGTATCTGGGACATGTCGGTGAAGTCGAGATGCTTTACCCCCACGCAATTGTTGGAGCTGAGCTATACCAATACTGGTACGAACGTGACCTGATTGGAATTTCATACTTGGTTCAATGTCACATTGCCTAACGATAACAGCGCTGAATATCTTGACGGATCTTATCTTCGCCATTCTCCCGGCCTTCATGTTAAGGTGTGTCATGATGGGTTTCAGTAACTAAATGCCAGACGCTAACTCTAGGGCCCATAACAGGCACCTTCAAGTGAATCGCCGGGTCAAAGCCTCGCTGGTCTGTATTCTGGGATTAGGAATCTTGTAAGTCTTTATCCCCTTTGGTCTCCAAATCGAACCAAATTAACATAGCCTCATCCAGTGCCTGTGCCGCCGCATTTGTCAAACTCTCAGTCCTGCCCAACTACGGCCGCACAGGGGATTTCCTCTGGGACTACTCTACACTTACAATCTGGGTCGTGTACGTAGAACCACCTACCCTGTACCATTCTTCGCGCAACTAACACATACGCCATTCAAGCGTGGAATCCAACATGGGTATAATCGCCGGCAGTCTCCCTACCCTAAAACCCCTCTTCAAGCAAGTCCTCGGCAGCTACGGCTCCCACTCAAAGACCCGCCCCTACAACACCTACGGCAGCAAACAATACCGCCTCCGCTCCCTCTCCCGCTCCCGCCAAGGCCAATCCCAAACCCTCCACAGCGCACCTCGAAGCCGCATCGAAGTCGAGGCAGATCAAAAGCTCCCACCGTCCCGACACTTTGCGACCACAACCACAGCCACAACCACCACCTACCCCGGAAACGACAGCAGCAACTCCAGCGAAGAGTATATCCTGTCACCCACAGGTCCGGAGGGTATCATGTGCACCACGGAGGTAATGGTATCGCATACCTCGGAGGCGCGAAATTCCGCACGCGGGAAGAAGTCGGCGCATTTTGGGCACGATGGTATGGTTTAGGGATTTAGGTTATTTGTCATCGGGGTTGGGGTTCCATCTGACGAAGTTCATGACTTGGGGTTAATTATATTATTCTATATTAGATTGGGGGCTTGGAGTCTTTTGGTTCGGTATTGGGGGCTATTTGTGTAGTCTTTTTTATATGAAGGATATTAGTAATGTAAGGACTAAATCTAAAAAGATGACTATTTGCATGCATTTACGGATTTAGCATCAATATAATAGGGATGAATATGGTGCAAATGACTGCACCAGGTTGAGAGACAGTATGGAATTCTTTTTTTTTTTTAAAAAAAAAATTACATTGGCAGTGAATCCTCTCCTTGGTTTGAAGTTTCCTACTACATTATGCCAAGCTGGTTTTAGGTAACATAACGTGGATCTACCCACTTAGTGAAGCATGCAAACATGCCATCAAGCAGATCCTAGGATAAACTTCGCCAAGAGGGAATCTGTAAGCTTAGCATGCTTATATAGATGTCTGGTGGACATACGTATGGAGATACCTCGAACTTACGCTGATGCACTCGAGATCGATCAAAGAGTTTATAGAACACTGAACTATAGTAGGCTGAGAATGAAATTAACGAGCAAGACTCGTAAGTTTGTTCTCGTATAGAGAGGCGAAAAAGGCGAAAAGGAGAAGGGAAAAAAAAAAGGAACAGTCCCTAAGGCTTCCCCATATTTCCCCACGCCTGCATTCGAGGATGGAATTGAATTATGGAGCCGTTCCACAAGATTGTTTACTACGAGTACATCGCTTTAAATACATTAACTTTGATGCTAACATCCTTCTGGATTTAGCACACTATAGGACTCTAAGGAAAAGTAGCTGGACTAACCCCTCCCAGTATTGACTGCTCAAAGAGACGTTAAGACCCCATGCAAGCACAGAATGGAAGATTCATATGCTTACATACATACTATAGCCAGACATCAGTGCTGCCGTGTGGGGGCATTCTCAATCGTGACTGCTTCAGCCTTTTCATGACCCGTGTTCGACTGCATCACCTGCAGTTGCTTCTCACCCGCCACAAGCTCTTCGCCGTGTGTGACGTGGTTGGCGCCACCGAAAAGAGCATCGATCTCTTCCAAAGGAACCTGTTTGGTCTCGGGGATAAAGAAGAACACAAACACCGACAAGAGGAAGTTAATACCGGCGAACATGTAAAAGGCGTAGAACCCGCAGTTGTTGAGGAAAGTTGGGAAGAACTGTTGGACGATGGCATTGGCTACGTTCTGTGTCTGTGATGCCATTCCGACTGCTTGTGCTCTGACATTCATCGAGAAAATCTCAGAAGTCCAAATCCACACGGTAGCTCCCCAAGAAGGTTTGTCTAAAACACTGTTAACGGTTGGGAGGGTCATCTGGGTTTCACGGGGACATACAAAAGAAGATGAATAGGAAGAGTAAGAATACGATTGATATGCCGACGGGCGTGCTCTTGACGTCTGAGCCGGGATCACCTATTGATGGCGTTTCGGTCTCGACCGCTGCAACGATGATCATGCAGATTCCCATACCGATGCCACCAACAATCAGAAGAAATTTGCGCCCAAATCTATCAATAATCCAAACAGCGTTGAGCGTGAAAATAATTCCGAAGGTCGCATTGAGAGCATTAATGAGAGCAATCTGACCAGCGTTGGGAAACACCTTCTGGTAGATCTTGGTAGAGTATGTGTTCAGCGTGCCTTGTCCAGTGATCTGCTGGCCGGCATTAATGACCAGAGCGAGAGCCATACGCTTGCGGAGAGACTTGTCTTTCCACAGCGCTGAGTAGCTTCCAGAGATGGCCTCTTTTTCGTACTCAATAGCTTCGCGGATTTTTAGGAGTTCTTCCTCAACCTCATGTGGTTCGCGAACTTTTTGGAGAGCCTTACGGGCTTTCTCAACGTCATTGCTCCGTTGGATGTACCTGATAAATGGTTAGTAGACAGACAATTCTATCGGCTTCGTGACACTTGCCATCGTGGAGAGCCTGGAATAGTTGGCATAAGTGCTAGAATTAAGCAAGGAACTAAGAGTTGGAAGATAACAACCATCTTCCAGTCCCATTCACCTAGGTTCTCCTTGTGTTCTGTGCACCCGTAGTTCACCCAGAAACATATAAAGGAACCAACCGAGTAGAACATTTGCCAGAAGGTCATGATTTTCCCACGAATTTCTGCAGGGGCGAGCTCGCCAATGTAGATTGGGCCCGCAGCTGTACGTTCGAGAAGTCAGTCTTCGAATTTAGTTAAGCCATAGGTAGAGCAAGGCGACTTACTCAGAGCAATGCCTTGACCGATACCAATTATGCATCGCCCGGCAAGGAAGCATGCAATGTTACCACGAGGGGCAAAAGTCTGCATGAACGTGGAAGCGATCACCATGACACAACCAATTGCCATTCCAAATTTACGGCCAAGAAAGTCTGCTGTAGGCCCTCCCAAGAAGAAACCACCAAAGATGGCACCCACAGTATAAGCCGTATTGATAGCTCCGATCATGTTGTCATCCGGGTCATTGAAATAGACGACCCAGTTTTTCGAGCCTTGTACGGAGTTGTATACCGATGCATCATATCCATAAAGAACCATGCATGCTGCTGCGACGCAGGAAATATACCTAAGGTCTCCCAAGTAAGTATCAAAATTGAAGATTGCGACTGATATGTACGAACCAGTTATAGGCTCTTGTAGAGCCCATGAATTTGAACGCCATGATTGCTGCGTTGCAGCTTCAGTTATAATATCAGACTATGACAGGCGCAAGAGTTACTTGTTCCCAGCAGCCAACTGATATCTATGGGGAGATAGTAGGGAACCTCCTATGAGAGAAAAGGGGTCAACTGGGAATTCGTCCACTGCCACACTCGCAGTTGATAGAAAGAACGACAAGGCAGAAAGAAACCACGAGAAGAACGATATTCGTATAAGAACCACGGGACACAACCGTGATAGCTGCAGCCCTCTAGCCACGTTAAGAGCCAAGCGAGCTCGACCAATCCTTCCCGGCGGCACTAGCATCCTGACCCAGTATTGATAAGGAACACCCAGACATCTAAGTGGTGGGGTATCCGGGGAAAAGTCGAATGAAGCGAGGTGTCGGGGCATCACTAGAATGAGACGGGGGAGTCTGGGGAAATCCGGGGTTGAGATTCGAGGAAATTCTCGGCCATCGAAAGACATCCGTCAAACCGATTCCACGAATCAGCGGCAACGAGGCCGGGCTAGGAGTGAGATTGAAGGAATCCACCAATTGAAGCTGGGGGTGGGGCCCATGATGATTAAATAAAACCGGGATACTAGTAAAAGGGAAAGGAATGAATGGTAAAGAGGAGACAGGGAAAAGTATGAAATGCTAGAAGGTGGATCTGGATTCACATGGCCGAAGAAGGGAAGCCACAAGGAGGTCACATGAATGAGACCACTATAATTTCTTCCATTCAGCCTAATATCCATGCCTGATGACAGACAATACTTAGTACTAATTTAATGCACTGATCCTACCGACTTTTTGATCTCGCCATCCACACTGCCTGACTAATTTAAGTAAGGTAAGTACATAAACTGAAAATACGCCTCCATGTGCCGTGAAGGTTTGGTGGCATTGTCCATACCCTATCCACTGTCAGTCTTATTATCTTCATCACTAGGTCCTCTGGGCGTTTGCTTCATATTCCTGGTCGCAAAATGTCTTCGAAGACTTGCATTTGAGGCCCGAGGTAATACAGGAACCATCTCCTTCAGTATCCCGCTCCCCTCATGGATGCACCCATGCGACTCCAGATCAAAAACATCCCGTACTCCCTTACGAGGCTCTCTATTAAAGAGACCAAGACGTCTGAGCCTCCTCTCTGTCATGGAGAGATTTGCTCCGGAGTTCTGTTTGTCACCCATAGCAAGGTTATGTTCTGTCCGCAGATCTATCCCATTATACGAGGATGTAGATACCGATGTCGTTCTCGCCATGTGCAACAGATCCGAAGACAAAAATGACTCAGCTGCTAAATTCCTAGATTTTCGTCTTCTGCGCGAGCGCCTGTAGGAACGCACCACGTACAGAAGAACAGCTACCATTGCAAAAAGTCCCAACAGGATGCAAGCCCGATAAAGGACTTGGTACGATCCAGCTCTGTGTACATTGCATCGATCTCTTATTAGCCTCAGGTTCTTTCGGGGGTAACACGCAGCGCAAGCATCCTTTTCTGCTGTAGACATGCTGCTTGAGGTACAAAGCTTCTCCAAGTCGTACCCTCGGCAAATTCTGTCCTGAGAGTTCAACCTCAAATTATGCAATCTTTGTCGAATGGACCTTTTCCAGACTTCCCTCTTTGTATAAGGATCGTCCAAGGTGGCGTTGACCGTAAATATCTGTATGATCCGGTCTCGAATGTATATTAAGCAACTTTCAAGACTTCCGACATATACTTGAGTGGTACTTTCTAGTCTAGCGGCCAGATATGGCTCACTAACCCGGGTCCGACTCGCATGTATCTGTTGCAAAGCACCTTGCATTGATAGAGATTTGTGGGTGTTATCATCCCGTACCAGCCCAGGTGATGAATGGTAACTTTGCTGTACGGGACTGTGATCTGGCTTGTCTGAGTCCATGGGAAAAATGGACTTTTCCAAGCTGTTAACACATCGTTGTGAGCTTGCTAATCTCACTTGAAGGACTGGCAGCACGAGTGTCACACTGAGAGGTGAGTTAACCTGAGGCTTTGGATAAGCTATGCCACTCAAGTTCACCAAAAGGACCGGTGCCGACTCCAACGCCAACGTACAACTGAGAGACATTGCACAACTCAACCCGTCCAGTTGGTATACGTCGATAGATGTGGCATTAGTCAACGTAGTGGGAATGCATTCGATACAGAATAGCATATTCTCTCGATTACCCATGTCCAAGTAAGGACCTGGGCTGGACCTAATGGTTGTCAGATCCAATAATGCATATAGAAATGCAAAGAAGCGTTGTTGGCAATACATGACAGCAGGATGCAGTTTTAATGAGTAACAGTACTACTAAAATAGAGCGAGTACTTCTATGAATCTTTGTTTGAAGCTTAATGACTGGGGTCATGATACGGAACAGAGGAAGCCGTAGTTTCAACTTTCGGTTCGCAACGAGGAATTAGGAAGCTACGCTTCAGAGTAGTTCCCATAATCTAGATGGAGAAAGTGCAGCCTGGCCTTCAGATATGATATCAGGTACTACCTTGTATTACGATGGTTTTGAAGCCACAAGCCTCAGTTTATATGTGTATTCTAGAAAGAACATTCATAGAGTATATTTGCTCCGTCACCCAAGATGTGGTGCAGAAAGTGACTATTAACTTAAGAGCTCTCCGTGAAGCTATGTACAGCCCCCAAAGGAAAACAAAAGGGTGGGATTGTGCCCAGTTGATAAATAGTAATACTGAGCACAGTGAGTGTCTACTCACTCATAAGTGAAGCGAATAAGTATGGATGGGTTAGGTTGTATCAAACGTCAACCGCCAACGTGATACAAGCAATTGAGATGCCCCTCATTAATCATCCCACATTCTCTCCAAAATTTCAGATTTCTCTACTAATTCTCTAAGAAATAAAAGCCTCAAGTGAGATGAATCTGAGTCTCTACCACAACTACCCAATTTGGGCAACATGAGATCACGTGCTCTCGTGACAAAGCGACGCGGTCTACCGCGCTTGAAAGATCACCAGACTGCTCGATCGAATGTCTTCATTCATTCGCCTCTAACTCCTCCTTTTCAAGATCCGCTCGACTACACCCTTATACTTATCCTGATACCTTGATTACATACAGACCCTAAACAGATCCGGTGTTATTCACCTGTTGCGTCATCACTGATGCCCCGCACTTATGGTAAAAGAGCAAAGCAGACGCGACTTTCTTTTGCTCCGATAGCCCTGTCGCAAGATTCTGCCGAGGATGCTGACGAGAAGAGTGACCGCAAAGCTACTTTGCGCTATGGGCATCCGTCAATGCCTACTATCCGTAGTACTCGGTCCCAACCAAGCGGGCCATCAAGGAAAAGCATGTCACCAGTTCCGTCCGTGAAGAAGTCCTTAGCGGACCAGCAAGGCTCCATATTGAAGGCAGAAACTTCTAAAAAGTCTACCCCTACGAAAAAGAAGAAGAAGAAGGATAGGCAGGAGCAAAAGAGGAAAAAGGACAAGAAAAAGGGCGAAGGTAAGTAACTTGAGTTTTAAATTGTGGTGGTATTTTACCCTGACTCCATGGAGAATCCACAGATGAACTACCACAGCCTTCTACTTCGGAGACCAAGATGCCTGTCCATCGAGAGAGTGAAAGCGATGGCGAAGAAGAAGCTCCTACCAGTGCTCGAAAAGTAAGGGAGGCACGAGTTCTGAAGCGGAAGAGACCCCAGACCCCGTCCGATACCGCACATTCCCCATCCCAAACTCCTTCGCCTTCTGCGAAATCCAACGATAGTGATGCCGACGATATAATCTCTCGTCCTCGACGGAAACTACGACGTGGCCCCGCACAGCAGCCTACGATTGTGCTGGATGGTGATGATTCTGATGAAGGGCCTATTTCAACCCCGGCAAGAAAACGAAGGAGTGCCATCGATGCTCAGCCACCGAAGACACCAGAACAAAGCTTGGATCAAGACGAGCTAGATCTAAGGGAGGACCTTCAAGATCTTCAAGACTCAGGTAGGTCTGCATATCTTGGACCCGGCATCTTGTTTCTTACTTATTGACACCCTCACTAGTGGTGAAGGAAACACGAACCAGAGGAAGACTAGCCAATTCTGCGCGAGCTCAAAGACAACAACACCTAGAAGCGTTACGTCGGCGGAGAGCTGGTGAGAAAGAAACCGATGACGAGAGATCAGGGTCTCCACAAAGCGCATCAGAGAGCGAGGGTGGAAGCGACGACGACGACGGAAATGAAAGTGAGGGCGAAAGCACTATCCCACCGCCTCGTTTTCGTCAACAAAAAGAGAATAGTGACGTTGAATCCTCTGTAGCAAGCGATGAAGATCTTGATCGTTATGAAGATGATTTCGTTCTAGAAGATGGGACCCTCGGTGCGCCGAGCAGTCTACCAGATATGCCATTCGAATTCTCCCGTCATGCATACAAGCAACTGAAAGATTACTTCCAAGACGCAGTGGAATGGATGGTATTCAATCAGCTTAATCCAGCCTTTGACCGCTCTAGCCCAGTCTACCAAGTCGCATTTTCAAAATTAGAAGATGAAGTAAAAGGCCGGACTGGATCGCAGTTAATTTCCTCCGTATGGAACGCCAGCTTCCGCAGCGCCCTCATGGCAAGGCCTCGCATGGAAGTTACCGGATATCCAACGCTAGAGAATCACCCTTGCGATGCCTGCAATCGATCCGGCCATCCGGCCTCCTCTGACATGAAGCTGCATGGAAAAGCATACTCATTGGAGACGTTTGAGCCGTTGTCAGACGAGTCAAGTGACGCCGAAGAAGATGGACAAGAACGGGATCGAGATGGACATGTTCTCCCCGATGAGAACACCCGATTTTTGCTAGGAAGGTACGTCTGATACTATTGACTCTCTAACATCCCCTCCAACAGAGCTGACACATAACCTCCTAGACATTGCAAAAACAGAGCTACCATGGCCCATACCCTCATCCACTGGCGCTTTCACCTTAATGAATGGGTAGTAGACCACCTTGAACGAATGGGCTACATGACCGACAAGGAAGTGTTGAGGCGGAGCCACTGGAGCCAGAAGAAAAAGGCTAAAAAGGCCGCTGAAGCCGTCGGCTTGATGGTTTACGAAGGCGAGATAAAGAAGCTCTGGCGAGATTTCCATATCAACCTCAGAACGGCTCGAGAATCCGTGGTATGTTCACTTTTTCAAAATCTTACCTTCACCCTCTCCATAGGACATATGCTGATATCTATACAGACGCTTGGATAGTGCCTCATCCAGATCTCTTTAATATTCTTCGAATATATCCTATCGATATCTTTGCTCGAGGTACTATCTACTATGGGCCTTTTTGAGCTCACTTTTGGTTGTTATTATCATTTTACCCCTCAAGATTACACTATGTACATACACCTGGATTCATGATTCACCCATGTCATCCTTTATCTTTCTCGTCTTGTTTACCTTGATGGAATTTCTTTGGTACGCTCGGTTGATACCCCAGGTCTGGCATGGCCTTTCGTACGAATTTCTTTCGAACGTCTTTCCCTTGATTCTGCTTTTTATTGTGCTTTTTAGCTATTTGCTCGCTTGGTGCAACCCTCAGCTTTCGCACTTCTTGGAGGTCAATTCAGTATTATTTACGACCATACCTCTAGAATCATTCACGTTCCATTATCTAGAAACATATGTCGACCAAAGTAAGTAACAAACGACATCAGCGAAAGGAAAAAGAAAAGGAATCAGTATGAGTTATACAAATACATGCATTGCCCGCTCCAGGACTTCCAGAAGCAGAGGCATTAGGAGAGAAGAAAAAAGGTACATAGAAAGATCAAAGACTCCGAAATGACAGATGATTGAAAGCCATTGCCATAACCATTTTAGTCCGTGCTTTTTTATTGCCGCGCCGGCCCAGAACCGTGAATTATATTTTTGGAGATCGCAGGCGATTATTGAATCAGATGCTTTGTATACCCGTTTCAAAACGCATGCAGATTGTGTTATCATGCATTGCCGTTTTTAATAATTTTACTGTATTTTGAAATCCATTCAACGCGTGGTTCGATTCGTGTATATCGGGAACACCAGACATAGTCATTGTTGACACACTGATCTGCCCCAGGCAGACCGATGGCGTACAATGCTGCAGGCTCTACAGCAACAGGCGATTCGAGCATAGACTATAGGTTAAGGCTGTTGATGGCTGATCATTGACACCTGTTGCGGTCTTCGCCTTCGCTAGCGCCGTCCATTTACAGGGTAGGTTGAGCCTGCCTCTGCTCCTCGGAAACCGCACCAGGGGTGAGCATCTGCAGAAAAGACTTGATCAGCATTCGTGCACGGTTTAACTTGTCAAAAACATAACGTCAAGGAAGAAGAACAATAACGATATTTCCGAAACTGGATGTGTCGCCTTGTTGGAGTGATCGTCAATGTGATCGTCAATGGGTAAAAGAGTTTTCACTGCATCTCGGCTTTCGGGCGCAACCGGAAGATAAGGTGAATAATAGCGGCGATGGCGATATCAGGCATTGGAAATGCATAGTAGCAAAAAATTGCAGATATATGACCTACCTCATTGGCACCCTTGATCATGCCCTGCTCACGCTCCATCTGCACGTACTGCTCCTCCTCTGCATAGGCGAGCGCGAATGGGATACCGACAAGGAAAGCACTGGTGCTGATAACCCAGAGTGCCCGACCGCTGAACATGAGACTAGACTTTGTGAATGAGGTGATGGAAGAAACTGTGCTGGTGACCTGGCGGCGGGCGGAGGGAGGGATGATATCTTTCAGAGCGGACAGACGCTCGTAGAAAGTCTCGCCATCGAGCTCGACATCGGAGTCCTCGGAGATCTCAGACTCTATATTCATTAAACATGTTAGAACATTGGTTAAACAATGTGGTCTTGAAGCCGGAATCAAGATGGCTACGCGGTGTGTTTGGGCCAGCAACATGGTCGGCACAGAAAGTGCCACCGGAAACACAGGCTGGGAGCAAGCATGATTCATCTCGCGCACACAGGAATATAGCATCTATAACGTTGAATTCAAGGGAATGCACTAGAGTACTAACCGGTATCAGTGTAGTCGTCATCCTCGTCATCCGAGGCAAGAAGGACGTTGTTCTTGGTGGCCTGGGGCTTCTCCTGGGCGTAGTGCTCGTCCTCGACTTCTTGGAGTTGGACCATTTTGACTAGGGTTTATCAATCGAGGGTGGATTTATGGAGAATAGGAATGGACGAGGTGAATTGACGGCGTTGCGGTGTTGGATGGAGTTGAAGTTGAGAGGTGACGGAGATTGATGGGTAAATGGAGAGGATTGCGGATTCGACGTCGTCCGTACCAACTTTTTTCCCGAGCCACAACGGAGCTAAAAGCGGCAATGAGTTTCGGCCCCAATAGAGTAGAAGAAGGATCTCTACCTTACCTATTCATACAATTGCCAGTAGATGAGAGATATACTAAAGCTCAATGCTCGAGAACACATGTTTTGATGTCATTCATTTTAATTACATAGAGGGAAGAAAAATGCCGGGCGTCACGCCCTTCTCTTAACTATACTATACAATAAACAGCAGCTTCTATCTATTCCGTAAATTATTTCTTCTCTGGATTTCACTCCATTCACCGTCTTCCCAGTTTCCATCTGGCGATCCTTTCTTGGATCTCCTCCCATGGGAAAGAGCGAAGTTTATATCCTTCCAGTTCGCCTTCCTGCAGAACCACAGTTGGCTTACCGGTGCCTTGTCCCTTGTTCTTGACGTTTCCGCCGAAAACCTGTCGGGCAACGCGGCGCAGGTCCTCCACGGTCAATGCATCGATGTGATCGCACATCTCTTTCACACCGACCTTCCGACCATGCACCTGAACCTGGCGTCCGAGGTCCTCCAATTCGACCATCCGTGACTCCAGGTTCATGAGAAGAGAGGAGCGGAGTTGATTCTTTGCACGGTTGACTTCCTGGGCTTGCAAGGCAGAGTAACCGTTGTCAAGAGTCAGTGCCTGTAGCTCGCGGCACATGACCTCAAGCATCTCGGGTGTCCGTGTCGGACTGCATGAGGCAGAGATTCCGAAGATTCCACTGTCGGTGTAACTATGGTTGAAAGCGATACAGCTCTCAACCCATCCATGCTGGTTCAGCACGTTGGTGTAAAGGCGTGAGTACATACCCTTGCCAGGACCGCCTGCGGAGAATGATCCGCCACCACCGAGCAGTGTCTGGAGGGTCGCGAGAGCATAGATGTCGGGGTTGGAGATGGGAAGAGCCTCAAATGCGAGATGGATATGGCTCAAGCGAGGAAGCATGGGGTTCGCCGGAGGGGGAATTGGAGGGAGAGAGAGGAAACCGCCAGTATAATGCGAAGGACTTGTCAAGTTGAATGTTGACGGTTCCACCAAGGAAGGATCCAATGGTGACACGGAGCCATTCTGCGATCCGGAAAGGTTTTTGAGGAATGGAAGTTTGGAAAGGAGACTGGACTCGGACTTTGGGGACGCAGGAGTGGTCGATGTGGTGGACGACGGCGTGAATTGGGGAATTGTAGGCACTTGCCCTTCTTCGACGGCCGACTTGGAGTTCGACAAAGTAGTTTCGATGCCGGTTCCCGATAGAACAGGACCTTTGTTCGACTTTTGCCCCTGCATGTCACCGAAGTACTGCTCCGTGAGCTTGACAGCTACATCGTGCGGCACACCGGCGAAGGCAACGACCATCCTGTCAGGTTTGAAGAATACTTCGCGATATTTATCCACAACCGCCTTGTTAATCTCTCCTAGTCGTTCCTCCGGGCATAACAGAGGGTTCCCCAACGTGTTGTCCTTGTAGGCAGCCATGTGTACTAACTCTGGCAGAATAAGCTCCGGCTTGGCCCAGATCTCGCCAATCTCATACTCAGCCGTACCCAGCTGCTGAAGAACCTCCTCTTCTGTGATGAGTGGATCACGAATTGTCTCAGCCAAAAGCCCCAGAGTTGTTGGGACAGCCGAGTTGAAACTGGCGGACTGGTACATCAGCGACTCTCGCGAGGAGGCGCACTGGATGTTTCCTCCAAGGCCCTCAAGAACTTCCAGCATCTCGTCGCTAGACCGTTTCTTAGTCGACTTGAATGCTAGTCGATCCATTATGTGGCTAACTCCTCGTAGGCTCTCATCCTCGTATCGGGACCCGGCATCGACGTAAACTCCAACACCAGAGAAGGGCCCCGGCAAAGATTCAGTAGCGACACGAATTCCATTCGGCAAGGTGGTGATCTGGTCGAGCTCAACAGGATCCTATAGCATTGCGTAAAGACATGAGTTAGTCGAGAAGATCAGACCAAACGAACGCCCAACATTTCAGCATTACCTTAGAACTGGACTCGTTGACAGTAGCGAAGCTCCTTGAAACGGAACGAGGCGCGCGGCCGAGTGGCTTCGCGGACTCAACTGCCCGCAATACTGAGCGACGCATCTTGTCAATCTTGAATTCAATAAATTCGGAGGATACTGAATTCAGGTGCTCCTTGTGTTGTCGGAGAGAGCTGTTTTCCGGAGAGCACCGCAAGGATTTGGATGAAAGCCGAGATCCCATGGCTTATCTAATCCGGTCTGTTTTCATCCTTCCAAACCAACCAAAATGACGTCGACTGGAAATAATTCCCTCCCCTTTCATTTCAAATACTGTTCTATTCGGCTTGGTCTAGAATCTCAAACTAGGTGGGGGCCTTTGATTTCCGTCTCTGCTTGCTCGACTACTTCTTCGATGGAATCGTCGTTTATGCTGTACGACGGAGTTTGAAACAATGAATTGCGTTTTAGGCCACGCCCACGACTATCACGTAACCATTAGTTCTACCAAATAAGCTATTTTATGGCCGTGCAACTAGTTGTACATATATTTCAGTTGAGCCTGTTACGAATTCGCCGTAGCCCATGCTTTATACCAGTCAAGGCAAGAGGCATTTGCGACACTGGCGCCGATCTTGATATTCAGGCCGCACAAAATTTGTTTCACGGCATTCTCGACTTTCTTTCCATTGGACGTGACCGGAATCTCTGGACAAGTGTCCACTATACCCGGGACATGACGAGGGCTGAGCTCCTTGCGGATAGTAGCTTGAATACGTGCCGCGAGCTCTTGAGGCATGGTCTTTTCCTGCGAGGCCAGTTTCACGAAAAGGACGACAGTCTCATCTGCATCAATTCCGTCTCGCCTTCGTCCGATGCACAAGGAATCCTCCACTTCCTCTGCAAAGTGTTTAAGTAAGATATTATAGATTTCTGCGCTGCCGAACCTCACTCCGGCCGGCTTCAGGACGCCATCACTCCGACCTAGCATGACCACCCCTCCAGTCTGAGGATCCAAGCGCACAAAGTCTCCATGATGCCAGACTGATGGCCCAAAAACATCAAAATAACTCTTGCGATATTTCTCTGCACCAACAGCCCCAGGTGGCCAGAACATGACCGGTTGTGCAGGGAACGGCTTTGTACAGACGAGATCGCCAGGTTCGCCAGAGGCGCTAATATCATTACCTGCGTAGTCGTATACAGAAACGGCCATGGCTAGGCAGCGACATTGAATCTCACCCTTGTAAACTGGCAAGATAGGGCAGCAGGAACAAAACAAGGACAGAATATCGGTTCCGCCAGTGATTGAGCCCAGCATAATGTCAGGGTGAATGTATGAGTAGACGTATTCGAATGTGGAGGGCGCCAGCGGAGAGCCTGTGCTAAATATCGCTCTCAGGGTTTGCAGCGTTACCGGCCGGTGGGGGTGCTTTCGCGGATTCAGGAAAGCCTGCTCCAAGATAGACAGGTACTTGGCTGAAGTCCCAAAGTGGGTTATCCTCAATTCATCAATTAGACGTGGCATGGCCATCTCTCCGTTTCCGTCTTCAGAGTCAAATGGTCGAAAGGGGGAACCATCGTACAAAACAATGGTGGCACCACTAGCAAGCCCGGAGACCAGCCAATGCCACATCATCCAGGTGACAGTTGTAAAGTAGAACAAGCGGTCTCCGGGGCGAATATCGCAATGAAGCATGTGTTCCTTCTTATGCTGCAGCAAGGTTCCAAGCGATCCATGAACAATAGGCTTAGGTGCCCCTGTCGTACCGGAAGAGTATAATATATAGACAGGGTGATCAGGCTCTAGGCTTGCAAATTCGAGAGCAGCCGAAGGGTTGCTGGTGGCAGAGAGGAAAGACTCATACGTAGATACCTTTCCCTGAACTGGTGAAAGTTCCTCCAGATTGATCTGATGTGACTTGATTGTCTCGAATACAACAAGGAGCTCCAGATTTGGCAGTCCTGGAACAATTTGACGGATCTTGGCCTCTGCCCCATGCACTTTACCATTATATAATGAGGCATTGTCAGCGAATAGAATCTTCGGTTCTATCTGTTTCAGACGCTCTAACACTGCGTGCACACCTGTGTCCGGAGAGACGCCGGTCCAGAATGCTCCTATGGAAGTTGTCGCCAGCATAGCGACAATGGTATTGGCATGGTTGCCTAAAAACCCTGCCACACGATCCCCAGACCGTAAACCTGCTTCCTTCAGTGAGTTGGCGCATTGCCGGACGCGTTCACGCAGTTCTTTCCACGAGACATACTCTCGTTCCGACTCTGTAGCAGCGATTATCGCCACCTCGTTTTCGCCGAGCGCGCTAGCTGGGTAGAGAAGGTTCTCGGCGAAATTTAGTCTACTTCCCTCGAAGAATTTGGGTCTGGGGAAGAGGTCCTGATCAGCATCTAGGGCCTATCCTACTTGTTAGCAGAAGAAACTTTGCTGCCAGGTAGCCATGGCTAGAGAGATGTCAAGGGGCTATGACAAGAGGACTGTAAGTACTCACACAGCTATATGGTTCATGAGACTTTATCGCCGTATAGTGCCATATCCGCTCCCAGAACAGTGCAGGCTCCGAGACACTCCAACGCCAAAGGTCATCGTAGCTCTTCAGAGCGAGACCGTGCTCTGCGTTTAGCTTCATCATGAAGTCATATATTTGCGTGTCCTGCGGAGAGCTATGCCGCCATAGTTCTTTTGAACCAGAAGAAACCCCATTGGAGGACATAATGAACGAGGTTGTGAATGGTATATTCCTAGTGAATTGTATCCCCTTGGATCAATTTTGTCTAGTTGTGGGGGAAAAATCAATCACTGTTTGCCGGGTGAAAGGCACTATTGGTCTCGTACCTCGGGGTTGAGAAATGGTTCGATTTGGAATCTGGACCTGATCATTAACTTCGGGACCTAGTTTGCTCAATAGTAATGACTGGTACAAAGTAAAGCAAATCTATATGGTTGAGTCTAGGCAGGCCAAGGGTCTAATTGGGGATCGTGGGGGCGGGAGATTCCGGAGAAGAGACGGACAAGAACTCCCCGCCTTACGGCCCTTACCCTACCCCTAGATAGATTCGATGGAAGGCGACCGACTCCGATTCAAAATGCTTAAGTAGTATTATTACCAGATCAAAATAGATCTCTAGTTTGGTATTTCCTCGTCACAATTGTCTTCAGTACACCAGAAACTCAGACCTTGTACGTTGTGGCAAATATCACAGCATTCTATTAGTCAATTCTATCTGAAGTACCTGTGCGCAGCAAGATATGACATATGGCATACGGTTGCTGGCAGTGTTGTATATGTACTGGATGTATGGATGCTTATAGTCGAAGTAATAAGATAACCACTACCTCAAGAAACGGAGTATGAGATCAAGACTGCATTTGTATGTCATTTAATGTGAGGAACTTGCCTCGGTCGTAATCGCCTTGCGTTGCCCCTTTCTGGGGGGGTTCTGATTACACCCTACGTAGTAGTACTACGTAGTTTAGAAGAGAATTGAGGGAGAAAAAAAAAAGAAAAGAAAAGAAAAGGACGCTGTGCTTCAGGGGCTGGTATCTTACCGTATCATAACTTCATTTTCTCAGGTAAACCACCTTGCAAAACGATGCAAAGGCGACAGGGGTAATGGGACCATACCGTACGATACTATGGGTCCCCGTTGGATACCACTTGGTCTGGAAGATCCACTCTTGAAAAAGTCCTGTTATTTTTCGTCCCAACACTGGGATCCATCGGGGGAAAATTAATTATGGTTGATGGTCTTTTCAGCTGCTTACTGACTCTCTCTCTCTCTCTCTCTCTCTCTCTCTCTCTTCCTCTTCTCTTTACTGTTTCATCGCAATAAGCGTCAACTAATCTAGACCAGGACAAGAGGTTGAATTTGCGATTGGGCTCCGTGCCCTTCCAGTTCCCACGTGCAAAAGGTCTGTGCCTTACGTTACCACCTGAAATTACAGGACCATCAAGCAGTCCGGCTTGTTCGGAGTTGCATCTGCATCTTACCCTCATTTTCTCTCCTGTCTTTGTATACCGCCCTCGAGCCTTCGTCTTCTTTTCGTCTCCCTCGCATCTGTTGACTGCTTACACGAGTGTTCGCATATTGGTCTGGATAGTGGCTGATTACTTTCCTGTGGATAGTTCAGATCGTTGTCGCTGTCCTGGTACTTTCTGAGACATTGGAAAGTGAAGGAGGACTGGTCAACTAGCACAATACTCGCGTCAGAAGTCTTATTGCCTCTTCAGGTAGCTTCTATTTACACTCTTCATTCCGGGACCGCGGTAGAAGTTTCTCTTCGCGCCATATTGGTGTTCCTGCGAAATTGATTGTTTCCGACTGGCGGCTTCCTTGCAATGCCTCGTCGATCCGTCAACTCTTCCGCCAACGACCCCTCCAACGCGCAGTCCACCTCACCCACCTCTGGAAAGGGCGGTATCGCCTTCAAGGCGCCTACAACCAAACCTAGTCTTTTGAGCCAATTATTTTCAAGCTCCCCTAAGTCTAAATCCGACTCTCAATCTGCGAACGCGGCTGTCAGAGGAGCTAGTGTTAACGCTCATCCTACTTCGATCAGCTCGGCTTCACTGTCCTTACCGACCATTTCTCTCTCTACTGCCACCGCGGGCAACCCAAATATGGATGAACCGCCGACCACGCTCTTTCAGCCTCCCTCGCCGGAGGAGGCTCGTCGCCAGGCCAAGGCAAACGCGCAATTTGGCACAATCGGCCATCCCAGCCACCGGTATTCCAGTCAACATCCCGGCGGTGTCTTTCCTGAGCCGATAATGGATGAGCCTCCTTATTATTACCTTCTTACCACCTACATTAGTTACCTAATCCTAATCGCATTTGGACATGTCCGTGACTTCTTTGGAAAACGCTTCCGGGAAGAGAATTACAGACACTTAAAACCCCGGAATGGATACGGTGCCCTCAACAGCGACTTTGACAATTTCTACGTCCGTCGTCTCAAGTTGCGCATCAATGATTGTTTTGAGCGCCCGGTGACGGGTGTCCCCGGAAGATACATCACACTGATCGACCGTGCAACTGATGATCACAACAAGCACTTTTACTTCACCGGAACCACCACCGATACCCTGAACCTGAGCTCGTACAACTACCTTGGTTTTGCGCAGTCCGAAGGCCCATGTGCAGACCTCGCCGAGGAATCAATTAGGAAATATGGCATCACTTCTCCTAGTACCCGTGCAGAGGTTGGCACACAAGATCTTCACATAGAAGTTGAGGATCTTGTCGCCAAGTTCGTGGGCAAGGAAGCGTCAATGGTCTTCTCTATGGGATTCGGCACTAATGCAAATATCTTTCCCGCTCTGGTCAGCAAAGGCGATCTTATCATTTCCGATGAGCTGAACCACGCGTCAATCCGCTTCGGTGCACGTCTTTCCGGGGCATCTATTGGTATGTTTAAGCACAACGATATGAAGGACCTGGAGAATAAGCTCCGGGAGGCTATTAGTCAGGGTCAGCCCCGTACTCATCGCCCCTGGAAGAAGATCTTGGTCGTCGTGGAAGGTCTTTATTCTATGGAAGGGTCGATGTGCAACCTCCCAGGCCTGATTTCCTTGAAGCGGCGTTACAAGTTCCATCTTTTTGTTGATGAAGCTCACTCAATTGGTGCCATTGGACCGAGAGGCCGAGGTGTTTGTGACTATTTCGGCATTGATACAAACGAAGTGGATATTCTCATGGGAACCCTCACAAAGTCTTTTGGTGCTAATGGAGGGTATATCGCTGCCGACAAGAATATGATCGATCAGCTTCGTGCAGCGAACTCTGGAGTTGTCTATGGAGAATCGCCAGCCCCGGCAATCTTGTCACAAATCTCGTCTGCTCTTCGTATCATCAACGGCGAAATCATTCCGGGTCAAGGTGAAGAGCGACTGCAGCGTTTGGCCTTCAACTCCCGATACCTTCGTCTGGGCCTGAAACGTCTTGGTTTTATAGTGTACGGCCACGATGATTCACCAATTATCCCAGTGTTGCTGTTCAACCCTGCTAAGATGCCGGCCTTCTCCCATGAAATGCTGAAGCGAAAGATTTCTGTTGTCGTTGTCGGTTATCCTGCTACACCCTTGGTCTCTTCCCGTGCTCGTTTCTGCGTTTCTGCCGCACATACTAAGGAAGACCTTGATCGGGTATTGACCGCTTGTGACGAGATTGGCAATGTCCTGCAACTGAAATTCTCGACTGGTGTTGCCGGCGGAGCCCTCCCATCGAATGATGATGTGACCCCTCCCCCAGAGATGGAGAAGGAATGGCACCGGAAGCGAGACCCCGTTGCTCCTCCGCGCTGGCGTATCGAGGACGTTATCAGGCGAGGTGTCCAGGACGTCAAAGGTCCGTTGTATTAGTTCGTCATGACTGCGTTCAGTATCGTTACATGCACGTTTTGAGGGGTTGGCCTACAGACTCGGTTGATGCTGGTCATGCCGCGTCGGAGGCTGATCGAACCCATTACTACTTCATGCTTGCTGTGTATCATTAGGCACTCGCTCTTGGGTTGCCTCTGCATTCTTATCACGTTTCCCCCTCCACATACATGACGTGGAATGGCCCACAAGCCTCAGAAAGAAAGTCACGAATTCCTTACCAAGTCATGGATACGCTATTTGAAACATTGACTACCGGCCAGCGAAACTTTCACGAGCACACCGGTTCGCTACTCCGTGCCTGTGTGACGGAGGGGTTGACTAGACCTTGTACCCCTTCTGGCTTTTTTTTGCCACTTTTTCTTTTCTTCCGGCCCCTTCCTTTCACTGTCTCCCGATAGACATCCGCTGGTTCACTCCCCCCACCAAGTGCTGGAGGACGGGACAAGACCAAGCTTGTTATTGTTGAAAAGCATGGGGCCGCACACTTGTATCCTAATGAGTTTGATGAGCGGTGGGGGCGCAACGGATCGCTTCGTTGGCATATATGGACGTTTATATTTAGATGATTGTTAATACATTTTTATTGGATTCATTTGTACCTTCATATATATAGCTAGGGATTTAATGTGATGAGATCATGTATGTTGCTATCCAAATCAATAACTCAAATAGTATCCGAGTGCCCTAGTATGTATATGCTATATATGCACCCCGTATGCAGACATCTATCCGTAACCAAACACCTCACAGTGTACCCTGGAGGCTAGAAAATATAATGAATCCGGTACGCCGACTGAATGATAGTTTGTGATCTCATGCCATCTTCTGTTGCTATAATAACCACCTTGAGGTATCTCCAACCTCAGCCTTAAGCCTAGCCCAGCCTTGAATCCCATAACGTCCAGTGATATATAAAAAAAAAAACAAAGATAAAGCGACGGCGCCAAACGATAGAGAATAAGCCTGTGAAAACCCGAGAAGATTGAAAGACAGCAAGCTGTAAAAAAAAACCCTCAGGCCAAAGGATCGTCATGAAGTCATAAAGCAATTCGTATCTGCTTAATGCAGTATCGAGAAAAGTGAGTATGTGTAAGAAAGAAAACAGGAAGTTCTAGACGATTATACGACACGAAGTCTTGCTGATCATCTAAACTGTACCGTATCTATCGCGGTCTTCTTCTAAAAGCGCCTGGTTTTCTGTGGGAGTACGGTGGTGGTGGGAATCGCGGGTAGGGGATACGGAGGGGATCCAGCCTCTCATCCAGCCGCGGACTCGCATCCAGCGACTACGTCCGCACTTCGGATCTTCGATCTCAACGATGGACTCGTCGTCTCGCGTGCCGTACATTAGGAATTGCACGCCCATGAAGCCGTCGAAGAAAAGGACGCCGAATGCCCCTAGGAAGAATGGGATAGCTCGGCCTAACCATTCGGCGCGGTTATTGCCGTTGGAGTCGGCCCATCCGCCGCCACCGTAAGGGGCGTAGTCGAACCAGGCGTTCGGGTTTGTGAGGAGAGACGTGGAGTAGAAGAAGTTTCCGCTAAATGCGGCCATGAAGAGCAGCGGAGATAGACCGGAGGTGCTCTTGCGCTTGTAATTCTTGTATAGTTGGGGTGGGCGCGAGAAAAGGTATAGGAATGTTGACATCCACGAGAAAAAGGTGCCGAGGAACCCCAGGCTGAGGAAATCGGAGTGTGGTTCTGTAGCTGGCTCTGTTGGTGCTGCGTTGGCCACAACGGCGCAAAGCATCGATGCTAGTAGAACTGTGCGCGTAGAGGCTATAGGCAAGCTGGGTCCACTGCTTTTTCTGACCATTGAACGACGGGATGAGCTCAGCTTCTCGTTAGAGTACGATGGAGACTGGCCGTTAGAAGAACCGAAGATAGGCTCTTTGTGACCTTTCATGTCTTTCGCGTCTGAATTGGCTGTTGTTTCTGAAGGTGTATGGTTGACTGAGTTGTTCTCGGAAAAAGATACCCCTTCTAACACACCCCCGGCTCCGCCCTCATGATGTGAGTGAGTGAGGCTACGGTAGCCACCCTGACGTCCTTTGATATGTGTGTACCAGAAAAACTGGAAGACGAGTGTAACATCGACTAGGACATAGTAGCCTGCAATGATAACTTGCCAAGTAGCTTGCCGAGTGAGTAGAGCACCGATCAGGTTGCTAGTGTCTCCCAAGCACCACTCCACAAGAAAGAATATGGACAAGCCCGACGTAGACTGCAACTGTACATTCTTGTATATCTGTGGAAGCTGTGCAAACAGCCATGACACAATGCTGAGGGTACCCAGCACTGATGATATGAGAGCGAGCGGCGTAGGTATGCACGTGTGCAGATATGCTGAAATGGCAGCGAAAAAGGGCGAAGACGGCTCACAATGTTGCGGCAGCGTTTGAGTCAGGTGGTGTATTAAAGGAGGAGGCATACTCGGTTCGTTGAGTCCCACCGACAACTTGGAAGACTCGTCTATATTGCTTGAAACGGAGTACTCGGTATGGACGTGTGCAGGAAAAGAGGCACGACACGGCGAGACGTTCGGATGAATGGGCGGGGATCTCACGGGGTAGGAAATACCAGTCTATGCGGTGTGAGACTCGTTCCGCAAGGACAAAGGGGGATAAAAAAAGGAGAGTATGGGAGAAGGAAACAAGAAGAGGAAAGAAGATAGGAGTATGAGTAGGAGTAGGAGTAGGGGGTTCAGCCTGATTCAGATATGGCATGCAGAACGAGTCACACTCCGTCCCCGATTAGGTCACGAGTCAAGGGCTGAGCTGAAGATCGGCGACGATGACTGACTCTGATAAGACTTCCATATCTCCCATCCCTGATTGGCTCCTACTGGATCGGGAAACCCTGCTCCGCTCCGGTTTCCGGCGGCGGATGATCTTCCGTACTGATCACGGGATCCCCGATGGCGGGGAGCCGTGACCGTGGGATTGCCCTGCGTGACGTGGTTTCAATGTCAAGAAGAAGTCTTGAACATTACATACATCTATTTGTTCTCTTCTCAAATTTAGAGTTACTTCGACCAAACTTGTGCGGGTGATATATATGCGCCAGAATAATGTATGGAGTATTACGCCCGTAGAATGATTTACTTTGTGGGGAAACGTAAAACATTTCGACGATAAGATATGATGTCGTTTGCATAGGCAGGTTTTATACTCCTCATTTACAGGCCCGTTATCTATTCTACTTCCATGTAAACAATATAACCTATGGTTGTGGCTTTCCTGCTCGAAATCTTACGGTCTGATTCAAATTTACCTACCCATCTCCGCTAGAATTTCCTTCTCCATCTTCTTTCATCCGACACAGTCAGAATAGCCTAGACTTCTTGTTTAAACTAGCCCCCAAAAAAAAAAAAAAAAACACCACCATCCGATTGATTTTTCATTTCCCTCGCCAAGTTTGACCGTTACATAAACTGACAAATTGAGAAAGGCCGCAATAAATCTGTCGATTCCTGAAACCCACAATGACATAAGGAGAAAAGTAACTAGCAGTTTACCACGCGTGATTTCAGAGGAATGCCAGAGGGAATTATTGGACAATAATCCAAGTTACTAGCATATAGATGGAGGTACCATACTCAGCATTGTTATCATCAAGTCGTTAAGCATTACAAAACATTCCAAGTCCTAATCTTTATCCTTTCTAACAATTTCCCTATAATAGTGTACGCGCCCAAATGAAAGAGCAGCAAAACATCACTAAAGCGATCTATAAAATAACCTAAGAGAGTTTCCTATCAGTAGCTGCCGCTATGGCTACTGTGCCGAGAATGACTGCGATGATGACGATGATGGCGATGGCCGTGACGATGCTTGTGACGGTGATGATGATGATGGCCATGATGACTATGGTGGTGGTGGCTATGATGCCGATGTTCATCCTCTTCTGGTTTACCCTCCATCTTGTCTCCAACGAAGTTGCCTAATATCGCACCCCCCACTGCCCCTAGAAGGCCATGGTTACTTTGGTGTCCCAGATAATAGCCTCCAGCGCCACCGGCAAGCGCCCCTGCAAGATTGCGCTCGGTTCCCTCATTGTCGGAAGTATTGTCGGCCCCGTGGGGATGAGAGCTTTGAGAATAGTGCTGATCTTGTTCGTTGGTGGACGCGTTGCTGGAATACTTTAGTGTGTATTCATCGGAATGCTATGGGATGATAGCGTACTAATAATCAGCGTTACTTCCTCGACGATCTCTATCTTGCTCAAAGCCTCCCGCAGAAGCTGGATTGAGGTAGTCCTGTTGCGGGCCCGACATTTGGGCGGGATAGGACCTCGGTGTTTGCGCTAAGTCATACTGCGAGCCGTACTGGGCGCTTTGATTCGGAGGAAATTGCTGCGAATAAGGATGCTGGGACTCGTAATCGTACGGTGGGTTTTGGTATAGGCTATCTGCGGGCGCATAAAAGTTCGCCTCGGGTCCAGGACCAGGAGGAGTGTAGTGTGGGTGTTGGGCATAAGGGTCAGACATCCTGGGGGGGTGGGGTGGGAAGGAAAGTAGATGCAGGTAGCACTTTGTACACAGGGCTTCGAGGGGGAGGTGTCGGTCAATAAATATTGGCTACTATTTATTTTGAGGAGTCATGAAGTATGGATCAACTGCCTAATGACCATAATGTGCAGCACTTCATTCAGCGCAGCTGACCTTCTCGCACGACATTCCGCCAAGACGAGACGAAGTGGCAGCTTACAGCATTGCATACCATACCCCATTCTGCCAGGCTTCGTAGGGCTCTTTTTCAGACCTTCTTGATAATCAAATAAAGAAACTGTGCATGAAGAAAAGGAAAAGGAAAATGAAGAAGGAAAGGAACGGATGTACAGGTCCATGCCTCAGCGTGACCCAACTACGTGTTCTAATCGCTCATTACTAGCAGGTAGTCCAACGGCTTACTACAGCAGCTTGGAAAGTGATGGACCTTTTGCCAAGTGAGATGTACCATAGATAAATTCACTGCACAACGCCAGGCCCAGAGGCTAGTAGTTTCCCAAACGGCATGGAGTAGCATATCTTCTATATCTACTCTTCATCACAATGTCAGTAGCAGGCAGGCACCATAGTTAATTCCTCAAATCTTTTGAGGAATTAAGTGTATTCTATTTCTCTTCTTATACGAAGAAATTAGTCCGAAGATAAGCAGGTCCAATATATATCAGCACTTGTTGTTACATGCAAAGGCGGCGGATTCTCAGGCGAGTTTACAAACACAGTTTTCTATGGCACAGAAGAAACCCTTCTATAATTAGTAACAGGTCTGTCAGTGACTCAGAATTTCAAGCATATAGCAGTAGCTAGTAGTGCTTATAAAATAGAGCTTTCATGTTTACCTAGACCACATTGATACACACATACACGACCTGCCATTCCAGATAAATGCCTCTCGCGCTGCTGATCAGGTGGCTACGAATAAGGAGTGAGGAGTGAGGACGCTCTTTTTGTGATCACTGAGAAATACTGTGGACGAGTGAGGCTGGTTGTATTAGGCACATAGTAGATCATGGAGCTGCTAGACTGCATGGACTGTGACTACGACTGCATGAGGCTAATCACGCTTAAATATAGAGAAGAATGCTAAGGGTCAAGAATGGAAGTCTACCAGAGGTCACTGGGGAATGAGAAACCATTAAGACCTAAGTTGAAAGGCGAGGGGTATATTTACTCCAAATACATGAAGCTACCATTGACGATCTCTATGATGATCATTGTATATGCCTGCCTTCTGCCATACTGATAGATCGACACAACGCAAGTGCATCTAGACTTAATACTTATTGACACAGATGGCAAATTTCAAATTGATGGATATGAGTAGGATCAAAGTAGTGAATGAGTAACTCGCTGTGCTTGTATGTTGGTATAAGTTATATTGACTGACATTCAGCGCGAGGGATCTGCATGATAGACGATCTCATGCCTAGTGAACCATTCACGTGAGGATCTACAACGGGAATTCGTGCCATGCCATGTCTACGGGGGATCCTGATAGTTGTGGAGAGTCAGTATCCAGAACTCCAAATGCCTTGTCAAGTCGGTGCCTTGGTCTTCAATCATGTACTCCGTAGACCATCACACGTCTGCCACATAATGGAGAACATATGATGGTTTCCAGAGGCGATGATTTATACATCTCAAATAGTACAAACCTCCTTCGTTTTAGGTTTCTCATAGGTTATCTTGAGGACATCTCTGGATAATCACACGTGACGGGCGAAGGAATGAAGGGTAGATTATGAAATTCAAAGCCCATCATTCATCTCAGATAATTTGAATAAATACTATAGTAGGTTGTTTGTTGTAATGACCAAGAATTGCTGTGTTGGCACCAAAGGAAGCGACTAGCCTAGTTTGGCTTCGGAGATAAATCACGTTACAACCAGATACGCATCAGACTGAATGTCTATCAGATTCATCAGATTTAATTTGCCTTATCTCCCTTCTACCTGTCCACTCGTTCATAGAGTATTGTTCTAGGCAGATACGGCCGGTAGCGTGGAACGTATTATCATTGATTACCACCGCTGCAAGCTTGAACATCTGACGGTGAGCGTTATTTAAAAGCAGTCTGCTCAACACCAGCGCCGCTACTTCGCCGGAAGTGACCAAGCAGCAATACATTTCAAAGACACTGTCAATATGGAAACCCAGATTAGTATGAATACGTTTCGATTGCCATCTTTCTTTGTTGTAGTTTCCGACAGCATAAAGAGTTCCCCAACTGACACGCTTATTCAGGATCATCCGGCCTGCGACAGAGCTGCATCTTTTGTCGGGGCCGAAAGATTCGATGTTCTGGCGGGCGTATCTGCAACGCTTGCCGAGACCGTAACATCAACTGCGTATACGGCCCTGAAGCCCGCAAGGGCCGACCAAGACGCAAAGGAACGGAGGACAAGTGCACCCTTAACCCGGGTGTCAGCAAGCGCGGCAGAAAGCAGTCCATTTCATTGACTAATACCGCAGTAGCCACCGTTCTGAGCGACGAGTCGGTGATGCACGCGTCAGTAGCCCTCGAGAAGGTTCACACCCTGGGCAACGACCTAGAGCAGATGTTCGATGATTACTTCATCAGCAAAACTGGATCGGAATCTAATCTTCTTCAGTTGTCTATAAGTTCTTTTCAGAGACGCCAGCAGCGGTCGTATACCTCGACATCACCCAATCATCCTACACATCATCAGGTAAACTATGATAGGCTACTATCCTCCATTGCCCAGGAGATGGTGGAAATGCTACTGCTGCGTGTTGGCTCTTTGAGATGTGGGCAACCGGAGGGGCGGAACCGAAACTTTTTCGTTGCTAGTCTAGTGGTTGACACCACATCGTCTATGTTCGACCCTCCACAGCATCAAAATCCTCTAACAGATCTAGGAAAGCACCGCATCTTGCAGTTGATTGACATGTGGTTCTCGGTGCATCCTCTATCGTTGCTAGTATCAAAAACCTTGATTACTAGTGAAGTTAAGGATGGAACGGTGGATGAGGCTCTATTGGCAATAATCCTGTCTGATGCGTGTCATATTCTAGGTGGTGCCAGCGAGCAGCATGGGGCTATAAGTGATGAATCCCAGAAGTTGTTCGAGTTTGCCTCCACCCAAATCAAACAGCGCCAGCTACCCCGTGACGATTCAGAAGGCCTTACCACAGTACAAACTTTGTTTCTAATAGCATGGAGGGAGCTGCGCTTGGGCCATGCCCGGCGAGCAACCTGCCTTGTGGGCTATACTTGCTATATGGCCTCTCGTTTAGCTAAAACAGGGAAGAATACAGACACGAAGAGCGTCAAATTGAATGGTGTTGAAATTGACCTGGTCAAAAAAGAGGTCCTGCAAAATGTTCACTGGTTATGTTTAACCACCACCTCCTGGGCGTTCATGCAATTTGACCAGGCCCTTGCCCTCTTCGGCCCCGACGAGATCCCTGATTTTCCCTGCCTAGATGAGACCGCTTCAGCCCTGATCCGCTTAGACCAGGCGTCGGATAATATATCTACGCTCCCAGCACAGATACAAGCCTTACGACATCTATGGCCTCTCAGCCATATTGCCAGCACTGTATCTCACATCTACATTCTGTATTTCAATATGCCTGCCAAGGGAGTTCCAAAAGCCTCATGGCAGGAGCAGCATATTCATCAATTATACGATCTCCTTCAGTCTTGTGCTGATTTCCCCACGCTGTCGGTGAAGATCAGAGATATCCTCCTTCAGGCGGTACAAGCTGTGGACAGGCGAATCACGACCTTGCCTTCACAACTTTACCTGTTGACTGCCTATCATATTATAAACACACATTTGTTATTCTCCCAGAATAAAACGGACCAAGAGTCGTTGAGCCTCTCGTCGACTATCATAAATGCCTTCTGTCAGTCTGCATCGGCGCTTCTAGCTCTCTCATATCGCTCCCTAGATCCATCAAAGGGTCTAATGCCAGTACAGCGGGATGGAGGTATGGAATTAATCAATATGCTTGTCCTGGGGCTCGATACATGTAGTAGAGCCCTTGTTCATATCTATGACCATCTCAGCCGCGGCGCGATTGACAATCAAAAGGAGAAAGCAGCAATCAGAAAACAGCTGGCGGATTATGCTGATAAGTTTCATCAAATTTGTAAAAGTGATGCGGTGCCACGATGTGGATCCGTGATGCGGTCTGTTAAGAAACGGCTCAAATGGGCGAAATTGGCATTTCAAGACCTTGAAATCCTTCCTGAGCCCCAACAAGTGCTTTCATCTGTCCACTACGCGACCCCTGACTTGTCTACAGCTCTGAATCTTGGCTGGCCTCATAATGAGGGCTTGCTGTTAGATCCCACCTTTGCCACTGCTCGACCTGGGGACATGCTATCATCTGACATAGTCCCCGGTGCGCTCCAGCAGCCGGTCTCGGGAATTAACGACCCATTCTTTGTTGTGGATGATCCCATAATCGGCACACTTTTGGGGCTTCCGGGATTTACTGGTGCCCATGAGCAGTTATATCCGGACTATACGAGCTTGCAGCAGAGCAAGCTGAGCATAGGTTCAGAGCAAGACCTTCCCCACATCCAGAATCCAACATCCTTGTTTCCGGGCTATGGGGAAAGTCTAAATTTGGCGTATCGTTGTCCCAAGGGTTCGCCTTCGAGTCTCGCCAGTACCATTGACCGCCTGAACGAGCCTAGCTCCATGCCATCTGAAATGACAGAATTTATGAGTAATGACACGGTCAATTTGACGCCGCCAGAGCAGACCTTGGACAATGATTTGTTGTCACAGTTGCTCAGCAACCCCGATGGATGACTTCAAACGTAGCCCTCGCTATAATATTAGGCATGGCATAGCTCTAGGTAGGCAGAACTGCTTCCGGCAGTCAAGTCATCCTGTGGCGGTAGTCATCAAAGCAAACACAGCTAACAGCCGCTTGTGTGAGACCTATCTTCAAGAATACTAGCCTCTGGCAGTCATAGAGCATTGAGCTTAAAAGGGATTGGGCGACCATACAGTGGGTTTAAAGCCTGT